CCACCTTTTGGGCAGTAAGATGCAAGTTGCACTTTTGTCAGTCTCGAAAGTGCAAGTTGCACTTTTGTCAGTCTCGAAACTGCGAAAATGCAAGTTGCACTTTTGTCAGTCTCAAAAGTGCGAAAGTGCAACTTGCACTTTTGTCAGTCTCAAAATTTTGAGGGCTTTTGGTGTATCCCTAACCAAGGCTCACCCTAAGGGGCCACCTTTTGGGCAGTAAGATAGTAGTCGCGGTAAACCAGTGCAAGCTTAATAAGAGCATCAGCAAGAGCATCAATTGATTTGAAGTTCTGAATGGAGAGGAAATTGCGGCGGAATGGAGCGGCAAGATGGCCATGCTTCAGGTCCCAAGACCGACGCTCGGTGGTGTAACTCCAGATGTGAACAAAGAATTTTGCTCGCAAGGCTGCCCGTAAACGTTCTGACGGCTTTCCGGCATAGCGAGATAGAAATGCGTCGAAAAGTTCCCCTGATGGACCGGAAATCAACCCAAAATGTCAGGCTCAATGACTTGAGAACAACGGAATAGATGCTTACCTGCAACAAAGTGGAATGCATAGGCACCTGCAAAGCCCTCTTTGACAATTTCGCCATTGGAAGTAGTGCACGCTGCAAGTGCATTCGAGTGAAATAGACGGATTGCCGCCCCCTCGTCCTGCGAATCCGCATTGATCACGTCCTTCCGCCTCAGACCACTTCCTGGTACATTAGCAAGTTCAACAAGCGAGTTATGCGATAGATCGTGATCCCCAAGAACAAGTAGATGGGTGCCAGTCTCTTCATTTCCTTTAGTAACCTTCTGGACATGGCTGGGGTCAGGTATGGTGACAAGCGGACCAGTACCAGCGAAAACTGGAATCTTGAACTCGATCCCATATTTTTCAAGCTTGAAGGAAATGGATGATATGGCTGAGGGCGATGAATTGAGAATGTCGTGAGAGCCAACCTCCGCAGCTGCTCCATCTGAGCCGCATGAGAGCACCTTGATGCCAGCATCTCGGCATAATGCAAGGCATTCCATGAGAGTAGAGGCGTTCTGCTCAGCCGTCTCACGGCCTTGACTTGGTAATACAAGGAGCGGAATTGGACGGCAGCCTGGTAAAGGGATCTGCACACATTCCCGCAGAAAATCAGCAGTAACACAAAGTTCGGAAAATATGGATGCTTACCTTCCCAATCAAAACACGCACTTGGGAGGCTAGCAACTTCTCATCCACAACCTCTCTGATAATGCGATCAATGTCAGTGCGTGACTTGACCTCTGCACCGGATACATCCTGCATTCCGCCAAGGATATGGGAGCCAAAAAGTGTACAGTGCTGTAGTCGGCCCTTAATCACCGTACAGTCCATGGCGAGGACAACAGGAACGTCTTGATAACCAAGCAAACTCATCTGAGAAGCAAGGCGGCCAACATTGTGTGCAGATAGGCCTGGAGAGTCCATGCGCACTGAGGACTTGGATACTTTATTGCTACAAGATGAACTGGAGCGTTAAAAGAGACAGAAAATGAGCTATTATAGAGATGAGCACGAACCGAACCTGGCGTTCGCTGGCCAGTGGTAATACTTGACCAATAAGGCCATATTGAACCGCACTTTGGGCACCATATCCACGCACGCCCACGCACAGATCCATCACCTCAGAGGAATAACGTGTCCCATGCTTTGCGTTAGGATTCTCACTGTTGGCACGCACTACCTTATCAGCAAAGGCTGCGCACACCTTCACCATCAGTAAGTGTGTTGCGAGTTTTCCCTCCTACACTCTTTATTACCATATACTACATCCCGCAGAAAGGCATACCACGCACCTGTGCTAGCTGGAAAAGATGCAAGAAGACCCCGCTATGGTCGTCGGCGTTAAGCATTTTCTTGTAAGCGCGGTTTACGAGAGGATTCTTCAACGCCTCCTCAAGCTCCTTCGACATATTCTTGAGCAGCACTGCCGAGGTGTTAGCGAGCTTTCGAGACTCTAGTTTATCTCGCTCTGCCTGCGTGCGCTGCTCATTCTCTCGCTCCAGCTGCACCAACTAGACTGATGTGAGTGATTCACTTAAATACGGCGAATTGGATCACTTACCAATCTCATCTTCCGTCTCAGACTTTGGTTTTTATCGAGTGCCTGACATGTATCGCACACTATGCGACCACATTTGGGGACAAAGCGCTGAGAGCACTGAGCTGCCCTGATGACACGCCGCTTGCCCACACCTTCAACGTACCACTTCCGGAGACTGAGGAGCTCGATGTGAAGGAGCTCATCTTCGGCTTCCGTGAACGTTGTCAGGTTAGTGCTCCTGTTTCTATCAGGCCCACACTCTTCATTAGGATCCCATTTATAGGGGAAGAGTGATCGCGCCGCTTTGGCGTGATTGGCAATGGCACCGGAGCCCCCGTACTCGCCCGCAACTACGTGCTCAGCAACAAGAGCATACTGCCCATCAGACCGCCCGGGGCAGGCGATCGTGAGATCGACCGTGAGCTGAGACTCCTGCATGTCTGATCCCTCAGCTGCCGGGGCTGCAGCACGTAAATCAGGCTTAGAACCACCTGATTCTGCGGGAGCCGGTGCAGCCCGGGGTAGAAAAAACGATCTGATCCCCAGCTTCACATACAACTTGAGGTAAGAATTGCTGTTTAATCACGTAGACTCCATTTGCTCACCTGTGCCGGCTTCTTGGTGCCACCATGCTTGATATACGCAAGGTGTTCACGAGAATTTAGGTGACGGTTGTACTTGTTCAGGTCGTACTCTCGTTTCTGGATGGGTTGTTGATCGCTCTTGGATCCCGTGTTCACGTTCTTTCCGTTCACGTTCTTTTTCGTACTCGCCGTTTTCGAGGGGTTCTGATCATGAGTGTCTAGGCCGTACTCAACTCCGCAGCAGCATTCAACAAAACCGGGCCCGAATGCCTTGATTTCCTGCCTGTCAAGCGCCTCCTGCAGGACGTTTCGGCGGGCAGCCTTATCTTTCTTTGGTTGCCGCTGACCTTGAGCCGCAAGCGATCGCTTCTCGTGAGTCCTATGGTTTCTTTAGTACTGTACTAGTCCCACACAATCCTATCGCGTCTGCAGCTGAGGACGTACTTCTCATCATCTGTCTCAAGTTCATCATCATCCCTGTCTCCATCCTCCGACTCAGATCCATGGACAACAGTCACCACCCTCAACGCCTTGCGAGGCACCACTGACTTTGCTGATGGTTTCTTTGGTACCGAAGCCTTGACCGGTTGAATCTTCTCGTGTAGATGCTTCTCAGTCCTGTTCGCATTCCTGGGCGCTCGATTGCTTCAATACATCATTATCAGTATGTTTACAGCAGTGAGAAGCAAGCTGTACTGTTACAGTACACACCAAATTCCAATCGCTGTCTCAATTCGAGGAATGAGAGCTGGTAAGCATGAGTTGAGCTTGACTCCTGCTTCAACCCGGACTAGCTTTTCCAATGTCTCATGCACCATCAAGAAGTCATCCCGCGAGGACAATTGCGACAAAAGCTTCCCCTCGCCACCATATCCAAAGACCTCATGCAGGGTGTTGTTCAATCCCTCCTCCAGATGATCCAGGGAGTGCGCCATCACGATTCCTCGAAGCGAATCCTTGAGCTCGGAGGAGATTGGCCCTGCATTGCTAACAGTGATGGCAAGTCCGGCCAGCTGTTCTAGCAGGGCCTCCCAGTCTGCGACCATCGCTTTCATGGTGGTTGAAGCGTACACAACAGCTTGCTCAATCTCTGATATTGCGAGCCCACATCGCAGACATCGGCCCGCACTGCACGTCAAGAGATGTCAAAGCAACGGCTAACATCACTTTGTGGTCGAATCGTGGCAGTGAGGCAGCTTAGATGTTCATATACACGTCGTCTAATTCCTTCAGCAAGCAAGTCAACACTCAAAGGGGTGTTCGGGCACTATGTCTACGCCAAAATCGTGACCTGACCTAGCCCTCCGGGACCCCCTCCGGGCGCTATCGGGCGCTATCGGGCGCTATCGCGGCGATGATTCACGCTGGAGCGCGCCTGCGGCGCTATCCATGCGGACATGGCTAGGCCTCTGTCAGGCCCCTCCGGGGCGCTATCGGCGGATATGGCCGATAGGGAGTTTCCGCCCTCCTGTGATAACGAAGCCCGCACTGATGGGCCGGTGGTCGCTGATGCTAGGTTCCCGGCGACAGTAGTGCGTCTGCATGAAGCGTTCGGGCACACGAGAGCGCCAGAGCACGTGATCGCACCAGGCGGGCACTCGCCGTTTCTCCGAGGTGTCGAACTCGTCTGATCCGCCTCTGTACCGGTACGTTGGTGCAAACGTGAGCGCGCCCTCGCTGAATGAGCGGAAGCGGAAGTCGCGAGTGAACCGCATTTCCTTCGCGAGCCGATCGTGAGCGAGCAGGGCTTCCCAATCGCCCGAGTGCATGGCAGCGATGACGGGCTCACGACGTTGATCGATACGATAGCACGCATCAGTATGTGAAAAGTAGCAAGAGCATAAAAGAGAACGTACGAGGCCAGTCTCGTGATCGAGCACCATAGATTCATCGACGTTTGTGATGGGACCCTCAAACACGCGAGCAGCGGAGAGGACATCCTTCTCCTCAAGCATTCTGCGACGTCGGAATTACGCTGCTGAACGTGGTACTGGCCAGCAACCGGATGGCAATTGATCATGCAAACGGACGTGTCATCGATCACGAAGCGGGATACGATGCCGCCCTACGTAAATACGTTTCAGCATTTGCGTTCGAAGACAGAAATACAACCACTCACCTTGTTACCATACCGCCCACCCATCCCTCGCTTGATCGACGCAACCGCGATATCCTTCAAACCGACCTTCTCCGTGTTCTTCGCGAAGATACAGGTAAACGACCCGACGAGACTCTCCGTGTGAATAACTGTGTACGGGCAGTCGGCGAGCATCGCGAACTGAACGGCAAGCACGAGCCGATCGTCTCAGCGCCTGTACAAACTCGTCACCTTCTTGGAGAGGCGGCCGTACTCGCCCTTCTTCTTGTAACCGGGGAGCACTGTTTTCGCCGCCACCTTGCGCGACTCGATGTCGATGACCTCCCGGAAGCCGAACGAGATGATGTCAGGGCGATCGACCGAGCTGAGAACGTCCGGGAGGATGTTTGAGGTTCATTTGGTTACCTGTAAGTGCGCCCAGTTTGGCGGCAGCAACGTTCCACGAGACGACGAGGACATTGAGAGGGCAGAAACTGCTGAACGACTTCTCCACCTCGAGAAGCTCGTGGTCTACGATGATAATGATCCGTCAGCAACGCGTTCGAACGGGAGTATACAATCGCGAGGCAAATGGCTCATCGACCCAGTCTACTCCCAACAACCCATCCCCTGCTCATCCCGACACAAACTCGCAACGCTCGGCCCCTCCACCTATTGATTGAATGTGGATCCTCTGACATCCTCAACACCCACAGGTCCTTGTGCATAGCCCATGCGTTCGCTACGACTAAGGGCTTCTGCGACATAGCATACGCCATGATCATCCCCTCCCTCCCTCTGACCCATAGCCTATCCGCCACTCCCTCAAGACATTGCCAACACGGGAGTAGGTATGTGGTGGGGGGCGACGACGGGCGTGTCTTGTGTACAGACGACGGTCGGTTGGTGTTTGCATCGCGGCTTGAAGGTCTCCGGAGTTGACTACGAGGTTTCCGGGTAACGCTGTAGCGGGAGAGGAGTTCATTGATTGTTATATTGGTGCTGCTGGGCAAAGCAGAATAAGACGCACCTCCCCCTGAAGTCAGACCCAACGTCCCAATCGCTTTAATTCGATGCTTGCACCCTTGCATGTTGATCTGCTGAGAAAGCTCAACCTTAGACATCCAGCTTGTATGGATATCTGAACGTACAAGGGTCGTAACTGGCAGATACTTGCCTTGGTCGCATTCAGCTAGCTGACAGCATTGACCGTCTTGTCAATAGATGGAATGGAGGCGGAATCGTTTGCAGTGTAGTGAAGGCGGTGTCGGAGATATGCAGGCGCATCGCAGCATGGACCATTGGAATAGTGTCAATGGGAGAGACAAACCAACGTCAAGGACGAAGCGCGTCTCCCGACGCTGGCCCGCATTCACCCCTTTTCGTCTCGACGTCCACGAAACGCGTCGGTGAAGTTGGCACCTGGCCTTGACATTCGCCCTTCATATCGCTGCTAGCACCAGCATTTGCTCAATCACTATTCTCGCGCGGCTGAATGTGAAGGCTTCTGAGGGTAAACGTCAAGAGGACATAGCAGACGCTGTACTGTAACCGTGAGTCACGCTGTAAAGTGCACTCCTCCAATCTCAACTACTCGCTGACACCATTGGTTGATCGTCGGCTGACTTCACAAGACGAACGTGCGCGAGCTTAAGCGCGGAACATCTGCGTCAAGAGCATAAGTCCTTCCACCCCATGATAGAAGGGATGTTGAACCTAGTGTCCTCATCTCTTGAGCAACGCTTATCACCGATACGATATGGTCAACTTCAGCTGGAGAGGATCATGCCTTCCCCCAGCAATATTGGTTTTATTTGCCCAAGCTGGTATTCCCCGAGTACTGGCAGATGCTCTAAACACATCTACAACCATCGGCATATACAACACATCGCACACCCCATCTAACCTCCCTTGGGACACCTACAACTACTGCAATGGCCCGCACGTTAACGCGGCGTACTACGTGCTCCCAGAATCACACACCCCTGGAGTAAAGGGCAGCACGCTCGTGTACGTGAACAGCATGATGCGCCATCACAAGGTACACTTTCCTTCACCCCTATCCCGTCCTCGTACAAAGTCGCGTTGACATCCATAACGCATTGACATGAACACTCAGCGCACACCGGATAACCTCTACCCATCCGAGCGCGCGCTGAACCCTCCGAGCGGGTGGAACTGCACTGATTTTATCCAGATGGAGTACGCGGGCGGCGCGGCGCAGGTGTATCACGAAACCGTTATCCCTTCCTGGCACCCGTTCGCGTCTCAAATTTGGGCGGGAAGCTGCGACGAGGGGCATTTGACAGTGGAAGGGCTAGCGGATGCTATACAGCACGGCAAGGTACGTACTCCCGAACCATGAATATGTCGTGATCGCCGACGAACGTGTTCAAGGACTTTTGGTCCGTGTACCACGACACACTCGGGTTTCTCGACAACGTGTCCGAAGACGAGTTATACGTGCACGCGACATACGAGCTACTCACACAGCAGGTTGCAAGCGGCGTTCTGTACGGCATGAACCCCACGACTGTCGACCGCCGGGTGCCAATATACGCGCAGCCTGAACTTGTAAGCCTACTCTTAATTTCTCAAGTGTTCTGTCGTTGACTGGTCGACTCTGACGTTTGCTCTCTACGCTGAATCACAAACCCTGTATCCTGGCAAAGATCGACGCGTTCGTACCCGCCTACGCATGCCCCGCCGCAGACGCCATCCGCACCGCCTACCAGTCTGTGCCTGCGTGGTCGGACCACCTCGTCCAGCATCAAGCATTACAAGACCACCTCGCAGAGATGCTCGGCGTGCAGGGTATAAGCGCGTGGCTCAGCTGGTGTGCGTTCTCACTTTTCATTCTCTTTCTTCACTCGTCTTGGTATCGTTAAGATTGGTAAGCTGATGAGTAAAATACGATGCAGATGACCATTTCTTCGACACGTTCACCTCGCGGACGTGCAATGACCACCCGCTGCCGTGCAACGCCTCGGGTGCGTGTGTCACCTGGGAAGAGGCCGAGACGGTGTTTGGGATTGGGGACTGGGAGTACAAGTACGTCCATCTCCAGTGCTCTTCAGTATGTCCGGATCGGTATCTCATGTACGTGTTTTCTGAAGCTACATCTGGAACGCGGCGCAAAACGCGAGCACGTACAACTCGCTTACTTTCAGTCCGTACTCCCTCTCCCTTTTGCCCACGTAACGCCTCGATGCTCATCCATAATTCAGGCGTTGCATTTGAAGAACTCTCAATGAACTTCAAGCGCTTCCGCGCCGGAAACGAAACGCACAAGATGCGCTTCTACGTCGCACACGACGGCTCGATGATCCGCCTCATGTCAGGCCTGGGATTTGGAAAAGTCGCACCACTCCGATGGCCCGAGCTGGGGTCGGAGATTGTGATGGAGGTACGCATTACGTCTGTGGCTTGATTTCTGAGATGCTGACGCATCTTCCTCGCCCGACTTAGGTATGGCGCGATGCGAGCGCTGATCAACATGTCCGCGTGATGTTTCAAGGAACACCTTTCCCAAGTCTGGAGTGGGTGCCTCTGAACGATTTCATTAGCCTGCTGGATGCGAGCGTCGTCCAGAATGTGTTCGAGACATGCAACACTAGTAGTTCCTCGAGTTAGAAAGCTGTATATGGTGTTATAGAGTAATTTCAATATACAGTTTACGGCACACCCAGACCAGATGGTGAAGTTGTAGCATAGCAAATGGCTCGAATGTGTATGAATGACGATAAATACACGAGTCAGTAAATATAGCGAGAGTCCGGGTATGAATGAACAAAAGATAACAAGAGTCAAATGAGTAATAAGACCAGACGTTGACTCAGACCATGTTCGAGTTCTCTGGCTTTCCCAACAAATGCGCCGTGCTGGCTTGGCGCGCATGGCCGTTGTCGCTTCCACCGTTGTAGTACGGGTCGTACGGCTGGGCGGTGTAGTTGGACTTGAGCTCGGCTGCTTGTCTTAATAGCCGTCGACGTCAGCACCTCCGAAGATATCGGAAACGAAGACACCGTACCTCGCTTTGCGCCGCTGGTACACGACGGCCTCCGTCTCTTGCGCAGTCTTCTGGCGGAGGTGACGCATCACCGCGATCGTGACCACGACAGTAATGCCGAGGACGGCGTACGTGACGATGTTGGCGAGCTTGCTACTCTCTGTACGAAGTAAAATTCCGTTGAGTTGTCATGATGATAATCAGTCCGGAAGCGAAAATGCGACGTACGACCATCAGCTGACAATTTGAGATCGTATCCGATGAAGACCGACGCGAGCTGCTTCGGCAGGGAGAGAACCGCCGCGAGGAGGAACTGCCAGAGTTTTACTTGGCATGTTGCGTAAACGGCAGTAGTAACTGTAAACCAGCCAATCGACCCGTCAGCTGCTGTAAGGATTCGTTGAGATTGAATAAACACGTACAGTGGGGAGGAACAGCGCTAAAACGTGAAGCGAGGATGACGCGGAAGCCACCCTTCCTGATAACATTGCAGAACGCGGCAAAGGAGATGCTCTTCCGTTGGGCCCTCTCGCCGTACGAGTGAAGGGCGTACTTAAATATGCTGTGAAGATTAGAGGCTAAGAAATCTTGTTTCCCGGAGATGAGACCGTATCAACTCACAGGAACATCAACGTCTCGCCAACGATCGTGCCCGCGCACACGATACCAAACCCAATACCAGGACCCCAGACCATACCACAGAAAATGGCAACGAACTCGTGGCCGAACAGCTACGAACGCGCGATCAGGTCGTACAATACATGCGCATGAAAGACGTCAAAACTCACAGGAGGGAAAGACATAACAACGAGGATGCCAATCGGAATGGCCCATCCTCCCGGCGTTCTGTAGGGATCGCCTCGGTCAGTTGATCTGCATATATGCGCATACAATGAACAGAACTCACGCCAATAGCCACGTGGCGGCAGGCGCGAGGGCCTCGAGGATCTGCTTTTTGAACACCTCCGTGACGATTACGATTACAAGAATAAACGCGATGACGAACGCCGGGACTGCGAGCCACAGCAAACGTGGAAGAGTCATCAGCGTCAAGTTGCCGACGTAACAGAAAATAAAGAGACGACGCTGCTTACCTAGGTCCCGCCAGCTCTCCGGATGCCGAATCGACTGCAAGTCGATGCCCATGCTCGACCGGAGCGCCTTCTGCTCTTCCTTGTTGGGAGGCGGCGTGCCGCCACGGTTGATCGCCATCCCATCGGCGAGCGTGGTGCGCGACGCCGACCAGTCGTTGTCCATGTTCGGAACACCGAGCTCGCCTGGAGGCACGGACGCGTACTCGTACGCTGGCGCCGTTATCGAGCCTGCCTGGATCACAGGCGGATGTGGGTTGTATGCGGTGTTTGACATAGGTATCGCTGGGTATGGTGTTGGCGTGCCGCGTGCGGGGCGAGAGGGGTAAGGGGCCCGAAAGTTGGCGCTGTCATTCATGTTCATGAACGTACGAACGAGGTCCAAGTCAAATCAAGTGGCGAAAAGGCGTCGAAACAGATAAAAGCGAGTAGCGTGAAGAGAAATCAAATCTTTGAGCGAGTGCTTGAGGCCATGAGCCCCAAACCGCACGAGATTATATGTCTTCTGGACTGGGTGTGGTGCGCGCACCGCTTGCGAAGGTACACGACCCGAGGTCCACCACCGAGCCCCACCATCGATGGTAATGCCCGCAAAAGCGCCCTGGAAACGTCAAACCTTGTCAACGAGTAGGCTACGAACTGTGCATCCAGAGAGACATATAAGACGAGGCAGTGCAGGTGAGCGTATCCACCCATGACACTCGTCTCGCATTTTCTCCACTGCTGTGCGTCATGTCATGTCTGGGCCGCGTTTTGTTTTCGGGACATTGCGTCGGAGCGATAACGTACACTGAAAAGAGAGCCGACAAGTGGCGGTGTACAGCTGATGGGGGTGGCAGTGACGAAGCTTCCTACAATAGAAGGTCGCTCTCACGGTCTAATCGCCTCATTTCAACCTCGATCCTACCATTCCCACGACCAGATGCAAAGCCCAAGGCGCAAGAAAATAAAGGCAGAAAAGAATATATGTAAAGACAAACAACACCGGGTGGTACTTGGTATATATGGCTATAAGAAGTTGTATCGAAAACCGACTGAAACAGGGTAGAATAAGACAGCGACAAGAACACAATCAGAAAATGGACAGAGGAACACAGACAGAACAGACGGCGGATGAGCTAAATAATACATAATGAAGTAGACGAAGATATGCCATTTAACGACGCGAGAGGCGATGCGATCTTTAGCTAGGATGCAGAGCAGCAAGGGCGGAGAAACGGACGGACGAGCAGACAGACATAGACAGCGGACAGCGGTTAGCAAGGTATGTAAGTTAGTCGTGTCCCGCATCGAGCGTGGCAACATCGCAAGGAAAAAGATAGCGATAAGGAAGAAGAGACACGAAACCGAATAGGTCTGGATGAAGCAGAGCAAAGCAGCATATTGCAAGTGATGCGTACGTTAGCGGGGACGTGAACACGTTGACAGTTGGCAGCAAAGGTGAGGCCGCATAAAATAACCGCGAGCAGCAACGGGATGAGACGATCAAGACAAGACAGGACGGAATGAGGCAAGATACCAGATCCAGCGGCACAGAAACGCCGCGGGCAAGCAAAATGAACCGGAGCCGAGGCGACCGACCAGCGCAGATGTTTGTCAGACGCACGTACGCTCACATGTCCTTCCCAGTGATATGGTTGATCCTCAACACGTTCTTCTTCCCGGGGCCCTCGCCACCGCTCACGCTCATATGCGCATCCGAGTCATACCGGCTGTACATCCCCACCGAGCTGCTGATTCCACCACCAGGCATAGGCGCAACATTGGGCGACGACGGCGACGACCCAGGCCCCGCAGGGTGCCGCAGCGGCGCGAGCTGAATGATCTCCTGGCTGTGGCCGTGCCCACCGTGCCCGCCATGTCCGCCGTGACCGTGCCCGTGGTGAGCATCAGAAGGGGGCCCGCGCCACGCGACAGACCCAGGAGGTGGCCAGTCGCTGTGCGTGTGCCCCGAGGCAGCAGGCCCAGCAGCACTTGCAGACGAGGCCCCATATGAGTTCACTGCATATCCACCTGCCGAGGCGGGCCCAGCAGCCCCGTACGCGCCCGCGGCCGACCCGCTGCTGCCGTGCGCGCTGGAGGCGTACGATTGATACGGGCCACCATGCGCAGGGGCGTATCTCGGTGCCGTCGGAGAGGGACCCGGCGGCGAGGCTGGCCTCGCAGAGTGTGGAGGATGGGAAGACGCTGCGGATGAATAATAATCCCTCCCCGCGGCCGCGGTCGTATTGGTGCCGCCGGCACCATACGGTTGCTGGGAATAGTCATAATGAGCAGCAGCCTGCGAAGCCGGTTGTTGTGTCTGGGAGGCCGGTGGGTACGCTTGGGGATGCGGGTGCGTAGAAGATGGAGGAGGCCCCCATGACTGTGTCTGGGCCGTCTGCTGAGAAGCCGGCGGGGCGTAGTATGAGGTAGTTGTTGCCGCCTGGGATTGTGGGGTATGCTGGTGTTGGGTGGGCGTCGCAGATCGGTGAGAAGGGTGTGCCGAAGTGGGCTGGTCATAGTACCCGACGGTGGAGGCTCCGCTGCTGTACGGCGGTTGGTTCGAGGGGTATTCATACCTTGATGGCGCCTGAGAGTAGGTCGAAGGAGGCGCATACGAATGAGGGCTCCCATACTGGGACTGAGCCTGTCCCCGCGGCTGCGCGGAATACTGAGGGACGTGCTGATGAATTGCCTGAGGTTCCGAGTGCTGAGTTTGGGAATATTGCTGAGGGGGTGACGAATTGTGTTGCTCGGTATAACTTGATTGGGTATGCTGCGCCGGCGGAGCCGCGTAGCTGCCGCGACCGTAGGAACCAGCCTGGATAGGCGGAAGGGAATCATAAGTGCTAAACGAGGATGTGCGCTGAGACTCGTAGGGGGGGCGTTGGGCAGGTGTCTGCTGCTCGTACGAAGATATGGAAACACGTTGACCCTGATCGTAGTGGGGACGGGTATTGTCAAATGACGAACGGCTGTCATGGGGGCCTGCCCTCGACCCTTCATAGGCAGCACCTGAAGGCGGGGGGATACTAGTGGAGGTAGGGGGCTCCGCATGAGCTGTTGGGGGCGGGTGCATGCTCTGTGGAGACACGAGAGAGGAGTGGCCGGGCGGTGGGAGCGTAGATGGTGCCATCGATGGTAGTGATCTCGCCCCATTGTCGAAAGACGATGGCGGAGCACTTCGAGAACTTTCGTAAGAGACTCCCGGTGGAGGAGGAATATGGCCTGCTCCGGGCACGGCGCCCAGAGCGCCAGGAACAGAAGGTGGAGGAAGCTCGATGCCGCCGGGTGCGCTGGCAACATTTAGCATAGGGTCAAGTGACGTCGTAGGCCAAGCCGGGAGACCGGCGAGGGAAACCGCGCTGGTTGGTGTTGGTGTCGTGTCCCCACCATGGCTGAACTCGCGATTGCGTGCCCGCTTTTTGGAACCGGGGTTCCCGTGCTGACTGCTGTCTCGACTGTTGCCATCGTCGTGGTCGATGGGTGCAGTGAGTGCGGCGAGGGGCCTCTTGCGGACGCGGATGTCCTTGCGAATGCGGATCTTGATGCCTTGGTCTGCTAGGGAGCATGATAGTGGGGTAGATTCTAGATAGAGCGGGGACGCAGGCAGGAAAGGATAAGAGTTTGCCCAATAGAAGCATGAACGTTATCAGTTTTAGGTTAGCGCCAAGCGATGATGTTCAGGTACGGCAGACTTGCCTTCCATGCCAGGAAACTTTTTCGCTGTGTATACATAGAACGGCGCCGAGTAGATTGATTTGCAATGCCGAACGCTATTCCTGCGGGTGAGGAAAGGGAGAGCGCATGAGCTTGGGTGATGACCAACGGCACAATGGCGAATGGAAAAGGAGGCTGTTACGAATAGGCAAACTCACCCCACAACCTCGAAAAGGCTTAATTTGAGGCGGTAACTTCCCTCTGTGCGGACGCTGAGGTCCGGGAAGACGAAGAAGCCAGCGTCTTCATTGTGGTTTTCGGTATCCTTGAGGTGATAGAGGGAAGAGACGACAGAACCGGTGGTGCAACGTGTTTTTCCATCCTTATCGGGCGTAGGCGCTCTGTAAGTGGCGGGGAACGGGCGAGTGGAGATAGAGAACGGACCTTGAGCCAATGTAGCTCTGCGTCGTCATCGGGCTTTGCTAGACTTGCGAACATGAAGTAGTATGGATTCTGAAGGAAGGAGTGGGCATAGTTGGGGTCAGAGTCGTCTAGATCTGGGTTCGCTGCTGGTGGCTGTCGAGTCTGGGGGTCTATGACACGGAGCTGGACGATCGGAGGGGGGTCGATTGGACGTCTGTCGGCTGGATGGCGTATCGAAAGAGAGGAGTGAGCAGGGGGATGAGGGATGAGCGTGGTGCGTGGAGGGAGGGGGGACACGTACAACCTACGCCGCACATGCGTGCCTGCTTGGGCTCCTGGCGTACGGTGAGCTCGTAGTCTCTGATGCGAGGAAACATGAGTAGGTTGACGAGGATTGGGGACGAGTTAGAAACGGGAGAAGGGAGGGAATATGAGATATTAAGATGTGGGCAGCGGGGCCCGTGAGCTCGGGTCGATCTGGTCGCATGATGGGGGACATGGGAGGAAGCGTCACCACTTACAGGCGAGTTCTTTGGGCATAGGCTCTGTCACGTTCATAGGTGTAGTTTTGGTGGTGCGTCTGTGAGTAGACATTGCTGTTCTCCATCTGACGTCTGTTCGTCGACGAGGAGTACGTGAAGGGGGGTGTATGGATGGCTGCAATTTACAGCAGCGGCAAGTTATTGTCTGCTGGGAAATTTAAATTTGACGATCTCTGCTGACCCAGAACTCTGGTCCCACGCACGTCACCTGCCCAATCCGGTGTGTTCCGCTCTCTTGGTGCCCATCCCCATCTCCTGCATCTCACTCTCTCCTTCAACACCACAGGCCACACCTCCCAGGCACGCCTGCGAATGACTGATCGAGGCAGAGGGAACCAGTATAATCCGTCCATAGACTCAGAGTTTTGCCACTTCAACTGTATCTTCAGCTGCATGTAATATATCCTTTTATACTTCCCGCCCACTCTCCCTCCCGCTCACTTCCGCCCAGTCGTCTCGTAACCTCGCGTAATGAACACTGATACCCCAGATCGACTCTAATAAGGCGCATCTGGCGTCAATCTTCTCGACATCACCACGCCTAACTTTGACTGTCTTCTCAGTGAGAGAGCGATGCACCTCTCAGTCAACCCCCTGCAAAGACCGCTCGCACCATCTTCCACGGTTCCGTCCGTGCCCGTGCCATCACTACAGGCCTGTGTTCCCATCCGCCATTCTACACGTTCAGATCCCACGCAACATCATACCAAGGCGCCCGGACTAAACATCATAACGTCACACCTTCTCGCTCCTCGCCTCGTCGTACCATGCGAGCGGTCTCAACCCTTGACACTCAGCTGTCAATTATTTGCATCCAAGATTCAGCTCAGCGCACCTCATTTTACAACCCGCGTCCTTCAGCCCCGACGCTCGATCGCAACCCGCATTACCGTCTGTCCATCCACTCGCATACCCTTCTAGCCGCATCTGCTCCCGGACCCACTCTGATCTGTCAGAAACACGCGCTCGACTGTCCCCGACGTCGTCTCGCGCCCTTTAGTCCAAGTATCTCGGAAAGTTTGCTCCTTGCGACTGACAAGGTTCAGTCTAAACGCTCTTGAGCACAAAGCCGAGATCTGGACCGACACTTGAGGCAGCGCCGCCAATACAATACTGTCCTACTCCGGTAAGGACCTTCGCTAATTGGGCGCACCTCCTTGGCTACCGTACCTCTGGTCTACGATTCTTTCGCGTGCTCATCAGTGACGACCGCCACCTCGCCCGACGCCACCCGAACCGTCTCAGATCCATCGTCCACCCAGGACCCACCATGGTCCGCGCAGCGCCCAGACGGCAACCTGGTTGATAAACGCCCGCCGCCGGGCAACAATGTCAGATTTGACCATCAACTTTTCATTCTACGATCGTCCCGCTAATTTACCTTGTTCATTATCAAGCCACTACGTAAGGCTATCACACTTAGGTTTTCGAGTGGATCCACCCTAGCACTGCATCCTCGACCAAGCCAGATCGCCCAGCCCATATGCTAAGTCACCATCTATGCCCACGTCCACTAAGACTCGTGCGGCGCCGCCAGGGCCAATGCCATGAGTCATTGCACTCGCTCGGATTTGCTTCCACTCCGTCGGTCACGTCTTTCCTTGACTCTCCGCAGCACCTGAAGCAGTGTTGTCGCCAACGGTATGCTGTAATGCGCAATATTACGATGGTGGTTAATCGCTGATCCGATTTTATAGGAAACTCAAAGCCGTTCGCGTGGACGAGTGCCTGGGGCTCGATCGATCGACGGTTCGTACATACTGAAGGCGGGGTTACCTACGGTTTGGAAATGAAAGCTTACCGAGAATCGTAAAAGGCCTGATTAAACGCAAGAGCCGTACTTAAGGCCTATTACTTAGACGACGTCCGGAGCGGTGTTGCGGTTTTCTGATTCTTATCCGCTCCTTGGGTGTCTTCGGGTGCCGGCACGGATACTGTAACGTACAGCTTGCTTTGCAGACCCTTGGCAGCACACTTCTCGCCCTATGGCACGACGCCTATATCTTGTGTCGTAAGGCAAACCACTTCTTCGGATGGATCTGTGGCGTCGCCGGTCAATATCCTTGTGGCTTCGCGCTCCTCTGTCCCTGCTCGCTCTTACCTACCAGTCCTCTACTCTAGACCGCATTCTGCTGGCAGCACTCTCCAAACCGATCACCGCCTGAACCCACTGCTCTCCGCCACCTTGTGCTCCCCCCTCTCACTTCTGAGACGAAACAGCCCGTTCGGGGTTGAGCTGGGCTGCAGCTAACGGCGATTGCCAACGTCCTTTAGCTCAAGCTTTGCCTTGAGCTATCTTGAGCCCTCCCGAAGAGTTTTTTAACCTTTGTCTTTCTCGCACGGAATTCACTTCATTACCCGCACACTGGTCACTATGCGACTGACCGTCGGCCAGAAGCCCCCTCGCGTCCTGAACGCTTCTCCTTCTTGAGCATGCTACGCTGGCGGGGTACCCAGGCATCGCATGCCCGTGATCATCTTGTTGCAGCTGTGTCGAACCATGATGATCCTCTCGCTTGTGATTGTTCTCACTGGCACGCATATTTTGAGTGCCCACTCCTCGAAACAGACGTTTGTTCTCACTCGCTGCGGGACCGCACGCAGGCTATTCTTACTATCTGATAACACTGCGAGAGCGCGCGTCTTGATCTATCGCTCGGGCTCGGCCACTAGATTCCCGAGCGCCTCTGTTGGTTAGATACTGCTCTATCATGCTGACTACGGTGAGGGTGTATATCTTTTGTATTCGCTGATGTCATCTTTGGATGACTTCCTTGACACCCATGTGCTGATGCATGCTAGACGAAGTCCCTCTACATGATAGATCACCAAAGACTCCTCTTTCACGCTTAGCACATTGCAGCACCAAAAAGGCACGATTCGGGCACGATGCTTCGTCCGCAGCTTGGGAAATGCATCCTGTCCTCGACCTCTAATTCGCTCGTGTCGCTAAAAAGGCGACAAGACACCGAGATATCTTCTGCCATAGGGAATAGTACATACACACGCGAGCCGTCATTGCCACAAAGCGGTCTCAGCCTTGGCCATCTGGGAACGTTATCCTACCTCAACTCTAAGTGTAACATTGTCTTCTATCGGCGTTCCCGCCGTTTCCCTCATCACCGACATTGAAGCTTCATTTCACCGCCGGAGTTAGCGTCTTCTCCAGCCGGAACCTACGCACCGGTTCTGCATCCGCGAACCCTGCGCCTCTCGCCATAGAAGCAGAAAACAACGTTAATCATTTCTATGAATCCGACGGAATTGCACATGGCACGGTCCCCCAAGCAACAAGCGTCGGTCGTCCCGGCCGTACCGTTCCTCTCCGGTCTTTCATCATGAATGTTTTCCGATACCCCGTATCTTGCAAGCAGTCCGTTGCGTCTAGTCATGATATCGCCATAATGATTGGGCTGGGAAACCAATTCCACCCGGCGCGAATAGAGACGCTGCCGTCGGCCTCGCTATTTAATCACATATAGCTTTCATCGTCCTTTAGGTTCAGCCCCAATGCCCTCTCAAGCCAAGCAACGCATACCGTCGGCATCCCTAGCCCTCTTCTGTGTGCACACAGCCGAACCCTCGACCGAGCTACTCATTGGGCACCGAACCGGAGGCTCCACACCTCACTGGGCGTTCCCGTGTAACGGAACCTTTTTTTTTTGTTTCGTTTTCGGGCATTCATCATGCCTGGCGACCGTGTCCGTGTCTTCCTTGAGCAAAGTGCGACTCGCCGCAGCCGAACAGCCCGGGCTTACTTCCAGCTGTAAACGTTGCCCTTCTTTCCCCGGCGGCGGGCGGACTTCGCTCGGAGAACACCCACTGCCCAACGTCCAAAGAAGGCACATTTATGGCTATCGCGTGCGCATGGTATTCTCAGGATCAGCAACGCGGGGGAAGATTGGGGCGTTAAACATCGCGTTTTCTGACACGAACAACGGAGGAGGCCATTAGAGTTCCTGTTTTGCCATTTTGCTGGGGGCTCGTCTGCACGTGGTCGGTCGATGTGTGTGAGTCCGATGGGCCGTCGTCGCGAGGAAGTAGGATGGCACTTGGCTGGTGGATATGTTCTCGGATACATCGGGTGATGTACAAAGCAGATGCAAATGAGTTAGTCTCTCTATTCGAGCCGCTCGGTCTTATCGACTAATGAATGGCCAATAGCGAATCTTGCTCATACTTGACGTTATCTACGAAGAACGGAGTGATTTTCATGGAACGTTTGTCCCCATAATACTTGAGCTGTCTCTTTTCAATGCTCATCGTTGTATCCGAGGAGCGTTAACAGTACTTCTCCTGAAAAAAGGGTCAGACAGACGATAGCACACCGTAGGTACCGTTGTCCCGGCAACATTAGGCACTATGGAGATAGTTGATGGACAGGTTCTGTCGAGGACGTCGACGGGCCGACGCCTATTGGTCCGTTGTCGCGTGGCTTCAGGTACCTCCAGGTACCCATCCTCGGGAAACAGCGAAAGATGTCCATTCAAAAGACAGCTCCAAACTGACCGCTGCATCGCATGCAAATTGTTCTTGACAGTGGTGCAGGAGGCGCAGCCCTGGATATCCGCGTCTCTATCCACGCAACTGTGGAGTTGATAATCACAGGATGACCTCTCGTTTATGGTTGCTGTATGATGTGGCGTCGCACGATTATGTGCATGGTCTGATCATCGCTGAGAAAAGTGGATACCCGTCAGCCGACCTATCGCAGAGATGAAATCAGAAAACGTCAATGATGATGAGTTCTCCACTATCTCAAATGATAACGACAAATGCCATTTGCATTTCATGGTAGCTTAAGATTCACAACACTACTAATCTTCACATTAGGATTCTAAAGATGAGCACGGTACTATGACACAAAGTGTATTGCACAAGCGTTGAAAGTGGACAATCCAAAGGCTAATCAAATCCACCTAGTGTTCTCGAGCTGTGAAGGTTGGGAAGGGAACAAGGGTATTGATTGACACGTAATATATTCTTAGCATGTGGTCGCCGACGCGCGTGTTAGTAGTCCCCGGACGTATCCGTTATCCGGAATCGGCTCAGCCACCGGCCTGCACATCTCTAGGAAGACCTCGAAGGTGGAGGTTTGATCCATGTACGCATCAAAAGTGATACCATGAGCACTCGGACACACTTGGTCTGTTGGACACCCAGCTTCCGCAAGTCACTAACTAACGAAACGATCAAACATACGTTCGGGGGGTGATCAGGGCCAGACGGCAACAAGGTTAAGACAGGGGAGGAAACCGCGCAGTTCTATAGGTCTAGCCTGAGGCGGGCGCAGGCCGGAATTTCTGTAGGGTCTTCCTATTCCCACTTGCTGAGGCTGCGCTTTATATGACCCATCCGTTGTCTCCCGCAGGCTCCATTGCCCTCTCGCATGGCCCTCTTCAACCCACGTATACTCGACGCCAGCATCCGCGATGTCAGCGCCTGCCTGACCGACCGCCAAAAAGCGGCAGTCCTCCTGTGCGCACTCCAGCATCTCCCCTCCGATAGCGACAGGTACGTCTATTCTATCTTTCGGATAAAAAGATCTGTGGGTCTAATGCACGTGTCGCCTTGGCTCGCGACTGGTCAGGTATCGCACGACGGTTGAGAACGCTATCCAATCCATACTCTTGACGCCCGGTCTTCCACTGGAGAACATCTCTGCGGCGCATATACTCCGTGCAAAGGCACGGATTGCGGCGGGCTTCCGCACCTCTGCGCAGCAAGGTGAGTCCAGACGGTGTCCAGATGCTGCAATTTGTATTTTGTTGTAGGGTTTGGCTCACGTATGCTTCCTTTCCCGTCGGGCCGGCCCTCGATGGGTTTATTATTCATCATCAGACTTGCTCACTGTCATGGCTTATCAGCCCGAGAACGGAGAGGTGCAGGATATCATCGACGCCGAGCATATGCGTCCCGACATGGTGAGTCACCCCATCCCATCCCGTCCCGCCCCGCCTGGCATTCCACCAACGTTGTTGACACAAACGATAGCTCCTGAGGGAGCCAGACCGACCACCTCGATTTTCAGTCGAAATATGGCTGGAAATTGCGCGATTCCTGCCTCGACGAGACCTCAAGACGCTTCTCCGTGTCCCCAATGTCCTGTCGCGGATTGCCAGTCAGCTGCTGTTCTCAGAAATAGACCTCCACTTCGCTCTGCAGGCTGTCACTGAACATCCCGATGGCTCTTCAACGGTCAACGACGTGGAGAACCCCGTGGAAGAGCTCGAAGCGTGGCACTTCAGACGCAGTGCCGACATCCTCGCCCGTATCCTGGTGGATTGCAAGTTCTCCAACCAAGTCAAGAGCTTGAGAGTGTACTTCCCCGCTGAGCAGACGGAACCTATTGCGTTCCAGAAGCGTGAGTACTCGTTGTTTCATTCACGGGACAAGCGTACTAACGTGTTATCTCGTAGGGATGCTAATAAACGCCCTGCCAAAGCTACACAATCTCCGCAAGATGCATTGTGCTGGGGGGAGGGAGATGCTTCAGAAGGTGACGAATGCTCTGTACTCTTACCACCCACGTCTGCAGAGCATATCGCTCAAGTGAGTCGTGACATATCTTATTCAGTAGTAATCTGACGTACCTCTGCAGCATCACGGACAGAAACGGTGGAATCGACATGCCGCCTTTCAAGCACCTAGTCCACTTCTCAGTACTGACCGAGAACGGCAACGTACACGGCACTGAGGACTTCCTACAGCAAAGCCAAGAGACGCTCCGTGCCCTCGCGTTCGGCAACGACACCTGGTGCTTCCCCGCCACCGCTGTCTCCGTACGGCATCTTTCTGTCCTTGACATCAACGCATACTTCCCCTCTGGAAGTACCGTCTTCTCCGAGATCCTACATGAGGGTCGTCAGCTCGAGACCCTGTCGCTATGCGGTACTATGGACCTGCATTGCACGCCTTCAGCGGCATTCAGGAAGTATAGCAATGCGCTGCCGTTCCTGCGTCACTTCTCGTTCAAGATCCATGGTCTGCAGCAGGGCCCGACGGCCGACAGGGACCTTGCGCCCGCCATCTGCAACTTCCTCCGTGACCGTGCCGACTTGCGCACGTTCCATCTAAAGATGCCGCGATCGGAGGTTCTGCAGCGCAGCGTCGGGTTCGATGCATCTGCCTGGGGCGTGCTTCCCTCCTTGACCGGCCTGAAGAGCTTGTGGATCACGTATCCCAAGGAGCTCGCACCTTCCCTGGCTGGGTGGCTGGTCCCGCGGAGCGTGGCTGCGCTGACTCTCGACTTCCTCCGACCGGATGATGAGGACATGATCCCCTTCTTGACCGTAAGCCTGTTTATCTCGGCAGCAACGCTAAGAAGCAAACTAACCGTTCTCAATAGCAAATGCGTCTAGGCGCCCCTCCCAAACTGACTTACATCGGCATGACCAACTTCTCCAAGCGCAACGGTGCGCTAGACATCGTGGAGCATGGCTTCACCACCGCCCGAGTGGTCCGCATCGGAGGGTCTTACTGGACCGTCGTGCAGGATTCAGACGGAAGTTTCTCTCTCGAGGAGTGGCCGGAGCGGCGCATCGAGTTCCGAGCGGTGGAGTGGCTGCAGTCGCTCGACTGCGCAGACGCGGTGTGGCCATCCCAGGCTTCAAAAGGCTTCTGGGGATGAATGCCAACGTCTAATTTCTTTCATCGCTTCCTTTGAATTTGGAGATCTCGTGGTTATATGGACATTGCAATCGCGCTTAAGCTCGCCCGGAAAACCTAGTCATGATGCATGATGACCTGCATGGCCAACGTCTCAGTGTATTTTTAATGCATCATATAGTATCTCACTTACCTTCAATTCCAAACCCGCTCACGAGTAACCAACGCCGCAAAGACGAGTGCGAAGCGATGAGTCCCTGTCGAGGTGAAACCAAAACATAAGTCAAACATAAGTTGACATGGGTTTCTCGAGCTGAGATTAAACCGGTTCGGGTAAATCCGGTCCGTGCACACAGGTGTTTTCCAAGGGTTTTCGGAGTTGTTTTCGGTTTACGACGAGAGGGGAAACAGGCAATCCAACTCCATGTAAGTCACAAGCACTACGGTTTAATGTTTTGATGTCATTTCGTGGACGTTGGGTTAAGATATGTATATGTAGGCTCATTGCAGTCCTAGCTTTCGGGCGTCGATCACCATCCGCCAAAATCCACCGCGCACATGTGTCAGGCACATATATATAGTCTTGTTTCTATCCATCACAGCTGCTATATCCCGCGATTCCTTCCCTTTCCTCGCCCCCGAATCGCAACATTGTCCTCAATCTCATCACATTGAGCCACCTCTATGGCTATCATGTCGGAAGTCCACGAACAGAGCGGTCCGTCCGAAACACGAAGCGTTGGTAGTCAAATCGTGACTGACAACGCGGATGAAGGCGATGACGAGCCTTTCTCAGGCCATACGAAGGGCATTTTAGCCGTATCGTGCTCTCCTGATGGCAAGTTCATCGCCACGGGTGCGCAGGACCGCACTGTTGGCATCTGGCACGTTGATTCGGGCAAGCAAGTGGGCAGTACAATGCAAGAGCACACCAACGAGGTCAACGATATCTCATACTCACCTGATGGTGAATCCCTGGTATCTTGCGGCGACGACGGCACTGTGCGGGTCTGGAATGCTAACCTCCCAGGAAACGAGCCTATATATACGTTTGTGCACACCACTGGTGGCACGGTACGAGCTATCAGGTGTTCTCCAGATGGACAACTCATCGCCAGCGGCGGCAGCGACAAAAAGCTCAAAATCTGGGACGTACGCAAGCAAACGCTCAAGTGCGAGTACGAGGAGCACAGCGCACTGATCCGCTCGGTTGCCTGGGATCCGAGCGGGAACTGAGCTGCGACAGGTTGCGCTGACCGCAAGATTCGTATCTTCGACGTGGCGATACCTGACGCACCGGTGTTTCTCACCCTTGAGGGACATCGGGGTGAGGTCAACTCTGTTATGTACTCGCCGGACGGGAACTTGCTTGCAAGCGGCGGTGATGATCGCAGTGTGCGCTTGTGGGATGCGCAAAGGGGAAAGGCTGTAAAGAGCCCATTTCGAGGCCATACGGGATGGGTCACCTCCGTGGCGTGGTCTCCTGATAGCACACGCATCATCAGTGGCTCTAGTGATAATACTCTTCGCGTCTGGGACATCAGTAGAGGAGAAACCCTATTCAAAGGAGTTCTGTACGCGCACACGGGTACTATATGGAGCATCTCGTTCTCGACCAGTGGCGAGTTCTTTGTGTCGGCTGACAACGGTACTATTCCCCGAGTCCAACTCTGGGATGCTAAGACAGGTAAAGCATCACTTCCACAGGCAAGCAAAATGACGAGCCGAGTACTCAGGTGATAATTGACCTCCTTCAGATTTCTGATATGGAATATTCCACTCACAAGCATACGGAAAGTGGAGGCCATGCAGATAATTCGAGATCCAGCCAGCCCAGTAAAATGCAAGCTGGGGCCCCTATTTCTGCCGTGGTGTGGTTCCCAGATGGTCGACGCTTCGCAAGCGCAGGAGAGGAGCTTCTCATACGGATCTGGAGCGCGCAGAATGGCGACCATTGGCGAGATTTTGAGCCAACACCCCACCATCAATGCACTGTCCATCTCGACGGACGGTGCGAAGTTCGCAACCGCGTCGGATGACCAGACTGTTATCCTCTTCGATACGGAATCAATGCAGCCTCTGAAAGAGTCCCTCACCGGTCACCGTGGGGCTGTCTACGCCGTCAAGCTGACACATGATGGTTCTAAAGTGGTTAGCGGAGGCAAGGACAAGACAGTGCGCTTTTGGGACTCGATAACTGGACAAGCTCAACATGTCATCCAGGTTCACGCTGACGTTGTTCGCGCACTATCCGTTACGAAGGACGGTAGAAAGCTGGAGAGTGGCGGGGATGATAATTCATCTATTTCTGGGATATGCGAACCTATCAGAGGATCGCAGGTCCGTTCAAGCGCGACGGCCCAGTGCGTTCAGTGAGCTTTTCGCTTGACGGTTCGCGTATCATAAGCGGCTCGGATGACTTTCACGTTCGCATATGGGACGTTGCACCTAGAAGCCTCGCTATGGATCCTATCCGAGCTCATACAGGTCCGATCGGCGCGGTCGACTGGTTGCCTGACGGTAAAACGCTATTAAGCGCCGGTGGCCCGGTGCTCACGACTGGACGATATGGATCCGGGACGCGCCCACAGGCAAGCCTTCGTGGGGACCCATGGAAGGGTTAGACGCCAGCGGTAATGAAAAGGGTAGCATTATAGCTACTGCTTTCTCCCCAGACGGAACGCGGTTCGTCAGCGGCTTCTTAGACAATATGTTGTGCATGTGGGATACGAATTCAGGAGATGTTGTTTTGCCACAAAGTGCAAGGCGTCAGGATACTGAGGTGAGCCTTCTCTACACTAATCAAGCTTGCTCTGGCTTCTATACGCTATGACCTAGTCAAACCCAGATGACGCGTTAAATGAATCACAAGATGAAACGAAGAGGAATAAGCGGGTCGGTGCGCGACGACAGCATGTAAGCCTTCGATAGCCTCGCATTGTACGAGCTTCATATAACGACCACCTTTATACAGAATATTGACGATAGCATCATGAACGTTGTTCTATTCATTACAAGAATAATGTGACGAAAACGCTGATAACGAGGCTAATTCAAAGATGCCTGCGACCGTTAGTAAGAAAAAAGTAGCATCAATGCCCAAAGGGTTTTGGGATGATGTAGACGTAAGTCAATTAGTCACTGCGCTGATTTGATTCATTCTTTTCTAAACACCCCCATTTATAACCCGATGATCCGTCAACGTGACACAATTAATCTCAGAGTGGCCCGAAGCACGGGAATTTTGACGAACCTCTCCGCAAGACCAGCGCGTTCAAGCGATTTTTGCAGAGACAATATGCCCGGTACGCCAAAGGGGAAGGAAAAGAACAAAGAACAAGAACGTGAAAATGCCAATCCCGAAGAATGGCAAATGAATCGTGCTCCTGGGCCTCTTGCAACGAAGGTCACTGTAGCCCGTGATAAGCTGGTAAATCCTGGTTTACTTCATGCATTTATTTGCCAGCGCTACACATATTAACCATGCTATGATTCAGCGTGTTCTGGTAGCAGGGGATGATCCACAGGGCCAGGTTCCCCTCGCAAGCCGAACCAGAATCTGACGAAGAGGTGGACTTGCCAGCAGGTTCAGCAGACCCCAGCCGGCCCGATGCAGGCTAAAGTAGTGACGATAAGAGCGAACATGGCCTGATTGACACCGTATGGTTTTGCCTTTGTCTGCCGTGTTGTGAGTGATTGCCATGTGAAGTAGGCGCTACGTATTCTAGATTTGTTTCTTGACGTTCGTATTTTTGCTACTTGCGATCTCCATGCACTCTTTACTCGTATATTTCTGGATTCCGTGTATTCACACTGACGCGAACAAAACCTTCAACATCATTGGAACCCCGTAGCTGGCATCATGGCGCCCTAATAAGTAGCTATGCTATTTAGCTTAGTTCCTGCTCTATTCCTCACTACCACTAGGAATGGTATAAACCGTATCGAGGAAGAGGGAATGTGTCGCTCAAATTAAACGCCTCTGATACGAAGAACATGTGACATATTCTTCAACCAAAATATTCGTAGTAAACTCATTGACCGAAAATTCGTCCTTGCATACTTTCCAGATAAACTACTCCCTATTAATAAATACGTCGGAAACGACAGCTCCCATTGTGATGCCACAACGACGACACCAAAAATCTAACAATAACTGAAATGAGAGCGTTAATGGGGTATGTAGCATCGCCCTTTCATATCTACGTTCAGGTCTCGCTGGCAAAAGGCCAGTCCGTGTAACCTTCAGCAGTCATGTTCCCAGCCATATAAAACTTGGATCGGTCTGGAAGCGTAAGTGGCAGATCATCCTTCAAGCGACGCGGAAGATCGGGCTAAGGCAATCCGAATATGCATCAGTTCCGTATGGAAGCCTGAAGTTGCAACGGGTGCTCAAGAACTCACGTTTGATATATACAAGCGGCCGAATGCATACAGCCCGCCTTTTGCCTCGGCGTCTCGAAGGGCACTTTCTCGCGTATTGCCGTCAGCCGTGATGTAAGGGAGATCTGCCCAAATCTTGCGGAGAAAGTCGTTTGATATGTTTGTGACGTTAGGGTCCCATTTGGACTTGTCGCCGTCTTCGGGACTGAAGAGATGAGGGCGAGGTTCGATAACGTGGATGTAGGCAATCGAGCGCTTTTTGAGCTGACATGCAAGATACGAGAAAGTGGGGACCGGATCTTTCATTCCCATATCTGAACGGTTCGTCATCAATGGACGTGCAAGGGAAAATATTCGAACATACTTACCCTGAATGTCGACCCACGGGCTCATCCTAAAGCCCACGCGAGAGGATCCTATAGCTTTTGAGACAGCGTCAACTATTTCCAGTGGTAAACGCGCCCTGCTCTCAACGCTACCCCCGTATTCGTCCGTGCGGTTATTGACGGTGTCCTGGAGAAACTGATCAATAAAGTAACCGTTGGCTCCGTGCAGCTCTATGCCATCGAAGCCGGCGGCAATCGCGTTTTCAGCTGCTTGAGCGAAGAGGCGAGGGTACTCTTGAATCTCGTCGACTGTTAAATAGCGAGGAATGGTGACTGCCCCACTCTCGTCAGTGTACGGGAGGTCAGAGGATGACACCACGTCGTAGCCTTGCTCTTGCAGCGCTTTAGCGTGTGCAGCCCTCCCAATAGCGGCTATCTGACAGAAAATATACGACCCTTTGGCGTGAACGGCGGTGGTCACCTGATACAAGTCAGCCCTTCATTCCGCGCGCAATCAGTCAAGGGAAGGTTTGCACTCACCTCCTTCCATGCCGCGATATGAGCATCAGACCAGATGCCAGGAAGGTGTGGCCATCCACCTGCTCGAGGAGCAATGGCAGTTCCTTCGGAGATCAACAACGTCCCCGGAGTGCTCGCACGCTGGCTGTAGTACGTAGCCGCCTGCGGTCCCGGGACATGGTTGGCATCATTGCGGAGACGTGTGAGAGGAGCGAGAACGACGCGATGCTTCAAGTCGAGGTTTCCGACGCGGAGAGGCTGGAACAATGCGGGCACGGGAGAAATCGTCATCTCGGTTCTGTGACTGTAAGGGCCCTGGTGAGTTGATTTTTAGCCTCCTAACCGATTCGAAACAGGCTTTATACAAAGAAAAGGCAGACTAGATGCACATCAAACGTCAAGAATTCAGCACGTACTACACGCTGCCATGCAGCACGTCGTCAAGGGCGTATGCAAACCCCGACAGTCGTCGAATATCTGAAAGCTTAGCAATCCGCTATCAATGCTTACAAACCTTTGACAAAGCGGCTAAATACCGACATACGGCTATTGAGGCTTGATTTGTCAGATAGAAAACGTCCGGTGTTCGGGCATGTGCGGAAGGCCGAAGTGGGTGACATCCTAGCGCTCCTTGTCAGGCAGTCAATATGGACGAATGCATAGCGACAAAAATATCATTTAGGGCAAGTTCAAACATACTGTGATTAGTGAGACGTACCGCCACACCAGCGGCCTAGCACGCACTGCGATGGTAGACAGAGCAAAGGTTTGAAAGCATTTTTTTCACTGGCTTCTAGTAGCGTCACCTTTCTCGCGGATCCCAAGGCAGTACAAGGGTCAAGTCCATACATGACGGGAATCCCTGCATAATGGAACAACTGTGATGATACTATATCGCCTAAAACAAGCTCGAGTCCACCGGCTCAATGAGTGTCATTTTAACCCGTCCTCTCTGTGTGTTCTTGTCCTTCTCCACCTCAATCCTTACCTTGACACGGTCGAATACCGAGATGCTCACGTCACCAGTGCCCTGCGACGTAGATAAGGGCACCTTGATTGCGTAATCTTCCGCATCGAATTGTATGTCGCGTTTGAACATCACGAGGCCCTCGAGGCCGAGTCTACGATGTTGGGTTAGTACACGGCCAAGTTCACGGAACAAGTAGCAGATAAGATGAAACGCACTTGGACACGAATACACCGACGCCGTTCCTGAACGTCCTGATAACGAAAGCGTCCTCCTCCACCGCACCCTTCTCACCCCTCGCTTTGAGCGCTAAGCCGACGTAAAACTCGACGCTCGCCCGCCCTGCCATCTGCGCCATTCGATGCCGCCGGTTGATCACGTCCATCACGCGTTCCACGTGCGACTTGGAGTGCAGCGAGCCATGAAGCGGCGCATAGTCAATCGCAGCGGCGAGCTGGCGATGGGCGAGAACGTCAGCGTACCGCCGAATTGGGGACGTGAAGTGAGTGTAGATAGGGGTGGCAAGGCCGTAGTGCGCAAAGGTGTCGCGGGCGACAGAGCCAGAGGAGAAGTACTCGGCGGAGAGCATACACCGTGTGGCCATGATTCTGACGAGTGTATTGAATGTGGCATCCTTAGGGTCCTGTCGGTTACGTGCGTTTGGTGTCAGCACGAATCGCGTGAGGGAGAGCCCGAAAAACAGGAGGTGACGTACGATGCAGTGGTCAAGTGAATCAGCCAGAGCGCCCGAGCTGGAGACGTCAAGAGTTAGTCCCTTGCGCTTCATCAAGATATCTTGAAGCTTCTCGAAGTTTGTCTTCGGTGGTGGCATGTGCCGTCTGGATAGTTAAAGGCGTCATGTCAGTTGAATTGTATGCGTTAAGGAAATGGTTATAAAAATACCTCAGAACGGCCGTCTGCGGAAACGCTTCCTGTATCCGTTTTGCGACACTGATATTGGCGAGAAGCATAAATTCTTCAACAAGACTATTTGTCTCATGCAGTGCCTTTTGTTCGACGTCGATCGGATCTGAGCTTTCTGGACTGTCGAGATGAATCTTGACTTCGGGAGATGCGAGGTTGAGTGCGCCGGCTTGCATGCGCTTGGCTTTGAACTTCTCAGCAAGTGTGTTGAGTAGCCGGATGCTTTCCGTCAGCTCATCTGTTCGGTTGCTGAGATTATGATCAGTAGTTTGTCAATCGTGCAGAGAACAGAAGGTGTAGCGGAGAAGGAAGGAAAAGTAGCAGAAGGTAGTGACTCACGGGTCGTCCTTCCGAATCTGCGCCTCGCCGTACTCGAACGCGGCCTTCGAAGCGATGACGCTCTTGGTGAATCGCACGTTGACGATATCCGCCTCGGGTGTGAGTTCCTAGGGTTGCACGCATGTCAATACCTTGAAGCACATAAGAAGAGGTGCAGACGAAGTACCCATATGGCGGAGAACGCAAGTCGCTCGACGTGCGGCCTCAGGGAGCACAAGTTGGTGCCAAGAAGTGAGGGCAGCATGTCGATACGCTTATCGACGAGGTATACGGTCGTGCCTCGGGCCGCCGCTTCGGTGTCCATGGGCGTGTCTGCGTGTACGAAGTGGGAAACATCCGCGATATCTGTAGAGACGGGCGTGAGCGAAGTTCGTTGCACATAGAGAGAACCAATACGAACGAACGCCAGCCTCGATATTCCCGTTCGTAAGGCGCCGAGCATGCAAAGCATCGTCGATATCCTGGCAGCCTGTACGCATTAGCATTTGGTCAGCATCATTGACTACAACCGCAGGATAAGCGAACGTACCAGGAGGGTCGATACTGCAGACATTCAGATGCCTTAAATCCGTCCTATTCCTCCACACCTCGCTCGACGCACTCATCGGAGGCACAACCCACTGCTCACCCTCCTTCGGCAAACAGTCCAATATTGCACGCCCGAACGGCCGATACGGCACGTCGAATTCGAGCAGCAGACTCTCCTGCTCCGCCTCCTTGCTCTCTGAGTGCCCGAGCGCGCGGACGAAATGGCCCTCCGGATAGCGCGACGAAGGGTCCCACCTATCGATTGAAACAATGATCTTTTGGCCGAGGAGGGTGGGGGCCTGGCGCGTGCGGATTCGGATACGGGGGAGAAGGCGGGAAACAGGCGTTGCGAAGACGGTTTGTTGGGAGAGGGATGTTGCATTTGAGGATGTGAGCGATGTACGGTCGATGTGGCAGACGTAGCTACCGTTCCGACAGGGATGAGTGTAACTCACAGAAGACAGGGAGAGGACTTACGCGCGCCAGTTACGCTTGACGACACCAACGATCCTCCCTGTCGGTTGTTTTTCCGCTGCTTTCTTCTCCTCAGCTGATACCCGAACCGCGCGACGCTCCTGTTCAGCCATGCGCTCTTCGTTCTCTTCTCGCTCATCTCCTGAAGACTCTGCGTCGTCGTTCTTGAGAGTCGCTGTCGGGTTGCGTCGGTGTTAGCAAACGTTCGCTCAAAGTTCCGAGTACAGATGATAGATGGCCACTCACTTTCTTGATCGATCACTTCGTCTGCCGGCGCCTTCCATTCCGCTTCGGGGAAGATCTCGACGACGACAATATCGCCCTGCACTGCCCTGTTCATGTTCTCCCGACCGACAAGCAGGATGGGCTTTGTAAACGCGGGAACGGGGACCGTTCCCTTCATGTAGAGTCAGAAGGGTGTACGTCTATGAGCCAAAGTTAAGTAGCATACCTCGAGATAGTTGTACTGATTCGCGTTGAAGTGACCCTGGTGTAGCTTGCCTGCCTTGACACCTGCTAGAAGCGTTGCTGTTGGGAGATACTAGACAGGGCACGCGGTCGTGGTATGAGTGGAGAGTAGCGCTGTAAACAATGTATTCGCCTCACCTCAGGGTATAACGATCCACGCGCAGCAGCCGTTTTGGTCGTCTCCACTTCGTCACCCACTGCTGCGAGCAAGTCCGCTAACTGTGCACTGTCCTTGGCTCCCTCTACGTACTTACGTACTGAGTCCTCCCAATTAAGTTCGCTGTTGCTTGAAACGAGTGACTATATGCGCACCTGAAAGACAAGGGATGCCTTCCTTCTCTGCCTTCAATCGGTTCGCGAGGTCGTCCGTAAGGAGGACGACTTGTGGTGGTTGGTGCGGCTGCTTGGAGCCTTTGATGGGTGGGTGGGTGCGCTTAACATGGTCGTTGTACCAGCTTGTCGCTTTGCGGATGCCTGGGTTGTTAAGATGCGAAGAGTCGGCCCAAGCACAATGCAGTTCTTGGTATAGATTGCTCACCTCGATCGTTCCTGTCGTTCGGCGTCTCGTCCGGTTCACGTACTATTGCCGTCTCGCTATGGAAGCACCAAAGTCAAGACTGAATCGAGTGAAAGGGTCTAGCATGACTGACGATCTGTACTCGTTGTAGAACACCCATACGTCCTTGTCATCGGTTTTGATGAGAGCCTTGAGCCGGTTATAGAGGGGGAGGGAGAGATGGCGGACTTCTTCCATAACGGTTTGTAAGACGATGATCGGAGGAGTGAAGAGAGGAGATTCGATAAGGTCCATCTGCAGCGATGTTTGAACATAATTGAGGTTGGATTCATAGAGACGCACCTGAGAGAGAAAAACGTTCGTGTCCGGGAGGACATAGTGCCCCTTGGGGAACGCCTTATGGTCTCGCTCGCCTGAATGAGGTAGACCTTCGCCCTCAGCGGTCGTGCACGTCCGACATCCTGTGATCCCGCAGTACACGTCTTCACGGAGATAGCGTTCGCGAAGGACTGCGTGTAACCGTGAAGAAATGAGGGTGAGTGAACGCGCGGGTCGCTCGGCGAGCAACAGGGACGGACCTTTGATGACCTTCCCCCGAGCAGTCTTTTTGAAGAACTTCCGCTGAGTAATCTCCGCCTCCTCTACGGGCCTTTTGCGTATTGTGATATCTGGCATCGGCTCAATGTGGCCTAAGACGAAGGGAGGGAGAGTTGAGGAGATGAAGCAAGAGATGAGGGACGAGGACGTCAAAGGCTGACGCGCTTGTCGAGATCGAAAGGGGCGAATGTCGCGGCCCGTCCAAACGCTGGAGACGCGCTTCCGTTCTAACCTTCATCCAACGCTCCCCCCTCTAGTGGGCCCTGCCACAGCACCCCTTTATGTCTCTGACATCGCTTCCAATAGCATTAACATTGCAGTCAATCTCACGTCTCACTCGCTCGGCGAACCTAGGTACTAGTAGGTACTTCGCCTCCATAAGGCTCAAGACGGCCCAGGGTGACACAGCTCGGGGTTCTGAACATGTGCCACTTACGACCTATCTGCGGGCTAATACTCATTGGATATCTGAGCTTGACATGTTACATAGGGTCCTCATTAAATCGACGCGGATGAGCGTAGTCATTGCATTGGAGAGGTGAGGCTGACTTCAGGAAGAGGTACGTCCCACTCTCCTTTGCTCAACAACGCCATGATTACATCAATTCTACACGTTATAACGCCGGCGTCCTTAGGCAAGCACGTGTCAAGGTCTGCAAGGGAGACTACATCAATTCACACCTAAGCCGTTACAGTTTCCGCCAGACACCTCGCAGCGTGCCCCAGAGACCACCAAGCTACGATGCAAGCGTCAATCAACCGCCGTCCACGCACGAGACGCGTCCCTCGCCGCCTATCACCCTACATTAACTCCCCTGCTGGTGTCTCTCATTCTCATGTGCGGCATACATTTGCACTCGAAAACTACCTTGCCGGCTACAGAAATCTCCTGGCAGACCACGCGAACCGGATGTAAAGGCCTCATTGCCAGGAGGGCCAATCATCCACAGACCTAGTAGAATTCGATACACTTACCGGAAGTCCTTCTGCGTGAGGATACGTTGGTGGCGTCTCATGGTCGCATGAGGACTTATTCGCTGGCACCCACAAGCGAATCACACGGGGAGTCGTACAAACTAAAGTTGGCGACTGACGAGGATGGAGCGAGATAGGAGGAAAAATCGGAGTGAAGTACAAAGGAAGTTAGGAGTTGGTCAGGGAGGGAGCACACGTACGCTGAGGTGACAAGTTCGATACGGTACATGTTGTCGCCTCGTCTAAATGAACTTTCAAAATTTGTTCATGCCTCGAGAAAATGGTGCTTAACGAGGGTTCGTTTGGTATATCGTTTAATTACGAACAATGTTGTAGTCCCTTTTTTCTATCACTGCTTGGGAGGAATATCATCTCCATCGCGAGCCCGACCTTGACATGGATATAATATGATTGAAATTTATCGTCAGCGCCGCCGTTACCCTCTCTAAACAACCTACATCTAGTCATAACCCCAAGTTTGTGCACAGCCCATTACCAGCGACCGCGACCAACCATTCCATCACTATTCCTTCTCTGCACCACGCACGACGAACTACGCTACCAAGACTCTGCCCGCGCAGAGATGGACGGGATACGGTTTAACTATGGCGAGCTAAACGGACATTCCTGGGCTATACCTTGTGGTGAGTAAAGTTCAGAAAGAATGCATGACAGTTTGACGTACAGCGTAGCGGAAATCATACTGCGGATCATTCGCTCGATGGGCTCTGGATCCTCGAGTGTCAAAATCCCGAAAGTTAGGTCTCGCCCTTCATCGGGGTCCCCCTGTTTAAAACGAACATACGTCCGTCAGGCGAGAACTTAAATGCATACGAAACGGACAACGCACCTGTACGAGCACAATGGCGTCGTGTCCGAGTTCGACTGCGTCCCATGGAAGACCATCTGGTGCACGCGGTACTCGTATGGTCACTTGCCTCCCCTCTACTGTGGGTCCCCCTTCTTGCGAGAGCAGAGGCTTCCACCCTCCGCGAGAACCATATTGAGCCCGAGAGTGACGGGCCTCGTATGCGTTGAGATCCTTGAGTACCAACTGCTGGACGCGGCGACCTCCTTCATTCACAAAGTCCCTCCGAAGGCTGGCGAGCCGCAAGCCGTTGACGGAATTATAGGTTTCCTCGTCGACGTGCTGTCGCGTGGCGAGGACGGGTCCCCACTCGTTCCATGGAATGACCGGAGCTGCAGTGCCTTCGGCACGAGGGCGAGAGGCATGATGCATCACAGTCGACCATGGGAGCAAGATGCGACGCCGCTCAGGGTAAGTCCCGATGAGGATGTCCAGAAGGCGTGCGTCTTGGGCGAGGCTGAACGGTGGACTGTGAGCAGATGGCGCCGGATCGTGTGCTTCGAAGGAGGGTGCTGTCCTCATCTCCAGCATTGACATCATTGAATCAAGCTCTTCATATTCGAAAACGCAGACATAGGGAGGCTCGATAGCTGGCGTCGCGGATGGCCCGGGTGGAGAGGCGAGGTCGTATATGAGGAAGCGAGCCACGTCTGGCCCGGACAACGAGGCGTATCCTTGGGCGAAGAGGACCAGGTGCGTGGTGAGGAACGAAAACGATTCGATATGCGACTTCTTGAGTTCCTGTAGAGAAAGAGCCTCAGATAATGGGCAAGAGACAGCCGACAAGGACTCACGCATTCCAACTCCCCCGTTTTCCAATCCCACACGACAAATTGCGAATCAATGCGTAGGCCCAAACGTGATCCGCAGACTTGTACTTGAAGCGAATGTTCCTGTAAGTTGGACCCCGAGAAATCGTACGTTAACAGCTCATCCGTCTCAGATGTAGCCGGGTGGGTCTCTCCTGATGATAGCGAGAGCAGCTGTATCTCCAAAACACTTCCCTATGAATGAGATACTGGAAGACCCAAAAGAACCAAAAGGCAGACTTACTCATCACCGAAGCTCTCGATCAACACGAGCAAGTCCTGCTCCGGGTCTGCAATGAACTCGTATTCCTCACATTCATGCTCGACCGTCCATTCCTGTTGCTCAATACTACTGATCGACGAAGCGAGTCGGGTGCATTGTACGAAGTTGGGACCGGCAATGCAGAGGACGTCTCCGACCAGCAACCACTTGCGAGAGTCCGGTGGAATGGACAAGATTTTCGGCTCAAGCGCCATTCCGAAGAGGTAGCTCCAGGCCTTGCGATACAGTTGAAGCACCGCGAGCCGAGATGACATGTCTGGCTTTGGTGCACTTGCGTCGCCTTGACGTTCTTGAAGACGTAACGCCTGAAGCTCGGAGTGGTATTGTAGCTGAAGGTCGTCTTTTATGACTTCGCAAAAGCGCTTGCAGACCTAGAAACAAATGAGAGTAGAATTCGACATGGAGTAAGCAAGGCTTTACCGATTTACACCTTGTTAGGGAAGCGAGGTCAAGCTTGAGAAAGATCGCGACGAGGAGCTCGGTGGGAAGGGCCGCCTCTGAGGTCATCGCAAGCGTTGAGACGTCGAGGTTGACGGGAAAAGCAGATGCAGAAAATTGTGGAGACCACTTCCTATTTATGCAAGCGCTGCCGGGGACGTGATGCATCACTCCCTCTGGCCACAGCGCGATATGTTCATGCATGAGTGATTGATCACTGTCGGTCAATTTACGGACAATTTCGTCAACGCGGCTGTTGCCGAGATCCCGCGTGCGTCGTGTGGGGCTCAGGCCCAGGTTTGAGTCTCCCGCTGCTTGCTTTCGCTGCGATGATTGTTATGTCCACAAAGCCCGCTGGACGTTGCTGTACCGTGCTTACCACCTCAAGCCACTCATCTGTATTCATCTACATCCTTGTGGACTTTTACCATAGAGCGTTATCGGCTGGCCGCGAAACAGACCGCATGCTCTCATGGGTAAAATCTCGTAGTGTCTCAACATCTGGCTTCGACGCCTGCAAGTAGAAAGCATAGATTGCGCGAGTATCGATCCTGGTTAACTTGCTCACGATGCTGCCCCACCCAAATACCACATTTTGACGGACGAGTCTCGAGGTACTGGTTTGCCCGCGTACAATTTTGGTTGCTGCCTCGATCCTTGCTTCGACACGTCGGGCGTGCCTCTTAATTCACTGTCGTCCTCTTCGTCATCATCCGAAGAGCTAGACAAAGTGTCCGCGTCTTGACCTTGAGAAATCCCCCAGTGACGGGAACCGCTGGCCGATAAGAGGAATGGGTGAGATGGGTGAAAGGACGTCGAACAGGCGACATCTGCGAAACATGGGCAGTGACGTCAATATGCAAAGCAATGAAAGCATGGGCCGCACAAACCTTGATGGGCACCAAAAGAGAGCGCCGGGTGCACGACTTGTGGTTCCTGATCGTTCCCCTCCTCGCCCTCACGTGCAGCCGTCGCGTCGCCTTCATGTAGATCAAAGAGCGACATGCTCCCATCCTACAGATGCGGGCTGAGATACGATGACGAACACTCGCCAAGCAAAGAACGCACCTCAGCCCCATACGCAAGCCACCGTCCGCCCGGGTCAACATCGAACCGAATCTTCTGGTTCGTTGACGCTCTCATCGTCTCATCGTCGCTTCCCTGATCTTGGCCAGCATGCGGCCGGTGCTCGTACACCCGCAGCGGGGCGCCACCGCCTGCTATACCCGTCATGCGCAGATCCCACATGTGCACGGCTCGTTGACCACGCATGGTGGCGTAGAGGAGGTGCGGTTTGAGCGGATTAAACACCAGCTGCATGTAGGTGGCGTTGAGGAGACAGAGGCGAGATAACGGTGAGAGCATACCTGGGTAACTCCGCCACCTTCGTCTGCTCCGAGGTACATAACAGGCTCGAGAGTTTCTTCGCTGTATATTGCGATGTTCGGCGTGAACGGGGTACTTGGAGAGAGGGTGCCAGCGGCGAAGAGACCGTCGTATGTGGGAGCGAAAGCGAGGGCGGATACGATACCTAAAGGCAGAAGTCAGTCATGGAGTTGAGGGAATGGGGAGAAGGAAGGTAGCAAGACGAGCGAAGAGGCTGAATGGAGGTAAGCACCTTTCATCCCGTCACGGCTCTTTCGTTCAGGGGACGTCTTTACACGGTCCCCTTCTCCTGGATGATGTACATCAAATACTTCATACGCGCTCTCGAAGCCGCAATACAGTCTGATGTGTCGCTAATGGTTAGACGGAGCGGGGGATGATGCATACACAGTAAGACGTACTTGTTAGCATGCATATTGAACACCATGGAGTGGGGCGCGATGAAGCGCTCGCGGTGGTCGATGATCTTGTAGGATGCTCTGAGCTGGAACGGTAGTTAGCGACGAGTATAGACGCGGACTAGCAATTACTGTAGGAGTAACTTACTCTACCGGTTGATGCATCAAGGAGCTTGACAGGACACTCGCGGACAGATGCGACGAAGCAATACAGAGGAGGGTACTGGGATGAGGCACCAGGAAACCAGGTGAAGTCGACGATCGGTGATGGTTGGGGAAAGGTCGATGCATGGGTCAAAGAGTTGTCGTTGCTTGGCGCGTGTGAGTTGAACCTGTATGGTATGAAGTGAATGTATAAGTGAAGGTTTGAGGATGCACAGTGAGGCGACGTACGAGAATGTCTGGAACGTGTGATCCTCGCACTGCGCCAGGAAGCTGGAGCCATCTGCACACCTAGAATGTCAGTGTTGGATAGGATCGTATAAGAAGGGGGACACGAACCACTTGGCAGTGCGGATAAAGTTCGTGCTCGACATTGATGGAGATGGTCTTGCTTCGCAAAGAAGCGAGGGCGGTTTAGAAATGTCAAACTGAGGAGGCTGCCATGTCGTTTCTGGAGCTGTATCAGTCGTAAGAGGCTCGGACGCGGACAATGTGGGCTGAGATGATCTCATGATGCATCCAACTTCAACGCTGTCGTCGAGGTCAAAGTCGAAGGAAACCGTCCGAGACGTTCAGCATCCTCCGTGGGAAGTCTGATCCGGGGAAGATCCGACAGCCGATCCGAGCCTTCTTCAACAACTTCAACAGAACGCTCCTTAAACCTTTTGTACTGGTAATGAAAGGTTGGCACTTTCAGGATTACACGACACTCATTCAAGCCTTTGCCAGCGTCATTACATCGCCAATTCACTCATACTAGTACACATGAACGAAGCAAAGTTGGCCTGAGGTCCCTAGTTGGAAGTTATAAACCACCTGCGGATGGTTTCAAGGCCAAGACACGGCAAGTACCCTTTGTATTGTGTTAAATCCCGTGTCAGGAAAGAGATAATCGTTACATACGCCCAGGATTTCAGACATTGGCGAGCTCTCGAAACAGCGCGGAGACAGAGACGACAGAGATGACGTAATACAATCTTGTCATCGGGCCGTCCCTTTGCCTCCAAACTGCGCCGTATTCGCACTTCACACAGCTCCGTGTCAACTTCGACATAGCCAAGACGGCCAACGTTGGCCTCTTTAACAGCAGAACTTTCTAATAGACCTTGCCAAGATGAACTCCCCGCACTGGCAGAGATGGGCGGTCTCCAAGGATCAGCCTGATTGTACACTGAGGACCAGTCGCGCGCAAGGAACGCGTCTATTTCTGGTGAATCGTCGAATAGAACCAGCGAAGTGAACCCCCGAATGATATTAATCTTGCTCACGTTGTCTACTGGCACTCTGGAGACTGCTAATGCTACAAGACTTGTTACTCCTTGTGCGGAGATGGACTGCGCTTTCTGCTAATCTCGAACACGGAACCAACACTGGAACAACAGTAACACCTCCCGGCGGACCGCGGCGATAGGGCTCGTGGCAACACAATTGTACAAACAAGTTGAGCTTTCCCGGGACGATGGCATGCGCTTTAAGACGTTCACCGACATGCCTTTATATTTTTTCTTTTCGTACTTATCCTGAGACCCCCTCGGTATTTCTGTATCTATATCTCCGCCTCGGAACACTCTCCTTGACGTGACTGTCAACAGCTTCCCCGTGCTCAAACGTTAGCAGTCGTGACACTGCACAGTAGCAGACATGGATGCAGGGTTTCAGCCCAAGAACGACACCACTGTCCAGGTGATAGAGATGTCGGCGCGGAATCCCTCCCTCGACTCGATAGCTCGTGCCCGCGCAGGGGGCGCCCGCACCCCGAGTCCGACACCCAGCGAACGGGAAGCACTTGCCCCACCTCGTCCCCTGAAAGAGCGGCTGAGGCATCCGACAAAGAGAGAGCTCTGTAAGTTCTCAACACTTCGCTTTCGTACTGATCTGTGTACACTATCTGTCCTAATGCTTCTTGCCGGACCAAAGACATCCTCGGCATCGTCCTCGTCGCCTTGGCTATTGCCATTACGATCGCAAAACTGCACGACAAGATCGCATATGGCCTTCAACCTCTGGGGCAGTGGATGCGGCAGTGCGTCTTTTAAAGTCGTCTGGCCTTGAACAATTTAGCCAAAAACTAACCTGCTCCCTTCAGTCACCGCGGCGGCTGGGCCATACCCGTTGCATTCCTAATCGTCATGTCGTTCCCTCCGGTGAGCTCGTACGCGCGATTAGATATGCAGAGCCATACAGCTAACCTCTGAATAGCTTGCCGGACACGAGCTCGTCGCCACAATGTGTGGCCTTACCTGGGGTCTCGGCCTGGGCTTTCTCATCGTGTGCTTGGGCACATGGCTCGGGGAGCTTGCGCTGTTCGTGTAAGTGCCCGATTTTGACGACCGCCACTCAGTACAGGACTCAGAACTCAAGGATTATATAGTGCCTGTCGGTACTTCCTCACAAAACGCGGCGAGCGCTACGAGCGCAAGAACATCCAATTCGCCACGCTTGCTGCCGTCATCAGGGAGGGCGGCTTCAAGATCATTCTGATGGCGCGGTTCAGTGCTATACCACCCCATTGTGAGTCCTGTCGCTTTCATTATACGTCCTTGAGAACTGATTCGTAACTGCCAAAAGTCACGACCGCCGTGCTGGCCACGTGCGGCACGTCGATGCCCAAGTTCCTCCTCGCCACATTTCTGGCGTTGCCCAGGCAATTCGCACCTGTATATATCGGCTACACGCTCGAGCAGTCTATCGAGGGCGGTACGTTTTCCTCTTCCTCTCGCCTTACCGCGCCTTCAAAGCTATTTATTGCCATTGATTAACACTGCATACTGTACATGCTGGACACGGTCGACCAACGTAGACTCGAGCGCCGAAAACCACACGCACACTGCCGTCACCGTTATCGTCGTTGGCGTGATGGTGTCTGTCACTGTCTTCGCCCTGCATTATATCCGCAAGCTTATGGCAGCCAAACTTCCCATTATTGTCTATGAGCGGCGCAAGAGACGGTAAGCTCGCTCCTGCTTCGCTACGCCGTATCATTTATTGAAGCTAACCGTCTATAACCCTGTAATTCGCGCATTTCTTATGGTCGCAGGCAAGCGGAGGCTTCAAAGGCTCACTTTGAGGAGCGAGTGGGTAAAGGGGGTGTCGGTGAGGTGGGGTCAGTGTTCGTTGACACGTCTGCCTCGAAGATGAGCGAGAGGGATATTGTATGAGGGAGTTCAAAGCGGGATTTCTGCAGAGGTTCACTTTACATGTACTACACAGCGTCCTAAAAAGCCTTCTGATGTTTGACGCAACTGTATCCATCATGGAAATTTGATACTTACTCATGTACTACGCGGTTACTTATTTTTATTCGTGCTCGCCAGCCTGTACAGCATCTCAAACAGCAAAGCCCAGTTGACTTGTATCATAAAGAGCCATAGTGCGTTTGATCTACAAGGACCCTGAAAGACTCGTCAGTCGAACCATCAAACTCTCCATTATCCACAGTCCAAACGCCCGTCTGTCCCGTGGACATGCCCATATGCACGCCCATCGTATCCCACCCCGGTATACCAGCACCATGGACATAGCCCTGACACGGCACATAACCGAAGTTTAGTGGAGCATCCGCTGTGAAAGCCTGCGTCTGCACTCCGGTCGACCCAGTCGCAAACGACGAAGTGGCATGTCGTGCGTCTTCGTGCCCGTAACCGCTACCGTGGGTCCATCCAATTGTACTTCCATAATCTATAGCAGCAACAGAGGTGCCTGAAAACTGTCCATGTCCAAAGGTTTCCTGAGATGAGGAGGCAAAAGACGTGTCCATTGCCGCATAGCCGGCACACTTCAAGCTCGCCTCAGAAGGACCATAACCCTTGATCATATCCATCACGCCCGCATCGCGCATCGCTGCCTCGATATCAGGGAGCTCCAGCACAGCAGGGACTGCACCGAGCCAGCATGAGCTCTCGGTGTAATCGCCCTCGTAGGAGAGAACGGAGCGTGAATCCGGCACAGGCACCCCCCAGCCGAACGATTCGTTAAGCGCCTGCGCGAGCTTGATCTCCTCGATGGCGCGACCGATCTCGCTTCTGAGCGGATGCTCGAATGCGCCCGGCCTGGACCACGAGACGACGCCAAAGACTTCAGACATGCTGTGGCAACGAACGGTATTGTATCGCGGTGTCCGTAAAAGTGTTGCAACACACGTCACTCAGTGTTTCCGAAACGCAGGGGAACGGGAACGACACGCACATCTCGAGACACGCGAGCTTCTCGCTGCGCGTGATCGCATCGCCGCCATCCTCGATCGGCGATGTGTCCACGATGAGATCGCACCAGAAGACGAAGGGTTCGTCTGCTGCGTGCGCGCCGACGGACCGCGTGAGCGGACAAAATAACAGGTCGAGGGTGAACACTCACCCAGGTGCGTGAGCCACGCCAGGTACGTCGCGTTCAACGTGTTACGTATTATGTAGTGCCCCCAGTGGACCACGGCCCGTCTGAACGTGTGCAAGAGCAGCTCGAGCTTGGACATGTCCGGGTCGGCGGGCCCGGGGACGGCGCTTGCCTCCTTCACCCTCGCTTGCAGGTCCTCGAGCACGGGAATGTTCACGGATGCGAGGGCAGTGCGCATCGAGTGCAGCATGTACATCCCCATGATTGACGGGATACTAGGTTCGCCGTCTGCCGACTCAGCCATGCTTTCCGCCCTTCCTAACTCGCTGTCAGATCAATGGACTCGGGAAATCTTCGATAACACGCACGAAACTCTGTTGCTTCATAGCTATACGCCATGGCACAACGTACCTGTGCAACCGAGAGAAGGAAGTGCAGGTGTTTGAGATCGTCCATATGTTCGGCGAAGCGGGTGAATGAAAAGGGGAGTCCGCTCCTCCTTCCTGCAGCGCAGAACGCGTAAACTCAGCACATATTAGTAGAATGCCAGACGGAGGCTTAGGCTCACGCATTTGCCAGTCATACGAAGATAAAGCCAAGCGAGTGACATGGTACGCGTCTACGTTGATTTGTGTCAGCATCCTATCATACACAGGAAACAGCACATAAAAGCAATCACTTACAAGGTCTAACCAGGTCGATAAACCCCCGCGTATCCCACCACAGCACACTCTCAGATCTAACTTGCACGACCAATTCCGCGAGCGAAGGCGGTGGAGGACCACACAACAACGCCTCATCGTGAAGTGAGCTGCAAATATCCATCCGCGACGGCAGTTAGATGAGTGTCAAGTAATCATCAGTGGACTATGCTCACTATCCGCAGACTTCGCCTTGCCAAACGCATGTAAGGGCCTCCCACATCTATCACCCAACAAGAAACTCAACGTCAGTATTCACAGGAAAGCAAGTGATAGTGCCCACGCACCAGCTGCATGCTCCACCGGAGCCTCATCTCCTGAAGCTTTATATTGCCATCAAGCGGCTGTCCGGCATCACACAGGCTTTGGGGCTGTAGGTAATTTCGACCATCAGGCTGCGCTTGGTGTTCGAACGATTCCGGATCAGGATGTGTCGGCTGGTTCCGAGGAGGCCACGCCATCATCGAGGGCGTCGACGTGAAGAAGAAAAACGTCGACGACTCGGAGCTCAGAAAGTCGCCAAAGCCAACTTCGCGGCAGCGCAGGAGCCTCTGACGTAACTGCGCGATGAACGCCGCTTTCCAGACGTGAACTGCGGGTCTGGGTCTGCTGCCTGATGGAATGCAGCAATCAGGTTGGCATTGGTGTGGCACGAAGAGAAGCAGGAAAGACAGACAGGGACGGGCAAAACGGAGGACGTACGGGACTCGAGAACCTGTAGCAGAAAGCATGCAGCCATGGCCTCGTCGTCGCCGCTGCTCAGCACCTTAGCCCTCCACGCGTGCTCGAGCGCCATCTCCGTCAGCGCCCGACACGCAGCCGCCCTCCGCTTTCCGAACTCGTACAGCGCCTTGGATGAGAGCGACAGGGACCTGACCAAGAACGTGGACAGTGCAGGCGGACGCGGCCCCGCGCCAAAGAGGACGGGGTGGGAGGAGACATGGGAGCTGATGGCGGACATGGCTAGCATCAGGGTCTGCGTGGATGGGGATAAGGAAGCGATGCGGCGGCCCGAGGATTCGAAGGCTGATATGATGAAGTTGCAGGGGATGACGCGTGCGCGGGGTACGTGAGCGTATACTTGCCGGGGGCGTCAGCGGCGACGCATTGATGGATTTGACGAATAGGAGATGAAGGGGTAAACGTACGCTGAAGGAGGTGTGCGATGAGCTCGCCAGAGACCTCGAGGTCGAACATCCTGCTTTCCGCGCGAACCACAGGGGAGACGCTGCCGCCTGCGACTGGTGGCGCCTTTCCAGCTGGACTGCTAGTGCTGGAAGGCCGAGCATCGCCAAATAGAACTCTGAAAGGATAGTATGTGATGTCTATACTGATAGAAGATGTATGCGGATTGCGTACCTTGCTTGCTCAATCCTTCTACCGGTGCTCGCTTTCCGCCTCCCGCGCGGAATGACGTTCGTAGTGCATCTAGAGCCGAAATAAGTACAAAGAATAGCACAAGATGGCAGCAGTGTGACGAACATGATGTTTTTGGAGACACATCGTGGACAAGAGGCAGGTGGGAGCACAGGGTCGCAGCGTACCCTGCGCAGTTTACAGGCGTCGCAGGGGGGAAGACGAGCGGCGTTAGGCTTCTCCTTGGGCATTTCAGAGTCGAGCTATGGATATGGAGGTGTTTGAGGAGTTGTTGTGACCATCATGCTGAATTTTGTTGGTGAACCGCAGCCCACCGCAGCTGGGCGCGAGCAAGGGTCAGACCTCTGTGCTCTCCGAGCCGACCGGAGGCGCGTCTCCGTCTTAGTCTTCGGCACGACTCCCCGTTACTGTTATACCAAGACTAGGTTTGTATTGACGCACAACACTAGCTATTTAATACGCTCCACCATCAGGATATGTAAGAAGCCGCCTCCCACTCTCATCCATCCATCGAGCTATGAAAATGTCCCTCATACAACAATTCGATTCTTAGTACGGGAGGAGACTGGCAGCTGAGCGTTGAAAGGTCGACCAATGTGCAGATATGTGTAACTCCCCTGACTACACTGGAACGTATCGGAATTGCACTGAGTGTTCTGGAGTTTGGATCGTTCTATTGATAGACATGGGGTAGAGTTTGGGAGATGAACAGATGCACGGATGCACGGATTTGCACTGGATGAACGGGACAAGTTCATGCCCGCGCCGTAAAGACAAAGATACCAACGGTGAAAGGGCACTTCGGTGGAGCGAGTCGGGACGAACTCGGTGGATGCCATATGAGGGGAACGAGAAAGTTGGCTATGGCCGTCTTGACGTTTATCTTCTGACGCCATCACACTCAGCCACGCGAAGGCTATGGTGAAGTGTAATGGCTGTGCATGTCTATTCGATCGAGGCGTTGTCACTTCTCCGACGTGACACAAATGGGCGGCCTCGACTACAGTAAACATAAAGTCTCAACAAGACAACGTTGATCGGGAAAGACATTCGACCCATGCCCAGGGAAAAGTCTAATTCTCAGAGGAAGCTCCCGGCTTGCGACTCGTGCAAGCTCAGGCGCATACGATGTGACCCTCTTCCCCCACCCGCGTCTTGCTCACGCTGCCTGTCCAAGGGGATAGTGTCCGTCATTCACCTTCATTCACCTTCTGCACACTCACATCGTACTTCAGATGCACAACTACCCCTATCGTACGCAAGAAGCCAAAAGAGAGGTCCGGCAAACGGATAGAGGAAGCAAAGTCCGTCTCCGTCTCCCTTCCTATTGCGTTTCCTCACCGTATCTTTAGAGCACTCTATGGTACCTCAGGCCATGGCACAACCTCGCCAGCTTCGAGCAGTCCATACCCTGTGATCCGAGCAGAGAGCGGCATGGTCAACCTCCAGATCTCGGGCGAGCTCGTCGCCCATCTCCTCCAGCGTACGTCCACCCATTACAGCTTTCTTCTACTGTCTCATTCGACATACCTCACAGTCTACACCCGCATACCTCGCGCCCGTCTCCTCCCCTGTACCTTCCTCCTCTCCACTTTCGAATCCGCCAACCGACGCCTCTCCCTCCTTCCCCCCGTCTCCCAGGCACTCACCCTCGCCATCGCAGCCACATCCTCGCGCCTCTCATCCCACCCCGTCTTGTTTGGACCGGGCCCACCCCCTCCACCCCTCTCCCCATTCTTCTTCCGCCCGATGTCGATCGCCTCGCGCGCCACGTACGAGTTTGGCAAACGGAGAGAGACGGCGTGCGAGAAGCTGACGGATATGGCGCTCGAGCACGCGTGGAAAGCCAAAGTGCTGAGCAGCAGCAGCGAGGAGGCGATGGCGACGTGTTTCCTACTACAGTTTCTCGAGCACCGTGCGTCCCCTTCTCTCGCATCTCCACCTCAAACCCGACTGAAAACTTGTACAGGGAGGAGAGGCCACACCGGGACGTCAGAGCACCTCTGGAAAGCCGCGTTCGTCGCGCACCTCCGCGAGAGGCTCACCCGGGCGCGCGACGCCGGGGAAGACAGGTTCCTCACTTCGCACTCGAACACGTTCGTCTTTTACGCGTCGGTGCCTTCTCCCGTCGCCTGGGTGCCCCATGACCACGGGAGGCTGCCGCCCCCGGATCCGGGCTCGCCGCTGTCACCGTGGATCGCGACCGCCCCGCCGCTGCTGGACTGGAGCTCGGACCCGCACCATGTGAACTTGAGGCTCGAGGATAAGCCGGATCTGCAGGAGATGCGGCTGCGGTGGTGCATTCAGCTCGTGCGTGTTCACTCCTGCCCGTTGAACCACATCGCTGGCTGAATGTGCCATGATTCTGATTCTTAGATGCGAGACGCGCTCTTGTGTGTGGCGCAAGACAATATCTGCGCTTTGTAAGTCTCGCCTATCTTGAGTTCATTCCATCTCTGAATGGTGTCGGGTTCAGTACACTGCATGACGAAGCTCTCATCTGCGGTCCGCCCCCGTCGTCGTTGCCCGAGCTTGTGGCGTCCGCGAGCACAGGCGACGCGGGTGCGCCGTGGTGGGACACGCAGCGGTTTTTAGATCTCGTTAGACCATGTGCGTAACCCTTCCTTCGTACGATGCGATCGATGGGCTGACGGGGGTGGACAGTCACGTACCACGCCACACGGATTGCGTTGGGCAACTACGACTGGCGCATGCGTAAGCATTCCCTCCCCCTACTCACGCAACGGGAACCGTTACTGAATTAACCATACGCAGGAAGGAAAGCAGGGCTCCCCTTCTCGTTCACCCGCCTCGCGGAGCACCTCGAGGACGCCAAACACCTACACACGCTCCTCGCCGCCGCACAGGCGCGCTACGTCATGGCGTACAGCCCCGAAGCTACCGCGATGCGCGCACGCTCGCTTCTCCCGCCCCGCCCGAGCCCGTGGGAGCACTCGTCGCCCTCTCAGCCTTCACCGGACTTGGACCACTCCAGCGCAGCTTCGTCTTCTTCTTCTTCTTCTTCTTCGAGGAGCGCGACAAGCACGCCAGAACGGTTCAGCGCGCCCGAGCCGGATTATCAGGATACGCAGTTTGGGCGGCTGACGGGAAGGCATCTTTTGAGCGGGATGCGGAACGCGCTGGGGTCGGTGCATATCCCGGTGTTTGAGGATCTGCAGGCGAGGGTCGGCGCTGCTGGGGAGTGTGGCGCGGACTGTGGGTCGGCGGCTCGAGCCCGGGCGGACGCGGGAGCTGGGATAGAGGGCGGAGGGATGGAGCCAGGGTGTTCCAATCCAAGCCCGAATCAGGAGGTGGAGGTGGAGACGCTGAAGCCGATCCTGGCGACGCTCCGCCGCGCGCTGACGCCGTGGTGCCAGCTGATGCTGCGCACGGCGCTCGCGGGGCCGCATCTGGGGTGGCTCACGCATCTCGGTGCGTGTTCCGTCCATTCACTTATCTCTGCTCGAGTCGTTGTGCTGACGGTTGCGCGCGCGGGCAGGAAACGAGCCGTTCTCGTTCTGGTGCCGGTTTCTCCTGCGCGTCGTGCCGATCGAGGACGGCGGGGACGTGGTCACGCGGGAGGAGAAGCTCGCTGCGCTCGAGACGTGCGTGCCGTGTCCCCTCTTTCTTTCTTTCTTTCTTTCTTTCTTCCGTTGATGGTGATGGTTATCGTGCTGACGGTGTTGGGATTTGGGTTGACAGAATGTCCGAGCTCATGGTCGTCGTCTCGTGGTCGTGGTCCGCGTCGTTCGAGCTGCCTATCCGGCAGGAGATTCTCAAGACTGTCGAGGAGATCAAGCTCGCGATCGCGCTCGACCGTGAGCGGCTGCTCGCAGCTGCATCCGCGTCTGAATCGGGGAGCGCTGGGCTGTACACCACGCCGCCATCGAACCTCAGCTCGTCGCCGGGTACGTCGGCGTCTGCAGGTAGAAGCAACTATGGCGGGCAGGGAGACGGGGAAGGCGACACGCAGCGGCAGAACCGCAGGCGGCGGTTCGAGGGGCAGTATGTTCTCCCTGCTGCGCTTGAGCTTCCGAATGTGGAGGCGATCATGCGCGAGGCGGGTGTGATGGACATTGTCGAGGGTGCTTCTGGTCTTGCGAGGGTGTGCTATGCGCCGCTGCGTGATAGCGGTGGCCGTGTGGGCGGCGTGATTAGTGGGAAGGAGAGTGTGTATGTGCCTTTGTTGGATGGCGGTGTTGAAGGTGGAAGTGGGGCGTTGTACCCGAGCGCGGACGCTACCACTGGCGCGTCCATATCCACTCAGTCAATGCACGTTCAGGCTACCATGCCGGAGCCGACGTACGAGCAGAGCTTGTGGTCGGACGAGTACTCGTTCGTGCCTCTAGACGGTGCTGCATTCGTGTCCGCGCCCGGCATGCAGACGGTGGTGCAGGAGGACGCTGGATTCCCTCAGAGTCAGGAGCACGGGCAGCTCGACGGCGGTGTTAGCGGGCAGGGGTGGGACGAGCTAGGCATGGATCAGGATTTTTGGGCGACGCTGGGCGCTGGGAATGATGGTGCTGGAGACGTGTATGGGTCCGGGGAGGGGACGGCGGGGTATTATCGTGGTGTGTGATATAGGGTGTGGTTTGTTGTAGTTTAATCTAATCTTCATTGCGGGGACGTGTACTTGAATACTGGCATTTGAGCCTCGAGCCTCAGAACTGTATTCATGCCATACCGTTGATAAGCGAGAAGAAGCCGGTTAATCCATGGGAGAGGTAAAGCCTTCCAAGACTTACAAGTGTCCTGCTTTAAAAGTAAAGAAGAGATAAGGGTTGGTATAGGATGGTTTGGCAGCTGAACGAGGCCACGAGGAAGCGAAGCGCTACCTAATCAAAGTCCCAAATGCAATTGAGGCAGACCGAATGGCGCTCATGGAGGCTACGCGAGACCTGGAGGACCTGGATAATCAGCTACTAAACTACATTCATTAATAGCTCCAGAAAGCGACAGCTCTATTTAAAAATGTCCGGGATGCTGCTGGTGGCGAGGTGGTGGATGATATGTCAAGATCTAAAGGTTCAGCCTAGACGACGCAAAGGGCACATGCATTGCGTCGCCCCCAAGGTGAATAGCTATTCAGATAACCGTGATGATATCAGTGACCATTCTGATGCCACTGCGCTTGTTCAGAACGAACAGTTCACCCTTTTGCGCATAAAGCTGTGACAGAATGTTGGAGCTAGGCTGCCAACACCGTAAGCCTATGCTTGCCCGGCTTTGACCGACTTTTGGACAAATTTGACAGCGGCTTTGGACCCGTACTGGCTCCTTATAATCACCCACCGTCACCTCGAGGTACGGCATGTATTGTTTTTAAAGCCTTTCTAAAGCTCAGTGTATTCAAAGCAGGGAGCCTCGGGCATCAAGTTTTGAGACCGATATCGCTCTCAAGCCTTTTCTCAGGAAGCCATCGTTGACATCTCCCCCTCTCATCTATACGCCAGGGATGTCATCCTCAGCTGCTTCCGGTAATTCTTGGCTAAACCTGTGACTTGCTGTATAGATGTGTCGGTAACTTGATAAATGACGTAAGCTTCGATATCTTATGAAGCTCCACAACCATCCTTGCATCATGTATCTGTTAGGGAGATGATCGAGCATATGAACTGGTACCTCCTTGATGCTCGGGCGTAGTATGATGAATCCACATTGGCCTTCCCGCTTCATTCGCTTGAAGTGTGCCTCTCAGACAAGGTCAACATTTCCTACGTAAGCGTTTCTTGCTCGGAGTATATTGGCTGGAGTAAGTTTCGCCGACTTCGAATGATTTCAACTGAGGATGGGGCGATATGAAGCCTGATCCTTGCCATCAGCGATTTGTATCCGACGATACAGGATTGATGCCCTCGTGATGTTCTATAACACAGCCCTCAGTCCCGAGATGCTAATATTAATAGCGCTATTCATGAGTAATCTCTTGTCCGTCCTGTTTCCTCCCCAATGTCTTCCCTCGAGGAAAGTCTCTTCACTGAGTTCTGGTGCCTCCTTCCAGAAATCATCTTATATGGTGAGGGGTATCCCAACGTCATAGAAGTCTCACCATAAGAGGCCATCTTCTGTGACGCAGGAGCATTTTCCGTGCTACTGTCCCTGGATATTTACATTATCGTGACGAAACAACGTCACTCGGAAAGTGCCGTTGCAAGGGCCAATATCATTGTCCTTGCCGTCGGTGTTCTGATGTTTGTGATCGCAACATTGGTAAGCTCCGTACATTCATGACCAGCAAGAACCGGTTGCTGACATAAATACGAATCTAGCACGTCTGCGCGTCTCTGTACCGTGCATATTTTTACACTTATATGGAAGCAGCGCAAGTTTTGTTCGCAAGTTTTGAAGGCCAGCTGTCAGGAAGCGCACAAGAATGCATCGTGAAAAACTCTTCAATGCCGCAGCCGCTTCAAGCTTTAGATGTATACCAGCTCGAGACTAAGTTAGCAATCTCCCAGGAGATTAAAATAGTTGCATTTGTTATACAGCTTTGGCTGGGGGATGGGTTCATGGTATGTTTGCTGGATGACTAGATTGTTTTGATCACTTACTATACGAATTAAAAACGTAAGGTGTATAGGCTCTGGAAGGTCTGGAACAATGATAAACGGGTAGTCATACCTATCTCCGCTGGTTTTCTTGCAAACATAGGTGAGTTTTTTTGGTTGAAAGGTGTTTCAAAAGCTAAAGAGGCATTATTCAGCTATGGGGATTGTCATGTTGTACATAAACAGACTCGAAATCAAAGACGCAGAAGGACCGGTATACACGAGTGATGAAAAATGGTTGGATTTCATGGCCAACATGACGATACCTACAAATTTGTCCGTTTTTGCCTTGAGCTTCGTAGTTCACCTCAGCTGTACAGGTGAAGTGTTATTTCCTCTATGAACCTCTTGAATGACATAAATTAATCAATGTGATCAACAACCTAGTGATGATCGCCGCGAGGATATTTTATCTTTATCGTCACATACGCCAACACGTACATGGAAGTCGTCGCAACAATCCCATGGCTGTTGCAATCACTCTCCTTGAGTCTGGCGCAATATACTCAATCTCGATGTTTTGCATGCTTGTAACGTACAGAGCAGAGCTGTACACCGTGACTGCCATTTACTGGCAACACTATGTCATTGTCATGAATGCGGTAAGCATTTAGTTATTTTCTCTCTGTCGCGATATCATTCTAATGTATTGCGGTGACATGAGTAGATCGTTCCCATAATAGTGAGTACGTCAGAGCGCTTGAGACCCCTCATGCTAATGATGCTCTCAGGGGATCGCCTTTTCGCTAATTGTCATCCGAATGGGCCTTGGTATAACTACAGAGATGCACTTTCGGACGCAGGAGGCCAAGGATGCCATTTCTAGAAGCGCAATTGCTACGAACTCTATTATGCTATTTGCACAGGGCTCTTCGACCAGCGCTGGAGAACCCGAACCAAAAACGTCCTTTTGAACAAGGGCGGTAGGTGGATTCACACGTATTTCATAGTCGATAGAATGGACGCCCGGGTGTATTTATGTTTAGTCTTACAAGAAAGAAGGACGTAGGCAAGTCGTAGGTATGAATTAAGTGCACATACATTAATATTTAACGAGTGCGCAAGCGAGGACGGGCTTAAAAGATAATGTTCGATATATCGCAAGAGATGACAAATTTAACGTGCTGGAGGCGCCATCATCGAAAGTCAGTGACGCGTATTGCGATGGTCTTGCAACATGAAAGAAAATACAAGTCAGTCTAATATTTGATACAAGACGAAGCCAGGCAATTGCAAGAGGCCAGGGCTTTCGAACGTCCACTGACGCTTCGGTTATTGTTGGTGAAAACTCATTGCATGTGTTCATTATGAACACGCTGTACCGAGTCACTCTGTGGCGTATAGATAATTTTCGAGGGAAGTCTAAACGTTCACTTTCCCACCGGGTTTTATGTTCCTTTTCCACGAGGTATTCTTTTAACCAATATTTGCACAAAAGCTGCGATGATGAACAGAGCGGCTCACCTATTTTGGCAATCAACCGCCCTATATGGCCATATTTATGACTTAGTTTATTTACCCTAAAATGCAAACTCACGGCAAAAAGATTTATTTTGAGCGGCTCTTCTTAATCACAGCAAAGGTCGGCTCTCAAGGGCGTTCATCAGTGCGCCTTTTAATTGCTTCTCATAACAAATAAATCACATTTTGTCCACAGTGAGCGCTCGCGGCTGTGCGACACAAGAAATCAGTAAGCGTAAGCGGGATTCGGTCAAAAGTTTTAATATGCGGTGTCGCGGACAGGGGCCCGAGTGTTAGGCTGCGGTTCACCAGCACCCAGCTAGTCTCCTTTTTGCAGCCGTGTCGCTGCGCTCTTTGGATCCTCATAACGCTGTTTCGGCGCCCGACAAGCCCGGCCTACAAGAAATGCGGATCCGGTGGAGTATGCAATTGGTGTGTGCAACTATCAAACTTTCTATTGACAAATGACATGTTGACGCGTCGTTTTTCCGCCGCTAGATGTGGGACGCACTTACGTGCGTATGGCGCGACCAGCACTGCGATTAGTGAGTTTGCCTGTCTCATGCTACATTATTGTGCATTACCAGATGAGATACTGATTCTCGTCTGCAGCACACTCCAAGACGAAGCGCTGCTGTGCGGTCCACCACCGCGTTCGCTGCGGGAGATCGTGATGCAGGTGAGCACGGAGTACGTGCCGTGGTGGGACACGCAGGGGTTCATGGCCCTTGTCAGACCATGTACGTTTCTCTCTTTATTCTTCCTTTTTATTGCGCTCATCCGTACTGGGTACCAGTCGCACACCACATCATGCGTATGACTGGCGGATGCGTAAGTTCGCTATAATCCCTTTTGTTCTCATTAATGCTACTTCTAGTTCATTGACTTGTCGCCTTTTCTTTTCTTTCGTAGGCAGAAAAAGCGGGATGTCCTTTTCATTCGCTCGGTTCACTGAACATCTCGAAGACATCAAGCATCTGCACTTCCTCCTCGCTGTTGCCAAGGCGCGTTTTGCCATAGCATATAGCCCCGAGGCAGCCCAGGTACGCGTGCGTTCGCACGACTTGAGCTCGGCCTTTTCGAGCTCGAACATACCAGAGCCATCAAGGGCGCACAGGAAAGACGAGACGTCTGGCAAGTCAATCGCAAGGCACCTGTTCAACGCGATGCGCAGCGCCCTAGGGTCCGTGAACATCCCCGTGTTCGAGGATTTACAGGAGAGGGCCGGGACTGCAGAAGCTGGCTCGAGCGACCCGGACGCGCCTATGCTAGCGCTGATACTGCACACGCTTACGCGGGCGCTGATACCGTGGGGCCAGCATATAGTGCGCAATGCGCTGTACGGGATACCGTTGACGTGGATTATACAGATAGGTGAGTACCGTTGTCGAATTGCTGGGCCTTGCAAAGCTCATGAGAAGTCTTTCGCTTACTCGCGCGATTGGTGAACGCGTTCATCAGGAAACAGACCCTTTCTGTTCTGGTGCGAGCTTCTCTTGCGTGCGACGCCCGTCGAGGACGGCGGGGACGCGCTGACGCGAGCGGTTAAGCTTGAGTGTCTTCAGACGTGCGTCCCTTTACTCTCCTTTGTTAATCTGTCGCGCTGAAAAACTTACTTTGAATCGTTTATTGGCTGTGCGCCATATGCTACTGCGATGCAGCATGTCCGAGTTCTTCACCGTGCTCTCGTGGTGCTGGGCGAGCGCGTTCGAGCGTCCGATCAGGCAGGATATAGTGCGCGCGATCGAGGATATCAAAGCCGCTCAGGCGCTTGATGATGACTTTGGGCTGGGAGCGTCAATGGCTACGGGTGGCCTGGATACCCATTCGCAGTTATATTCGCATGCGGACGCGTTCGCGATGCCGGTTCTTCCGGATATTGAAGCTGCGATGCGTGACGCGGGTATCGTGGACGTGATTGCGGCGGTATTAGGATCGCATTCAAGCTATGTCTCGCAGGTATAGTCGGGGACGCAACTTCATGTCAAGTCGCAATTTTGCGATTTTTAGTGTGGAACCATGGCCAAACGCTTTCATTTAGCCAAGTTTAGGCTAAATCTCGCATTTCCAGGGAAAAGGACGGATTACGTAAGCAAACGGCGAAATCGCCCTCCAGGACCGGGTCTGGCAAACATCGGAAGGGGGCACAAGTAGATACATAGCACTGTTGTATTGCAAATATTACCTAATGAAGACTTTGTCCAACCGTCAGCTTGGTCTGTTTTACCTCCCACTCCGCTTGGGCTTGGTCAATATCCTTCTGCATAACACCTCTATGGCCTCGATACCTTTTGGCAGCAAATTCTGCAACTACCCCTGTTGCCCCAAGGTGATAGATGCTGAGGTATCGCGAGGCTCGGCGAAAGAAGCGGCGGATGGTTATGAGGGGACACATGTCAACTGCTTCCTGAAGAAGCCGCTTGCCGCGTTCAAAGTTGCCATTGGAGCGCTCCCGAAAGTAATTCTTGCACCAGCCCCAGTAATATTCAATGGGGTTTAGCTCCGGATGGAATTTCGGCAGGAAATGGCACTGATTGCCGGCCTCCTCGACAACCTGCACAAGTTCTGTGAGCGACTTGTGGGAACCAAAATAAATAAATAAAGGTAACCTTCTGAAGGAGACACAGCTCATTCTGGAAGTCTTCTTGGAGCTCGAGAATGCGAAGAAGGCAGCAATCGGAAGGACGGGACTCATCCTCTGAGTCGTTGACAAGGTCCTCGCAATCAGCAAGGTCCATCTCCTCCGGAGATAAGGCAAGCTTTGGCTTTCTGGCCCTTTTGGCCTTGCATAGCTTGCAATCGCCAACTAGCTTAGTGCCAGGTTTAATATATCCACGTTCTTCGAGAATAATACGCATTCCTTTAGGTTTACCTTCAAACTTTTTATAAGGATGATTATCGGGAATGTGCGCAGGGAACTGCATTGATTGAAGCTCCCCCCATGTCCATGAGGGTTGCCTAAAGGGATGATTGTGTCGTGCATGTGTCGGACACGGCCTCCTGGCCCAACATTCATCTCGCGTGCATTGAGAGCATCAGGGGCTCGGCTGTCGTGACATGAAGAGTTGTCAAACACCCAGTGGATTACCGCATTTGGAAAAAGCCGACGTGCAATTAAGATTGCATGCCGAAGCTGAAAACAATATGGTTTGATGAAGAATTCAATATTAAAACATGCCTGCTCACCTGCGTAATCATTTGCTGAGTATTCCAGTAAGTGTCACCACCTTCTTTATTAGAGGGAAAAATCGTGACACCAGAGTCCGTCTTTGTGAGACGTTCACCTTCTGGAAGCCGTGCATTTGCTTCCACCATTTCTGGAGGGAGTGCTAAATTACCATAACGTGCGCAGATGTATCCTGATCGGTGCATGAGCCGACCACGTGTCTTCTTTTTGAGGACTTGCTCTCCGTGTTTGAGATAATAGCCTTGTCCCTGAAAGTCATTATCGTGGAACGTGCTTTCATCTTGGTAAATAAACACGTGCTCCACCTCCCCTTCCGCAAGATTAGGTGGGACTTCTTTCATCTCCGGACCTTCATACATTGCCATGTAACTTTATGAAATAATTAGGTAATTAAATATGCATAATCCAATAGATTTAGCTTACGGTTCAAGGGATTTCAATAAATCACAAAACTCCTGGCGATGTTTTCGGACATCCTTGCGCTCGTGACCATCCCAATAAACTCCTTTCTGGTGGGACTTTAGTCGATAGCCCAAACGGTAAAGCCAACGTCTAGCTTGACGCTTAGAGATCGAAGTTTTACGGAGCTTGAGTGAGGGAAACAAATGTTCATTCACATGACGCTGCAGAAGCGTGGGGGTCACCTGTGCAAACCCTTGATTAGCTTGCTCCTGTCCATCATCACTGTGCATCCTTACTGTTCCAGGTGCGAGCGTCCGCAAAAAGCTCTTGACACCGAGACTGAAGGCTTCGTCATCCAATGCAGATTCCCCAGAGCCACTGGAGCCAGATGGCCGCTTCCCTTGTTGACCTGGCTTCAAGCTCCCCATTGCCTCAAAATGTCGAGCATGTGCATTCAAGACGCGTGCAAATGCTGGTCCTTGCCCAAGATTCCGAGCCACTCGAAGAGATCCTCGGAGCCTCCCTTGCCTGGGAGCAAAGCGATAGAGTTGAACTAACGAGGCAAAGACCACCTCATCTCGGTAAGACTTCCTTTTCCGTGCATTCTTCAATCCCTCCTCTGCTAACGCTTGCAGTTTCTCCCAAGTCTTTGGCTCCCCTTCATCCAGCACTCCTTCGACAAACTCAGCAATTCCGTCTGCGACCTCAACCTCCTGCTCATCAGAGGGTGAAGATGGAGCAGCAGATCCGACATGGGTGAGTGACTCTTCATCTTGGTCTGAGTCAATCGACATAATGACTGGCCCGTTCTCGGAGACAGGAAGAGGGTGTGCCAGTGGCATATCTGAGTTATCCTCAATCTCGACAACCCCAACACACCCCTGGCGAAGAGTGCGGAGTCCAGATGATGGGGTGGAGGGCTTGGGACCAAAAAACGAGGCAAGGTTCGTGTTTTCACGGGGTTTCTTCTTCTCTAACGCGTTCACAGCTTCCACCTCCTTCTGAAAGCGCCCCTCATCCAATTCACCACTCTCCTTTTTGTCCCGAGCTGCCTTTCTCAGCTCCCTTGCTCTCCTTGCTGATAAGCCACCAACCCCATAAGGCCCCCTCGCTTTTCCTGTCTTGTCCCTGGCCCCACCCGGCTTGTCGATTGGTCCATCAAACTTCAGCTCGGCACCTCGCATTGAACCCACAGTCACTGAAATGCGGCTGTGCTCAAGGACCTCCAGGGCTTTGGCTTTGGTTGCTGCTGAGATCCATGTTGATGGAGATGGAATGGATGCATATTCGTCATCTGAGCCTGAGTCTGACTGTGAGTCTGAGATGTAACCAGGATCTTCATGTTCGTCATCTGCCTCTAAGTCCCAGTCACTGGAGTCCTGGTGGCCGCTTTCAGAGATGTCTGAGTGATCAATATGAGGTTTTTTGTTTGATATGAACTTCCCACTAGACCCATGTTCGCGTTTTGAGCCCTTCTTGCGGGGTGCCATGGTTGCATAGGGCGTCAGCGACCGGAAACTGACATACGCACGTGATTACATAAGCCATTGGTGCCGAGAACAGCGAAATTGGTTGGGGTCAGATCTCGAGGTCACAATAATAAAATTCTAATCCACCCAAACGATAGAGGATACAAAGATGTATTACCCCGTGCATTATGAATTACAAGAAAAGTAGTTTGGTAGTGTTATGAGCCAAACAAGATTGGGGTCCGGGACTTGTCACATCAGGAAATCAACAGGCCGCTTTTCGGAGCTTTTCACTGACTTTTTGACTATAAACGACCCAAAAGCTAATCGAAAGCGATGTTCCAAAAAGCAGCGTCAAAAGTAGATCCTTCTGCTTTATGGCTGCTTTTCTCCCATTGCCCCCACCGTCCGGATGCTTTTTCTAGCTTAATCCCACTTGTCACTCGAGCATGTAGTAGCAATCACGAAAAAAGCATATATTAAGCGTCCAAAAGCAGCATTGAAGCCACCCAATATCAATCTAAACTCGTAATAAGCAGGCGAAAAGCAGAGTAAGAAAACAAGATAAACGCGATGGTCCAGACCAGCTGGCGGGGTAGGGAGAGCAGGGGTAGATAGATGAAAAGAAATGCATGGGCGAGAGGAAAACGATGACTACAAAGAGATAAGCAGAGACGGCAATGCAGATAACGAGAGCGTGAAAACATGACGACAGCGAGGTGCTAGACGAAGCCGAGCAAGAGGCGTGAGAGGCGCGTATGGGACCGTTGCGACTGAATGAGGCGACCATTCCTGTGAAGGCTGATAAGAGCGAGAATAGAGTAAACATAGAAACTCATCTACAAAACGTGAGCTTTGCCCGCCTGTCTTCAGCGATTGCAGCTGGAACGTCGGTATCGCCTTCGTTGTCAGCCTCACGTTCACCTCGCTTGACCTTATTGGAATATACCGCCGACGCCTCGAGTGCCGACGCCATTACCTTAGGCTCGGCAGCCCTGACAGACAACCAGTACGCGGACGAAGCCGCCGACCAGTTTTGCTCCGAGAAGTTGAGGATTGTTGTCGACTGCTTCCCGGTCCTCCCATTCGCTTCCAGACGATCGTCCTTGTTGGCAGTCATGAGGGTCTTCGCCCTGTTGATGATGCTGCCACGGCGACCAGACGCCTCGAAGCTGGCAAGGTCGTGAAGAATGTGCTCGATTGAGCCAAGCTTGCCTTCCTTGGCAAGCGTGCATGCGCGTTCGCCCTAACAATGATAAGAAAATGAGTACACCAGTGGAGCAGATGATAAAAATAGTAAGTGAATGATAGCGGAGCTTACGGCGGTGATGGCGAGCGTGATTGCGCCCCACGGAGCGTATAGACCGGTGAGCTCGCTCACGTCGGGCACCTCTATGTAGCCCTGAGTTGCCGAGTAGTGCGTCGCGATGATGTTGCCCATGAACTTGCCACGAAGAGGGTTGACAGGGGTGCCGTCGTCAGTGACTTCCTCGTGCATGAAGGCGGACTCGCAGAGGAGGCCCTCAGCATACCACCTGCGATCCTTCTCGGAGGTATCCTGGCCATGCATCTCTTGCTCGACGAAGTTGTTAAGGAGGACGGCGATGGCAGTGGAGCCAAAGTTGGCCCGCCAGTCGTTCGCCTTCTGTTTACACTGAGATGATATGAGCGACGAACCCACGAAGACTATGACACTTACCAAGCCAAACGCGGCTCCCTCAACCGTGTCCTGCTCTTCCGGCATCTCCTGTTCGTAAACAGCCAGCCAGATATCTTTCATGGCATCGAGTATCGACGCAGAACTTGGACCCCAAACAGCCCGCTGCGTACCAAGCCAGGCAAGGAATGTTGGGATGTACACGAACGTCCACAAGCTCTTGTTGTTGCAGTAAGACGGGAGGTCTTCCTTGACCCATTTTGAGGGGAGTTTCTTCGCCTTGGAAGATGTGGGCGCGGACGCGGACGCGGACGTGGGTGCAGGTGCGGGTATGGGTGTTGCAGTTGCAAGGGCGGAGGGCTTTCCTACCTTCTCTTGGGACTTCGTAGCTGGCGCCGCCTTGGCGCGCTTGGGGGCACGGGGGTTCTCGGTGATGGCGACGTCGGTCTAAGCTCAACGTCAAAATCAGCCGAAGTCATGCCAATGGAGTACTTACTGATGATGTAGTGCGAGACAGAGGCTTGGGGTCAGGCTGGTCCTGGGCGGCGTGTCTCGAGATGAGCTTGTCCGACTCGGTAAGGGGCTGTAATGTGATTAGCACGATCGTGATCAGGTCCGATTAGATCGTAAACTCACCGGCGCCATGGCAGCCAAGTACTTGTCCATGAGCCTTTCCTGCTCAACCTGATCTGAAAGCTGCGCTTCGGGCATGTACGGCGGAGAGGAGGAAAGGTCCTCCTGCTCCTCATCCGAGGGAGGGAGCACCTCGCGTTCGTCATTGGAGTGGTCCTCCTCGATATCTGAGTGGACCCGCTTGTTGGACGTCTTCTTGGAGGGAGCCTCCGCCATCTCCTCCATCTCCAGAAGGTCGCTCGGCGCATGAGCGATGTCGAGGATCTGATATGCGAAGTCACCAGGCTGAAGGAGTGAACAGTCAAGAACTTACATTGTCATCCCGGGCGCTGGTCTGGTTGAGACTCAGGCGCTCACGGGTAATGTTCTCGTCGTCGTCATCAGAGATACCGAGTGAATCAATATGGTCCCCTATAGCCGAAGCACCGCTAGCATTGGCGGGTCGGACACCAGCGACGGATGAGGCTGCGCTAGCCACCTTTTGGGTCGTGGAACGGGATAGAGATGAGACGACTGAGGGAGGGGCGGAGCGAGGGACATTGGAGGACCATTTCTTGACAACTGCCTTGAATGAGACGGGGCGGCTGAAACGTCGGATGGCATTGTCGCGAAAGTAAAGAGTTGATTCAGTCAGATGAAGTAGCATGATGGGTGTTGATGGGAAAGAAACTAAACTCACACAACCCGCGCGTCACCATTACCGTTTCCGGTATTGACCTCGTGCGGAACTGCAGGCACCTCACGACTGTCAGTGCCTCCCGCCTTCAACACTTCAACTCCACTCCTGAACGTTGACCTCACAGCAACGGTCTGCTTGGGTTTGGCTGCATGGACCAGTGGCTCAGTGCCTCCGGCGTCGCCAGCACCTTCATATCGTGAGTCAATCGCCCATCATCAGACAGCATTCAAGCTTACCTTTAGCGACTTTGCCTCCCTTCACAGATCTCTTCCTGCTCTTCGCCTTCTCGGGAGGCCCTTGAGCTGCAAGGTCAGCTCAATGCTACTGCTGATGCAGGCGACTACTGACTGGCGGCCTCAGATTCGTCAGCTCCAGGCCCCTCGCCAACATCTTGCGGAATGTCGGGAACCCGTTGAGAACGGGCTGGTCTCACTGGTGCCCTCGGTGCGCGCTCAGTCCTTGCCTTCTGTTGGTCAGCCAGCTTACTCTCAGCGTCAGCGAGTCGTTCTTGGCTCTTCTTCTTCTTCTTGTCGGCGGCTTCCTGTGTCGCTCGCTTCTGGGCCTTCTCGAGCGCGATTTCGTCTGCGCTCCTGCGGTTCAGTGCAAGGTGAGCCAAACCGGGATGCTTCTCTGCATTGGAGGAGCGGGTGCTGACGCGTTCGGACATGGTCGTAGGTCTGAAGGGACGAGAAAGGACGGGTACCGGCACAGAACGGGGGAAGAAAGAAAGAAAGAAAAAGGCGCTCATGTGAGTTTTGGTTCAGATTCAGGTTCGCGAGTACGTATGAACTGAAGCGGATGAACACAGCTACCGTTGCCATTAGCCTTCCGCAAAAACACGACAAACACGTAATAGGGTAGTCGAGCGCTCCTCCGCACCTAGGCTGGCTGTTTACGCCATTTCTCTCCCGACTGCGACGAACTTGTATACTACGCACGACGAACCCAGCTGGGATAACGAGAGCAAGATGCTACAACGTCCAGAACAATCCCAGCGTCAGTACCCCTGCCCAGCTCCTGGCTGCCGTCGACTCCTCAGCAACCCATCCGGCCTTACGCAGCATTTGCATAGCAAGCACCGCACCCTACCTCCTCGCCCTTCTCCACCACCACCTCCTCCCCGTCTAAGGCCTTCTGACCCCCCGTTTGATGCGGATGGGGACCATTTTGCGGACAACAACCCTTTTCAAGCAGACACGGGACATGAACGTGATGCGAGTGACGACAGCGGGGGTTCTTCATTAGGAAAGATTCGGCTATTGCGTGGTGGGGGGGTGCGAGTACACCATCGCTACTTGGATGGTGAGTTCTGCCTCTGGTTCATCTCAAATCTATCTAATACCAGCCCAGGTCGTCCGTGCGATGGCGATGGCAATTTCCTGGGATCAGCCGACACTCCGCCTGGGCCTCCCCCTCCTCCTCCTCCTCAATCTCGCAATGACTGGTCACCTTTTCAAGACAGGGTCGCGTTCGAAACCGCCGACTTTCTCTACACCCGCTCCCAAGCCCCGGTGGATCATATCAACTTTCTCATGCGCATGTGGGGCTTGTCCCTCGAAAAGTACGGTGCCGACCCTCCGTTTGCAGATCACACAAAGCTCCACAAGACAATCGACGCCATTAAGACTGGCGATGTCCCGTGGTCCTCCTTTACGGTCTCCTACAAGGGTGCTAAGCCCACCCGCAATGCGCCTGCTTGGATGGACGAGTCGTACGATGTGTGGTACCGCGACCCACACGCTGTTGTCCAGAACATGCTCGCCAATCCGGACTTCAAGGATGTGTTAGACTATAGTCCCTATCGTGACTACGACGCTGCCGACGTTCGCCAGTGGGAGAACATGTTCTCTGGTGATTGGGCATGGGATCAAGCGGTGCGTGCATAGCTTTCTTGCTTTCACACCTGGGTCTAACAGCTCCTTAGAATGAGATAGCGTCGGACCCTTCAACGCATGGCGCGACATTTGTCCCTGTGATACTCGGAAGCGACAAAACAACGGTATCGGTTGCCACCGGCCAGACCGATTACTACCCCCTTTATCTCTCCATCGGGAACGTCCATAACACTGTGCGACGAGCCCATCGCAACGCTGTTACCCTCATTGGCTTCCTAGCTATCCCCAAGAGTATGTGTTTCATCTTTTTGCATCTCCTCTTACTGACAGGGTAGTGCAGCGGACAAATCTCACAGCGGTGATCCGGCATATCGACATTTTCGGCGGCAGCTCTTTCATTCGACGCTTGCCAAGATTCTCTCCTCCCTGAAGCCCGGAATGACCAACTACGAAGTCCTCCCCTTCAGCGACGGCTACCACCGCCGAGTCATCTTTGGACTTGGACCCTATATCGCCGATTACCCCGAGCAGGCACTCCTGTCGTGCATAGTTCAGGGCTGGTGTCCAAAGTGAGTCATATTCCCTACGTATATTGGTACCATACTAATGATATCTACTCAGATGTATTGCCTACCGAGATGAACTGGACACGGACGCCACTCTACGCTGCAAGGAGCACAACGACCTCCTTCTCGAAGAACTCGACTGGGGGACACTCTGGGACTCATATGGCGTGATTGGCAATGCGGTGGTGAGTGCCTCGTGCACGATTGATGACGGGGCACCTGCTGACTTTCTTGATCCCGATCATTCCAGCCGTTCACCAACGACCTTCCACGAGCCGATATCCACGAACTAATCACCCCAGATATATTACATCAGCTGATCAAGGGAACCTTTAAGGATCACCTGGTCGACTGGACAGTGGCATACCTATTCAAGGTCCATGCCAAGCCTGATGCGCTGGCGAAACTGGACGACATTGACAGGCGGTAAGTCTTATATCTTGTTGGTTGCTCGTTTGCTGACATGCACAATCTAGCATCGCGGCTGTTGCTCCATTCTCGGGACTCCGCCGGTTTCCAAACGGACGCGGCTTCAAGCAGTGGACTGGGGACGATAGTAAGGCGTTGATGAAAGTACGTAATCATGGTCGTGTTTCGCAACATCATATCCTGATGCTCTGACTTCAGGTTTATCTCCCGGCAATCGAAGGTCATGTACCACCAGACGTTGTACGCACGTTCCGTGCGTTTCTCGAATTCTGTTACCTTGTCCGGCGCGACATCCACAGCGAGGAAACGATCCGCGAAGTGGAAGGCGCTCTCAAACGCTTTCACCAGTACCGGGGCATCTTCAAAACGGTCGGCGTCGCATCAACGTTATCACTCCCTCGGCAGCACTCCCTCACCCATTACGCGCTGATGATCCGGCTGTTTGGCGCCCCTAACGGACTCTGCTCCTCGATCACAGAGTCGAAGCATATCAAGGCCGTGAAGGAGCCTTGGAGGCGTTCGAATCATTTCAACGCCCTCTTCCAGATGCTACTCATCAACCAGAGGTTAGACAAGCTTGCAGCATGCCGCGTCGACTTTGAAGCTCGGGGCATGCTGACGGATGTACTCACTTCATCCCAGCTCGAGACGCTGGCAAACTGTATGTATATCTTCTTATTTATCCGAATCCGCAGTCTGAAGTGTTTATATTCAGATAGTTCACTCTTTGGGACCAGCCAGGATAGCAACGGCACGGCCCTTTGCTGGCGAGGACAGGAATCGCAACGTGTCGACGAGGATCCGGGTGATCCCGTTGACGGGAGAATCGATGCGAAGGTCATGTTAGCGGCTACTAAAGGTCAGCCGCATATCTTCTGAGGTGACTATGTCTTTTCTAACGACTGTTGCAGCTCGTGGCCGCGCCAAGACGATTCCGGCCCTTGCTGACGAACTCGAGCTGCCTGTGGACGATCTCCTTCGCGCAGTCCGTCTCTTTCTGTACGACCAATATCGCCCGGCATCAGACAGCAATGCGTCTGCCGACATCTCACCCGCCGACTATCCCGCCTTCAACCCCAGCTCAACCATCCACATGTTCAACTCCGCAGTCACTGTATTCCGCGCGCCTAGCGACTTCAGCGGGACCACCGGGATGCGCCGCGAGCTCATCCGTTCAACGCTACTCTGGAGGACTGAGGCTCCACGGCACGACTGTGCATTCGTCTCAACCAATCCAGACGTGAGCGGCATGCTCGGAATGGAGGTCGCCCGCATATTTGGCTTCCTATCCTTCGATTACCAGTCTCGCACGTTCTCGTGCGCCCTGGTACAGTGGTACTCTCGTTTATCTGACAACCGCGACGAAGACACCGGGATGTATATGGTACGACCAGACGTGCACGATGATGGGTTGCGCAGCCTAGCCTTTGTGCCTGTCGGTTCATTGGTTCGATCGGCCCATCTCATACCCTACTACGGCGACAAACCCATCCCCCGCAATCTCAAGCATTATCAATCGTACGACAACTTCTCGGTTTTCTACGTCAACCGCTATGCCGACCATCATTCATTCGAAATTGCATGACACTGCCTGCCCCACCCAAACCGGCGTCCACACAGCCTTCGACGACTCGCGACCCCTTCTATGGGCACGAGAACACGGCGTGCCTCTGCGCCCGCTTCATCACCCACCTCTTCGCCTACCCCGCCTTCCCTCGTCGTTGGGCTCGACTGTGAGGCCGTCATACTTCAGCACCTACTCTTTCGCATCCTTTTCGTTTGACTTCTCTCATCCCCTCCCCTCGTCGTCTCTGGTATCATCATGGCAGCTGTAATGGGTCCCTCCATCGCACAGCATTCGTCCCCATTGGTACGTCCTCATGCATACCTCCTTGGTCGCCGGATTCCTATAGCTCCATTTTAGGCCCTGACGGGGTTTTTCTGATGTGCGTTGATCTGAGGACGCCGCATGCTGTCGGATATAATCGACAGCGTGTCGTCCGTCCCTCTTCTCCCGTCTCATGGTCCTGTCTGTTTTCAGACTTTCCTTCTTTGCCCACACCACCGCTCCCGTTTTATATACTTTGTCAGTCGCTCGTTCGCTCACTAATTTCCCCCGTCTTTTCCAGCGCTTTTCGTCACCTTTTCGTCCCACTTCTGTCCTCCCTCCCTCCTCGTCTCTAATTTTCAATCATGGCTGCTGTCATGGGTCCTTCGATTGCACAGCACCCCTCCCCCTTCCGCGCCGCCCACAATGTCTCAGTCTCCCAGTCGAGGCAGGGGTTCCATCCGCCCCCATCGGTACGTCCTCATGTAGCTCCTTGGTCGCCGGGTTTCCTCATAGTTCCCTTCTAGGCCCCGCTCAAATCGGCGTCGACACAGCCTTCGACGGCCCGCGACCCCTTCTGCGGGCACGAGAACGCGGCGCGCCTCTACGCCTACTTCATCACTCATCTCTTCGCCTGTCCAGAGTACCCTCCCTCGTCGTCGGGCTCGACTGCGAAGCTCCCGTACTTCATCGCCTATGCCCTCCACCGGACGAAACTCCACGCGTCGGTCACCTTTGCCGCCCTCGTCCTACTCCAGCGTCTCAAAGCCCGCTTCCCCACTGCTCACGGCTCTTCTGGCCACCTCTATTCGTCTCCGCGTTTATGATTGCCTCCAAGGTGATCTGCGACGACACGTACTCCAACAAGAGCCGGAGCATCGTCGCACAGAGTATGTTCCAGTTGCGCGAGATCAACCAGATGGAGAGGGAGATGTGCCAGTACCTCGACTGGGAGCTCAGCGTCGACCCCGTCACTCTGCAGGAGTTCGAGGCCATGATTCGCAAGGACTTCGCTGGCCCTGGACCCTACCCCACCTACACCCTCCCCTCCCCTTCGAAGGCAATGCCCCCTCCCCTCCCCTGTCTTCCCCTCATCGATGCCCACACCCGGGCCCACATTGTTGAGCTTGTCGGCACCATCGCCTTCGCCATATGCTCCCCAGCGCTATCCTTCGCCTCCGAAGCCTGTGCACCCATCACCACCACCACCAGCCCCTCTTGCGCAGCCACCTGCTCCCTCGTATTTGCCTCCAGACGCTCCGGAGACCCCCTCCCTTTCGTATTCGACGTCATCGTCCCGCGCCTCGACAGCACCTCCGAAGACGCCTCACGGCATTGAGGACCACACGGCGTGGATCGTGTCGGCGGAGTCGTCACCGGTATCAAAACACGACGCGATGCCGGTCCAGCAGCAGCAACACCACCTCACAGGATTGAGATCCACATGGCCTGGATTGTATTTCCTTTGTCATACCCACACCCGGGCCCACTTCGTCAACGTCGACAACACCATCACCCTCCCCTTACACCCCTCAGTGCTATCCTTCGCCTCTGAAGCCGGTGCGTCCATCACCACCCCCAGCAGCCCCTCTCGTGCATCCCCCTGCTCCCTCGTACTCGCCTCCAGATATCCCCGAGACTCCCTCGCCTTCGTACTCCACTCATCGTCCCCTGCCTCTACAGCATCTCTGAAGGCGCCTCGCGGCATTGAGGACCACACGGCCGGCCGGGATCATCATCAATACCCATACCCGGGCCCCGTCGACGAGCTCGTTGACACCATTGCCATTGTCCTATGCCCCACCAGCACTACCCTTCGCCTCTAAAGCCTGCAGCCCTCGCCACCAGCAGCAACCCCTCTCACGCACCCACCTGCTCCCTCGTACTTGCCTCCGACAACATCATGTCCTACATTGTGTCAAGCTCTCCACCTGCGCTCGGGCTTCCTGCGCTGCTTGTCCCGATAGGAACATGGCCCACACGGCCTCAATCTCAGCATTCGCATGCAGGGTTGTCCACCTGCCGTTCCTCGGACAGTGAAGGCGGTCTTCCTCTGGAGGCAAGACAACTATGGTTCAGCTTGTGGATAAGTTATTACTATATATTCATCCTTCGCTCGATCATGGTTCTCATATAAGTACTATTATGTTTGCTACAATATATGTAATAATAGGATTATATTACTTTGACTGCACTTTTTGCTGCTTTTTGACGGGTGATTAGTCTTTGTCGTGCTTTTGGGGCCATTAGGCTTTTTACAACCCGCGGTTGCCACTAGGCCCCACATTTGAGCCGGTGTGGGCGTCCAAAGCGGCTTAAAGCGGCTTAAAGCGGGGAGAAGCGGCATAGCCAGCCAAAAGCGCCGAAAAGTCGCCTGTTAATTTCCTGATGCACGAAGTTGCGTCCCGCACCATAGGGTCAGCGGTTTTGAGCGCATCACAAGCCCCCCTTTGTGTTTGACCACTTCGGAGACGGTGGCTTTTCTGCGGATGCGAACGCGCAGGATCCAATATATGGCGTGGATCACGGGTATGATGTCGGTCAGCTTGCGGGTGCGCCGTCTTGGGACGCGTGTTGCAGACGCCGATGCCTGCCACGGGATCGCTGACGGACGATAGATTTTTCTACGACGCAGACATGCAGGGATTGGGTACAAGTAATCCTATGGATGGTGCTCTCGCAAACACAGATTCCTGGAATACATTTGAATTTTGGTTCGGACGATATACCTTATACCTCGCTAGAATGAATATACCTTTGTTTGAGTTGATGGACCCGCGGAGTTTGTTCGGAGCCACGCCTCCGATCGCCACGGACCCCAAAGCGGTCTACACAGCAGGACCAGAGGTCCACCGACTCCGACTTCACGCAATCAAGCATGACACCCGCAGCCGACCAGCATTACGCTCTCATCTACGGTTAATCTTCAAAACCTTGCAACGACTACAAGGACAGTCATGCCCAAGGACAAGTCCAATGTCAATAGCACTTGCCTTCCCCCTTGCGACGCGTGCAGACTGCGCAGAGTCCGCTGTGACCCGGTGCCCTCACCTCAGTCTTGTTCTCGTTGTGTCGCCACAGGCATCATGTTCGTCGATAGTCTGGACTCTTAAATCTCACGATGTGGCCTTACGCTTGTTCCAGATGCACCACGAATGCAGTCAGGCGTCGGAGACCGAAGCAGAGATCTGGCAAGAAGATCGAGGAGGCAAGGTGCGCAGTCCATACTTTGTCGGCATTGTGATTTTATTTTCAAATACCCCTGTAGGGCTCTCTTCGGCCATGCACAGGGATCTAGTCCGAGCAGCTCGATAGAGGCAGAGAGCTCAACGTCTTCAGGAACACCGTACCCTGTCATCCCGGCGGAGAGCAGCATAGTCGACCTTGAGTTCTCTGGTGAACTCATCGCACACTTGCTGCAACGTACGTTCTTTTCGTCTCTTCCCTTGCCTTTCATTCCATGCCTACATCTCCCTATTACACAGTGTACGCACGGCTACCCCGCGCACGGCTCGTCCCATGCAACTTCATCATCTCTGCCTTCGAATCGTCCGGCAGACGTCTCGCCTTTCTCCCTTCTTCCACGCAGACCCTCACACTCGCAGTCGCCGCGATCGGCTCCCGCCTTTCATCGCATCCTATCCTCTTTGGCCCTGGGCCACCCCCGCCTCCGCTCTCTGCGTTCCTGTTTACCCCCATGCCTACCGTATCGACTCTCACGTACGAGTTCGGAAAGCGGAGACAGGCTGCGTGTGAGAAGTTGACGGACATGGCGCTCGAGCACGCGTGGAAGGGAAAGGTGCTCAACAGCGACAGTGACGAGGCGATAGCGGCGTGTTTCCTACTACAGTTCTTGGAGTATCGTGAGCCATCATTTCGTTTCTGTCTGATAGCTCGTTCCTCTGACACGCGCGCGCACAGGAAGAAGAGGCTTGGGCTCGAACCGCGTCTGGAAGTCGGCGTTTATCTCCCACCTCCGCCAAAGGCTCATGCATTGTCGTGAAGTCGGCTTCGACGATTTCCTGAACTCCGAGTCGTCCACATTTGTGTTCTTTACCTCTATGTGCTCCATGATGTCGTGGTCCCCCCCGGACCCAAACATGTTTCAGGACCCGGAGCCGTTCATGTTTCAACTACAAGGTGCAGCTGAGATACGGCCTGCAGATTCTCCTCCGTATCAACAATATCAGCTGGGACATACGCCATGCCAAGCGCTAGCACCGTCAGGTTTGCACGGTTTCAGGCGGCCGCCCGAAGACATCTCTGACCTTCAAGAGATGAGACTCCGCTGGAGCATGCAGCTGGTTCGTGATCGATGTAAACTGCGGTGTCACAATGAGACGTGTTAACCTCTGCATGTCAGATGGGGGACGCTATCACTTCCGTATGGCAAGGGCAAGTGTGCGACTAGTAAGTACAGTTGGCGCTGCGCATGATCTGTACACGTTGTGTTATTAACGAATGTTCGAAGCACGCTTCATGACGAGGCGCTGCTGTGTGGTCCTCCTCCACCTTCACTCCGTGAGCTGGTTGCGCAGGTAATCACTGAGGACGTGCAGTGGTGGGACACACAGGGGTTCACGAATCTGGTCAGACCTTGTAAGGTTTTGTATCCTTTCAATCCCGTGGCGCTCTCTAACTCATTGCATTGTAGACTCATATCACGTTATGCGCATAGCCCTATCTGCGTATGACTGGCGAATGCGTAAGTCAACGGCCACCGCCCAACCCCCTCCGAACGTGCTTTGAGTTTGTGCGCTCTTTCATTCAGGCAGGAAGAGCGGGCTCCCGTTCTCGTTTACCCGATTTGCGGAGCATCTCGACGACCTGAAGCATCTACACTTCCTCCTCTCCGTCGCACAGGCGCGTTACGTCATGGCGTTCAGCCCCGAGGTAGTTGACATTCCCGCGCGCGCTCAATCCCGCAGTGGTTCAAATACTCTTGAAGAGAATCCGACGCAGGCAAGCCCCATTCCCACGGCGGAATACCAGAACGGAGAACAACCTGGCCCCCCGAGGCTCATGCGGAGCATTATGGATGGGATGCGCGGTGCACTTGGGTCTGTGAACATTCCACTCTACAAAGACCTACAAGAGAGGGTAGCAGCGGCGAGGACAGCCCACTCAGAACTGGACGACCCGGACGTGCCTAAGCTGGAGGTGATTCTGCGCACATTCACGAGGGCGTTGGTTCCCTGGAGCTTGCGTACGATGCGCAGAAATCCGGAGTACGGCAAGCGTCTGTCGTGGTTGACGCATATGGGTAAGTCGCAAGCTAGTGGGGTTTCATTTTGCGTGCGCCACATCGCTAAACGAGGTTTTCTACCTAATGGGCCATGTACGTTAATATTCGTGCGGCAACGAGCAGGAAACGAGCCATTCACGTTCTGGTGCGATCTCATTCTGCACGCGACGCCCGTCGAGGATGGCGGCGATGTGCATGAGCTGACGCGCGCGGAGAAGCTCAGACGTCTTGAAACGTGCGTTGTTTGTCCTCTGGACGTTGTTGCGCTTTGCTCGTACTAACACATCTCTACTACGACCCGCTTCGAAATTGCGTAGGATGTCCGAGATCTTCTCTGTCGTCTCCTGGTCCTGGCCGGTCGCGTTCGAACGACCGATCGTGAACGAGATCACGCAGGCGATCGAGGAGATCAAGTTCGCGCAGGCCCTTGATGAAAACTTGGGAATAAATGCGCTTGAGCCGTCGGATTCACGCTATACTCCCTCGGCCTCGGAACAGAGCAGCTCCTCCGCTGATGTGGAAGGCCTTGAAGAGGAAGATCCCGACGCCTTTCCTGTTGTGCTTGAGCTCCCCGATATCGAGGTTGCTATGCGCGATGCGGGTATACTGGACATGATCAAAGGAGGTGGTGCATGTTCGAGTGAAGTCTTCCGAGGGAATTACCCCGTCAACTCGGATGCGGCGGCGAACACGGCGTCTATGGCCTTGGGTTGTGGCAGTGGAGGCACTGCTGCTGGTGCTGTCTCACATGCAAGCGCGCCGGTGTGGGCGCTTCCCAATACTTATGGGTACGACAACGGACTGTACGCGACCTCGCCCTCGTCGACGGCGATGGCGATGCAGATGCAGATGCCTACGATGGGCATGGCGGCGAGCTCGAATCACGGGCAGATCCGCAGAAATGCGAATGTGTCAAGTTGGGACGCGATGGGTGTATACATGGACTCGAGTACGGGACAGACAGATGTATGGACTATGGATAACGGACAATTTCGTAGCTCGATGGATGGGCTAGGGTGGGAGATACCGTATACCTTTATGTAATGAGATATTGTTCACTTTATCCTTGTCTTATCTCTGATGGTGTAGCGTATAGCTAGATATTTGCTTTGAGATGAGCGTAGACTAAACAACTGTGCGTGAAGTAGAAGTAGGGCAAAGAGTCGAGGACGGAGGGAGAGACGCGTCTCCGATTGGCTCGGAGAACGCAGAGGCCTGACGTGTTTACTCGCGCCCAGCTGCGGTCACTGCCGTTCACCAGCAAAAACCAGGATGACGATTACAACACGTTCTCAAACACCTTCATCTCTCCATAGCTGGTCGCCTTGATACTGCCAGCCATTCCCATGCCTAGGCAGCGCTAATCGTCTCCCCTCCTGCGACGCCTGCAAGCTACGCAGAGTATGCTGCGATCCCGTACCCCAACCTCGTTCGTGTCCACGTCGTGTCTCCAAAGGCATCATGTTTGTCGCTCCATTGGCTTCTCCGCTACACTTTGTGCTCATTTCCGCTTCAGATGCACTACAAACATCAGTCCATGCGGGAGGCGGAAGGCGACTACTGGTAGAAGGATTGAGGAAACAAGGTGCGCAATCCGCATACATGTTCTACTGGTATACTCAGACATATCACTTGCCATCTTTTCAAAATTTCTATTTGGCGATGCTCGGTCTTCCAGCACTAGCAGTCCAGCTGGAAAGGCGCCGTCGGTCGCAGGCAGCAACGTCTCCCCTGTGGTTCGCGCGGACAGCAGGATGTTCGATCTCGAGGTCTCTGGCGAGCACATTTCATATCTCCTTCAGCGTACGTTTACCACCTCTTCTCCCCAACCTCTCCATATACCCTATACTCGTCAGCTTCTTGAAGGCGCAGCTCTGTCCTTGTGGATATCGAGGAAATGGGTGCGCCATGACGTCACCCCTAAGTGGCTCGCCCTCTTGGTTGGTCCAAAGCGTCACTTTCTGGGTCTGCCGACCTGCAGATGTGGTAGACGTAAGGTACGTGGGAGTGCGGATGGTCGGATCCCTATGACATTGTCACGGTGCAAAATTGGAGCGCGGTAGTGAGCATTTCGCCATTTGATCCAAAGTTCAGTTTCTACTCGGCCGTTTGTAGACAAAGGCAGGTCTATGGGACAGGGCCGGTCGTCGTTCGCACCAATAACCATTGCTTTGACGTATGTTCTCCAAGATTTGGGTAATATGAGATCATGATACTGAATGCGGTGCTGGTAAGACTTACGTGGTCCAGCCAGTCAATAGTGGTGCTCAACGTCAACGGCGCCGTTATCATGTTTCACCTGCTGCCGCTTCGCGCGGAAGTTCACGGAACTGCTGGATGTCCAGGAGTGTGTTTCAAGATGATCCAGCTGAGCCATCGGCTCGCAATTACAAAGTCATCTCCAATCACAGAAGTTGCGGCTCCGAAATTAACCAATGGTTAGTCGTCTCAAGAGTGTCTCAAGTAACTCTGACTCGATAGTTAATGACTTGTTGTCGGCAGATGATATCGGTTGCGTCGTACATTGATAAAAGCAACTGTAGGTAGGCGCAGGAGGATTAAGCTGTGATACCTGGATCCTTCGTATCCAGGAATAGTTGTGGCTGCGGTCCCGTCACTGAATAAGTCATAATGATTCTCCACTTCCTCTTTTCTAATATAGTTGCGCTCGTTGCCTTGTTCTCCAATGTTTTCTCTTCCCGCTCTCGGTGTCGACGCTCCTTGGTACACGATTGGAACAGACGGAATGCCGCCATACCAGCTTCCCATGGCTGCTGCTGCCCTCGTCGGTGTGGCAGGCAGCATCTTCATACGCTTTGTGACGCGCGAAAAAGAGGGCAAGATCAAGCTCCCCGCCACTGGCGACGATGCGCTCGGCTCTGAAGCGAAAGCGCACGACTCGTTCAACGTTGTGCAGCCGGAGGACCTCCTTGACGGCTATCCGGTGGAGGAGAACGAGTATTGGGCCCAGGTACGTTCTCTCACCAATTGCTGACGCGATCCGTAGCTAACAAAAATATGTCACGGTATGCGCCGCCAGATGCGCCTCTGGAAAGTCTCCATAACCGCCAACCTCGTCGTCATCCTCGCCCTCGAGACCATCTCCCTCGGCTGGGCCGCCGCCGCCCTCTCCGGCTCCCCATCCCACGGGGACGGGGACGCGAGCGCAGGCACCGGCCTTCTCCTCGTCTACCTCTTCCGCATCCTCTACGCCCTATACACCGTCACCCTCGCCGCGGGCGCCGTCCCGCTCACCACCGTGCGCTTGCACCGGAACAGAGTCATCCACCTCGCTGTGCTCACCGCACTCGCGTTCGCCCTTCAATTCGCCATCTCCATCCTCCCCATCTCGGCTTTAGCGCCCGCTGGCTCGTCCGCAGGCGCGCTTAAGGCGCTCTGGCACGCCACGCTCGTGCTGTATGCGCTCAGCGCCGTGCTGAGCTGGACAATTCCCACCGGCCCGCCGTTGCGCTTCCCGCCCGAACGGGTGTATGCGCCTGCGACGAATGCGAAGGCGAGCAATAGGAGCACGGACAATGTGAGCGGGAGCACGGGCGCGAGCGTGCTCGATTTTATTCTGTTTGGCTATACGACGCGGCTGGTGCGGCTGGTACAGACCGCGGAGTCGCTCGAGATTGCCGATTTGCCGATTTTGCCGGCGAATATGCGTGCGACGTTTCAGTTCCACAAGATGCGCGAGCTGTTGAGGGTGTCGCCCATTGGCACCTGGGGAAAGGGCAAGGGCGATGGCAAGGACGGCGGGGAGAAGGAGACGAGACCGGGCTGGGGTCTCGCGTGGCGTGTGCTGCGCGTGAACGGTGTTGCGTTCGTCGCGGAAATGGTTATGGTGGCGTTGGCTGCGCCGCTGTGGTTCGCGAGCCCTTTTTTCTTACAGAAGCTGATCGCGTACCTTGAGAGAGATCTGGAGCGGCTGCATACGAGGTGGGGGTGGGTGTATGCGGTTGGGCAGTTGGTGTCGTTGTTGATGGTGCATATGCGTGGGTTATTTTTGTGTGTTCCTGATAATGGCAGCGTGCTGATGGATGCGGTTGGTGGACAGTGGCCGCGCAGTTCTTCTCGCTCGCGACGGCAGTGATCGAGATTAGGATCAAGGCGCAGTTGAACACGATTTTGTTCGAGAAGACGCTTGTGAGGAAGGACATTGTGTCGTCCGCTGGGTCGTCCGACTCCAAGGAGGACTCCAAAGGGCAAGGATAAGAAGAGTGACAAGGGCGGGAAAGAGGATGAGGACGAGGAGGCCGAGTTCAGCAGCAAGGCGCAGGTGATGACGCTCATGACGACCGACGTCGACCGCGTCTTCGAGTTTTCGTCCTTTGTATTTTCGCTCGTCGGTGCGTCCTTCTTCCGTATTCGCAATTTCTCCACTTCTTCCTCCCTGCTCGCTCTTTCCTCCCCCTCTCTCACACCACACCCACGCACCCCACACTCACCCTCATCATAACCCACAGACTCCCCGATAGAGCTCATCGTCGGCACCCTGCTGCTCTACCGGCTCATCGGCGTCTCGTGCTTCTGGGGCCTGCTCGTGATCGTCGTCATGTTCCCGTTCAACACGCTCGCAGGGAAAGTCGTTGTGCGCTTCCAGGACAAGCTTATGAAGGCGACGGACGAGCGTGTGGCGCTGATGAATGAAGTGCTTGGGGCTATTCGGATGTTGAAGGTGCGTTTGTCTCTCCCTCTCTTTTTCTCTCTTCTTGCTCTGTCTCTCGCTTTTTAAGTGGCTTTCTGGGGGTTTTGCTTGTTTCTGGACTGGTACTGATGTGGCGATGATAATGGGTAGTTTATGGCTTGGGAACGCCCGTTCGAGAGCCGGATTCTGAGAGTAAGAGAGCGCGAGCTCAAGTACCAGAAGCTCAACTACTGGCTCGAGGTCATATTTGCCGCCATCTGGTATGCTCTCCCCGCCCCCATCCCGCCGTAAAAGCTCACGTCTCATCTCTCTATCTCTCTCATCGAACAGGGACTCGTCCCCGCTAATCGTGACTCTCGTCGCGTTCTGGCACTTCTCGGTGTGGCGCGGCGAGCCGCTCACGCCATCGATCGCGTTCCCGACGATCCTCGTGTTCCAGGAGCTGCAGTTCGCGTTCAACACGCTCCCCGAGACGTTTGTCAATATGCTGCAGTCGTTTGTCTCGCTCAGGCGCGTCGAGCACTATCTGGAGTTGCCGGAGATTACGCCGGTGCCGCCGTTGGATGGTGGGGCGGTGCATGTGTTTGGGCCGCCTGGGGAGGGACGGGGACAAGGCGAGGGACAAGGCGAGAGGGAGTGTGCGGCGGCGTGCGCGAGCGCGACGGTGACGTGGCCGCAGGACCGGGGCGCGAAGAGCGGTACAAGCGGAGCGAGCACGCCATTTGCGCCGTCGACGCCTGGTACGCCCAGGGGACAGCAGCAAGGCAAGTTCGTGCTGCTGGACATGGACCTGCGGTTCCCCACGGGCGAGTTGTCGCTCGTGTGCGGGAAGCTCGGAAGCGGGAAGACGCTGTTGTTGCTCGCGCTGCTGGGTGAGGCGGATGTGTTGGCGGGGCAGGTTGTGTGTCCCCGGAGTCCGCCGGATTCGTTGGCGGTGTATGGCCCGAGTGGGGCCAATAGGGACGGGAGGGAGGCGAAGTGGGTTGTTCCCGGGATGTGCGTATGTGCCACAGGTGCGCTATCGTTTCGGCTTCAGAGTAGTGCCAGTGCTGATTGGGTTTGTGGAACGGCAACAGAGCGCGTGGCTGCGCAACGCGAGCATCAGGGACAATATCTTGTTCAGCCTGCCATACGACGAGGAACGGTACCAGCGCACGCTCGAGGCATGCGCGCTCATCGCGGACCTCAACATCCTCGAGGACGGAGACGAGTCCGAGATCGGCGAGCGTGGCGTGAACCTCTCTGGCGGGCAGAAGGCGCGCGTGTCGCTCGCGCGCGCGGTGTACTCCCGCGCCTCCGTCCTGCTGCTGGACGACGTGCTCTCGGCGGTGGACGCGCACACGGCGCACCACCTCTACCACGAGTGCATCAAGGGCGAGCTGATGAAGGGCCGCACGGTCGTGCTGGTGTCTCACCATGTGCAGCTGTGCTCGAGCGGCGCCGCATATGTTGTTGCGCTGGATAATGGGCGGGTGACGTTTGCGGGCGAGCGGCAGGCGTTCCTCGGCACGGGGCTGCTCGGGGCTCTGGGTTCGTCAGGTGCGGGGGCGGAGGAGGAGGAGGAGAAGCTGGTGGAGGACAGTGAGAATCTGCCGAGCGGGTCGACTTTGTCTGTGCCCAAACGCGTCGGCAAGTCGACGGACGTGGGCAGGCTTGCGTCCTCCCAGCAGGATGCCGAGGACCCGCCTTCTGAGACGAGCTCTACGGCGTTTACGGAGGACATGGCTAGTGCCACCGCCAATGACACGCCCAACGGGAACGCTGACGGGAACGGCAAGGCGAAGCTCGAGCGGAAGCCCCCGCGCAAGCTCGTCGAGGAGGAGAAGCGTGCGGTCGGGCGCGTGAGCAAGGACGTGTGGACGATGTACGTGCGCGCGTGCGGAAAGCACTGGTACTGGACCTGGTTCGCGGCTGTCTTCATTCTCGCGGCGCTGTCGCCCATTGTGGAGTCGTACTGGCTCAAGTTCTGGTCGGGCACGCCGCTAGAGGAGGCGGCGGAGAAGGGGCCGGTGTATTACATTGGGGTTTATGCTGCTGTGAGTATCAGGTTTTGTGTGTGTGAGAGAGGATGCTGCTGATTGCTGGGTGTAGCTGACGCTCGCGGGTGTGTTCTTGTCGACGTATCGTTTCTTTGTGCTTTGTGAGTCCACTTTTTTTGTTAGGTTTGCATTGAGAGATTCGTTGCTAACGATGGTGGAATAGACTCGGGCTCGATCCAAGCGTCTACGGTGTTGTACAAACGTAAGTTTCTTTTTCCGGGCACTTTGTTTGACCACGCTGACCCTCGTTTATGAAAGGCCTTCTCGAGTCTGTCCTATTCGCCAACATCCGCTTCCACGACACCGTCTCGCGCGGAAGACTGCTCAACCGGTTCGGCAAGGATTTTGAGGGCATCGACAGCAGACTCTCGGACCACTTTGGGCACAGCATCATTTTTGCGCTGTCGTTCACCACTATTGTGGTGTCCATCGCGTTCGCGGGCGGTATCCCGTTCGTGCTTGCGGCGTTCGTGCTCGGATATTTCTACTTCGCTGGTGGGTATCTGACACTTAACCTGTCACTCACAGATATACTAACTGTGATCATGATTGTATGGTTGCCAGGCTTTATAGCCAGGCCTCCCGTGATATGCGTCGTCTCGATTCGGTTGCTCATTCGCCGTTGTATTCGCTGTACGGAGAGACGATCGCTGGTGCGACGGTGCTTCGTGCGTTTGGCGCGTCGTCCAAGTTCTTGCGGGATATGTTGACCTGCGTTGATACTGTAAGCTTCACATTCTTGACTGCCAGTCATGTTGAATCTGACTCTTTTTTGCAGCAAATCAACCCTTCATACTGGCAGCTTGGTGTCAACCGCTGGATCGAGGTACGATATGACCTCCTCGCAAGCGCGACTGTCGGTCTTGTGGGCATTATCGCCGTCATGACGCCCAGCATCTCTGCCGCGCTCGCGGGCTTCGCGCTCTCGTTCGCGACGGAGATGACGTTAGCGCTCCTTGCCCTTGTCCGGCGCTTCGTGGGGCTGGAACAGAGCATGGTCGCGCTCGAGCGCATCAAGGAGTACTCGGAGCTCGCGCAGGAGTCGCCCGAGTTCGTCGAGCCGCGCCCAGCCGCGAGCTGGCCCGACAAGGGGGCGATCAAATGCGTGGATCTGGTCATCAGATACGCGCCGCAGCTGCCGAATGTGCTGCACAATATCAACTTTGAGGTGCGCCCGGGCGAGAAGGTGGGTATTCTGGGCAGGACGGGGTCCGGAAAGAGCACGCTCGCGCTGTCGTTCTTCCGCTTTGTCGAGGCGACCGAGGGGCAGATTCTTGTTGATGGTGTCGATATCGCCAAGATTGGTCTTACCGATCTAAGGAGTAAGCTTACTATCATTCCGCGTAAGTGTTTTGTTTGTCTTGTCATGAAATGAATCCGTCTCAATCGCTTCTTTCCAGAGGATCCTACGATTCTGAGCGGAACACTGCGGTCGACGTTGGACGTATTTGACGAGTACGAGGACGCCGAGATCGTATGCCGCTTCCTCTCTATCTTTCGGCGCCTGCGCTGACCTGGTTATACGCAGTACGAGGCCCTCCGTCGTGTACACCTTATTCCTTCGCCCTCTGGCGAAAACACGGAGGCTCAGATGGACATTGAAACTCCTGAGACCATCAACGTGAATGTGTTCAGGAACCTCGAGTCTCCTGTCTCGGAAGGAGGTGAGAACTTCTCGACTGGGTAAGCTGCTCATTCTAGTCTTGGAGCATTACCTTTGCTGACAGTCTTTGAAGCGAGAAGCAGCTCCTTTGCATGGCACGCGCCATCCTCAAGCGCTCCAAGGTGCTCGTCATGGACGAGGCCACCGCGAGCGTCGACTACGCGACGGACGAGTTGATTGGCAAGACGATCAGACAGTGCGTCGTTTGGCTTTTCTCCCTGCTGCGTACGGTGCTCACATGAGGGTCCAGGGAATTCGCCAACAGCACGATCCTCACCATCGCGCATCGCTTGAGAACGGTCATTGACTATGACCGAGTGATGATCCTCGACCAAGGACGCATCGTCGAATTTGACAGGTACGCTTTTCCATCTGCGTATTTTTATTAGTCAAAATAATCTCATGCATCTTGATATCGTAGTCCCACAACTCTCCTCTCAGATCCGGAGAGCCAGTTCCACGGCCTGTGCAAGGCAACAGGCAAGAATGAGTTTATTACACTCAAAAGAATGGCAGGCTTGTAAAGTGCTGCCGACTTGCTGTACATACGGTAACATACACGTTTACTTATAGATAGATTGTTTATATGATTTGGTTGTTGGCTAGTGTAATTACGCATCCGTGGTGATGATAAGAGTAGCAAAGACCTGCTACGATCTACAGTGTCTACAGAATAGCAAGGCCCACTGCAACAGCGGGGGGGCCAAGGGCGGAGACGGAGACGCGTCTCCGATTGGCTCGGAGAAGGGGCCCGACGTGCTTGCTCTCGCCTAGCTGCGGTCAGCTGCGGTTCACCAACAAAACCAGCATGACGGTCACAGCACAAACACCTTCATACCTCTATAGCTGCCAGTTGCCTTGATACTGCTAGCTGTTCGCATGCCCAAGGAAAAGACCAATGCTAATCGTCTCCCCCCCTGCGACGCCTGCAAGCTACGCAGAGTACGCTGCGATCCCGTACCCCAACCTCGCTCGTGTCCGCGTTGTGTCTCCAGAGGCATTATGTTCGTCACTCCATTGGCTTCTCGTGTTACACTTTGTGCTTATTTCCGCTTCAGATGCACTACAAACATCAGTCCACGCGGGAGGCGGAAGGCGACCTCCGGTAGAAAGATCGGGGAAGCAAGGTACGCATTACGCATACACGTTCTACTGATATAGACATATCACGTACCGTTTTTCCAGACTTCTATTTATCGATGATCAGCCTGCCAACACCAGCACTACAGCTGAAGGGGTGGCCACGGCTGCACACGGAAGCTCGTTCCCTACTGTTCGCGCAGAAAGCAGAATAGTTGATCTGGAGGTCTCAGGCGAACTCATCACACATCTCCTTCAACGTACGTTTGACTTCCTTCTCCTCCTCGACTCGTTTAATGCAACGTTGCCCTGTTGACACCTCCCCGTCAAGTATATGCGCACGTACCCCGTGCACGCGTCATCCCCTGCAACTTTCTCCTTTCAGCATTCGAATCCTCGGGTCGTCGCCTCGCCTATTTGTCCCCATCCACGCAGACTCTGATGCTAGCCATGTCCGCCATCAGCTCTCACATCTCCTCACATCCCGTCCTCTTCGGTCCGGGCCCGCCTCCACCTGCCCTATCCACGTTCTTGGTGAGGTCCCTGTCCCTCTCATCCAAGGCATTGTATGAGTTCGGAAAGCGGAGGGCGGCTGCGTGCCGGACGTTGACAGAGATGGCGCTGGAGCAAGCATGGAGGGCCAAGGTGCTGAGCAGGGGCGACGATGAGGCCATGGCTGCGTGTTTTCTGCTACAAATTCTAGAGTACCGTACGTCCTCCGTTTTGCCCGGTCCTCTCTGTCTCGCATGGATAGTACACTAATCAGTGTATCCGAATAGGCAGAGGAACCAGTCCAAAAAGTCACGTCTGGAAAGCGGCGTACATTGCGCACCTACGCCGAAGGCTTACACACTGCCGCGAAGTTGGTTTTGACGAATTTCTGAACTCAGAGTCGTCCACGTTTCTTTTCTTTACGTCGACGCCCCCGATGATGGCGTGGCCTCCACGATGTCAGACCACACATCCTGATCCGGAGTCATTCGAACCTCAAGCCCGACGTGATCATCAAAGTTGGTTACAGTACCAAAGCCCTTGTAATGCAGGTCATGCGCCCGAGAACAATACGAAACTTGAAGAAATGAGGCTCCGATGGAGCATGCAGGTGGTGCGTGGTCGCCATCACTTACTGTGCTGTGATTGCTAATGTCGAGTTTCTTTTGTGTGAAAGATGTGGGAGACCCTCACATGTGCTTGGCAAGGCGAAGTTTGTGGATAGTGAGGACAGCCAACTCATGGTTCCCTGACACCCATCTGACTGCCATTGTGGGCGAACATCTGTAGCTCACTTCACGATGAGGCGTTGTTGTGCGGTCCTCCACCTCCTTCACTCCCGGAATTGATCATGCAAGTCAAGTCCGAGAGTGTGCCGTGGTGGGATACACGGGGCTTTATCAATCTGGTCAGACCTTGTAAGCTCTTGCTTTTATGCGCTGTTTCCTGTGTATGGTATCAAGCTGACATTCATCAACGTAGACGCGTATCACGTTTCACGTTTAGCTTTATCTTCGTACGACTGGCAAATGCGTAGGTCTCTGAGGCCCAAGCTTAGCCCTCATATTGGTCCCTTCTTGACGTGTGCTGACTGTGCGCGTTCTCCACTCCAGGCAGGAAAAGTGGACTCCCCTTTTCGTTCACCCGCTTCTCCGAACATATAGAAGACGTTAAGCACTTGCACTTCCTCCTCTCCGTTGCCCAGGCACGGTTTGTCATGACGTACAGCTCTGTAGCGACCAAATTTCGTGCGTGTCATCGAACGCTTTTCGGCTCGACGAATCTGAACAACCAGTGATCAGAGAGGTCGGGAAACATGCCAGGCCCTTCGGGATGCCCATACCAAGGGCACACTCCCCTGTCAAACATGGGGAGGCATATGCTGAACTCGATGCGTAGTGCCCTCGGATCAGTGAACATTGCTATACTCGAGGACCTACAGGAGAGGGTGAGGGAGGCTAACATCGTCTCCGGTCCCACCGACCCAGACATTCCCATGCTCGAGTTGATCTTGTGCACGTTGACGCGGGCACTGATGCCCTATGGGATGTACATCATGCGCAACGCACTGAACGGAACATATATGGCGTGGCTGACGCAATTAGGTGAGCGTCTCTCCTCAACTGATTAGGTCCCTTATTCATGTGGTCCCTCGGCACATGCGCACGGATGCACCCAGGAAACGAGCCGTTCCTCTTTTGGTGTCACTTCCTCCTAAACGCGACACCAGTCGAGGACGGCGGCGACGCGTTCACACGCAGCGAGAAGCTCGTGTGCCTTGAGACGTGCGTTCCCTTTCCTTTCTCTCTTTTTTCTTCCTTTGCTGAGTGCTTGACCCCATGTAACGCTATTTGATGCATGCTGACACACTTACGGACAATGCGATGTGATGTCGTGCATTACCACAGCATGTCCGAAATCATCGCCGTCATCTCCTGGTCTTGGCCGGGCGCGTTTGAACACCCGCTCAGGGGCGAGATCGCCCGCACCATCGAGGAAATAAAGTTCGCGCAGGCGCTTAGCGAGACCCTTGGCATAGAGACGCTCAGGCTGGATTCGCGCTCCATGTTCTCCAACCAGAGTGGCTCCACTGAAAGCCCAAATGAGCTGTACATGTTCCCTGCTGTTCTGGAGCTCCCTGATATCGAGGCGGCGATGCGCGACGCGGGCGTGATGGATATGATCAACGGTGCTCAGCTTGAAGCGAACTCGGAATACGCTCGCTGGGCGGCGACGATTACGCCGTTTACTATCTCTTCTCAGGAAACCTTTTTGGATGGAGGGGTTCGTTCAATTTCCTCCGCCACTGCCGTGGATCATGGAGGTACGATTGGATTGCCCAATAATGACGATATTGGGCACGGGGACGGGCGACGAGCCACTTCGACCTTTACGCCTCGTCCGACTGGAATGCAGACGCAAACTCCCATGGCGGGCATTCCGGTGAACACCAACCGTGTGCCGACCCAGGGCTATGTCTACGATGCTGATACATCGGTGTGGGATGCGATGGGCGTGCATATAGGCGCGGCCACGGGGCAGACGGATGCTTGGACTATGGATACTGGAGATTTTGATACTTCGACAGATGACTCGTTGTGGGATCTCATGGTCCCTGCAGATCAACCGCGCTTTTCCTGTTTATAGCACAGGTTAACTGTGCGTCACCATTAAAGATGTTCTACAAGCTAGTTTGTGCAAATAAGAATGAACAGTCGCGTAAAACATAAGTATCCAACATCCAGTGTGGCTTTGATACCGTCAAACATCGAAATAATCCAGAAGTAGTGTGGTGCATGTGTATTGTTCCTCTGCATAAATTACATCATGAACTTGCCCCTTATACGCCCACACCCTAGCTCATCTTTGACGCAGACGCGTCAGCATGCTCTGGCCCTGCTTCACCGACATCATTGGTACATACTCGCTCCTCAGATTGAGCAATACTGAAAGCATCCGCTTGCCTGTGAACTCAAGGAAGACGTGAATTACGGAGATGTGGACGATTAGGCTCCAATGATCAACTTATGTGGTTCAGCGAGATGAAAGCGGACTCACCGTCTCTTGCGCCGTTCGTAGACAATGATGGGGAGCTTCACCGCCATAAGGCTTCCGACGTAATGAAGCGCGATGACGGTGACGGATACCAAGACACTGACGACGACCGCTGTGACGACCGCGTGTGTGCGGTCCTCGGCGCTCGAGTCTGCATTGATATTGATCCGCCATGTCCCGTATGCAGAGTATGTAGCGCGTCAATCAAAACGCAAAATATGGCTTCGAGAAAACGAGAAGACAAGCAGAAGATAAAAACGTACCGCCATTGATAGACTGCTCGAGCGTGTAGCCTATGTACACAGGCGCGAACTGTCTAGGCAGAGCCAGAAATGTGGCGAGGAGGAACTTGGGCATCGACGTACCGCACGTTGCTAGCACGGCGGTCGTGACTTTTGACGAGTCACGAGTAAGCGATCAAAGATGTGCAGTCAGAGTACTAGGTCTTACAATGGGGTGGTATAGCACTAAACCGCGCCATGAGAATGATCTTGAAGCCTCCCTCTCTAATGACGGCGGCAAGTGTGGCGAACTGAATGTTCTCACTCTCGTAGCGCTCGCTGCGCTTCGTAAGGAAGTATCTGCAGGTGCTAGAGTATGGTGTATTTAGTTATGAGCACCCCGTGGGCGGACACTGACCTAAAGAGAGTGCTCACATGAACAATACAAGCTCTCCGAAATATGTGCTCAAGGATACGATGAGGAATCCCAGACCGATTCCCCATGTGAGACCGCACATGGTGGCGACAAGCTCTTGCCCAGCGAGCTATACGAAGGTTCATTTGTGCGATTCTGAAAAAAGAATGAGGTGTATGAGCTTACAGGGGGAAATGACAGCACGATTATGATGGCAGCGGGTATTGCCCAGCCGCCATGGTGACTGAAGGAAGTAGGTTAGAGTTTACACCCGATCATTCAAGGCTTGACTTTTGTTGGATATGAGAAACGCACCTTCGCATCCACTGCTCTGCGGGCTGGAGACCATACACGATTTTTCTATGTAGCTTTGCGAGCGTAACGGCGAAAGCTACGGCGAAGAGGGCGATAAAGAGCATGTCTTTATGCAAGCGGGAGCATCGACGACGCATCGTCGAAATATTGGCATGGACGTTTTAACACGGGTCAATATGAGGTCAGAGGATCAGAAAACTTACAGAGATCCCTTGTGGTTGGGTGCTTGAGCTGTTCTTTGAGAGGGCGGGGCGGGGCAAGTGCTTCCCATTCGCTTGGCGTCGGGCTTGGTGTGCGGGCGCGCCCAGCGCGTGCGCGAGTCACCGAGTCGAGGGAAGGGCGACGCGACGACATCTCTATCGCTGGGACGATCATGTTGTTCTCGAACTGAGCGACTGCACTCATGTCTGTTACTGTGTAGTCTTAGCACGGGGAATGTGACAAGTTGTCGGCCTTGATGTCGGGAGGTGTGTCGTGAGACGGTGATGTAGAAAGAAGAAGGGTTTCTCGATATAACTAAAGAAGAAATGACAAGAATGCGCAAGGAGCGTCTTAAAAGTGTAGGTCACTGCTCGGGGAAGGTGTCAGGTATTTGAATAACTAGCAGTGTATTGCCACAAGCTTACTGTTGTCGCGACCTGCCGGGAGTTGCTGTTCCTGTGTTGGTTCCATATGGTTGGTTCCGAGTTCGAGATTGGCAGAAAGCACGATTCGTTGTAGCATCGAAAGAAGCAAAGATCATAAACAGCGGTTTGTGGAGGTCCTGTAGACAACATGAACGAGATTAGGGTCCTTCGGGGCTTTACTTCGGTGGTTTAATCTGACGATTGACCGGAAATGGATGCGTTCCTCGCGCGCGCAACTGTCCCTCGCAGGCTGCACCATCAGGATTTTAGTGAGAGTGTCAATCAGCATTGTAAATGGCTTGAGTGTACAGATCTATAGATACTAGCCATCTCCGAGTTTTGTGATGAGAATCCTCAAGTCAGGCTGAACGTTTTGAACTATGATATATGAAGGCCTTGATGAAGACCCGGATCGGCTCTCTTCGTTTTACCGGACCGGAGATGGACGCTTCCCACGCTTCCCGACGGTGTCCCCGAACAACACGATGTCTTCTCTTAGTCGACTTTAAGTTCAAGGTCAACAAACCTAAGACCTACATCACTAAATGAGGGGATGAATGATAAGTAAATGACCTTGACCGACATCACAGATCATGGCAAACATACACCGGGGAAATGGTGAGACTCCGACACGAGTAGCATGTAAAGTCCGTTTTTAGCATGCAGGAAAGATCACAGGGATATGATCATAGCAAAGAATCTATTATCTACTTGAAGGGGCGTGTTATCATTAACAGATACGGCATGATAATAACATATGGTACTCGCAGCTATTATAAATCACAACAGGTGCATTATAACGACTTGCAATCACGACGAGGTTTTCAATAGCAAGAAATTCATTGCAAATAATACAGTACACTCTACAGCAGACAATACAGTATACAAGAGAGTCTAATCGGACACGTCGCCAGTGCGGCTGGTCACACCGTAAAATGGTAGAGCTGCCGGCTCGCCGAATAGAATCCGGGAGCCCGAGCGCATGTCGTGTATTGGAAGCGCTAGTTCTGATAATAATACATGGAAAGCGAGGTGGTACAAGGAGGCGAGTCGGGGCGTAGCTTGAGATTCGTCGAGGCACGATGCCGGGGGATGGAGGGAGGGAGTCTTCGAGCTCTGGCAGGGGCACGGGGATGAGCAACCGCCTGCCGAGCGAAATGCCTCGGAGAAGCTTACCTGGCAGGGCACGGGGATGAGCGACCTGAGAGATCCCCGCGCCCCGCCTGCGCTCTAAAAAAGGCGGATGGCTCGCGAGCACCTGAAAACAAAACCGGGGCCTCGACAACGCGCGCAGACAGGCGCAATGCCACTCCATTGCAACAGGAACCGGGGCACCGTTGCGCACCGGCCCCGGTCTCGAATTGGCCATCCGTGAAATACGAAATGCTCAGGGAGCGAATCGCAGGCGCGAGGATGGGTTCGCCGGCGCGAGGCAGGCTCGCTGGCGTGCATGAAGAGCACAACGCTACGCGCGCCTGGTGTGGCACCGGCGACACCCATGTGTGTCGTGCGCTCGTGCGCACTCGGCCAGACTGGATCCGATTAGACTTGAGTAAACTTGTTTAAACCCGACTATTGAGGCTAGCATCTGCAAAGGATGAGTACAGTAGAAAGCGAGGGACCAGCTCTCGAGGAGGACGAAGCACCTGGTGGGCTTGACGCGCACGCGGGACAAGTCCGAGGCGTGGTAGACGAGCATGTGGCTGGTCGCATGGCCTGTGTGCTCGGGTACGGCAAGGAGGACGTCGAGGGCGAGGGTGGATGGGGCTGGTGACGACAAAGAGGGTGAGGATGATAAAGGGGCAGAGGAGATAGACGAGCGGAGGAACGAAAGGTTGAGAAAACAAATGAATGAAAGCGAGACACTAGTAATCGTACAGAGTACGGACAGAGGCTGATGTACTATGTAGTTATACGGAATCTTGCGACATAATCACGTGACGGCGCCTCACGCGTGTCACTTACAGCAGCAGGGTGTAGTCCAAGTGTAGTCCACAGGCTGCCAGGGAGAGAAAGGGTGGCGAGGGAGGTTTGGGTGGAAATTGGTGTGTGGATACTGCAGAACAGGCAAATGAGGGAGATTTCTTGGATGAGGACGAAGCAATCGCTGACGAGACCGACTTTGAAAACTTGATGCATTATAGCAGATAAGTAGTAGCTAACCGGTTTATGAACAGTTTCTTATAATCGAATTTTCATATTACCTTTGACATGACATTCGGATTATTATGCTTCAACATATCGCGAGTGATTTTATCTTGAATTTTGGTCCATGGTAAGCCCACTACCATATGGTACTTAATGATAAGATCCCTATGATATGATAATCCCGTTATCAGATAGTGGGCTAACACTTAAACGATGTTGAATCGTCGCCATTTACGATCATACACAATTAAATTAACGGTCATCTTATAATATTCATAGTCTCCATTATGCCCCGAAAAATTTCCCCCGATTTAGTGATGTAAGACCTTGAAGCAATCTTGTGTTTGATATTAGTATACTGTACCTACACGACCGTAGGTTCGTCACGCCTCACGCTTGACCTGTCAAATGAACTTAAGACCTGGTTCGTCACCCATCACAAAAGATAATGAACCTCCCCGCGTGACGAAAAATACTAATCCTCTTAACTTATATTCTGATGTAGTACTGAGTTTCAGATTTTTGAGACCCTTACTGGCACGACCACAGTCGACTGGAGATGTGATGTCGAGCTCCTCACTGGCAGGCTTCAGTGAGTCGGTCATACCGGTCTGGCAAGGGCTTGAGACGCCTGTATATAAGCCTAACGGACAAGCAATACAGTCGTTGTAAAAGGTGTGTCCGCATTGCCTGCTTCTCCTTCCAATGAAACACCCTCTTCACCTTCGTTGTCCTCAGCAATAATGCCTTGATGATGTCACCAAACTGTGACCCTAGTTCAAAATCACGCGTTCGCCGGACATTTGAACTTCAGCCTCGGCGGAACTTATCTTGATTTCATGTCACGCAGAAATCCCTTGAACCTACGGTCGTGTAGGTACAGTATCATGACCTCAATTCAGCATACAACTTCGGTGCTCGAGCCTGCTGACACCCCCGAAAACGACATGGCAACTTCCTCGGTTTAACATCTCTAAACCTCCCTCGCTTCTTTGCGAAACAAAGCTCTCTAGGCTATCAACGTCTTCGTATCATCCTTCTCATCAGATTCCTTCCAACACTGACAGTCCAGGTGTGCAGATGGCTCCAGCTTCTTAGTGCAATGCGAAGACCACACGTTTCAGACATTCTCGTACGTCGCCTCATTGTTGTCCTTTCTGACGTTCGACAGATCCACTCACTCATGCTCTCTGCATATCACAGGCTCGAGTCCCACGCGCCAGGAAGTGAGATCTTTCTAAGTCACATATCGACCTTTCCCCAACCATCGCTGATCATTGACTTCACCTGGTTCCCCGGTGCCTCACCCCAGTACCCACCCCTCTACTGCTTCGTTGTATCTGTTCGCGAGTGCCCCGTTAAACTCCTTGATGTGTCATCCGGTAGAGTACGTTGCTCCTCCCAGCCATTCCTAGGTCACGTCCTCACTCGTCGCTTACCATCCTTGCAGCTTAGAGTATCCTACAAGATCATCGACCACCGTGAGTGCTTCATCGCACCCCACTCCATGGTGTTCAGTATACATGCCAGCAAGTGCGTCTTACCCCATTACCATCCTACGCCAGAGACGCATCAGACTATATTGCGGCTTTGAGAACGCATTCTAAGTGTTTGGTATGCATCAACCAGGTGAAAGAGTGCGCGTAAAGACGTCCCCTGAACGGAAGAGCCGTGATGGGATGAGAGGTGCGTACATACGTTCATTATTTTCGTTCGCCTTGCTGCCTTTTGCATTCCTTAAACTCCATGGCTGACCTCCGCCCTTAGGCATCGTATCCGCCCTCGCCTTCGCTCCTCTTCGCCACTGGCACTCTATTGCCAAGTACACCATTCACGCCGAACATCGCGATATACAGTGAAGACATCGAAGAAACTCTCGAGCCTGTCATGTACCTCGGAGAAAACGAAGGCGGGGGAGTTATATATGGCGCTTTTGTGGGCCCGATGGTCTGTACTATTGGTTGGGGAAGGTGCTTTCTTTTTTGTGGAGGGTTCGTGCGCATTCACACTTGGAGTTTCTGGCTGTAGCTGAGGATGGCACATATATAAACGGAATGATTTCGGATACATTACTCACTGACTCATACCTTGTGGAAACTAATAGTGCTGAGGAAGGAGGAACAGGAAGCTACGTAGGCATCGGGTTCAAGGGCAATAAATAACTTATAAATAAACAATGCATGTATGTGTCATGGTAGACTGTATTTTTTCCGACTTGGAAAGCGCAGATTCAAACAGTGATTGTTCCTTTCAGGTGTCAAATCCGCTGGCTAGTTTGTCTAAATACCATCTATTCTTTCCTTGAACAACACTTGACAGGATATTATCCTTTCCCCATTTGTTATACGAAGAACCGAACACCGCTTCCGAGTCTAAGGTAAGTCCACCCAGAGATGGCGCGTTGCCACCCGTGACTGCTCTTGATTGCACTTCGCTTGAAGTGCGGCAACTTCTAAGTGGGACATCCCTAGGGCCTCCCTGCGCTTGTCGAGCCAATGTTCGCGTTCTGCCGCAGGAAGGCTCAGGAGCATGCTGACCTTGTGACGGTTGACAATGCCACTCTCCAGAAAATTCGGAAGTAGTGCACCCAGATTTCCGGGGCAGGATCGAAGGAAAGCTAACACGGCTTGGTGGTCGGGCTTAGCGCTTGTGTCGCTACAAGGCCGCTCTGATGTTGCATCGCTCGCAAGGTCGCTCGCGTCCTCACCGCGCTGGCGAGATACACGTCAGTAACTAATTCCTGACTCCAAAGCAATCTTGCGAACCTCGACCTCGTCTTCTCCATCGTCATTGGTGAAGCATCCATGAATCCTCGAGTGCGATGCACAATCGAAACGTACTAAAGACTAACGTTGATTGCGCATATCGAATGAAGATGAACATAATCGGCACCTTGTTTATGTCGGACTTGCTCCATGTGCTCCCCCCTCCTGCGCTGAAGTACATGTGCTAAGACTGAAGATCGCTTAGACACTATTCTCTTGAGCATCGCATCCACGGGCCAGCAGTCTTCAAGGTCTCTAAGCCAGTGGAGGCACGGATTTTTCAGCACCTTGATGCAACAGAAAAACGATGCAGCCATCAGTTAGCATAGAAACTAATCGGGTACATATCAACGTGTCGTACCTCAATGACAGCATCCTTTACGATGTCCCTCTCGCATGGATTGAATATACCCTCGAGTAGAAAAGGAAAATCCTTCAAAAGCCTTTGGCACTCGCGCTAAATGGATATGCATTCGTCGGAGCAGAGAAGGAGACAAAGTGAAAACTTACGTGCAACTGTTCGTACTAGTACTGTTCCATGCTTAGTCCAATACGCCGTCGAAAAGTGTTTACATTGAAGTGCGATCGCCAAAGAGTGTCTTCATTGACTAGCCGGGGAATCGACATTGTCGGGTGAGTCCGATATGCGCTGACTTCAAGTTTCATACATTTGTACTACCGCCTTGAGCAGAAGCCCAGTTTGGCTGCACAGGCAACAGGAGCCCTCAGTGACCGCTCGCAACCACAGCTTTCTTAGCTTGGACAAGCCGAGCCAATCCCCTGGAATGAGCTCAATACATCAAGCTCAAGAAGCTACACGCAGAATAAACGCGGTATATGCGATTACGCACTAGAGGGAAGCGAGAAGTGTGGCCGCTCCAGTTCGAGTTCACCGTCACAAGCGCGATGGTTTCTGTGAAGTCTTGTCGGCGTCTTCCGGACCCCCCAAAACAGTCTAACCCCTATCATGAGCGCCAACGCAACATGCTTGAGCCTCGCGCGCCAACCTGCATCAACACGGTCACCTCTCTCCCCGTCTACTATCGAGCCCTATTGCTCACACATCTTCTCTAAGAAATTAAGGACAACAACTCTCTTCGACAGGTAACATGTTAGCTTTGAGTTTCAGCTGATTAGCTTCTCCTATTTGACCATTCGATTCTCGGCTGCCCAGCGCTATTCACCCGCGCGCGTTGAACTTGGTTTCTCGAATACATCAACGCAAGATAACAACTTCTCTTACGCATCCTAATCTCTTTCTCCTTCTCGCAAGGACTCAGAATGTCTACATCCTCTGTGAGCATGTCTTTACCCTCCACATTAGTACTTCACACATCGCTGACACAGTCCTTACGTCCTTCCTAGGCATCCGCCGACAAACCCGCCGCCCCCATAGCAGCGAGTTCGGGTGTCGAGGCGCAGGGGAAACAACATTGCGTCCGCTGCCACGCCAACTTCTCCACCGACTCCAATGCTTCCGGGAACTGCGTCGTTCCACACGTGTTCGACGCGTCACAGGCGTTCGACTTCGGCGACGGCCAACGCTACTTCCCCTCTCACTGCTGCGGCGACGACGAGATCGTCGTTCAAGATACGCCCTCCTCTAGCTCCAGATCTACAGAGATGCTGCAAGCCGAAGAGGGCAAGGGTACCAAGACAGGCGAGGACGTCTCCGATGCCAAGGCGAGAGAAGAGGGCGAGGCGCTCTTCAAGATCGCCAATCTTGGCCCGTGCTTCCGCGGACGCCATACGACCGTTGAGGACGACATCGAGATGCAGTACAATGGATGGAACATCCTCAGATGCGTCACCGACGAGGAAGGTCGCTGTATGCGCGTGCATCTCGCTCAGTCGGACAAAGAGCCGGTATTCAGCACCGGCGTTATCTATACGACAGGGGATGCGGAGGATCGCGAGTGGGCTGATGAGGATGCGGAGAAGGAAAAGGGGAGTGAGGTACTGGTGAAAGCAGCATGATTGATTCGTGAGCTCCTGCAAATTTACTCCCGTTCCTTTCCTATTCCAAAATCATCCATCGAGTTGAGCACCAGGGATCAGGCATCTGTATTACATAGCATCGAAAAAAAAGACTAGCACGTTTCATTATCATAACACTTTTACGCGTACAAGCAAGAAGCTTTCTGTCTCATTTTTTCGATGCTTTCAGGCAATCGTATCACTCATAGCAACCTTCGCCACTCTTTCCTAGACGTGCTCCGTGTGTGCCTTCTCTCCTCCGTCCTTGCTGCTCCCGTCGTCTGTGACATCCTTCAAATCCTGTGCACGTTGTGCTTTGAGCTTCACAAAGTGTGCCTCCTCGTCCCATGCGAACGGACTATTGCTCGAGAAGAGCAGGTCAATCTCCTCCAGCGTGCGGTTGGCCGTCTCGGGATAGAAAGCCCACACCATCGGGATACTCAGGAAATTGACCGCTCCGAAGATGTGCAGTGTGCTATTAATCGAATTTGTAAGACCCAATCCAGCTCACGTACGAACGAAAAGAAAGCAACGCACTTCTCCTGAATCGCGTTGAACATGACTGGATTCAACAACGTCAACCATCCGTTGCCAATGCTCCACCCGACGACGCCCCATGCGTTCCCCTTCGCGCGCACTTCAAGCGGGAAGATCTCCGTCGGGTACACCCAGGGTATCGTGAGCCAGGTTGCACCGAACACGGCCGTGTATACGAAGATCCAGAACGCAGACGCAGCGCCGTATTGCGCCGCCTTCTCCGGATGGTCTCTAAGCAGGCGCCCAAAGGCGCCGGAGAGGATCATCGCGATGCCTTGGCCTACAGCGCCCCAGTAGAGCCCGAAGCGACGGCCCCAACGGTCGATGGTTAAGATGGAGACAAGGGTGCTGATGCAGTATGTGATCTAGAGTGGTGATATACTCTGAGATTAACGATGCGGTTGATGAAGTAGGAGTCGCCTACATCGTTGAGTCCGGAGAGCCACTGAGACTTGCGAGCGCTGTAGCCAGCTTGCGCGAAGATGGTTGGTGCCCACATAGTAACGGCTGCGATACCAACCCATCTAGCAAGGCGAAATAGAGAATGAGTGACTGATACGATTCCGGATGCATATGACCGATACTCACTCTTGGACGATCTGCAACCAAATCGCGAGCTGAACGCGTCTCCCAACGTGCAGGTCTCCCCAGCCTGACAGTCATAAGTTAGTATCTCTAGCCTTGACTTTGCTACACAGGAAATGCCGCTTACCAGTGCCCCAGAACATCGACCAGTACGAGTTCTGCTTCGAGTGCGCCTTCTCCAGGTTGACGATTTCGACGATTCCTTGTATCTCGGTTTCGAGATCTGAGTTGCCTGCTGCGATCTCATCGCTCCGGATACGATACAAGATTTCGCGAGCTTCGTCGACGCGGCCGACTTTGAGCAGCCATCCTGGTAGGTTATATCATGTCAGCGGCGAGATCAGTAGTGAGAGCTAAGAAGAGATTGGCTTACGGGGCGATTCAGGCATCCATATCAGAGCAAACTGCGCGCAACTGAGCGACTCGTTCTGCCCATTGAGATCCAAAATAGACTTACCATGAACGCAAACACGGGTATGATTTGGAATGCGATGGGGAACTGTCGTGAAAGAGCTCAGCCAGACAATCCACCACCACAGCGAAAACGCGGCTCACCCTCCACCGAATCTGTGTGTTGCCATCCCCAACGAATCCCAGGCCAAACTCGAGCCAGTACGCAACGACGACACCAAAGATGTTGAGTGTGAACTCGCTCGCGATGAACGCGCCGCGAGAGGTGTGCGTCGCAACTTCGGCGCTCCACACGGGCACTATGGCGTTCAAGAAACCGGTACCGATCCCATTGATAACGCGTGCGCAGAGCATCCTACCCGCACCAAATACGGTAAGGATTGGACTTGTATAGTGAGAGAGCGGGAGGATGCGTACCAGGCGATGTTTTGGGCGGAACACTGGAGGGCGGCGCCAATGAGAACCCAAATGCTGCCCTGGACAGGCCGTCAGCAAAGGCTCGTGTGTGCGTCATGGGGATTGGACGTACAATAATCATGGTCTTGAGGCGTCCGAGTCTACGAGGAGAGTCAGCAATTACGGGAGTCAAGAAAGCACACTGGGAGAACACGCACCTGTCTCCCATGACACCAGCCATCAACGCCCCGATGAGAGTGCCCAAGTAGTAGACTAACGCAGACACACAAAATATGGTCAGATGACGGCCCAGCAAACAGAGGATGCTTGTGGTATACGCACTACTGACAATCCCGCCTTGCCGTGTAGGATTCGTGATCGTCGCGACATAACCTTCAGACGGACCCTCGTACGTCGAGTAGCCGAGCCCCATTGTCTGCACATAGTGCGGCGCTGTGTTCACGCCGCCCATCATGCCTTGGTCATAGCCGAAGCTTCATCGAGAACACCGTTAGTCTCGCCATCAGAGACCAGATATGACACCAAGGCAAAGGATAGGACCCACAAGAAGATGGCGAGACCAGCGACAAAGTTAATCGTGTAGTAGAGTCGCTTGCCGGTAAGCGGAGCCATGGTGACTCGTGAGCGCGCGCTGAACGATAGAGGCCCGCAAGAGTGGACACAAATTAAACGGAGATGGTTATGCGGGGCCCCCACAGTGCCCTATATACCACCGGCTTCTCCGGCTTTTGGCCAAGGAAAACATCGGGCCGCGAACAGGCGATCAGTCCTCGTGAGCAAGGGGGCGGGTAGATCGGCGGTACCGTCGACGTCACGGATCCGGGATCGCCATGGACAATGGGATCAATCCAAAGGGCGGGACGAGCGCAGAATGAGCACACCCATCATTCTAAGCGTAAATGGTTTGTCCGCGGACAAACCATTTACGCTTACACAACCGGCAAAAGCAAGAGATCGTGGCCAGGCAGAAGGAATCGAGCTCAGTCGAGGTTGACGGAGACACGGAGAGCTTGATGCGGTGAGATTTCTTGGCGAGAAGCACCTCAAGTGAGCCACTGATATGGTCCCAGGCTCTTCCAGAGCGTCTGGATGATAAAAAAATCGAGACTTCAACGCATAATCTTTTCGGCGGTGGAGCAGGCGTTCGGAAAGAGACGTTGATGCCTCGTGTGTGGGCGAAGGGGACGTCCGGTTCTGGGGACTCCTCTACCCGGAAGGAGCGAACGGGACAGCGATATTCGTTCGTGTGATACGTCGAACAACGAAAAAGATGGTCACGATCCCCTTTATCAGTCTCCTCGAGCTTCTGTTGCATTGCATCGGGGCACTAGTGGAGCCTTCAGTATCAGAAAGATCACAGTAAAGGTAAGCAAGCGCCTACAGAGACCAGTCTCAATGCGCATAGTTATATCTTTAGAGCACTTATCCCCATGAACTACTGCCGACCTACTGCTCTCACCTACTGGCAGCCTGACTGAGCTTGTTTCGCCTGGGGGGAATACCGTGACTGGCTAATTCCGATGAGTTATGCGAAACTGCCCCCAAGCTGATGCACGGCAAAGTAAGGTACTTCCAAGGTGGCATTCCCTGAGGACACCGTGTGTCGGCAAAGGTCAGCAAGCTGGAGTTCCCCTGTGTTCCTGAGGAAGGGATTCGAACCAGTTGCCAAAGAAATGGTATCGAGGTGTCTGGACTCCGAACCCGACGCGAGGTAAACCACACTTCGGTCCTATCCGACCATCGGATCCATAGCCCGACGCGGCTCGCTTGTTCGTGCCCATTTTTATTTATTTATTTATTTTACATCAATCCAATTATCCTCTATTGAGGCATAACCATATACTATCAGTACGACAATGTGGATTGCGAGATCGGACGTGGTATGCTGATAATTACTTTCCGATGCGTACTTCAAGAGGCCGTTTACTGGACTAGTGGGGTCATAACTCGTTCTCCTGTTGAATACAGATAGAGCATATCGTGGGAAGTACAGACTCGGACACGTTTCAGCTTCTCACAATCAATACCTCCTCCAATGTCGTCTACCTAGACCAGACCCAAGACCCCATCACGCATCTTGCCTTTGCATCATGCATAGCTTGAATCTCCATCATGCGACATTCAATTCACAAACATATTTCGCCGCATCAGTGAGGCGCCTACACTAATATTGGAGCTGGTCACCGAATGCTCAGAGCCTCGCCTGAGAATGAAGATACTATTCCTGTTTTGACGGCTTGTATTTAAGAGACTGTTGGACCACTCGGTCAAGGAGAGTTGCGGCTGTTCCTTTCCCTACGCATTATGAAGCGCCCCCTGCTCAAGTTGTCCTTTCTCGTACTCTGTGTGACTGGCATGTTCACCGCATCCAGTACGGCGTGCCAGTCCGTTGCACTGAAGAAGAGGAAGGTTTCGTCCCGACCAGGCGTCAAACCAGCCCCGGAGACAGCTTCAAGCTTGCGATTCAAAAGGGCGAACGGCTCAATGTCGTAAGTCGTCTTTACGCACACCCACAACCTTCCTGACTCATTACATTCCACTCCATCCAGGTTAGGGGATGCGATGCACGATACTGCGTACGTTATCCACTCTGTTCAAGGACGAAAATTGACAAGTGTGCAGTTACTTTGGCGTAGTTGCAGTTGGGACACCACCTATAGACGTCGAGGTTGTCATTGACACAGGGTCTTCGTGAGTGCGCGATAGCCACCATATTTGGCTGTGCATAACCAATCCATCCGGTCCTGTGGCAGTGATCTCTGGGTGCCATCATCAAGCTATTCGAAATGTAATCCTGGTCATGGATACAACGCTTCTTCATCCTCTACATCCGAACTCCTAAGCAATAGTTTCAATGAATCTTACGGGACCGGTTACTTCGTAGGTTCCCTCGTCTCGGACGTCGTGCAGATGGGTGATTTTTCCATCCCGAATCAAGAGTTTGGTAAGCATGCCTGTTCTTCGTACTGATGCCGTCGAGCGGACTAGACCATGATGATTGATACCGATAGTCTTTAGGTGTAATCTCATTTGAGAATCAGACGGGTAGTCTCACATCAAATTCGACTCAGGGACTGATAGGATTTTCGTGGCCAAATGGTAAAACCACGCCATTTTGGTTTACACTTGTTAAAGCGGGACAGTGGGATGAACCGCTAATGGCACTCCATATCACACGGTAGGGGTTTAAACGATTGCAATGGAAATTATTGCATACTATTTTTGGAACGTAGGTTCAGCAATGTCTCAGGCGCATCTGATGCAGAGCCCGGTGGATCACTGACTTTGGGTGAGTTTTTACTGGGTGGACTTTTCTCTGCGCTCTTTGCCGCGATGATAATGAAATACACTGGTGGTAACTAGGATATACAAACTCCAGTTTATACACAGGTGCCATCGAGTACCATAACTTGACTACTTATCCCCCATGGGTTATTGATTTAACTGGTCAGTGTTCAGTGTTACTTCGTACAGCTATAGTAAATGACACACGACGTTAACGTATCAGAGATAACGGTTCAAGGCCAATCTGTCGCTGTGCCAGCAGGCTCCTCCGCGAACGCCATGATAGACTCAGGAACAGAACTTATTTACGGCCCAGCGAACGTCGTCGCTAACGTGTACGCGAATATACCCGGATCCCAGCTAATACAGAGTGGAGGACTTCAAGGCTATTACCAATACCGTACGTTCTCATCCCATTTTACCCTCTACACCACTTAATTATACGACATGGTCGTACTACCAAAATCAGCCTGCGACGTATCCGTGGACATTAGCCTGTCATTCGGCGGTGTCAGCTGGCCTATCAGCAGTACACACTTTCGGTGGCTGACTGACAACCCCAACCCCGGACAGTGCACTGGTGCCTTTGCACCCCAGAGCAGCGATCAACTTACGGCTTGGATTATAGGGGATGTGTTTTTGGTGCATATTATTGCTTCTTCTACGTTTTCAGTCTAACGAGCGATTTCGCCATAGAAAAATGTGTACGCAATTTTCAGGTACGAACCTCCAGCGGTAGGTTTTGCGACGCTTTCAGAAGTGGCACCAGCGGAGAATGGGGTCGACGGCTCCCCTCCGTCGATGGTGCCACCACCTGTTGATCGATACAATCAGGCGAGACGTTTAGGACATTCCATGAGCTCGAAATTTTGGGTATTTGGTCTTGTATTGTATGCTTTTCTTGCGGTTGTATATATTCTTCTTAACTCGATATGTACTTCCAGTTGGATGCTGCTTACCGGACTTCGAGCGTGACATGATGGAAGTCGGCAAGGAGGATAGCATTATATTAAGTAACCGGGATAAGCCTTTTTGTTCATTGTTCTTCTGTCTTTTTCTGACATGATCCCTTCCCCTTTGATCTGAATCTCGCCATTGACAACGAGAGCCTCGAGCTAGTCGAGGGACTCCGCACTTCCGAGCGACTCGATAACTCCATATCATCGATACGTTTCTGCAAACTAGTGATGGATGCTCTAATTTCGCCGAGAGATTCGCGACTTGTTGAACTGAGACGTGGTATAACAATCCTCTCGTGCAAATCCTGGGCCGCTTCTATGATATATATATATGTCGGTGGGATAGGGATAAATTGTTGGTAATCTCGAAACTGCGTTTGCTGCGGCGCTGATGCCTCTCCGGACCATATCCAACTTTGCGGCGGTGACCGCCTCTTCTGGTGTTAGAGAGCCTTCCATGATAGACTCTACACGTGAGATAGATCCTCCGAGACTAGCAGTTCTTTTATCCCATAAACGAGGTGCTGATAGGGCACTATGACTTCGAGAGTCATGAATGCGTGGAGATGCCACAATGTTGGAGGAATACTGTGCCGATCTATTTGGCGTACGAGATCCGCCCGGAGATCCTTGCAGTTGCAGTCTACTGCTAGAGGTGCCCATGTCGTCAATGAAAGACGTATACATGTACTCGATGTTGCTCCAGGCTTGATCTATACCACTAGATGCAGTACTCGCGAGAGGGAGTCGCTCGTATGGCTGATCCTGCTCAATCTGTGAGAGTATATTGACCACAAAACCAAATCGCCCGCCGACGAGCTCTGAGATCATTTTGAAGTAGCTCTCTGGAGGCCACGGTTTTGGATGGAGAAGTGAGAGATCGTTGGCAGTGCACATTTGATCAAAGGAGTGACGCAGGAAGCGATTGACATCTTCTCGTGAGTTTTGCACTTCTAGTGGAACGATTTTTACAAGGTCTGCCAGTTCGTGACCATATATTGCTGCTTTTACTTGTGGCCATGGTCGGCTAGTAATGATGGTAGTGCGAATAGACAGCTTCGGATGGAGTAGTATATATGAAAGGGTGGAGAGAAATGGCTTGATGAAATGTATTCCCCTGGTCGTCCCGTCTTCCAGGGAATCAAGGATAATAGACATGTCATCTTTCCCCTTCCATACTGATTGTGCCAAGACTTGAAGGGGCTGAGTGACAAGCTTGTCTAGCTGATCAGAGTGGGACTTCTCTGAAGAAAGAAGCGCTGGATCGTCAGAAATAGCCTTCGTTATGGTGGATTGAGCGCGAGGGTGCCGTAGCCCTAGCTGGTACGCTAAAGTAAGGAAAACGCGGTCGAACGTGCTGCGCTTTAGGTCCTCGCGAGAGAAGAAGAATGTTCCTACTAATGAATCTGTATCCCTTTGCCAGAGTTCATCGGCGAGCGTATGCACCAGCGTGGACTTGCCCGAACCAGGGTCCCCTGAGATCCACACTATCTTGTGATCTCTGTCATGCAGGGCCATAGTTCTGAGTGACCGAAGAATGTCTACTCGCGTTCCTTCGAGGCACTTGCAGTGTGGCTGTCGCTCGTAAGAATCATAGATGGCACCCTGGGCGCACTCCTCTGAGAGCCTTTTCCAACAGTCTGCGGTGCTTCTCGTAGGAGTGTGCTTCATACCTGCGACGACTCGTAAGACATGCATCAGTAAAACAGGGCTCAAGGACAAACCATCAACGGTTCTTTCCATAACCACGGTCAGGCTTGTCGTATCGGTTGCGTATCAGGATCCTTTCGGCCACGGATACCTTGTACTTTCTTGTATTTGAGCCCACTCGGACACTTTCGGGTACCCTGAGCGCAAGAAGCTTAAGCGCCTGTACTAAGGGCCAGTGTATGGCCCACTTTGATACAAAATTAATCAACAGCGACTCAAAAGCCTAAGGTGAAGATTTATGTCGATGTCCAGTCCTGTATCTCCATCCGAGGAGGTCGCGAGGTGGAAGCAAGTTACAGTCTGAGTTAAACAAGGAGACAGGGGCCTTGCACGAAACGTCCTCTACGTCACGTGAAACTGCACAGGTCCTTCGGCAAGTTCCGTGTACTGTATAGGGGGCTGATGCCGAGCATCGGCACGGAAACTCTGTGTAAGGGCCTGTAGGCATCGTGCACGCCCCGCAAGCTCCTCAAGACCCGCCTTCATAATGGCCAAAGTCGGTATGTCGTTCTCGCCGGTCTCAACGTCGATTTCTCGCTGATTGTCGCTACTCTCTGCTGGCCCTTCGTTGCTCATATCTGCTCCTCTCGCTCGCTCTGCGATTTCGTTCATTTCTACATCACGATGGCAAATCTTATATCTCGCATACTGACGACTCGTACGACTCCCGCGACTACTAGCCTCCGCCGGTAACAAGTACCGCATGACGCTCGGTCTGCCGACCGGCGCCGTCCTCAACTGCGCCGACAACAGCGGTGCCAAATCGCTCTTCATCATCGAGCCTTACGGCTTTGGCGCCCGCCTGAACAGGCTTCCCGATGCTGGTGTCGGTGACATGGTCGTCGCATCCGTTAAGAAGGGAAAGCCTGAGTTGAGGAAGAAAAGTGAGCGATTCCACCCTCCCTTGAACCCCAGTCTCGTACATCCCAAATCTCTCGCGCGTGAGGCAGTAGCCTCCGTCAGAGCGGGAATCCGATTATAGGACGTTTGCTCATGCGATTTCTTCACAGCCATGCCCGTCGTCGTCGTTCGCCAGCGGAAAGCATGGCGCCGGAAGGACGGTGTCTTCCTCTACTTCGAGGTTCGTGAACTCTGGTCCTCTGGTCACGCATGGCACGCACTAACCTCGCCTGTCTCATAAGGACAACGCCGGTGTCATTGTCAACCCTAAGGGTGAAATGAAGGGCTCAGCCATCACTGGCCCCGTCGCAAAAGAATGTGTATGTTTCTCCATCTCCGCTTGTTCGTCCATTATGCTCATCCACAATGTAGGCCGACCTCTGGCCACGTATCGCCTCCAACGCCGGCACAGTTGTATGATTGTCTCATTACGTACGGTGTTTGTTTGCATTACGTTTCCTTTGTCTTCTCGCACTACTATCATGTGTCCACCACAATGCACCATGTTATGAATATGACACAGCCACATGCTTCACGCATCTTGGATTGCACTATAAGAACATCGGCCATGACCGACGCCCCAGCCTTTTGACCTTGTTTGTGTTGGTCGTACAGTGATTCAGCTCGCCCTCAATCTTTTGATAGTCTCGACACTTTGACTTACATGCTCGTCCCAATGTCCTTCCAACGGTCGACGTCGTAATTCGCGGCGCTTACCCATGCATCTACCATTTAATGGCTGCATTCCACTTTTCTATTGACCTGTTTGATAAAGAGTTGCGTATGCGCATCATTAGCCGCATAGTAACTTATTTTGAAATTGTAATTAAGCCTGAGCGAGAAGCCTTGTATCATTCATTTTGTTTCGAACGTGGAATTCGCGACCAAAGGCACGAGCCAACGCCATGAACCGACATCCAGAGTGATGGCAAGCAGCGAATCTTCTTACGCGTCCTTCAGGCCAGGCAGACATCTCATGTACGAAGAGAAACTCATTCTTTAATAGTTCTAGTAGGTATCTCTAGCAACGCGATACAGGAAACAAACGGCCCCCATAAGTCAGCGTGGGTGCCTGAAGATCATGAGTATGACGCAGCTTCGATCTTGTTAAATTCCAATCTTTAAATTTGCATGCTACTGCAGCTTACTGCAGGAGGCTGCAGGCTGCGGAAGTTCCTTGAGATCCGAGAGTCGAGATTGCCTAGAGTACAACGAAATGTGCGAGATCAACGCTCAGATTGACGGTTTGACATATGATCGAGATCTACTTTGTCGGCTTACGCGCTGTTGCTCGTCGGCACACGGGTTTTACAAGGGCTCGCGGGTTCGCTGGACGGGGTAAAGAATCGACAGGAACCACTGGTATCCGTCAGCTGACACTCCGACCGGGGCATCACCCGAACGACCCGACGAAAGGAGAGCGTTTCTGCGAGCGGCGTTGCAACCTATGGCAAGCGGAGTGTAGAATTTATTGGATTTATGATTGTCAATTATCTGGACTGTGAGCGAGGAGGAGTGGTTGCGCTCGCTTAGATTTAGATTGGCGCCTGAGTATTGGTACAAGCGGTGCCGAGATTTTGACTCCCCCGAGGAGATGCATTTTTACCATTTAACGCATTAGCGAGTCGATGAACGTTGACATGACATCGCGACGGGTCGCGACACATGAGAGCGCACCGCATGTTTTTGGCTTTTGACGTTTATCCCTTCGCCCTGGGCAGAGGGGTTTCGGCTCTTCGGGACGAGTTTTCCTGCTTTTCCTGTGCCGCACTTCCTTTCCTACATTTTCGCTGTTTCGTTTGTGCCACGCCGGAGCCTCTGAATTCGGCGCTTTCGGGTGCTGGATGAGGCGCCATGAAATAGTCTGCTGTGCAAGAGACCGCATAATGATGATTGTCAAAATTTAGGTCCATAACACCATTTCATAGCGAAACCATGGGCACATGTTATCGGCAGCCGCAGCGCAAATCTTTATTTACTCCGTTCGGTCATAAATTTTGAGTTCACATACTGTACTTTTTCGACCAAAAGTTCGTCCCGTGTCCCATTCGGACCAGCACCGCGAACTTTTGGTCGGTTTGTCCCGCTTCAGTAGAGCCCACGAACTAAAATGAGGGACATGTTGTAAATAGGGGCTAAATGGGCATCAATATTTCACTTGTGGACAACCAATACAGTCATCCCAGCAGCTCATTAATACACCATAGCGCACAGAATGAGGCGACGATATCCACCACCCACTCATTTTCCTATTAAAAAAACTCGAACCGAACTTATGTCCCGCACCACCAACACCAGCGAACTAAAAAGCGGGACACGCTGTATTTGGTAGTCATATTTCCACGCCACCTCGCGAACTTTTGGTCGAAAAAGTACAGTACTCAACTTGAATGAACAGACTTGAATTAATCTTGTCAACTCTCTTGTCCTTTCATCCAGCTACAAATGATCGTATTCTAGCTCGACTCTATATGTTCAAACCTCGAGTACAAGTGTGTGATGGACCAGGTTGGACAGCGCAGAAAACCGGACACACCAGGTAGACTATGTAAGGGCTTTCCTTGTCGCCCCGGTGGCATTCGGCATTGCCCACTGACGTCGGCTGTTCGGAACGGAGAGTTTAGTTTCGATATTTGCCACGTGCGACTGTGTTCCGTTCCGGAGGCCCGCGATTAATGCTCCGCTATGTTTTCTCCCGTTCATCTCTTTGCTTTTGCTCGAGAACTAAATCTGTCTCGAACAGTATCAAACGCGTGCTCAATGATTTGGACTCCAGGTATTTACTTCAAACTCTGGCTCTGAATCGCACATTCCAGAACAAATTAACGAAGTCTCCAATTGCTTTTTACTGTGGGAATATTGAATGGTTGCGCCGGTGAAAACGTGCGCATATGATTACGCCAGTCTCAGTTTATTGCCCCTTGACGAGGATGGACGTAGTCTAGAGCCATTGCTGACAAGTTTCCGTCAATGATCCTTGCCATACGCATCCTACAGGAACCCGCAATAAATAGGGACAAGAGTTTTTACTCCAGCCCAGGCACTTCATTCTACAAATGTCGGCGTTCTTGGTCCACTAGATTCGAGGGTTTGATGCCGTTAAATCTAGAAGAATGGCGTCGTACACTCATGATTAAGTTTTACGGGTGAGATGAGCAGAGCATGACGCATGACGCATCATGCCTCATGTTTCAGGTTCATGTGTTTTCTTGATTTGTGTTCGTTCCGTGAAATCATGCGCTCAGGATGTACCTTCGAGCAACGTTTTGTGGAGTTGGATTTCTAACTGAAAACGTGAAAGGCTCCCGCCTTGTTCTTCGCATGTGCTCCGCTTGTCAGTTTATTAATTGAATTCTAATATAATGGAAGCTGTCCTGATAGAAGCAGACGACCGCGTATGGATCTTGCGGTAGAATAGAGTAAGTACATCATTGCCGCAGCAATAAACCGTTGTAGCCTCGCGCGTTCGCGCACGTTGGCCCACGGAACTTTCCGAGCCTCAGACAGTGGACAGCAATGGACACTCCGGCTTCTGTCAGATTCTGATAACAGGTCCGGGTGTAAATGGACTATCAATGGATTCCAAACGTTCCGAACACACCTTGGCAAGTAGGGATGGGTGTACCCACCGAGCATTCAAGTATCATGCTGCAGCAAAGATCGAGCTCCATAGTCTATACTCGAAGTGATCCGTGTTCATATGGACGTTCTTATCTCCAAGAACCCGTAACACATGCAACGATGTTAAGTTGAGTCCCGCTAAAGAAAGTCCGATGGGAGTACAAACATCTTAGAAGGGAGAGCACTGCGATAAAACCGCTGAACCATTCATAACCCCGAGGTAGACCAAATTCGATCCATTCAAGGATTTTGACCAAGAAGTTATCTCCGTGTACGCGAATTGATACTAATTACCATGGTAGTTGTGTTAAAATGCGCAGAAATTTGCATTTATCTCCCCATAGTCTAGTAGAAGTCACGTTACTAGTCAGTCCTCCAAATGCTAGCGATTAAGCGACTGACTATGCGAGAAAGACAATCCTCAAATTTTTAAAGAAGTCAGAAGTTTACGGCTTGCCTTAGTAGTAAGTACTATGGCAACTCATAGGGTGCCTTCTATTACGCTTTCCTGGGATCCCCAAACTATCATATCTAGCCACGAACCGAACCTACGAGGGCGAGAATCTCTCAAGTTCGTCTACGAGATACACAAGGTCACATCGTCTCTGTGATTCTGGTATGAGAACGTGGTCTGCTGTGGGTTCTCGAGAGCTTGGAAGTTATACTACACCATGCACCATCGCCAAACCTACTCAATTGCAAGAAATATGATGCCAGCAACCCGACCATCAGAAGACTACGCCTTCGGTCTACTCTTCACCAAGCTCTTCACATCTCAATAGCATTATTTCCGGCTTCTTGGCTTGTGACGCCACCCCACGCCTCCACGTCGTGCTTTTCACCTACTGCGTGGATTCTTTTCTAAAGATCCTAGCGCTACGCTGGACAGTGTCAGCTGATCATTCTGCTTATCTGCGTCCGCCTTCCTCGCTGATCAAGAGATCACGACGAAGCGCTCACATATGCCCGCCTGACCCCGCTATTATCCCCGGAAGGAACATCGCAATCAGACTTTTCCTTCATTATCAGTGGCTATACCGCGCCTTGACGTGCGTCTTGGCAGGCCGACAGGTCAACAGGCGGTAATTCCCGCTCCCAGCTAGTACTTTCTCCTCGCATATTGCTCTCGTCTTGTCTCAGGCCCGCTTGACACCTCTTGTCACTCGAAGTACTTCTTCTGAATGCTTTACCCAACTTGGTTGTGCTTTTCGCCACTCTGCCTCCACCGCTTAGCGCTCGCAGCACACCTCGGGGCCGCTCCTGCCTTACAAGGCCATATGTGCCCCTGTCAATCCCTGCCGCCCTGTCAGAGGACAACGCCAGAGCGTCCGCGCGTGCGCGAGGCAATCATCCGCCTGACAGGTTTTTTGAAGCTGCGGGACTAGAAGAATCTCCCAGAGAGTTACCTTCTTTCGTTAATATTGTCCCGAAGCAAAGGGTGTACGTAGCCTCAGCGACCGATCATCTGCCCGGTATGGTCCAGCTAGGGACTCTGATTTTGTATGGATGACGACCGGGAGTAAATTGATCAGAAAAGAAAACCTGCCCCCCGGCGGCTTCGTAAGTGGTATGGTCAGGGCGCGCCGCACGCTCGTTCCCGTTAGCTTTGCTTCCGGATCTTCAATCACAGTTAGCTCGCTATTTACTCCAGATGTCTGACCTATGCCCAAGTCAACTGAGGATGCAACGTCCAAGACGAAGTGGAAGCTCTTGGCAAATTATGCACTGTAATGCAGCTGAAACTACTTTATGACCGTCGATTCCACTCTTTGACACTAAGTGCCACCAAGATCAACACCGGCTACGCCGACGCTCTTGCTAATGGTGCATACACAGGTCAGCCTGTACCCACACGCTGGCTCAGTGTCACATATGCGACATGCGCTAAAGTTGAAGCAGTTGCTAACGCGCCCGAGCATGAAAGTACCTGCCTGATTCAGCGACCTTTCCTCTTGTACTACACAACCATTGGCACGACATGATAATGCCCCTTGATGGCGAAGGGTCATACTGGGCGCCACAAAATCTTGAATTTAAGCTCCGGTGTTACGATATCTTGTATATGTGCACTTAGAACGCCTTAACTCTTTCTTTACCAAGTATAATTGAAGATCGGCTCCAAAAGACTTGCCAAAGACATAAAGCGCTTGCACTGCATAAAGACTGTTATGGTCAAGACGGAGTTACTGTAGCTGTCTGAGTCCGAGTCCCAGCGCGCGCTGTCCGGAGGTACATCTTATCTTATCTCAGTCCTTGTACTTACGAACGTTCGAGTGTCCACGCTGGAACCTGAAGTCGGGCTTGCAACCCATCCCACCGATAACAGGTGCGCAACATTGTGCACGATCGGTGTCATTGGTACCTTGGTCATCGCATTTGACGTGGCGTCGGCACTGACTTTGCATCCGCTCAAGCCGGCGCTTGTGGGACTACACGGTCGGGGTTGAGCTCGGGTATAGTCAGCACTTTGAAGTCCTGCACGAGAAAGCTAAACGAAGCCGGCATCAGAAGGTCGAGCATCAGATCAGAACCCCCACTGCAAGATGCAACACACGCGTTCAATACAATTCATGTATAGCATTACAAGTCAGGACCGACCAGCGTAGCCCTACAGACATACATACATTGAACTACAGTACAAGTACGTGCCGATATGAAAAGATGCGAGCAGCGAGTCCGATGCAACCAAGTACAGCAAGCACAGCACAGCAAAAGTCCGACCTCAAGGCATGCAAACAAGTGAACGATGATGCAAATGACAGATGACAGATGACAATGGCAACGACAACGTCCATCCCAGTCCATTTCGAACAGCAGAATGATAGATGCAAAGGCAAAGCAAGGTATTGTTAAGTGAAGCAAAACCAAATAATGATATTGGGGGGCTTAAGACGCGAAGCCCTTCGCAGCAAGGTGGTGTGACAACGGAATAAACGTGATAGGGAAATAAGGGAGCAAGGAAGAGAATATGCCGGGTGTGCATGGCCGAGCGACGAGCATGTGTCGGCGACCTCGGGAGCGGGCGGAGAGCGCGATGAGCGTGCGTGGGGTGCACGCCGTACAGTACGTACACCTAAGTTAGGTACTTGTACATACTTACCAACCGAAAAATATATATGCTCGGTGAAAGGAAGATAAACGGAAGAAGAAGAGGGGAGGAAAGGCGGACGATGCTACAGAACGCGGGTGCTTCTATCAGGAATCCGATGATAAAGGGCGTGAAGAAAGCGTGGAACGTGGTGGAGTCGTGGGACGTGATAATGACGAGCTACAGTGGAGAGGGGAGAAACACGAGGCGAGACGATACCGGAGGAGACCAGTGGATGAACAATGGGATGGGAGCAAATAAGTGAGATGGAATAAAAGAAGTGACAGCGATGATGGGATGCAATGGATTCAATGATGAAATGGTGAAAGTCCGTATGCGCGTGTTCAATAAGTCTGCATAGCAGCGGCGTCGTAAAACTCCGCCTGGCTCGCGGCGTTCCCGTAGTCGCCATGGCCGCCACCGTTGTTGCTGTTACCGTTCTCGTCATGGCAAGGCATAGGCGGGTGTGGGTGGAGGAAGCTCGAAAATAGGTTCTCTTCGTCAGCGGGGAGCATGGGCGGGTGGAGGAAGTCCATCGGCGACTCGTCCGCGGGAAGCATGGGAGGGTGGACGAACGGCGGGGAACGGTCCGCCGTCGAGAGCATGGGCGGGTGCCAGAACGTATTGCCAGAGCCGCGGAAGATGTTGTACGAGGAAAAGAAGGGGAAGTCCATCGACGAGGAACGCGAGTGCGATGCCGAAGAATAAGAATCGTTATATGAAGAATAAGAAACAGCAGACGACGGCGGCTCGGACGCAGAGTCCGTGCTCATGCGTCGGCGCTTAGTGGTGCGCTGCTCGTTGTTGTCATCAGAATCGAGGACCTCGACGTTCTGGAAGGGCAGTGCATCGGTGGGTGGGCTTGCGAAAGTCTGATTGAGGTGGTCTGGGTGATACGGGCCAGGGAACTGGTTAAAAACAGACGCAAACGCCTGGGAGAAGACTCCGTTGGCACCGGAGTTGGGAGAGCCGAGGGCGTTCATGAGCTCGGACTGGGTGTTGCGAATCTCTGGGTCCTCAGTGAACTCGTACGTCGGCTGCGTAGTCGAGTCCGGAGCGAGGGTAGGAGAGCGCTCTGCGGAGGGAGACGGGCGACGGGAAGCCCCTGGACTAGCAGAGGGTGTCTCGGATGCATTGTCCGGACCGGCACGCCGAGCGTCATGACGGGAACGCTTGCGTATGACGTCTGATTTCATGGAAATAGGACGAGCAGAACCGTGTAGTTTGAAGCTAGTGCGGAAGGGGTAAATAGTCAGTGCCTTGCCAAAGGAAGAAGCCAGTCAGCCAACTCACTAGAGTCCACAACTATCAGTTCCGAAAATAAGATTCCAATCGGAATAGGTCAGCACATAAGGCCCAAATCACGTCAACGCGATAACGTACGCGTTGCAGACCGTCTTGCCCTCGTCGTCCTTCCGCCAGAGCGGAGTAGCAGTGGTATGGCAGTTGTAGCACTGGGCAGTGCCTGCGGGAGTGGAGGCTACACGAGTTTGAACGGGCGTCATACTCGGAGAAGCCTTGTACCCACCGACGACGTCAACAGTCTCCTGCCGAGGAGCGGCCTGTGTACGACCTTCGCCGTGGTTGCTCCGCATGGTCTTAGGACGCGGGCGCTTGTGCTATAGCAGGCTCGTTTAGCGAATGCGCCGATCGCATGGGAAAGATGGCACTCACGAGTTTGCAGTACAAGCCACATGCATTGCAGTTGAGCTCGTCATTGAGACCCCGGCGCCAGAGAGGCGTGTGCGTGGCACCACAGTTCACGCACTCGGCCTTGACCCCACCAGGAGCAGAGTTGCCGTTGGTACCGGCGTTGTTTCGGAGAACAGCCGGATTGACGCTGGTGGCAGTGGCACTGGGCCCAGATGAGCGAGTGGCAGGCGAGGTCTTGACGGTGAGCGAAGGACGGTTGCCTGGTGTCGACCCCCGCTTGGAGGCTTTACCCTCCTTAGCGGATCGAGTGACGGGATGGGTGACAGCGACGGGGGTGGAGATGTGAGACTCTTCGGGGATGACGGAGACAGGCTGGAGGACCTCGACGTGGTGATGCATCTGCGAGTGATCGTGCATGATGATGTCCTGGTCGGACTTTTGCTCGCCGAAGTTGAACGGCCACAGGTGCGAGGTGTCGCAAGTGTCGACGGTGCTGAGGAGCTCATCAAGGGGGAGCTCGATGGTGGGGCGCATGACGGAGAGGCCGTCCGCTGAAGAGCCGGTGTCTTCGCCCTCGGTGCTCATGGGCGTTGAAGCGGCATGGAGAAGGGAGGAGGGACCGAAGTCGCTGGTGAAGAGAGAAGAAGGGAACCGGTGGTGGGCCAGCTCGAAGGAAGAGTTGGGGACCTTGCGCCTGCGCAAAGTCGAGGCGTCGTCCTCGCCCACTGACTGGGACGAGGTTTGCTCTTCGAGAGCAGGTGCGCGGGCCGCCTGGCGACCACGCTTGGATGCGTTGTCCTTGAACTCCGCCGAGGGCTTGAGGTCAGGCATGCTGGCGACGCCAGGACCGGCGGGTGTGGGTCGATCGACGGAGAAGGTGAACTGCATGCGCTTGATGGTGCCGGGTTTGGCATTCTGAGACGCCTCTCGACTGCGCTCCTTCTCGGCGGCACGCTGGCGGATGAGATCGGAAGAAGCGTTGCGCTTGAAGTCTGGAGCTCCGAGCTCTTCGATGCTCCTGAAATAGCGCGGGACGATGTGGGTCCTTCGCGAATGATGGGGATGACGAAGAAGTGCTTACCGTCCTTTTTCCTTGTCGAGCTTGTCGCCCATGACCTTGGAAAGCTTCTTGAACTCCCGTTTGGACTTGGCGTTGTCGGTGTCGACAATGAGGTTCTGCAGGTGCCACAGGCGCCAAGAGAGGTTCTCGAGGCGCTGGCCCTGCTCGAGGTAGCTGGCTACCTTAGTGCAGACCTGGAAGAAGATGAGAGGCAAAGGACGACGAGAGAGACGCATATATGCAGACCTTCCATGTTTTTGTGAGCGACTCGGAGTCGCTTAGATTGCTGAAAGCAACAAACGATTTGTTCCCCTGGTGGTTGGAGGATTGTTGAGCAAAGAACGAGAGGGGAAATGGAATCGTCATGCCTTGAACTTGAGATTGACGATGGAGGGCATGCAGAGTGGATCTGGGAGAGCAGAAAAAGAGATATGACAAGCGAGGGCAGAGGGTCTGCGTATAAAGCGATGTGATTGAGCAATCTCCAAAACGGGGGACCACCCGCACGTTTCCCAATTTCCTTTTCCAAATCAAACTCAGCAAGTATTTCTTCAAATCCTATTATCATTTTATTCCTCAAGCGCCCGTGCCGAATCTCCGTAGATCCATCACCAGTCCGTCCTTCGGGTTCCTCGCATGCGTTCGCTCCTTTCTTGGCCACCCCCCCATACACGTGTCATCCACCCACCACGTAGCCCACCGTCACTACCGCCCGTCTTCCCCCAACGGCCCTCTCTCCTCTCCTCCCTGCCATCCAAACCCCCATCTCACATCCTTCATCTCCCTGATCCGAGCACTCCGACACCGTGGTCCGGTTCTCCGAGTCCAAACCAATCACCTGACCCCACCCTCGTCGCCCCCAACGTTGTGCGCCACTCAGACTGCCCGCACTCAACCAAACCTTCGCGCTCTCTGGAGATGACAGCAGACGCACTATCGCGAAATGAGATCCCGTCAGCGTCATGACCCGATCGTAAACGTTCTGAGCACTTCGATCATCCACCTTAGTGATCGGCTCTCCAGGCACTTCCCTTGTCTCGCCTTCACTTTTGCCTCGTAAGCCCTTGGCTGAGTGAATACCCACGTATCGAGTGCACCACTCATTCCATTCGCATCAGCGCTAATACGCTCGCTTCATCTTTCACCTACTTAGCGAGATAGTGCTAGTCTGATGTCGAATGCTGCGAAGCCTTCTCCCTTGACATTGGACACCCACGTCGCAACTCAGCTTGTCACAACTCCGTACGCTCTCACCCATTCCTGTACGAGTATATTTGGAATTGCTGTACAAATGCGAATCGAAGGGAACATCGCGAACAAACGCCCCTGTCAAAGTTCGGCGTCTGCCTGACATGAATTCCATAAAGCTTTCATTCATACACGCATACACTCTGACTCATGACGCGATTCCCCAAGCACGACGCTCATTTCTAGTGTGCGCGTACGTGCCGTCATCACGCACGCGAAGCCATCCCCATCGTTTACGGCAAAGCGTCGCCTATGAGACGGACGGACAGGACGGACTCGTCCGAGCATTTCAGCAGCGAAAGCATTTGAAAGTAAAAACCCTCAGCCCTGGTACCATAACTATTTGACCCGGTGCCTGTGTACAGACAGCGGTATATTCGGGAAAAAAGGGAAGAAAAAGGAAGCACTGCACCTGCTGTGCGAACGGGCCCATCACGCGGTGTCATCTCGCGTCCCCAGCACCTCGAGGCTTTTCCCTCTTCAGTGATAGTAAATAGCGGCCTGACAGCGAGATGACCGCGCGAGCCGGGCGCTGCCTGATCAAAACCGAAGTTGACTGACTGACCGCTGGGCTTCTTGGGCAATAAACGTGCTTACGCTTTCACTCGCGAGTGTGCTTAGTGAGCAGAGGTTCAGCCGTGCGTGACTTTGGACGGGTGCGCTGGTACTTACTCTCTTAAGAATAGAACCGCTATTTCAACGCAGCATGTTTCCCTATGCTTATGGTACAGTTCACACTCTCCGGTCAACTACCGCTCTGCCTTGACAGCTGAGAAGCACTTCTACTGATCAGGAGAAAGCAGGCTCGCGCGTTTACGGTGTAGCATCGGCGAAGAGGGCTATCGCCGTGCACGTATGTATGAATGTGTGTCCACAGCCCACTGCACACAACCCGGCATCAAATCTAATCTTATCTCGAGAGCGAGGCCACGAACAAAGCATCGAGGGGACACGACGCACATTGAAACATTGTCGGCTGGGCAGCTGACAGCCAGCCAGCCATATTCTGTTCTTAATTAGCCGCCCGGCGCACTGGCGCGGCAGCGTCGATCTATCTCGACAATCGAGATCGCCAACAAGGAGTGTGGGGAGAGCGACAGATGCTCGGACGGGACAAGATGTGCGACAGCCGCCCCCCGATTGCGATCTGAGAGGCTCGCGACTCTGTCCGAGTCCCCCATCATCGATAACGGCATCCCTGATCGTCCCTCGCCCATACCGCCACTTGCGCGATAACCACCAAGCCTAGAGCGATAGTAGCTCAACTGGCCTACTCCCAGAGGAGGGGAAGCTAGTGGTCTATGGTCGCGTCCATGGGCCAATCATCACCATCACGTGGGAGGGATGTGCGCTATAATAAACGATCGTGCATGGGGGAAATGAAATATGTACGTACATAATAGCCATGAAATGAAGCGAATCGAAGGAAAGGAAGCCTTCGATGTCATGCGTGTGTGTTTGTCTGTCTGATTCCAACTTTGCCAGCCCCGGTAAGTCTACGATCAGGGGAGCTAGCGGAGGACCAAACCACCACGCAGCTGCAGCGAGGCATGTCTTCTCGGACTGTTAGGAGGCCACTGCAGGTGGCAGAGGTGCAAGTGGCGGGTCAGTGGCGCCGCTGCATTGGGCTTGGGAGTCAAGAAACGCGAATACGGGCAGTCAACGCATGACACGGGTGCGTTTAATGAAGCGAATAAAAAGAAACGCACTAAAATTGGCGCACTGGCAGCGGTGCGGCAGAGGGTGCACGCCAAAATGCCGGGCGTGGAGAAACGTACGCACGGCGAGGGCAGCTCGAGGCCAAGACAAAGGATCGCGACGACAGAAGTCACTGCGAGGGCGCTGACATGGCATGATCCATGATGCCGAAGGGCGTATTGTTGAGCAAAGCTCGGCTTCTCTTCTTGCCACTCCTAGGGGCGTTCTGAGGAAGGAAGGTAAACGTGGATCAGTCGAACCCCTGGCCTGACTTGAGCTTCAGAACGAGGTATATCTTAGCTTAGCTTCCTGTACCTTTGTTTGAGCCACAGTTTTCGTGTGGGTAGTGGCCTGAACTCAACTATGTAGATGAAAAAGAGGGTGCCGCAATCGCCTAGTTTCAAAGAAGGGGCCTTGAACGCATATAGACGTGCCGTTAGTATCAAAGAGGAAACGTATGTGCTGGTTTCATTGTTGAAGCCGCTTAACACTACAGCTTAAATTTGCTTGACGTACCGACGTCATTAACTATCAACATTCGGCGTAAGCGACTGATAAGAGCATTTAACGGCTCAATGGCGAGCTTCATTTACTGATAGATGAAATGAAAGAGTAGGCCATGAGACCCCATTATTTGATGTGCCCGGCGGAAGACACCCAACGCGAAGTAGCGTAGATGTCGTCGAGGTGGAAGAAGGACCAGAAGACCACCCCACATGACGCGGTCGCGTCGTAGGTTATCAGATTATGTAATGCGCGTCTAGGTCACAAGACCACTAACATCCCCTCGAGCTTCTCGTCCCACTCCACTTCGACCTCGAAGGTTATGTTTCAAGAAAGCGCCAGGGCGAAGAGAAGATCACGCGCCCCAGGGGATGCGCAAGGCCGGGCTCCAAACACCCAACGGTAAATTGCCTGGCTGACTCAGCCTGCAACTCTGAGCTAAAGAACTAGAACGTGCTGATCCCAGGCGCGACGCTGGGAGTGCGATGCACGAAAAGCACTGGCTCTGACCCACCTCTCTGCCGCACTTCTTTACCTGTCGATACGCTGATCCTTTTGAATTTCCGTACGACGCTTCGTTTCTTCGTCCAACAGGCACATCATGCACATGCCACCACCACCTGTGGTTTACACTACAGTCCCCTGATCAGCGCCGCCAGCGCTAATCCACACCAGACCCGCAGGGGCCGCCACACGATGGGTTTACTGTCGTGATTCTAGAACGCCAACGGCCGTCGTCGGCGTCGCCACTCCCGACCCCCGGATTTACCACGGTATCCGCCCTGTCGAGATAGGGCGCTCTTCTGTGGCCTCCTCGGGATCTCACCGTCTGATAACGAAGCCGTTAGCCGACGCTACGCGATCAGACGTCCGACGCCATTTCAGCCTGCAAATTTACTCCAATCTATTGCACTGTTGCGGCGCGACCCTGAGCTTATGAGCTGTGACGTCGTTATCCTCGGGAGTTGCCACTCACTATGACCTGTTGAAGTATCGTCCCTTCATTTCGCTTGTTATTTGACAGGTGCGAACAGTGACGTGATAGGGGTTCCGTCTTGTACTTGCAGTTGTGGAAGGTCACCGGTCAATTGTCAACGGCCAACTGTACTGTATTGAAGCGAATGAAATTAATCCGTCAACACCAGCAGGGTTTTACATAAAACAGCAAGCATATCCCCACCATAGAGGCGCTGTTATCTGCAAAAGCACGTTGGAAGATTCAAACAAGACGCCGACGATGCCGCTCAGCTCCACTCCAAATGAGATGGTGGGAATTCGTAGCAGAGAACCGAAAAATGGGCGTGAAGAGGCTTGAAGCCGTTCAACCTTCGCAAGCATAGCAGCGGCGAGGATCGGCCAGGTCGCGAAGTTGTGGATGTTGTATTCTGCACCCATTGTTCTCTCGGGTAGCGCTCCTTGAATCTTGCAATAAAACTCAAAGAACGGTTTGAAACCCTTGTACATTTCAAACGCCTCTTGAATAACAGTTGCGCGTTCCGTTCTCTCCGGTGGCCGCGGGTCGCGCGAGCACGGTCGGCGAAACACATGCCCCAAAATCTAAAGCACTGCAAAGCTGTTCAGGTCTCTGAGTCCATTGATTGGTCCTCCCAGACAGCTTCTCTTTCACCTCACACACCCAGTAAATTTATACCAACTGCATCAAGAGGGGCGTCCAAATTCTCCAATGGACTTTGCAGTATTTACAAAGCGTGATCTGTGTCCTCCTCTGCATTCTCCAAGTATCATCGTCCCACAGCATTCAAGATTCGCGTGGAGATGAACCACGCGGTATCCTCGGGGAGCTTGCGCCGAAAAACACTCGCCAGAACATTGTACAGAGGCACAATACGCTCCGACTTCAGTAGCAGCCCAAACAGCGCAGCACTGTTTGCAAGCACATTGTGTTATCTCGGTCCGAAGCTTGGAGAAAACAGCGTCTATCATGTGTTATATCAGGATACAGGAAGACAGCCCTCGAGATCTAAAGTTCAAAACAACCGCCACGAGTGGGGCCCCGGCACAAGCGGAGACAAAGGACGGCCCGGTCGAGGGCCGCCGTTGGGCCTCATTGGGACGCATAAACTGTAGAAAGTGCTCGGCGTCACTGCACGTTGGCCCAGGGCCGGTGGCACGGCTACAAAACATTGAATGTGAGAAGGTTGAGCACGAAATCTTTCTCCCAGTGTACTCCACGATTCGTCGCATTGCAGGAAGGCCTTATACTTGGTGCGGACTGAGTAAACTCAAGGTGAGAACAAACCGAAGAACGGGCAGGCACTCGACTGGGGGTACAAGGTACGAAGCTGCCTTTCAAAACTGGGGGAATTTCGAAGATGCTGGGAGAATTACTGACCCATAGCGAGATCAGTTTAAACCGCGGGAGAAGGAGAGATCACTGGAAGGTATGCAAATATTGTCGTTAGCCCCACTTTGTGATCCGCGACGGTCGAAAGGATCAAACGATGATAGTAAAGTTCACGAGAAATGTGCCCTGTTTTGTACGAAGCATATGTACGTGCATTCGAAATCGAAGTGGGGGAAGAGCAAAGCAAACATACCTGGCAACAAGTGGCTCAGGTCCTTAGCTGGGGTTGCGTCGATTATACGCTTCCGGGACCGACATGCGGATGGCCTGGAAGGTGGCGTAGGCTTAGCGTCAGCCAATTCAGTCCTTGCGATCGACAACAAGGTTATGGAGGATCGACTGTACCTCCATTCACAAGGGGGCGTCACCCCACCCTCTCATGATTAGAGCAGTCTTGTCAGCCTCCGAGGGCTTGTAGGGCCCGATATCCAACGGATCAACTACTCTGATGTAATCGTTTACCGGGGAATGAAAGCGAGAGTCGTTCAAGCAGAAAGCACCGAGGTGTTCAAGGTTGGCTTGTGTACCACGCCGCAGGAGCGAAACCGGAGCCATTTCAGTGGCGCATACCCAGCTGCGAAAGGGATAGCTGCTACGCCTCGAGGCGTTGAGATATCGTCGCAAGCCAATTATAGTCGGCATGATCCAAATCCAAGTCCGCCAGCTATCTGAGAATCCTGACGTCAGCGAAAGAGCAAGCCAGCCCTGGCGGTGTTAGGGATACTGCGACTCGGCCAGCAAGTCTGTTCCGAGCATCCGAGCGTCCAGAGGGACGCCTTCGGCCAAGCGTCCCGGAACGGCAGGGATCGCGTCGAGGACCTCAGTCAAGTTGATAAGCGACGACGGAGAAAACTTTCCGGAGGGAATGGAGCATATGAAATCGGCGCATTGTAAGGCACTGAGGTCCATAGCAAAATGTTCGGAGCCGATTCACCCACGATTTTGACCCGGCAGCAAGCCAGAAGGGCCAAGACATCTTCGCTTTTTTGACCTCTTTGCCAGTGATTACGCTGGTGGCAATCAAGAGACGCCATAAGACAGCCGAAGAACCGTCTAGAAGAACTCAACGTTCAGGGGAAAGAATTCAGGAGCATATGCTCTGCCGAGGTGCATAGGCAACCGTGGGGGATCACCTGCGCCATACAGTTAGCTAGAAGGCGTGCTGATGCTGCCAATCAGAACTTGATCAGAAATGTGTACCCAAGTCAGACAATTAATGAAGCTGAAGAGTGAACGAGAGCGAAACCTGCTTCCGGAATTCGCCGAGGGTAGGACCACCAGGGACCAACGCTCGGAAAATCTGCGGCAGAATATCAACAGGGGCTATTTTCAACAGGGGTTATTTTCGCCGGGCTCATGTCATTATGGACTTCCATTCACAAGCAGGCCCAGGGCTCGCTACAACGGCCAATGCGTTCACCAATCACTGGGGGGGGGGGGTATTTTTCTCGGAACGGGTGGGTGGTAAGCAACACGTTGGGGCGGAAGTTGTACGTCGGAACTGAACCTACGTTTCGTTCTCTGAACGGGTCAGCCAGTCCGAAAGGCATGATACACAACAGTATACAAAGGCAAGTGAGACCACAGGGTTGGCCTGCCGGGTAAAAGCAGATCCTGTAAAGCTGAAGTCCGTGCGTACGCACAAATGACACAGATGAAAGGTCCATGTATGAAAGTAAAACGAGCGACGATTCAATATTCAATGTCCGCTGGGTGCTGTAAAGTAGGCGTAATGTACATGTGATGGTGAGAGTGACGGCGACACATCAAAGAAGCAGGGCTAAAGAGAGAGTGAAACTGATCAGTCCGCTGACAACAAGTCCAACACCTTGGCACATCCGAGGGATGGCGCCGCTCGGCAAAGCCGTAGGCGAGGGTGCAGGTCCGTTGATGCCATTCATCGCGAGTGCTTGCTGTGAGAGGGCTGCGAAGCCGACTGAGGGAGGTTCGTAACGGAAGACAGTGTAGACGTTTTTCTGGTGGATCAAGGTTAGCAAGGAATTTGGCGGCAGCTAAGCGACGAGTGCACGTACCAGGAAAGTATCTCCAATGATCCAAGACGGGAACGAATCCGGGGTTGAGTCGGCGATGGATGCTATGGCACCGACGCATACGTTGCCCTCCTGAAGAAACATGAAGTCGGAGGGGTCAATTGGCCAATTGGCCCCGCCGAAAGAGAGGGAAACGTTGACAGTGGTGTTACATGCTGTTGAGGTCGTACATGTATTCAGCTCAAGTAATGTCTTCAGAGGTAACACTACGAAAGACTTACGATACTGGTAAAACCCACTGGCACCGCTCCACGATGTGGATCCTGGTATTTGTGCGTATATCTGATCGATGGACGATTGAGGGCCATACAGAAGCGATGTTCCAGAGTCGATGATGGCTTGTGAGTAGTTGCCTACTGGTGGCGAGATAGGTTTTCCTTGAACATTAATGCCTGTTTCATCAGTCAGATTGAAAATAGGCACTGAAGCAGAAAGGCACGCTTACCGGTAATGTCCAGCACCCACCATGACGGCGACATGGTCAAGGCGTGATACTCAATATCTCCGTTATACAGGTTCGTATCAACATATCCTGAATGTCATCAGATCAATCATCCTGACGCATGGTCACACCAAATGACAAGGCGCGTACCCATCGTGAAAGTCCCGCCCGGTTCCACCTCAGTAGCATTGGTGTCATTACGAAACCTGGCTCAAGGTCAGCTAGCAACGACGTGTCTAGGGTATCACTACCCACCTTGAAAGCTGGAGCGACATGACCGGTGAGTCCCACTGGCCCGAAGACACCAATGTCAGCCAAAACGGTGTTGTGCCATCCGAAGCAAGAGGTTGCCAGGCGAGGCCCATCAACCCGTTCACTTGAGGAGGAACGATCACGCTGCTCCCGCTCGACACTTCGTAGCTCGCAGCACCTGTACCAGCGTCTGGTGAATATATCACTTGACTGGAGAAGAAGAGCGTACCGAACTTCAGGCCTTTCATAGTGAACCCTCCCATGCTCACGGTGTCTTGCACGAGACTTCCGTACACCGTTCCGCTAGCGTATCCATAGTTGACGGGCGTAGTCAAGTTCTGGAACGTCGAGGACTTGGAAGTCGAATAGGTGGAGTTTAGAGAGCACGAGGAGTTGCACTGTGTGTCTGCCAGCCACAGATTGCTTCACGGACCCGAGTAAGTGGACATGCCATTCCTGTTTCCAGAGACTCACGAGGATCCCGTGTCCAGAATGACTTCGTACTCCACTGGGGGTGTCCCCACCGTTATGATCGCATAGTATCTTTTCGTCTATGAGCATACATGGAATGGAAGCATTGCAGACGGCGTACCCAATGTCACCATTCACATTCCCGAGACCCGAACTTCCATCGCCCGGCATAGCTGCCAGCCGAGAGAACCCATACTTCGCCGCGATAGCGTTCTGGGCTTGTTGGAGCCTTGCCATCTGCTGCACCCCACTCCCCGGATTCTTGAGCGTTAACGAAAGTGCGTGCCCACCAGCATTGTTGACGTCATAAATAGCCGCAGCCCCGACGGCGAGTGTAAAGAGTCCATAACAACACACGTATACACCCAGCTCGTAAGCCCTCGTCCTCATCGCTGCATGCAGAGGTGAAGGAGCGGAAGTGAGGGAGGGGATGGAAAGGAGCTGGACACACGACGGCGTCGTGAGGAGCTATACATAAGCGACCCAGACAAGGATCGACGGGATTATGGGTTTCCTGTGAATGTACTCACGACGCAACGCAGGCCGGGATTATGATTTCACCCGCGTCCTTCTTTTTCCACCAGTCACCTTCTTAACGAGAGATAGCCTGAGCTTGAAGATGGCAGAGCGTACTGGAATGCCTGAAGACCCCGCAAACGTTCGGACGAAGAGAGCTTTGGACGGCATGCCAGAACTGTGATGACGATCATAGCGACTGGAGGTATGAACACATGGGTGAACACAGCGGCACGGTAAGCTATAAATGGAGCCAGTGTCCACGGTGGTCTTCGTCGTGAGCTTGGATCCATCAACGTTGATAGCTTGATATGACAGCTTGATTTCGATCATTCATCCATCGGTGTGTAAGTTATGGTCGAGCTGAGAAGTTGGAGGATGACGGAAGTTTCAACCTGCAGGTAAGAGTACTAAGAGACTATCACGTCGGGTAAGGCGACGTGGGTTTGCAAGATAGCGAAGAAAACCAAAGGGAAGAGTCACAAGTAACTCACGTTGATGTGAATCTGACCACCGTGTCCACTTGGCATGATCTCAACGCGTCAGCATTCGCGAACGATGAGTCCTTTGGTTCGACGAAAGGCTGCTTGCTGACAGCTCAGCTTTTGAGAGGAGTGTATTGTGTAGATCAGATTCATTACATGTACAAGGGGTAACTTGCTTTGGCGAGAGGGAGAAGTTCAGGCAACGGTTGCAAGGCACGTCGCCCGACGTCCGACACGTCCGGCACACTGCGGAGTTAACCGGACGACATCAGAGGTGGGCGCCTCTTCAAGCGCCTTGGGGATCTGACACTCAGGGGCTAATGCACGACCTTGCAACAGTTCGCAGCGGATCGTCCCACGTAGGGTGTAGCATAGGAGATTACCGTATATCTACTGGTGAGCTACAAACTAGGCTTATGGGGTTTTGTCATTGTCGCAGTGCGAGGGAAAGCCCTCGCGAGCATGGAGAAATCCCAAAGGTCTACCCTCGCTATGATCTGCAACTTGCACCGACTAGGAAAAAACATAATTGAAGCAAGGGCACGTCGCCAGACAGCCAACATGCTTGCCGACGCGATCCGTGCAGTTGACCAGAATACGCGACCAAGTTTACCAGGTGGATGTCAATGATGGAATGAAGCTGCCACGGCTTCGCCACAATATATTAGATAAATTACAGCATGCTCATTCTATAGATGTGCCTCCTCCACAACAGCGGCCTTCACTTCATCTGCAAACGGCCAGTCGGTGTAGCCCTCCGGCGTCAAGTTTCCCACAAGGTAGAACTTGGAGCGGTCCGAGGGTGTCAGCGGAAGGTTCTCCTTCAGACGGCGAGGGAGGTCAGGCTGTACACAAATGTCAGCGTCGTCTGAACTTGCGAGTGCAGATGAAGTGAGCAAACAGCGTACATTGGATATATACAACCGTCCGAACGCGATCAGTCCGCCCTTCGTCTCTGCAACTTGGAGAGCACTCTCGCGGGTGTAGCCGCCGGTGGCAATGTAAGGGCGGTCTCCCCATATTTTGCGGAGGAAGTCATTTGACCCTGTCGTCCTGTCATGTTCACCGCCTGAAGCGGGCTGAACACCGCCGTGAAGATAGGCGACGCGGGGCTCTGTAGCGTGGATGTAAGCAACTGAGCGCTTCTTGAGCTCTGTTGCGAAGTAGGTGAACGTCGGGATTGGATCTTTCATACCCATATCTAAAGTTCGCGTCAGCTGCTTCCGTAAGGAACAAGAAACGCAATCAAAGCACCTTGGAATGCGTTCCACGGGCTGACCCTAACGCCGACTCTCTCTGGTCCCACCGCCTGTGAAACGGCATCCACCACATCGAGCGCAAACCTCGCCCTATTCTCGATACTTCCCCCGTACTCGTCTGTGCGGTTATTGACCGTATCCTGCAGGAACTGGTCGATCAAATACCCATTCGCGCAATGCACCTCCACGCCATCGAACCCGGCTGCGATTGCGTTCTGCGCAGCCTTGACATGGAGTTGTACGTACTCCTTGATCTCGGGTACGCTTAACACGCGCGGGGTCGTGGTGGTGCCGTCCATGCCAGTGAAGGGAATCTCAGACGGAGAGACGACATCAAACCCGTGCTCTTCCAGGGCGGCGGGCTGTGCAACGCGGCCGACAGCGAAGATCTGGGCGAATATGTAGGAGTCTTTCGCGTGCACGGCGTCGGTGATCTTTAGGCGGAAGGGGAAACGTTGTCAGCGTCGGCCTTGAGATGTGATGTACAGTAGAGTAGTGCTCACCTTCTTCCACTCGGACGTTTGAGCCTCCGACCACAACCCCGGAACATGGGGCCAACCGCCTGCCTGCGGAGCGATAACGGTACCCTCACTGATGAGCAGCGTGCCAGGCGTGCTTGCACGCTGGCTGTAGTAAGTCGCAAGCAGAGGCCCGGGGACAAAGTCTCCATGATTACGGAAACGCGTCAGCGGCGCAAGGACGACACGATGTTGGAGCTTGAGGTCCCCAACGCGAACAGGTGTGAACAGAGCCGGAACGTGGGTCGATTCGGACATCTCGAGTAGAAGTTCGAAGGTGATACAATGCTTCACCGGGTGTGGTTGCTCAATGCCCCCGAGGTCAGTTAGCACTTTATACCACCTGTGACGTCTTATCTACTGAATCGTGAAAGGATGCTGTATCTGGAAGGTTGAACGTACGTTGACAAGCACGTAGCCTTGACTCCGGGACACGATCCACTTCAACCGGGAATCATCAGCAGGAGTAGTAGTAGTGCTTAGAAAGCCTCTGTAATGTATTTGACAGCTGCTTACCAATGATATGTCAGCCCGCAGCTCGGAGAAGCTAAACTGAAGATACGCTTAATGCACCATTTAGGCAGCGGAAGGCGCCATCAACGACTCAGGAACCGGATGGGGGTTGAGTCGTTGAACTGGCTTGATTTGATGGTGTACTTGAGGCGAGTTCAAGAATCGTGTTTCCGGCTAGGGGCCATGTCATCCAAAATGGTATCAGTTACCTAGTACACGGTCCCTCTGTATCTCCCGTTCTCATCGAGGTCTCTGATGCAGATACTTATGAAGGCAAAGAGGGATAGATGCGGGGAGGGGTGAAAAGTCGCGTTGTCACCTCCCAACGCTGCGATACAACCGAGGGGAGCGGGCGCGATGATCGTGATGTTGACGATCCCTGTACTTCTGTGTGAGTAGTGCCACCTATGCTATTTGAAGTTTTAATGAGGTTTCTACTGTCCGTCCCGAGGGCGTCGCATCACGCCGTGATGTTCATGTGAGGTGCGACGTGTGTTTTGTCGACATGGTCGTCCCAGCTACTGAGGCCGCCGAGCAGCGTAATCCAGTGGTAAAAAGCTAAATACAAAAGCTCTTCACCAGTGGATTACCAGCTCAAGACGTCGTGTTTCGACGTAAAGTATATAGCTGTTGCGCTAGGTGCGTTATGGTCGGTTAAAGTAGGAACCAGGCGAGGAAAGCAAGAGGATAGGACAGCACAGCGTTATCGCGGGACTTGCCGAAAACAGGCCCCTATCACCGTAAATCTTGACTGTGTGAACGAACTGTTGTTTCTTGTCCGCCTCTTCCGCAACAACAGCCCACTGCAATCAAACCCAGGTCTAAGTAAAGCACTTCCCATAGTCATGGCCAGGAATGACCACATTATGCTTCCACGAAACCCAATCATCAGCCCACCTACGAGGATCATACACATGTCGCCCGCCGCGGGCAGGTATATCTACAGCGCGATGGGAGCGGTTTGGCAGAACATCTTGCTCTGTCCTTCTCTCCCCGCCCCGCTTGCATGGCTTCGCCGTCCTTCAGATCTGGCAGCGGGAGCGCAAGCGTGCTCGACGAGCCGGTGTGCATTATTGGCTCGGGTGCAGCTGGTCTAATCACGGCGCATACACTGATACAAGACGGCTTCTCGAATGTTACCATCATCACTTACGACAGGTCTCCCGGTGGTGTCTGGGCCAGGCAGCGGATGTATCCCGGCCTCTTGCTAAACAAGTATGTACTTCAGTGATACCAGGTCAATGAGACTGACCACTGGTATAACTCAGCGTCGCAAACGAGTTCCGCTTCTCGCCTCTGCCGATGAAGCTTTCCGGTCTGCCGGGGAAGCGCACATCGGGAGAGGAGATGCAGGAGTACCTCGAGAAGTTCACAGCCACCTTTCTCAAGGATTGTATCTCGTATGAAACCGAGGTATTCAGGATACAGCGACAAGAAGGGAACGGGTGGTTGCTTGACATTGTGGACCGACGTACCAACACCCCCAGCCAACGCTCTTTTTCAAAGATTGTACTTTGCACTGGCGTAAGTTCCCTCCTCTGACCATACATTTCCTTTGTCTGTTCCATCTCTGCACGCGACTGACTCACGAACAACTCCAAACAGGGATGCCACAACCCGTCCATCCCCGCGGCACTAACTCCAGCCGCCGCACAGAGCGCGGGCTTCACTGGACTCGTCATCCACTCGTCCGACTTTGCATTACACATGCATAAAATCGTAGAAGCGGCGCACAAATCGTCAGACGCGTTCAACGTAGTTGTCGTAGGCGGCGGCAAGTCCGCGGACGAGTGAGTGTCTCCATGTTGCCAACGCCCATCATACTCCCACTGCCCGAATATCGCGGCTAGGGACGTAATGCTCATTGCGTATTTTCTTTTTCTTCTTTGGTTTGTTCTCTTGTCGTGGCTTTTAGCATGTGCGCATACTTGGCTTTGCACGACGTCCCCGTTACCATTGTCTTTGAATCGACGATCACGCCCCTCGCGACACCGTTCACGCTCCCGGATTGTATTCGAAAGAGCAGGTATGTCGCGTTCTAGTCTGCATGCTAACTCAATACCATATTAACCCGCCCACGAAACATTAGGCTCTTGAGCGTCTTGTCCCCGCACATCGAGCTTCGAACGAGGTTAGAGTACGTTGTCCGATCCGCATGTGCTGCATCATACATCAATGTTGACGCCTGATGACCATCGTGGCTCTCTCACTCTCACAGGCGCTTCCTGCATACGACCTGGCTCGGGAGCAAGATCGTCGCGGGCTTCTGGAAGTTCATCGAGTGGTCGTCTGTGCGTGTCTTCCACATCTCTTCCCCCGTCTATTTGGCTCTGTCGTTGATTTACCTTTGCTGATGCATACGCATGCATGCAGTACGAAGTTCTCGATGTACCCAAAGACTCGCCTCTGCGCCAGACCTGCCCACCGTACTGGACTGTGCGGGGTGACGAGCAGGGTATACCGCGCGCGGACAGCTTCTTCGCGCTCGTGAACGCTGGCAAGATCAAGCTTGCCGCCCCGGCGAGGGTACGCAAGTATCAGCCGGACTCGCTGCTGCTCAACACGGGCGAGAGTGTCAAGGCGAACGTGGTCATCCTTTCCACGGGATTTAAGTCGTCGTGGCCTGCTATGTTTGACGGTATGGTCATATTGCCTCCTTTTTAAACCCTTTTTAAAACCAAGAACTTGCTGCTCAACAACTGTAATGTAGAGGAAACCAGAAACAGCCTGGGAATCGCTAGACAAACCGTCGCGATAGCCGAGACCGACGAGTGGGCATCGTTCAGGAGCATCGCTTCGCCTCCGGTCATTCCGCAGACCAAGACATCCGACGCGCTCAGCGGGTCAGCGATATACCGCGGCATCGTTCCCGCGAGGAACATCGAGCGGCGGGATTTTGCCATTAACGGCGGCGTTGTACGTTCATTTCTAATATACTGTCTTGCTCCATTTCCACCCATCATACCAAAGTTTCCGACCCTACACTGAAACTACGCACCGTACGACTAGTTCACAACCAACAACGGCTACACGTACGAGATCATCGCACACTGGATCTCCGCCTACTTCCGGCATGACCCCCTCCGCCTCCCATCCTCCCCTGAAACGGCCCTGGCGGACTCGGCGCGGTGCGTCGCGTGGCTCAGGAAGCGCTACCCGGGCACGCTGGAGCACATCAACGAGAGCTACACGAGCGATATTGCGTTCTGGACGTACGTTCCTTTCCGATTTTTAATTCCATATTGTGGCCATTGTTATTGGAGAATTGGAGAAGGACGCTGATATGAGGCTTGGATGGTGCGCAGGTGGCCGCAGTACACGGACTCTCTACTCGAGGACATGCACCTGCGCGGCATGCGGAGCGGCGGAAACTGGCTCACATGGCCGTTCAAGGTTGTTAATGTCGACGAGCTTGCGACGCTGAAGGAGGAAAGGGATGCGGTGCGCCAGAGGGAGAAGCTGAAGATCCCGGGTTAAGAGGCTGCCTCCGGGTGGTCTATAGCGGTGACAGATGTTTTTCATATGATACATTGTTTGTTGCGTATCTGGCATTTCCCATACTCTGTAATCGATCTCGTATGTATAAGTTATTTATTGCGCTCGAACCCGATGGTTAGGTAACTTCCCTTTCCTCCTTCATCAACACAATTAGGTTCTACAAGGTATGAGCCAGTAAGTAAGGTATCCGCGACCAGTCCGTTTTTACATGTGTCATTTTCAACTACAGCCAGAGAGTCCCGGTGTGAATGCGCATGAACCCAAAAAAAAAGAGGAGCACCCTCCTCAACTCATCATACAACCCACCAACCCCACCAAAAGCACCGTCCAAGCACCCGCGCCAAACGGATCCCCCAGCCGCCCAGCCGCAACCCCGCTATTATTCTGCTCGCCGCCCTGCGACCCGACGTCCCCAGGCGGCGTCCCGTTCACCCCATTCTCCGCAATCGCCGTCTCCGAGAGCGCCGCGAAGCCGACAGCCGCGGGACTGTAGCTGAACACCGTGTACACGTTTTTCTGTGCGCATCCTCATCACGTCAGGTTTCCGTTCCTTTTGATGAGGAGGGAGATGCAAGGAAAGGATCGGCTCACCAGGAAGGTATCGCCCACGATCCACGCTGGAAACCCCGCGCTCTGCTCCGTGGGTGCGAGCGCGCCGATGCACTGGCTCGCGTCCGAGCCCGCGCCCTGGACGGCCTGGAAGTCCGCGCTGCTGATAGGCCAGAAGGCGCCGCCGAAGGAGAGGGTGAGGTTCACGTTTGTGCTACATGCTTTGAGATTACATAGCCATGAGGATGCCCGGTCAGGGAACAAAGTATACAAAAAGCTAAACAGGACGGAGGACGCACGATATTGATAATATCCCGCCCAGTACCCGCTCTCGATCACCTGCGCGCTTGGGATGTTCGAGTACACCTCTGCGACGGTGGACGTCGGGCCGTAGATGAGCGTCGTGCCCGAGTCGATCATCGCTTCCGCTGAGGAGCCCGTCGGGGGTGTGATAGATTGGCCTTGGACGGTGATACCTTTGTATAAACGATTAGTGTACGGTACGGTGGCAAGGCAGAGGGTGAACATACCAGAGATGTCGATGACCCACCAAGTCGGCGTCTCGGTGAGATTGTGGTACTCGATCGAGCCTGTGTAGAGGCTGGAGTTGGTGTAGCCTAGCACCCGACCCCATGAGCACGATCGTCAAGAAGAATACACAGCCCGGAAAACGCACCCATCGTAAACGATCCTCCAGGCTCCGCGTTGCTTGCGCTCGTGTCGTTACCAAACCTGCCCACCCGGCGATCAGCAATCCGCCCAGGCTACACGCATCGCCTCCGAGCGTCTGCTTCCTACTTACCGCGTGAGCTGCAGCGCCATCAACGGCTCATCCCACTGGCCTGATTCTACGAGGTCAAGCCAGAACGGAGTGCCGGCCTGCGCGAGCGGTCTCCACGCGAAGCCCATTAGCCCCTGCGCTTCCGCAGGGAGAACGGTTTCGCCATCGGTCTCGTTCTGGTACGTGATCGCGCCTGGGTGATGGATGAATAACGTAGGGAACCATCAGCATCAATATATAATTATACGAGGAAGTAAAAGGTGATCGACGGGCGCGCATCGACGGTCGAGGCCATCCAAAGATTCTCAGCGCGAACGCGAATGCGGTGTGGGAGCTGGTGTGGGGGAGATGATGGACACGCACCAAATTGCTGGCTTGAAACAGTGAAGCCGCCCATCTGGACGGTGTCCTGCACGAGCGTGCCCTCGAACGCGCCGCTGCCGTAAGTGTCCTCGAGCGAGTCGGACACGGTCTTGCCTGTCGAGGAAGTGGATACGTCGTAGGTCGAGCCGCCCGAATTGCAGTTGGTGCAGCTCGAGCTGGGCACCCAGAGGTCGCTGCATGAAGTAAAATCAGGGCGGATCAACGAGCAAGGATAGACGGTGTCCAGAGGAATGAAAGGGTGACACTCACGAAGACCCCGTGTCAATAACGACGTTGAACTCTTGCGCTGGTGTCCCGACAGAAACGACGCCGTAATATCTGATCCTGTGTTAAGACGCGACAATGAGAAGCAACGAGGCACATACGACGTGTCCATCTCCGCGTTACCCAGCCTTCATTCCATGTGAGATGCTGTACGCGTTGGTGGTACAAAGAAGTACGTACGGTATGCTGCCCTCTGCCCTCTTCCCCCGTCGACCCATATGCACAGCTGATCTAGCGCCCAGCGCTGCGGAGGGTCTCCGCCTCATGAGCGATATCGGCTGTCTCGTGTCCACATAGGCGGCATGTACAACTGACAACAGCAGCCAAGAGGCACAAAGAGAAGAACCAAGCAGAGGCAGTCTCATGCCTCGTCAGAACTAGGGAAGAAGGAGAGGGAGGAGGGTAAAAGCGAGAAGGACGGTCCGGGAAGACACCCTGCGATCTTTATGGAGGATGGATCAGCAAAGCGCGGTAGTGAGCAAGTCTCCCGCGTGTGCACGGGCGCGCAGTTGGGCCGGATACAACGCACCGAGGTGCATGAGTGCTGTTCGCTGCGCAGGCACCAAAGTTAGCGCGGACAAGCCCGCGCCGATGGGAACCGCTTGTTCGGCGATTGGTTGAGTGGCCGTACAACAGGCACACCCGTTGTTGCCCGGGCGGATATCTGTAACAGTATGGTGGAGTCGCTCATGGGGAAGATTCATAAAGACAACAAGAGCTGCTGTGATGAGCAAAGTTAGTGCAGTTGGATGTTAATTCGCTGGCAGTATACCCTGGAGCAACGGATTGGTGGGTGCCAGTGGATATCGGGGAAGGGCGTAAGGGTGGTATTGGCCATGTGAAGCGCCAAGATAAGGGTAAGAGAAGTTCACAGATGCTCAAGAACCTCTTTGTCTTTGGAAAGGAGTGGGGATTTGGATGCGTCAGAAAAGGTGCTGTTGACGCTTGAACTTCACGATAGGGGTTAGACCCGGAGAAGGCCGGCGCATGTCCAGTCGCAGCTCTCTTCCTCAGCATGGGATATCTTGGGGACATCCAGCTGTGCCCTTCGACGTACCATTCGTACCCCTTTTTAAACACGCTACTTACATGTTTTTAAACAAGCATGTTATCGAGAGATATCCTGTTTTGGCGCGTGATGCGGTCTCTCTAATACACGGTCGCCGGTTGCAGATGTAGCCGTCGTTTGCTCATCCCGACGCGACGTGATCGATGATCCTCTACTACAAAATCCACGCCCACCGTCGAGTCCCCGCTCACGCCTAGAACACTTGACTCCATATCACAGACCGACATGCCGACTCCTAGGCCAGCCAATGAAGTAACGCTTTGGCGATCCCACTGGAACGTCACCGACTTTCGGTCACGGATAGGTTTAAGTCTGGAGCAATATACACAGCTATATGTAAGTTTATGTTGCTAGACCCGCCTTCTTCTACTTATGATATTGTACATTATGCGGTTTCCGTCCCGCAGAACGTATGCCGCAATATGCTACGTGATCACCCCACCTTGTGTGATAGCATCTTCGACCCGTCCATGAAAAGCGTATTGAAGGATGCGGTTACCGAGGTATGTTACGCATGCAATTTGTCACATCATTTACATAAGGACGCTAAACCATAAATCAGGCAAACAAGAATCCCAGAGTCGACTGGCTTATTAAATTTCAGGACTCGTGGCCTCTGGAAATTTTGCTCAAGAGGATTATGAATCAACGGGCCGAAGGAAAAATCAGGAACGGTAAACGCAATCATACGGAGCCGTGCAAGAAAGGTCAGTATCCCTATTATCTCTCTCAAATACTGTCAATCCTTATGCAATCAGTCCGTTTCGGTACCCTCATGCGGCCAAATGCTAAGGAGAGATTCTCCCCCTCGGACGATGAAGGCGAGGACGAAATAGAGGTATTTATTGATCACCCGCTGATCAGCGACTTTTCATTATAATTGAATTTTTCTTGTTCAACGCGATGAGAAGACAAGTTATATGCACCATAGCGATAGTGCGTGGCCAATACAGCCGGTTATATGCTGATCACACTGATCACGCTGACTTCAGTGGTGCATTGTCAAGGGCATACGCCTCCTACATGCGCGCAGCAGGCCATAGTTGAGATGGAACAGAGTACGACCCTTTCCGAACAAAAATGCGAAACGGGCCATGAAGCCGTACTGTCCTTTCTCCGTTCGTGCCCGGGAAACCTGGAAACCCTGCTTCCAGCCTTTATACAACACGGAATCAAAAGCAAGCGTGAGGTTGACATTCTTTTGAGCCTTCCTGCTGGTGATCGCGAGCGATGGATCGAGAGACGGCGTGAGTCTCTGGGTTTATCTGATTTGGAGGCAGCGGCCCTGCAGGTCAAATGCAATCAGGAGCAGTCTGGGATGACAATGATCTACTGCGATCGGCACACTAGGTTGTAGAAAATCGAGGTCGCACGGGCTCGCGACGACACACAGCGCGTTTGTTCCGGGCAAGAGGAGGTTGCCCGAAGGGCAATCGCGTGAGAATTCGACTATCTACGACAGGAATATATACTACAAAAACTAGGATATAATAAGATAAAATATGACGCGTCACGATGCGAGCGATAACGAACACAAAATTCTAACATAGGTAGCGCTCATTTGCGAGATGTGGTGTGAGTTCAGCATCTTATAATGTAGATTCAAAAGTTCTTCGAGCTGGTGTTTACATTACAATCACGTTTGACATATCTAACTGCAATTGCGATTCAATTTCAACTTCCAAGCCATTTTCCGAGTTGGACAATTAGTCAACACATGTTGTTCCTGGAGAACATAGGTAAACTGATGTCGAAGGTGTCAAAAGGTTGACGTGGATCAGTCGTTTAGACAGCGCATGGCAAATCGATACTTCGCTGACAGATCTCTGACAGCCTTAGCAGGATCCCTCAAAGGCACCCGAATACAAGCGATTGTCATGATGCCTCCCTCTAAATCTCATTCGCTTCCACGCAGGAGGTATTCAAGAAATGATGAGCTCAGAACCAATTACCGAGATTTTCCACTTCAAGGCGCCTTTGGCACTCCGAGAAAATTTGACAGTCACCAGGCTGAAAGAATGCCTCGATATCTATCTATCAGGCCGGTATACTTTGACGCTCCCGAGCGATATGGGACGAAGGAGGAGATCCTGGATACGACATTCTTATTCGTGAGTGAGTGCTAGAGGTCCCGATCATTGGCCACAGCTGCATGCGCTAATGCGCAGCTATGATATCACCGATGTGATCTAGACTGGGATTACCTCGACGCTCATGCCCAGCTCCTCAAATACACCACCAAGCCTGAACAGATAAAGCGTGCCTTCGTTCCTTGCTTGCAGGGAGGAACTAAGCCACCCTATCATGTCAAGTTCGATAGCGAGCCGATGGCCTTCAAGCAGCCCATCACAGAGGGTGCTGTTGCTGACGCTGAAGTCTACTGAGGCTATGGGTGCCGTCAAGTCGGCGTTATCTACGTTTTCGAGGAAAAGTGTGATGTTCGCGCACAGTCATGAGGATCCAAACGTTTTTATCGTAGGCATTGGGAGGGAATCGATCGAGGTGAGCTGGTGCTTGAAGTGGTGCTGGGTGTGTATAAGCCTGATACATTGATCTGATAGGCACATTGGGAGGGGTCATGACGGATCGGTTTTCCAACATTCAAGGACCATACCGAGATTCCTTGCTACCATGTCCAGCTATCTCATGTATCCCGGTAGCATGGCTAGAAACTCTGCTTCAATTTGCTCGGAATTGCATGAATGATAAAGTGATTAGTGATGTGTATTTGAGGAGGACGAGAGCGTCGCGGACCCTCTTTCGTCGGTCTAACTCATTGGTCGGAAACCGGCTGTCATGCAGACGTGGGAGTTGATGACGTAGCTCGTCTGCCTGGCGCCTTTCCGTCGCACTCCCGCTTCCTCCAGACGACCATCCACCGTCGCACGGCTTTTGCACCAGGGGCGACGCCTTCGTATGAATTATCAAGCCAAAAAATGCTCACTTCAGATTCATTGGACTGAGCGTAAAACGGTCGCATTCTCCTGCAACCAAAGCGCGATGTCATCCCGCCCGAAGAGACCGCGCTCGTGAGCTATCTCGTACGTCTCTTGCTCATTGTGCTCCGGGTGTCATGGAATCTTGACTTACTATCGGGTGCCGACTTAGTCCAAAGTCGGTGGAAGCTGTGTCTTGAATGCGCACGACGCCATCGGGGATCAGCCGTTTGTCCCGAACTTGCGATATCTGGTTACAACTTGATGACGCCGCTGGTTCAAGACGTGTTTTTGGACTAGAATACTTCCATTTCGGATGTGTGTGGTGTACTTGTATTGTGGCACAAAGGTATCAACGCTGCAATGGGTAGGGTTCTTAGTCACTAAACATTGAATATTGATGTCGAAGCCTACTACTAACCGTACCCGTTCTACTCAAGTCGACGTCCGATCTCAGGGATCCCTCGTTTTCATCTCTCATCTGTGTACTTCAGCGTCATTTTAGACACTCTTGGCATGCAGTGAGTACATTTTGCCTGAAAGAGCAGTCTTTCTTTCCGATAACCAACCGTTAAGGTACACGTACCCCGACCTTAGAAGCCCAAGCTCGACGCTCCGGAGAAACATGGCTAGCGACACCCGAGGCCATCGCTCAAATTAGTATCAACTGAATCTGAAGTTATAATTCGTTCCACTCAGGAACCTGGGACGTAGCTACGAAAGAGGACCTCATTAGGTTTCGTCGGATTTCCAAGTCACAGGCCCATATCGTTCACTATCACAACAATCGGGCGCCTGGGTAGATAATCTGTCGAGGTTCGTCCAGCTTGACGTCACAAGCTACTCTTACATTGTCACGAGCTATTTACTACAATAAGCAAGGAAATGACAAAACATCAATACCATATATCATCCTTAGTTCTTGGGCTTCGCCGTCGCAATCTGCGACCTCAGCGTGATCTTGTCATCCACGTTGCACGCGAAGTCAAGCTTCACCTGCGGGCCGAACAACAAGCAATGCGAGGACCCTCCGAAGTGGAACATACCAAGCTGGTCACCCTTCCTGACAGTATCCTTCGCCTGGACGGTCACCTCGCATGTTGACACCTCCGCCATGCCAACCGCAATGAGGCACACCATTCCAATCGTCGGGTTATCCGCCTCAATAAAAACCAACGCACGCGTAGCGAACGCCGTCAAGAAGCCCTGGTTATCGAGCAGCGACGTGCCCTCGGAGGTGGGCGGGAATGCAGCGTAGTACGTCCCGGGCACGTTGTACGCCGCCACGACCGTGCCGTCCACGGGCGCGTGCCACCTGTGGTAATCCATCGGGCTCAAGAAACCCTGCACGACCGTACCGCCAAGGAACCGCTCAACGAAACGTGCTTCGCCGTCTGCGGTGCGTAGCATATCCGCGAGGGAGTAGATCTGGCCCTTGAGCCAGAACCGGTCCGTCGCCTTGAGGTCGCCGCCCTGGAAGTACAGCTGCGACTCGCATGCCGCCACGATCGCGCTCGCGTCGGCGGCGACGTCGTCAGGGATGGTGCGTACGTGAGGGAGGAACTCGCGCGTGAAGAAGTGGTCCCAGGACTTGAAACCCCACGCAGGCTTAGTCTTATCGCAGACGAAGAGCTCTTCGAATGAACCGGCGTACTTGGCCATCGCCCGCTCGCCAAACCAGCCATTAGGGCCGGAGTGTAGGACATCGGTGGACAATGGGGAGTTGAGCAGCTCGGCCCACTTGTCGAAGATGCGCTTGAGGTGGTAGTTCACCCTATCGTTGGCAAATGCGCTAAATCCCGTGGGCTGGCTGAGGGCCTGGTGGAGGGTGACATAGAAAGGAACGCCGATGGGAACGTCGTCCGAGCCCTCGTATTTAGGCGCGGTTTTCAGCAGGAGATCGAAGATGTCGAGCATTTCTTCATAGTCGGTTATTTTCTAAACAAAAGATGCGCCAATCAGAAGATACGCAGTGCAACGACGGGCCAGAACTTACGCATCGGTTGTCGGGAATCTGCTCGAACATGGCACCAAAGTAAAGACGCAGCTCCTTGCTCTTGCGGATGTCATACGCGAAGTCATTCAAGATCTCCGAGCGGGCAAAGCGACGCTCCTTAACGTCGACGCTTCTGACTTCCTTCAACTTGTCCTCGAGCCAGTCGTGCATGACGGTGTGATCCAGCGGGATCCAGCCCATCATCTTAGGAGGTCCGACACTACAATTGATAAAAGTGGGAGGTCAGTGGGACAGCCAGCGCGAACGGAGGGAAAAGCTTCACCTGGCTGACGCCGAAACGTTTCCGGGCGTGAGGTTGAGAGAAGCACTGAAACTCATATTGAGAGATGTAATCAAGTCAAGAGAGATGATGCTCTTCGAAAGAGCGAGCCCACCTTATTTATCTGCTCTCGCAAGCGCCAGTCGATATGAGCAAGCGAACAAGGGACTACCTGGATAGGACGACGGGGATTACGCAAAACACTACGTAAACATGCACAGAGGTGGAGGCTCTGTTGGAGGAGTATGAGAGCCATGCTTCTCGTTTATTCGGATCAGAGGCAGGGAAGTCTTGCGTTGTGGAATCTTGGTACAAACTGTTGTTAATTTAAGTACTACATGCTCGAGAGTTGCCGATGTTGTACATGCTCCAACACTGCATTGGTCTGTTGAACTACGGGTGAGCTATCCGAACGCACAGAAGATCGCAACTCGGAGGCGAGCAAGCAACCTGTCTATTAATATGATGCCTTTTGTATAAGCACTGTTGTGCACGTGGTATGCAAGTTCAAGTTCCATTCGAGGAATCATCGACATCCATAGTACAACACCTCGGATCTTACGGTTTTTGACCTTTGACAGGAGTCTTGGTCATTGAGATCGAGATTTCGACTCAGATTAGATCACGGTGTTGATATCAGACCAAACTTCTGGACTAAGTACTCAAAGTACCCTGGAGAGGCACACGAAGTGTGATTGACAAAGATGACAAAGCGGCGATAAGGCAATGGAGTGACTCACTTTAATGAGGGCAGGGCAGCGATGAGATCGTTGAACGAAAGGAGACTATTTTGCCCTTCAACTACTCAATAGCGCAGAACTCACCAGAAATACGTTATTACTCGTATATTATTACTCGTATATTCAAAATTTCTGCCCGCTTTTGTTTGGTTTTTTGTTTGTGTTCTTGATGAGATCCCATTCAGATCATATTCACTCTCGATCTGGACATTCTCATCCTTTTTGGGCCATACTCCCGCTGATAAGATAATGAACTCAAAGCTGCCGCTTCGTTCGTCGCATCCTTTCCTCCCCTCCTTCTTTCCCTCCCCGTTTCGCACCGTGAATCCTTACGTTCGCAGAGTTGGTACGTCAATCGAGCTCCCTAACTTCAGCACTCGCTTATTTCAGCCCTGCTAGGACCACGGAGCAGCATTAGTACGTACCATACCTTTATTGCTTTGGGCTATGAGCGTGTGCCTTGGGGGGCTGGTGATGCAGGAGCGGTATTCGGTTGCTGCGACGTGTACCTTCCTCGTATGTCCCATTTTCACTCTCTCACCGCATTTCATCGTTTATTAAATACTATATAGGATGCACTGATCAAGCGGACGGGGAGCAGTGACGCGCTGGGTGAGGAAAACGCGGCACTAATTGGGACGCATGGTCGGCGGATCATGCGTCCGCTGCTCGAGGGCTTTGCGGGGTAGCACCGCGCAGTCTAACGGCGAACCTATTTGAGGTGTCGAGTGCGATTGTTACTAAGCATCCAGCGGTGGCGAGAGTGTGAATGGAGAGATTTTGTTCACTGTGAGTAGGCTTGCATTGAGCGAAGTTGCAGTGTGTTGAGGGGTGATAGGATGATTTTGTGGACTCCAAGGCGAGTCAGGAGGCGAAGCGCACGTTTGTCAAGGCTGTTGTTGGGTGCGCACTGTTTTGCATGTGTTTTCATGATTGACTAGCTGATTGGACGTGGAGCAGATCACGAAGTCCAAAGCGGCCGAAGGAGGCCGCACAGCAGTTTGGTGAGGACGCACTCACAGATGGCGCCCGCACTCTTCCTGACACTGTACCACTGATCTCCATATGCATAATATGTAGATACGCTCTCGCTCGAACCCCGCTCCTCACCGATTCAGGCGCCCTCTCCCTCTCGCCCCGACGCCTTAGGCAGCCCAATCATCACCAAGGACCTTCTCTTACACTGCCCGACCGCAGGTATAAACCGGTATCCCGCGTTAAGCAAGCTCACGCCCTCCCCCAAAGCACCCGCCAGGGTATCCTGTTTGCGTCAACGTGTACTGATGTATATCTGGCTCTCCCGGTACTGCCCTGTGCGCAGGCGTTTTGAAACCCGTACAACAATTCAGGTCCGCCTTTTTCTTGCAGGCTTATAACTTTCAGCGGCATTGGAGCTTAAATACGAAATGGTACGCACTTTTCTACGTATCTGCGTTTGATTCACTTTCCCTACGCACATCTGTTCGTGTCGGATCCTTTGTTTGACGTTTTGATATGATGGGAATTCCCTTTTGGATCTCGCCTGCGGTGCTCATCCCGAACAAATCCCGAATGTGTAGAACACTATGTACGGATACTTTGTTGGCTATACTTACGTGCAATTATCTGTCATGCGTGTTTTGTCCTTAGCTAAGCCCTCGGGCAAATTCTGTAATAACTGTAGTGGTGTGAGAGCCCATTATTAACTTCGATAGAAATCGCCGGAGCGTAGCTCGGCGTGTCTTGTGTAGACAATTAGGAGCCCTTTCAGACTCGAGATTGATCTAACAGCTCAAGATCCTGCATCTGCCTTATTGACGCACTGCACGGGATGCAACACCAAAATCGCTTGGCCGCGCGGTGAGAGTAGGCGAAATCCATTTGAATTATTACCGTTATCTGCTAGTGCTTGTTGGGAAGCATTGTTATGGAAGCAACGGTCAGCGCATGCGAGGACAACGACTTAGGATAACTCGAAGAAGCAAGTAGCACCAAGATTGTTTGCTAGAGGCGTTAACGTTGCGCTCCTATCGCTCAATTTGTGTTCCCACGCTCTCGCAGCTTGTTTCCCTTGCACGAAAGAAGATAGCTTGGAGCCTCGTGATATACCAAGACGTCGTTTCTAGTGAAACCTTCAATTTGTCAATACGAGTAGCCTATGGAAGTTAAGCAAGGGAATCATGCTATATGACTTGAAGAATCCCTGATGCATATCCACAGAATATTTCCTGCGTGTTCCGTATTTGCGCGCTTGCGCATCTTTAGCGCGGCTGTGATTCGTATTTACTGGTAGGTTGTTCAACGGTTGAAATATCATCTTAGGTTGATCACAGATACGCCAATAATCAATCATCGAGGCGCCCATCCATGAGCAGAGGAACACTAACTGGTGAAGTACAGGGCTTTGCAATAATAACAGGGTAAGAATCTCGAATCGGACCTGGTAGGCAAAGACGCTTGATCGCCTCATTTCCCTTGTTTAAGAAATTGAGCTCGCGAGACACTTAAGCTCGACGCGTTCTCATGCGCCGGCATTGCGAGGTCTTGCGTACTACGCATCCCCAACCCCTCTCCAACAAATTCTGCGCAGACGGATATGCCCATCGCTAGGCTGGTAAACGAGGAGACACTCTGGCGAGGCCACCTCAACACTGCTGCATTTCAAACTCGCGTCGGCATTAACCCTGACAAGTACAAGCAGCTCATGGTGCGCATCTATTACCTCTGCTTCAGTTGTTGGTTATGTTCTTGATCGTCATCGTGCAACAGAAAACATGTCAAAGAATTATCACTGACTTCCCTTTTGTTCTCCAAGAAGGGATGACCAACGTCGGGATGATGAGAAACGCTGTAACAGAAGTATAGCTACTTTGCCGCATTATCATTCGTTCCGTACATAATGTTAACATGTCTTGTATCTTCATAGGCACTGAAAGACCCTGCCCTCCAATGGCTGCGCGATTACGAGCAAAGCTGGCCAGTGGAGGCGATGCTAAAGCGTATTATAATCAACCGCGCTTCCGTCTCTAAATCCAAGAGGTCTACTACTAGGACTACGAACAGAGCTGCAGGACAGTACTCTCAGGGTTTCAACCTTCCAGGCCGGGGCCTCCAAACGCGCTCGGCTTTGCGCGCCATGGATCCTGGAGGAAGTAGGGCTATGCTTACTCGCGAAGATGATATTGGCGAAGACGAAATCGAGGTACGTGTTACTGTCGCCGCCGTTTGAGAATATGTTCCTCACTGGCTGTATCATGCTTGCTCCTTTGATACGTACAGATTGACAAAGGTGAGTAGAGCGCTTTTGACATCGCATCTTGGCGGGAAATTAATCTCCCTTGAGGGAACACTTCCAACCCTCAACTCGGAGCCACGAATCGTCTCGACATTGATAATACTCTGCTGGCCGATAACCAGCGTCCCGACCGCACAATTGTACTTGAGTTCCTCCGTTCATGTGCACCGCGCTTCGAACATTTCCTTGAACCGGTTATGGCAGTTGGTATCGTCAATCAAGAGGCCATTAATATGCTCTTGACATTTCCAACGGCGGAACGCAACGTGTGGCTTGAGCAGAAGAGGGACTTTCTAGGCATGTCACCTCTCGAGCTCGCCGCCGTGCAGGTTAGGTGTAATGAAGAGCAGGCGAGGTTGTTGACAAAATATTGTACATTAGCTTCTATGCACTATTGAGTCACCGCCACGCTGTAGCCATGGGGCCTATCGTCCTGGATTATGAAAATACGCCACAAATGGCAAAATGATTTGATGTGTATTATCACCATATAAACGAGATGTGCTCTCCATGTTCTCAAAATCTCTGTTATACAGTATGAAATATCACATTGAGGGACATCTATTAGCGGAGATATCCCGTATAGCACTCGCCCTGTCATAACTAGCATCCCAAACAATGTTGAGCCAGATTAATAAGACACAAACAAGTCTTCAGCGTCCTCCTCTAACTCATGCAGGAATCGCTGTCAGCTCCGAGAGGAGTGTTTCCGCTTTCGGATTATGTGCGCTCATGGGTCCCACAGTCTATATGGCGAACTGCATAGTAGCCGGACCGTCACAAGGACTGCCATAGGTGGGAAGAGATTCATCAATTACTAAAATAGCTTGCTTAGGCTTATCAGCCTCCTCGTCAAATACACCGGCTACTCTCTATGTTCTCTTCTACTTCTCCTAACTTTTTCGACACGGGCAGCGTAGTCCGCGATGTAACGACCCCAGCGGGCCTGGATGTTCGACGCAAGGACATGGACAGGGGCTCTGGTCAAAAAAGGCAAGAACGCGTCTGGCTCCGCTTCCTCGCGCCGAAGTTGACGTTGACCTCGCGTCCTCCATCCATCCAGCCCACCCAAACACCCTACCAGCAATAGTTCGAGGCGCAGCTCTCGCTTCGAACTTGCATCTGAACTTGGAGAGTTCGCAGACGAAGACGACCAAGAAAGGGACATCATGAACGAGTCACAGCGACGTCCGCATACGTCGTACACCGACACTCGTCGCAATGGCTTTTTTGAGAGCGTTCCCCTCCCATCGCCCGCATATGAACCTGCGAACGATGTCCCTCCTGACGCACTTATGATTCGGAACCACAAATTTATGATGTATATCCTTGCAACGAAGGGCGAGCCAGTACCTGCGTGAGTTCCCATCAGTTATGATTCATTTTAATGCAGATGATGCACCCCGCACCACCCTTGGCTGCGCAGACATTACCTCGACCCGGATATGACACCTCCAGATGCATCGGAGCCAACGCCCACGGGCGGTCATTCCTTCCTCGCGGAGCTCAAGGTCGTCGAAGAAAAGATTGCCAAACTACGCGCTGAGCACGAAGCCGACCTTTCTCAACTTATTGCTTTCACAGCCGAAGCCTATCGCGCTGAGCGGCACGATCGGCTCTCTGCACTTGACTTGGACTCGCCGTACTGGGAGAACCGCGCCGACTCGATGGACCCACAGGACGCGGAAGCCCTCGCGGCGCTGGCTGCTCAGCACGCGAACGACGTCCACATGCCCGAGTTCGAGAACGACGCCGACGACGCGCTCGAGTCGCTCAAGTACGCACATTTACAGGAGCTCTTGCCTCTTTTACACCAGAAGAGCAAGTTGCAGGCCCACGTTGGCGCCGCGAAGCGCGCCAGAGACGCGCAATTCCCTAGGAGCCGAGCCGAGCTCAACGGACTCGATGGTGACACGAAGTTGCGGGTGGCTCGATATCTTGTCACGGGTGCGAACGAGAAGGAGCGGATGATGGATAACTTCGGATGGGTGTGGAGACAATGCCAACCCTTGGTGGACGAGTTTGCGAGGGATGTGAGTGCTTTCACTTCTATCATTTCGATTGTTTGGCAAACCATTGACTGTCACCCCAGGACGAATTCGCAGACTCTATCAACCAGATGCTCAGAGATAGTATTGTATCCGACCCCCGCAGGCGAATGTCGACTATGGGGAACTGACGGAGCCATAAAGCACGTATGGCCCGTAAAGCAGATATGTATTTGTCATGCTACTCCTTCATTTGATGTCGTCTATACCTCTCTTTTGATATAAAACACAACGACTACTGCCTTTTTACCACGAGCAGCTGCCGCAAACCACACATCACGCTCGGAATTTGCCTTTAGGCATACACTTTGGACAAGTATTTGACACTACAGAGCAAGGTTTGGAGGATTTGGACCGGAGGGTGAATTCTGCATCTGAAGTGCGTTCTTTCAAGTAACGCGCACGATCAAGCTTCTGATTGTAAGCCTCTTTGTTCGTTCGCTCACCTCTCGCCGCCATGCAGGTGTATCAATTGCCGAGAACAGTACTCAGAAGCCCGCGTTTTCTCCCGCCATTGTCTTCACATGGCTCCACGGTTATTGCCTTGCCAAGCAACACAGGAAATCATAAATGCCGCTGAACCTTGCTCTTATCTTGATTTTAGATTGATAACCAACCGAGAATTTTCGGTGTTAGATGCTTCGCGCGGGAATTCGAGATCACAATGGTATTCTCGAAGGTAAGTCTTTCTGATCGCAGGTTGTTATATGATACTTCTACGTCGCCTAGGTGGAACTGGCCTCGCTCTTCAGGAAAGTGTGGATATCTGGCGCCGGCACTCACTGCTAACCAGCAATCTTGTGTTCGTTATTCCCGGCTGAGCTACGATTCTTCTTTCCAGATGAGCGGCAAGTGATGCAACATTGCTCACTGGGAACGCGTCGAATGAATCGATGGATTCGATGCCCGACTGAGTTCCCGATATACAGTACGCAGCAAGCGCGAATCAGACCTTATCCTCGTCCCATTCCACCCATGCCTCGCTCAAGACCATCCGAGCCAACATGGATAATCCCAAGGCCATCACAAGATATTCGCGTTGCATTCGAAGATGGTAGCTATCACAACTTACACTTGGTGCTGCAGCGATCAGCGATGGACTTGGATCAATGGCACAGTCTCAAGGTCAGTTCTCCTGGTCGTTCCCACTTCAAGGTCTGGTAATTGTGCATGCTATCGGTCCACAGAAACTCGCCCTTCCACTTGCCAAAGGTCTTAAAGACGCTCCCTATGAAAAACAGACTCCCAGCGACATCCGCGATATCAAAGCGAAGGTAGGCCTTTCCCGCACTGGCTTGACACACATGCTAATTAACCCAGCTTTGCGAGCGCATGCCGTATCTCCAGTTTCATGAGGATACCTGGCCTGCGGAGAGTTATCTAAGGCGATTTTTGATCGCGAGAAAGGCGAGAAACGATCGTCGGAGACCTCAACCTCCTAACGTGCCAGGTATTTTATCTCCCGTCGGCTTATCGTGGGATGAGCGAAACTCTGACCATTAGGAAGATGAGGAAGACAGGTTGTTGAGGGTTAGAAGGCCGCAATCAAGTACACTCAGCGAGGGTCCAAGTACGTAGGCGGCAAAGTTCCAAGTTCTGATCATGACTGATTATTGCCGTCTATGAATCCAGGGGAAGAAGACGAGGAAATGCATGTTGTTCACTTGAAGCAGCCTCCCGATCAGCTCTTCGAGGAAGATGATGTTCCTCCGACACAAGGAGAAGCAGGTCCACCACATAGACCAAGGTCGTCCTCTTTGGAATATCAGGATCTACCGCACGACGTCCCTTCCGCTTCTGCGCTCGTCCGAGAGAATCTTCCGAGTTTCCCTTCATCTATCGTGGTTCCGGAGGCGACATTCGGTTCCAATTCGTGCACCGCGACACAGGCCTCTGGTGTTGTTCCCGTCATCACAACGGCGGTTAAAAGCGATGCCACGCCAACCAAACCTCATCCTGCACCTTCGTCAGCGAGCGGTATCGACTCCTCGAGCTTGCTTTCTCGCCTAACTCAATGTCCTCTAAACTTATCTCATATCGCAAGCAGGCTCGCTGAACTGGGTATATCAACAAACGAGGACATCGCCAGACTTAAAGGTAGATTTACAAGGGAGAAGACCATCGACGTTCTGCTTGGGCGGAACAGTGGTAACGAGATGACACGGCTCGAGATATTTCTATTTGTCGACACTTGTGTCGGATACAGACCGCCAGAATTCGACTTCGTGCCTGAACCGATCGGCAGCTCAGACGAAGGCGACTACTTCTGGATGGGGGACTTCCTAGGGTATGTGTCCCCAGAGCTTGCGTCCCTAAGCCAAGCGTTCGTGGATATTGGTGTTAGGGCACCAAGACACCTATGTGCGTTGGGTGCCATGGGAAAAGATTGGGTCGGAGATTTTCTTTCGGGGTGCGGGATATGGTTGAGAATGACGCCACTTCAGCAGGAGTTCTTCGTTGACGAAGTTTGCTGGATGGCCGGTGGGGCTCGCGCGTAGTGTGCATTGCACCTTCATTACCCATCGTTTGCTATGTACAGCATGTGACATCGGTCATCTGTTCTAACAAGTAGAGCTGTCTGTATTATGGACAAACGTGTATGCTCAAATTCACGTATCATAGGAATGCATGCCTGCCTTCGGTTGTGGTCGTTTGGGTGATGTGTAAGGTCTACTCGAGTGACATGACTGATGGTTTGCGGCATATCCACCGCGAAACCCCAGCCGAGGAGACAATCTAACCGATTGCAAGTTATCAATCATATATCAGCATGCCATGTCTGAATCCTACACTACGCGGCCGTAATCACTGTACCATCGAGGGCTGGCACTAGGTTTGATCATTATTCATAACTTGACGTACGGTACTGATCCAGCTCAACATTGGACACTACTCTGAATTATACGCCCAAATGGGACTGTACTTTAAAGTAGGCTGGCATGAAGTGTCGCATCCTTCGTCCGTCAAAACCAATTTACGATCGGAACATCAACAGAAAACCCTGTCGGACACATTGTAGACGACATGAAGATCATACACCAGACTCATAGATGATAACATAGCAGTGCACATTGGACTCTCAAGAACCGTTGATTTACCACTGCTCATGAGCCGGCCTCACTGTTGTAAGAAGTTAGTTATTGCTACATACGGAGATCGAAAGCTGTATAGCACTTACAGTCGAGCTCCCAGGTCCATGAGGAGCAGTCCTGCTTGACGAGATATTCGTACGCCTACATAGACTTTAACGCCATCTGGACGAGCACTCGAATAAAGCTCAGACTTACCTCTGCAATGGAGCTAGGGTCCAAACGCACGTTCGCGTTTTTGACATACTCGGGGTCATTTTTATGGGCGAATTTCTCGGTGAGGATGTTTCCGTCAATAATAGCCTGTGTCAATACGAAGATTAGCCTTTCCCGGGGACATGCATAACATTGCCTTACGTGTGCGACCTGGTAAAGCGCCAGTCGTAGTCAACGCCAACGAGTCCTCTAGTCAGCCGAAACACGCACATGGATGTTCTGTTTGCCAAACTCTTTTGCCAAGCTCTGCGCCAGCGCCCGAATGCCGTGCTTCCCAGCCGCAAACGCGGCCGTCTTCTCGGTGCCCCTAACGCTCGCGGTCGCACCCGAGAACAGGAGCGTGCCCTTGGTCTGCTTGTCACCAGCCAGCCCGCCCTCGGCAGCCGTCTCGGGCTCCTGGGCGGTGAAAATCTGGAGAACCTCGTGCGCAAACGCGAACGCGCCGGCGATATTGATACATGTGACGGTGAGCACATCCTCAGACGTGGTCTCGAGGAAGGGCTTCCACACGGCCGCACCGGCGTTCCAGAGGGCGACGCGGAGGGGCGAGCGGGGGAAAGTGGACTTGATGCTCGCGAAGGCGGATTGGATCGACTTCCCAGAGTACTCGTCGACGGGGAAGGCGGCCACCTAGATGTACACGAAGAACGGGTGATGAATGTGAATAGCACACTCAGGCACGTTCGTACGCACGTTAGCGCGGCTCGCACCGCCGGACAACTCGTCTTTGAACTGGTTGAGGGCGTCTTCGCGCCTGGAGATCAAGGCGACGGCATAGCCTGCCTTTGCGAAGAGGCGCCTATTGTACGATCAGCTTCAGTAAGGAAGGTTCGACGTCACTCCCTTACGCTGTCGCTGCTCCAGTGCCTGTAGTGAACCAAACTACTAGTCAGTAACTTGATCATTGAGCATGGTTCACAACACTCACCGGAGCCATCTCCAATTCCTGCGACGACAAAAAGAGGAAAAGTGCTAGACATTTTCGATGATGTAGGTTCAAGCTCTGCCAACGGATGTTCAGATTCTAAAGAGATGACGCCCGGTAAACTCGCTCATGTTAAATACCCAGTGGGACCTAGTCAGGGGCATGCTTCGGTTTGCGATTGACGCAAATAATGAAGCGTCGGGTTCCGAAATCGATCACCAGCCTTGTCAGGTGTAAGACATAGCGTCAGGAACTGCCTCGAATGCATTTCATACGCTGAACTGCGTCTGCGCTGGGCACTCACCGTGATCATGACCTCTACGTCACCCTCGAGCCGACCATCGATGCGTCGTCACCCATTTCGTCACGGCGGATGTTGATGATAGTGCGTCCCAGAAATTTTCGGGGTCTCGGAGTAGGAAGAGTGAAAACGCCTTTTGCAGGAGATTTGTTCGGACCCGGAAATAGAAGGCAGTCTATGTTTGGTTTCCGGGACTCAGAGCTTGGAGCAACTCGCAGTTCAGAACATTATAGCTCGGATCAGGGAAACGCGGAAAGACAGGGGCTCGGCTGTATAGCCACGCACTCGCGCAAGTCTGCAGAATCGGCGGGTCGCTGCTACAAAGCAATACTAAACATACGTTCGCACAGCTGTGTTTGCTTCGACTAGTTTTCACATCTTACGCCCTGTAGATCCCAGAGTGCCAAACAATCTCGATTAAGATAAAGACCCATATGACACACGTACATGGTGTATTCACCGACAAAAAGGCAAACAAGCACATAACGAAAGCGGGCTCAAGCTCCCATCTTCGCCCTCGCTCTCCACTGACGGCGGCCTTCTGACCCGTCTAGACTGCGTTGCTGCGGGCGAAGACGGCCCGCTTCTGCCTGACTGTGGCAGTGTTGAACGACGTCGACCGTATCCAGAAGTATACCGGCGCTAGAGTCACGCACACACGTCAGCGTAAGCAGCAGCAGTACGATTTAAGCTGGGGAGCTAGACCAGCCCGACGCACCATCCCAGCTCCACCCGTCTGAACCTCTGACGCCCGTTCTCCTCTACATACTACAGCAGAATCACCGGCAGGCGCCCTGGTACCTCCTTCAGACACAACCGCGGATTTCCTCTTTGGAGAACCCCTCCCTCCGCCCTCTTCCCGACTCCGCATACGCATCTTGAACTTTTCAGCAACAGCACCAACCGAGCGCCCAATGAGCCCCCGCCGTCTCGCGCCGCGGCGGGGGGCAGTGGCCAGCTCGGCGCTCGCTCGGAGTCGCACAGGCATTAGTTCTCTCTAAACACAGACACACACACACGTATCAGTCTCGATCTCCGCTGCTCACAGCGAAGCGGAAACAAAAACAGGTGCGGAGGGACGGGAAAAAAAAGGCCACCGACCTTGGGTTCTGCTGGCCCATCAAAGTCGTCGTCGTCGAAGAAGCCTCGGTGCGCGGGAGCGGCGCCTCCGTTCGTGGCGGCGTTTCTGGGCGCAGCGGGCATCTGGAGCAGTACTTATTAACACCCGTGTCGACGTTGGTATAGGCAGCTCAAGCGAGTCCGAATCAAAGACGCACGTTCATGAAGCTCTCGTCGTCGTCGCCATCTGCACTATCTGACTTCTCGAGTGACGCATGCGCCCAAGCAAAAAAAAAAAAAAAAAAAAAAATCGCACGAGACGCCAACGTCAGCGAGAAAACCCGGTGACACCGATACCGCACCCACCTCGTCCTCCTCTTCTGAACCGCCCTCGCTCGCCTAATCCAAAAAAAAAACCAAGTTCACAATAAAATATGCCCGAATCAGCAAGCGCACACCGCGAATCGTTCAGCAGCAAAGAAAGAATGTACACACCCGGGGAAGCACAACACGCCCCGCCTCCACATCCCACACCCACAGCGTCCCGTCCTTGCATGCCGTCAGCACGCGCTTGCCGTCGGGCGAGAACACCGCGCAGTCGACCTCGGCCGCGTGCACGAGCGTGCCGATGCGCTTGACGTTGACGTCCGCGCTGCCGTTGCCGTCCGCACGGGCATCACCAGCACCGGCAGCACCCACCGCGCCCGCGCCCGTGCCCCATATACACACCGCCTTGTCCCGCTCCACGCTCCCCAACAACCGTCCCCCATCGGACGCCCAGTCGACGCACCCCAACGCGCGCGCCGAGCGTCCGCCTTCTTTCTCTGTCGTCAGCAGCGCCCGGGCGTGCGTCTGCGCCGCAGCCCCGCTTGCGATGGCCCACGCGCAGACGCGCCCATCGCGCGCGGTCGAGAGCACACTGGCTCCGCCGTGCGCGGGGCCGACGCGCACAACGCCGCCGCCGCCGCTTGTTTCGTGAGTGAACGGCCCGGCGATCTTGTGGCGCGTGTCGAGGTCCCATACGCTGACGGCCTTATCGAGCGCGGACCCGGCCGCGAGCCGTGTCGTGCGCGTCTCTTCTTCCGCGCCGGCGCGGGTATCGGTGAACGCGAAAAGGCAGAGCGAGGTGTACGCCCTGCTGCGCTCGAGAACGGCGACACACGTCCCCGTTCGCGCGTCCCATATCCGTATACCGTCTTCGACTTCATCTTCGTCGTCGGCGGCGGCGGCGGCGGCGGCGTTGTTCACCGCAACATCCACAGCGCAGCAGCTCACAACGCGCTCCCCGTCCGGCGCAACCCTCACATCGCCCACCGGCCCCTTGTGCCCCCTAAGCGGGCTCCACGCCGTCTCCTCCCCCTTCACCACACCACCGCCCGCATCAATCGCCCACAGCCTCACGCTCGCGTCCACCGAGCCGCTCACGAGCAACGCGCCGTCGCGCGACACCGCGAGCGCCGTCACGGGCCCCGTGTGTCCCCAAAGCACCGGCGCGCCCTCGGCATCACCATCCGCCTCCGACACGCCCGTCGCGGCGTTCCATATCCGGATAGCGGTGGCGGGTCCGGCGGTGGCGAAGTGGTGCGCGTCGGGGAGCCACGCGAGGGCGGTGGTGCGCCCGTATGCGTGCATGCTGTGTGTGATAATCGGGTGTGGCTATCATTATGCTGTGATAGGATGACGGGAACTGGGATAAGGGGAGCCGCAATGGATTGGGACGGGCGAGGGAGGGAGGGAGGGAGGGGTGGGTGGATGAGGGTGGGCTTACCCTTTAGCTGCGGACGCTTTGCGCGCGCGGTCGCGTTTTGCGTTCTCTTTGGTGGGCTGTGTATGTGCATAAAGGCGTGATCGCGCTCGGTCAGCGGCGGTTTCTGGCCCTGAGATACGTGCACTTGGATATGGACTTACGGGAGGAAGCAGCGCCTTCCCCGTGCCCGCGTCCCATACACGCAACACGCAGTCCACGTCCCCGGTCGCGATCTGCTTCCCGTCGGGAGAGAACGCGGCGGTGAGAGCAGCGTCGTGGCCGTACAGCGGCCCGAGCACGATTTTCTCAGTGGGCACGTCCCAGACGCAGACGGTGCGGTCGTCCGAGCCCGTTAGAACGCGCCGGCCGTCCGCTGAGAACGCGACGGACGCGACCAGCGCGCTGTGCCCCCGCAGAGGGCCTTTGTGCAGCTTGCCCGACGCGGCGTCGTGTATGCGTACTGTGTGGTCGCTGGAGGCGCTCGCGAGCAGGGTCCCGTCGGGGGAGAAGGCGACGCAGCGCACGGGGGCTTTGTGCCCTGCGATGGGCTCGATGGCCAGACGCCTTTGCTCTAAGTTGAAAACACGGACGAGGCGGTCGTCCGAGGCTGTAGCGAGATGCTTGCTGTCTGGCGAGAACGCGACGCATCGAATGGCGTCGCTGTGATCACGGATAGTGGCGAGACACTCGCGGCTGACCGCGTCCCACAGGTGGAGCACACGATCCGCCCCGCCGCTCGCGACGAGCCTGCCGTCGGGCGAACACGCGACGGCATACACCGCAGACGCGTGGCCCATGCGCTGCTGCCCTGGGACCAGCACCTCCTTGTGCGTCTCGGCGCTCCACATGCGGACGGTGCCGTCGTCAGATGCGCTCAGCAGTCGTCGGTTGTCGGGGGAATACGCAACTGCCGACACGCGCGCGGTGTGGCCCTGTAGATCCGCGCCGACCTGCTGCAGGCTCTTTGCGTCCCATATGCGCAGGGCGCCGTCGGCGTGGGCTGTAGCGATGTGTTTGCCGTCGGGCGCGTATGTGAGCGCGTGGATTGCTCGGGCGTGGGTGTTGTCGGGTGGTGTTTCGTTGGTAGAGTCTGATTCCGATGCTGGGGACACCGGAGAGGGTGGAGCACTCATGGGCGGGAGGCGAGACGGCAGGTGGTTGGCGGTGGTTGAAGTGAGAGTGGGATATATAAGCAATGGCTACAGCAAGGGTGCACAGGAGAGGCGCTGGGGGCATGTGGGCGCTTGTTGGGACCGTCCGCACATATGGCTATCTTCTCGTGTTGTTCGAGGAAGAGACTCTGCCGTGGGAGGTTGTTGGTCCACCATGTCTGCCCCGGTCCATTTATCATCCATTACCTTTGTCCGCAGGCTGGTGCGAGCATCGTTTCATTCTTGTCGTGCTCGTTGCTGAAGTCAAAAAGGTTGCATTTCTCGGGCCCCACACAACACCGGCAGCAATAGTGGACTCAGATGCTGCTTTGTCGCCAGTTGGTGCTCGATGACGACCTCCTATCGCCACCCATTCATTCATCGTTGACAGCGGCCAACTTACGCTCAAAGGCCAGACAGGGAGCGTGGGTAGTGGGAAGCGCCCATGACCAAATCTTTCCTTGCACGGACAATGTCTTTCCAAATCCCCACCCCGTTATAACCCAACGCCCCATCGGCCCTCCGCGCTCACACCCTCCCCTTTCTTCCCCACTCATCCTCTCGTCGACAGGCTTGAACGCTCGTAAAACATGGCTACCCCGTCTGCTACGAATGGAAGCACCAATGGACACGCAAACGGAACAATGAGCGTGGACACCCCTAGCTCGAACGGAGGCGATACCTCGCTAGAAACACCGCTCGAGGACATCGAGAACGTTCGTCCTCTTCCATCTTTACCAGCCATCGAACACTGACCGACCTGACACACAGTACCACACCCTCCTACACACCACCGCCTCCACCACACACACACACCCGCTCGCCTGGCGACGCCACCAGCTCCTCCAGCTCGCGCGCATGGTGCAGAACCACGCCAACGAGCTGTGCGACGCTCTGTGGGCCGACATGCGCAAGCCGCGCACCGAGGTCATATTCACCGAGATCGGCGCCCTCGTCCAGCGCGCGGTCAAGAGTGCCGCGAAGCTCGAGGAGTGGACAAAGGAGGAGCGCCCGAGTGTGGGTGTGCATCAGGGTTCGTGGAACGCTACGTGAGTTTTTGTTCTCTGGTGTGGGGGAAGATAGGGGCGATCTTGAGTAACAGTGCATTGATACATCCGTGGTGCATAGAATCTACAAAGTCCCCAAAGGCGTTGTCCTCATCATCGCGTGCGTCTCTCCCCGCGTTCATCCAACCACACGCACATCCTAACCCCCCACCCCACCTCACTCAAGCCCATGGAACTACCCCCTCATCCTCACCCTCCAGCCGCTCATCGGCGCCCTCGCCGCCGGCTGCTGCGCCCTCCTCAAACCCTCCGAACTCGTCCCTACCACATCCGCCCTCCTCGCGCGCCTCGTATCCCAATACCTCGACCCCTCCGCCGTGCGCGTCGTCCTCGGCGGCGTCCCCGCCGCGACCCGCCTCCTCGCGCTCCGCTGGGACCACATCCACTACACCGGCAACGGGCGCGTCGCGCGCGTCGTCGCCGCCGCCGCCGCGAAGTTCCTCACGCCGCTGAACCTCGAGCTCGGCGGGAAGGGCCCGGTGTGTGTTGATCCGGCGTACGATGTTGATTTGGCGGCGAAGCGGATTCTGTGGGGCAAGGTGAACAACGCGGGGCAGGTGCGTTCTTCCCTCTCTCTCCGTCTCTCTCTCTCTCTTTCTCCCTTTCGTGAGCGGTGCTAACGCGACACCACACATGCAGGTCTGCGTCGCACCGGACTACATCCTCGCGTCCTACACCTCGCTCGACACCCTCGTCGCCTCGCTCCGGAAATGGTACGCCGCGTTCTACCCGCCCTCCACCGGCGGCGCACTGCACTCGCGCGAATACGCATCGATCGTCTCCGACGCGCACTACGCGCGGCTCACGGGCCTTCTCGCGCGCACCAAGGGCACGATCGTCATGGGCGGCGGGACGGAGAACAGCGCAGAGTGGCCGAGGCGGATCGAGCCGACTGTGGTGGTGGGTGTGCAGGGGGACGATGCGCTTATGGAGGAGTGCGTTTGCGTTTTTTTCTCAGTTCTCGGATTTTGAGAGCTCAGCGCTGATAAATGCGCTTGTCGCGTTGGGTAGAGAGATATTCGGTCCTATTCTGCCTATCATAGCGATCGACGCTGTCGACTCCGCGATCGACTTTGTGCGCTCGAGGTACGTTCTTCGTCGGCCATGTTAGTGCATAACACTGACTAAATAACATCTACCCCTGCCCGCTGCTCTCTCCCATCCACTCTCCGCCCCTCTGCTCTCCGCCCCTCTTGTTCTCTGCGATGCGCCGCGTCTAATATGGTCCCCCACGACTATCCGACTATCGCCGTCTGCCAACACGATGATCGCCGCCGTGCAGACCAACGCCGCTCGTGCTGTACATGTTCACGGAGGACCCCCTGTTCAAGCAGCGCAGTACGTACTACGGTATTGGCTGACACCGCTCGAGCGGCGCTGACCTTACCCTTGCACTTCTGTCCGCGGCAGTACTCAATGAGACGCGGAGCGGAAACGTTGTTTTCAATGATGTGTTCCAGCAACTTGACGGTGCGGTGCTCTTTGTTCGTTGGAGGCGATGGCGCTGATTTCGAGCTGGCGGTGGTGGACAGTTGACGAGCTTCCGTTCGCGGGCGTGGGTGATTCTGGCTGTACGTCCCTCCGCATTTCCGTCGCTTCCTTTGTCTTCGCTCCGTGTGTCGTATCGTAGAACGGAACTACCGCTGACGTCCCTTTCTTTCCTTCCTTTCTTTCTTTTCTTCTTTCCAAAACGGCAGACGGAAACCAGATCATGGAGTACACCTACCAAGCATTCACGCAGCTCCGGAGCTCGATAGACATGCCGATCGAGTGCGCATTTCCTCCCCTATCTCCTTCCTGCCCCCCTCCATTCCCAAGCACCGTGTACGACGTCCAACTAACCGTTTCCCGTCGTATCACCGCCCTCGCCAACCGCCGCGCACCAACAGCGCCGAACCCGCCCTGAGCGTGCGCTACACCCCGCGTGGTGAGGACGCCACGCGCATCATCACGAGCGCCGCGTGGCAGACCATCCCGCCGAGCAGCGCCCCAGCCCCGGCCAAGAGCCAGTCGTCGTTCCCGTTCTAAGCGTGTTGGTCTCGGCAGGGTCCTGCGATGAGGCTGGGGGATGTGAGGCGAGTATTGGGGTGGCTGTGCACAGGGTACTGTGTAGATTTGGACTGGTTCGCAGATCTTGCAGAGGCTCGATCTAGTGAGAGAGCGCATTGACTGTTGATCTGTACTCTGCGGATCCCAAGTATGGAGATCGTTTATGCATTATTGTGATCCATTGCCTGCCTATACCGCGGACTCGCCGCACCACACGCGCAGCCACCAGCGTATGGCCGAGAGCTCACATTGGACGCCACCCTGCTCGTGATGGATTTGGCGCCCGACAATACTAGAAGCTCGCCAGCCCAGGTGCTTTACCGACTAGCATCCTAGGCCTCGTGTCGCTCAAGGAACTCGATATTTGGGGTTCAAACGTTCAAAGCGTCGCGTCCTCGAATCCTGCGCTTCGGGTTTCGCTGAGGCTGATGAAACGCCGTCTGGACAAAGATAAGCTCGAAACGTTCGTGAAATGCAGTGCGAGGATGTAAGTATAGGGAATCTACAACCCGTGGACGCTTGTCCAAGTAAGTATAACCTTGAACTCCGTGGAGCTCGGATGAGGAGCAAGGTTTTTTCTTTGCTAACTTTAGATCGGCAGCTTGGTGATGTGTGAGCGGTTTTGGATAGCTCAACGCGTCCAGCTAGGGTTTGAGCGAGTGCTGGTGGGTACAGTGGATCTATAACAAGGTGTGCCTGGATTCTGGCGTATGAATTGTGGGATATCGGTGGGCATGTTACGTCTCGGACCGGTGAAGCGACCGCGAGCCTGTGGATGGTCGAGTGAGCAGGACCACTGTGTGCGGTCCAGAGGACGGTGTACAAACTGGTGGCCGTGCTCGCTTGTGTGGTGGGCATCAAAGAAGCATCAGCTAGTTCTTTGCACAAAGGTAGCGGTGGCTAGGTGAACTGCACCATATTATGCATGCGCAAGAGAAGTGGACGGCGAAGCATGGGATCCGAGAGTTTGGTTCGTCCGCGACGTCGCAAGCGATGATATGGAAGTGAATGGACTTAAATCGCTTCTAAAAGGCGATTTGGACCTCCTGAAAATACCGATGAAGCATCCCAGTGGCAAAGGATTCTCACTCGATCGGGGATGTCGATGAGATAGCAAAAGGTTGAGGGCTAGCTATCACTTCTGGCCACCGCGCTCTGGACCCGCCAGTAAGCGATTCTTCCTTTCCCTATCCATCAAAAGATCGTCTGTGAATTCGTCGACAACCTCGGATGTGCATCTTGATTCTAAGCTGACGTCGAATGGACGAGGCAAATTCAGATCCTGACTCGGAGCAAAGGGCCTCCCAAAGTCGACGAGCCGCTTTCGAGCTGTTGGCTGCATCGACTAAGCAGCGCGAGAAGTGGGGTAGCATATTTGAGCGCTTACATATGAGCGCTGTGAGTCCCGTAGTTCCAAGGCAAATAGTTTAATTAGCCTCCGTCTTTCTCTTACTCGGCTGTGAGGTTGAGCTTTGTGGCGCCGGGTGTTCGCGATCGGGACATATCCGTGCAGCACTGGCGCTTGTGGTTCTGATGTGAATGAAAGCCTAAAACGTACGCCTAAGCACACCAATTCCACAGCCAGTGTCGAACTTCGTAATATCGGTGCCGCTGATAAAAACAGCAACATATAGTTTCACTACTTATTCAGAGTTCAAAAGCTGTACTGTACCTAGTGTGCTGACTCGCTAATGCATAGCTGGTTTACTACTTGGTCAGACCTGAATAATGGTGCCGCGAGTTTCTAGATGTAGTTGTTCTGGTGAGTGTTCTTTACGGTGTGTGTGTGTGTGTGTGGTTGCTTATTATATCCCTGGTGTGAACTACGTGAACGACTCCACACGCTACTAGATTCAACATCTCTGTGAACCTGAGCCTTACGATTGATTAATTAAAGAAATTCAGAATGATGAATATGATAACAACAACTTGGGCCGTGGGAGGGGACGTGACGGAAGCAGGGGCAGTGTCTAGCCAAAGATGGGACAAAAACCTCGGCTTCGACGCCTACAAGTACTGGAGCTCTCTTGCTCCACTGATAAGGACATGCTATCGCCTTCCTTCCCCGCATGTCTTGTATCGGATCGTAGGCGTCAGAAAGTACAATGATTCACGGCAATATCCATCATGGTAGTGGAACTGAACATCAACCCTACCCTATTACTTGTCAACGACGCACGCTACTCTTGTCCACGCTACTACCTACATGTCTTTCGAATCGATATTCGCCACCGATCTATCCCACTTCACGACACTGGGACAATGGCGTTTTCCGTGGCTGCGGCCTCCCCTTGGCGCGCCAACCCGTGAACAGAGGTCATGTATCGTGACTGGGCTTGGCCGAGCTGGATATGGTTCAAACAGCGAACACATGGATCTTTGGACAGCGGGCTCCATGTCTCGTGCGTACATTTGATTGAATTAAACCTTCGCGGTGGCTTATTTGCCGTGTACTGTATCTGTACTCAGCTTCCTGTATTACCTTCTTGACTGCGCACGCACCTTCTGACTTGAGCATAACCGATGGCAGTGGTCGTGGTCGCGGGCGGTGTTTAACCCATGCTAGACAATCAGCCACTTTTTCTGCGTTCTTCTCATCATCGGCACTTGACCGGCGCGACCCTAATGTAACCCTTCGTTACAGTCTGTTACTTACAGCAGGAAGAGAGCTTGGATGAGGTGCAAGATATCCAAATTCATCCGATACCGGTGTCCTCTGCCTCTTGGTTCTTTCTGACCGACGGTCGGCAGATGCAGCGCCTCAGAGATAAACGCTTTAGACGCAGCAACAGAGCTAGAGAGAGAGAGACAGCGTAACGCGTTGATGGGCGCGGGTGCCTGCCCCACAAAGCTGTGCCACATTATGAGGCCCCGCCACTCCGGCTTATCGGGAATGCGGGGATCGCTGCTCATTGACATCGATCTAGCCGGCTGACAGGATGCGACACCTCTGTCTGTGACTACCTTGTCAATATCAGCGTATCGCATCATGTATATCTGTCATTCTGAAGGAGAAGCTCGAAGGCTGAAACTCTAGCGTCAAATACTGTCACATTCACCACAGAATGTTATTAACACTGGCCTCGCTTTCTGATGGTCTTCGGTTCTCGACGCCAATATCAGAATTCTTACTGCGCCTCCCCTTTTACCAGCGCCCTTACCTATGCTGCTGCGCTGTCCCTTTTGTTCACATACGGATTAGTTCTCCTTGGGTTGTCCGCTCACGCTCATACACTTGGCAGTGGCTGACGGCGAGTACGCTAAAGACCTTGATATTGTGATGGCCTACGTCAGTCCTGGACGGTTCCGACAGAATTTAGATTGACGTTACTATCCATGCTTTGCATTGATACCGCTCTAATGGTACTCAGTGCCCTAGGTTACTCGTAGACAGTGCAGTGCTTCCATAGATATATACCTTGCTGTAGACTCTCGAAAGACTCTTCTAGTGGACCACCCATCTGGTGTGGCTCCCCTTGGCACTGTCTCTCGCAACCGCCTCGGATTACGTTACGTTTACCAAGGTAATGTATCTGATTTCCGGATTTAACTCGATACCAGCGCCTACACAACTAGTTCTCGTCAACATGCCATATGACCATCCAGTACCCACGGAACATCCTGTATACGAACAATCCCGCCAGGAATCCCGCCGTCCCTGTTACAGCCACTAGGATCCGCTTGTTCCGAGGCAGTCACTGGGGTTACACCAGCCGCAGAAAGCAACGTGCGTGTTGGTGCGTTCGAAGGTTTGTCGTGATTCAACGAGGTTCATGGACAGAAACGGAGGCGTACGATACAGACGTCGGTCAGGTCGAGGCTCAGCCTATGTGTTCCTTGTCTTCGTTGATCGCTCTTGCAGTCCTTGCAGTAATTCAGAGCACAAAATAACCACGCAAACGAACTCAACGTCTCCTGGGCCTCAGCCCATCAAGGGTTGAGCCAGCCTGAGCCAGCCTCCAAGTCCGTCTGTCTGCGAATCGCTCCGCGAGTCGGCAGAAGAATACGCCGGGTGGGCGATCACATGCGTTCATCGTCATCGCCAACGCGTCCAACGTCCGCGTTATCGATAGGAACACAATGTCACGTCCTGCCGCGTACAGGGAAGAAGATGTTCTCGGATGGACGTCTTCCGGAGGACTCGGGGTGCGAACATCGGGCTCGAGGAGTTCGATGCGGGGGTTGCAAGGCACGACTGATAGTGCCAGCGTAAGCGGTGCGATCATCGATTGAATTCGATTCGATAGACGTGGGTGCAAGTGCGTGCGGGGAATGTGGAGACTTTCCCTGTGGAGATGGGGAAGAGAGCTAAGCGAGACGATGCAGAGGAAAGAAGAGAAGAGTGGGGAAGAAGAGTGAGCTTAAAGATATCTACGCGGAGGTTAATCTCTGAGCTTCGTCGGGTCCGGAGTCAACTGAATGGTGCTACGCACCAGTAGTTATTCGTTAACTGCGACCCGCGAACGGTAACCTTCCGCGAGGCGTCTAGAAACGGTTTGCGAGCGTATGCGTGCAAGCTTCGTCCACCTTATGGGAGCTGTCGGAACCCTCTGACATCTCATCGTATGAATTGAAAACCCCATACGTTGTGCCACTCTCATTGTCGGGCGAGGCGAGGGCACGGACAAAAGCATGGACATGCGTGGGGCAAACCTGAGGCGAACCAGGTCCCGAGCTTCAAGCATGGGCTTTATCGATGCGATAAACGATGCGCATTGGAGGAAGCTGAGGATGGATGGGGTATGAATCCAAGAGACCAAGGACCAGAACGCACGAAAGGCTCAAGACGCTTCGGCCCTAGGCTCCGGAAGGCTCCGGACCACGGCCCGTGCCTATCCGCACGGTCTTCCTGAGAGCCGACCTCTCGAGTGCCTTCATGAGCCTTCGGAATTGTCGGCTGCAAGTGGTAGACCTCGAAGCCCCGACTCGGATCAAGGCCGCCTGTGTGGGAGGTACAGATGTAGTGGAACGGTCGCTCGAGCCTCGAGAATTAGGTGGGAGAATCGTTTTGAACAGACGGCGCGGAGTGTGTCGATCCAAGCTCCAAAGTCTGAGGTATCCGCATTCCGTGTGGCGGCTGCACAGAACGGGGCGAGGTCTGGCGAGGGCCAAAAACGAGTCACCACATGACACTGGCTGCAGGAACGGTGGATCCAACTTCACGGTATGAGCTGTAACCTGTTGCAAGGAGGAGAAGCCAAGCTTGCACTGGCAAGAGAGCTGTCATACGCGTACATCAACGGCTGTAAGTAACATGTTTTGTATGCATGTTCGACGACGATGGGTACCTTGACATGATCGCCCTTTTCTGTGGACCAGATTGACATCGCTACGTTCACTTTTACGTCGGGCTCGGCTGGCTTGACGTCAAGCACATACATATGGACCTTTGGCAGGTGCAGCTCGGATCACCACGCTGTGATTCTGGTCCAGAATGTTCGAGTGAGTTCGGCTCTCACAGAGATGGGAATATACGAGTCCTTGTGCAGTAAGCTGCAGTAAGCTGCAGCAAGTCTCGCGGGACTGGAATCGGCAACAGTTCCCCCGGTCCCATCAATTTTGATACGAGGATGCAATAAAATTGTAGTCGCGCGGATACTGCATCAATCCCAGAGATCGACACATCATTTGTCTTTCTTTTTTCGAATCCACACGCGCTCCGAGTATGCTTCGGCAACCTTTTCGCGTCGCTGTCGGGTTGCTAGGATGCACGGGTGGGAGATCCGGAGGTACGCTCAGGCTCATGAAATCATGCACGACCGCGCGTGAGGCGCGCATGGCAAGGGGTTTTCAGCTGCACGCGACCACGCGGCGTCGGGCAGCGCCGGGAAAAACACGTCGGCGAGCTGGTGTTCGACTGGTGCACAGAGCGTCGACCCATTTCCAGTCTATAAAAGTATGTAAAAAAAGCTAGTACCGTCAACGTGAATTCAGAGGTAGGGTGAATCAGCTTCATTTTTTTTTTGTCTCGAGGACGATCTCGGTGAGTAAACGCGATTCTTGGACGTACTGCCGTACTGTGCACACAATACGGCCGACGTCTACCGACGCGCATCATGATCGAACCCCCCGCATCTGTCATACTTCCCCAGCTGCGTCACGAAGAGCTCGTGCGGATGCGCTTCCGGATCCCCGCCGTTGCTCGATGCTCGTCATGTTGCCGACATGCCATGGCTTGCCAGCGAGGAGGAGAGTGCGGGAGCACACGAGCAGGCGAAGAGTGCCTGGTTTAAATAGAAGCTTCGAGAGCGGGGCACGAAGCGAGCGCGTCGGGCGCACAACAACAGCAGCATGCAGCAACGCGCCAGACGGCAAACAATCGTGAACGCGACGATGCATCACCGAGCCATCAGCGAAAAAGTGACTTAAAAAGGTGCGTTTCCGCTTTACAGACGACGTGGCCTGGAGGGATGTGCTTCTTTTTCTTCTTTACTTCTTCTGCAATTTACTGCGTAATTAGTAAAGAGAGAGAGAGGAACGCATGCAGTGGTTCAGTGCCGCATCACCAAGACATGCAGCCTTCGTGCCGAGGAAATCCTGGGACGTATGACATGACGATCAACAAACGATCAACGCCACCATGTGTGATCCTGAGGGATCCGGGGGTGTCATCAATCAAGATCCCTCGATGACAATAAAGTCTAAACAGACACGCGCGCGTTTTTCAAGTCCATCTCTCATGCGAATGTTTTCCTATATCTTTTTTCTCCCTTTCAGCTGATCTTTGAGCAACTTCATCCGTTACTTGGCGCGACGACTGAATTCTGATTGTGACTGCGGTCCACATACTAAAAGCACCTACTGTGGACGAAGACATATGAAAATGAAAATCCATCGATCGTCCGTACGGTTGCAAACGCAACGTAACGACCGACCCAAGACCGACCAACTGTCAGAGCTGGCGAGCCAGGCCGAGCCTGCATTTTATGTGTCTGGAAGGGAGCTAAGCGAGATGAAAGATGTGCGTCGCGTTTGTTTCGTTCGTCTTTGCTCGCTTGTCGTCGCTCGCTTGTGAAGTTCGTGCCTGAGCTCGGTTCTGCCTAAATTGCAGGCGTGAGATCCGGGGTTGCAGTCAATGACGTTGCTATTGCCCCGGTATTGCAACCCGTGGGAATGCTAGCAAGCATATGCCATCGGGCGGCGTCAGAACACTTGTTTCAGCATGCACTTGTTTCTCGCCATTGGCCATGGCGTGCTCAGATCTTGTTTTTCCATTTGTCTACGCCGTGCGGTATTGTTCTCGCGGTGGGGCACGGCGCGAACTCCGGTGTGTGAAGGAGCGTGCGACGGTCCGGAGTGAGAAGCCGGGGGACGCGGATGGGCGTGCCTGATGACGTCCGGGGATAAAATTTCCATGAGAAACAGATGGGGACGCCCGTGGGGGGCTCAACGATGTTGCGCGGGTCCGGCGGGGGCCAGCGTGGACAACGTGGGGGTCGAAGCTTCGGGCCTCTTTGCAAATGCATTTAGACTCGCATGCTTCGAAACGTCTCTTTGTGCTCCACAGTTCGCGAAGCCCTCACCTTCCTCGACCTCGAAGGACGAGGATGGGCAGGCAAGTCGGCTACTGGGATAGAACATGGCGCGGGCGCGCTGACGGCGGGCACTGCGGCAGAGTACGGCCGAAAACGGGCAGGAGGCGTCTGTTTGTTTTTGGGAGTCCGCGAGGGATTGATTTCGGATGGATTTGGACAATGGAATCTTTTACCTGCCCACAGAACCCCACCATGCTGCTGAGATGTCGCGCGGGCACATAACCTCCATTCCGCCATAGGCAACGGGCGGAATTCCTCTTTCCTTTTTCCGCGACACCGGCGTCTAGATTGGAATACCCATCAGCGAGCGAGTGAGAGAGCGGGTGTTTCATGTTTGCATTCCGAGACTGGAGACTAGATGGCTCCTAGGCCTGCCTAGAAATGCATAATGAATCGAGCACAGGGAGAGGAGCGAACGGTTCTGCGTGCTCTGGGTCGGGCTGGAGACCTGGAAACGGCGAAATGAGCCATCTGCTGTGTTGGCGTGAGAGGAGTGATCGGGATGATGAGAGGGGATTGAGATTCAGTCAGGTTATGGATATGAACCGAATCAGTGGCTCGCCATCACTTGCGAGGTGTCACGCGCAGCTTCTCTTAGGAACGTATTTTGAAATCGGCAATGGAGGGTCAGTCCGGGTTTGGCAGGTGGTGTGAGGAGCCCCAAGCCTGTCAGATCGGCTTCTCCCCCGCAGAGGGCAGTGCGCGCTTCCGGCAACGCCAGCTCGATATAAAACCCCAGGCGCGCATAAACAATCCTCGCCTTGCCCTCCCTGCCACCGTCGCCCCGACTCCCTATTTGCACAAGAGAGTTCGCGCGCCCGACGTAACACACACTCTTCCGCTCCCGACAATACAACGAGAGAGCGATGTCCGACAAGCAGGAGCTGCAGGTTGCTCATTCCGAGCATGAGCATCACCACCACCACCATGCCCCAGAGCTCGACGTAGCTACCAAGGCGACTGCGTATGTTCCTCCATAACTTTTTCACCCTCATTTTTCTTGACGCATGCTTTTCAGTAACCTCAACGCCAAGCTCGCCAACCCTCTCAAGGGTGTCTCCCATGATCAGCTCATGAAGGACGTCGAAATCTTCGCTCAGGAGCGTGGCCTCACCCACCACCTCGCCAACCTCCAGAAGGGCGCTCTCGTCGCTCAGGACCCCAACGTCTTCGAGCGCTCAGACCTCTTCACTGAGGAAGAGCGCCGTATCCTCCGGGAGGAGACCACCAACAAGTTCAAGCAGACCCCTATGCTCTACTACATGGTCATCATGGCCTCTCTCGCTGCCGCCGTTCAGGGTATGGACGAGGCCGTCATTAACGGTGCTCAGATTATCTACCCCGCCCAGTTCGGCATCGGTGATCCCACCTCTCGTGCGTTTCACACTTTACTTGATCTGATGACCGTCCGCTAATCATGACAATTTCTCTCAAATAGAGCGCGATTCGTGGCTGGTTGGTGTCGTTAACTCAGCACCATACCTTTGCTGCGCCATCTTCTCTTGTTGGCTCACCGACCCCTTGAACAAGTGGCTCGGTCGCAAAAAGACCATCTTCCTCACCTGCTTCATTTCTTTCATCACATGTATCTGGTCTGCGCTTACCAACACCTGGTGGCACCTTTTCATCGCCCGTTTCTTCCTCGGTATCGGTATCGGCCCCAAGTCCGCCACGGTCCCTGTCTACGCTGCAGAGTGCTCTCCCGCTCCCGTTCGTGGCGCCCTCGTCATGATGTGGCAGATGTGGACTGCCTTCGGTATTTGCATTGGTGACCTGCTCGACGTCGCTTTCTACTTCGTCAAGGACACGCCTGGCACTACCGGTCTCAACTGGCGTCTCATGCTTGGTTCGGCCGGTATCCCCGGTCTCTTGGTCTGCTGTCAAGTTATGTGGGCTCCCGAGTCGCCCCGTTGGCTCGTTAGCAAGGGCCGCTACGAGGAGGCTTACGGCGAGCTGAACAAGCTCCGCTTCTCCCCCGTCCAGGCAGGCCGTGATTTGTACTACATGCACATCCTCCTCGAGGCCGAGAGCGAGATGAAGCGGGGCCGCAACCGCCTCGTCGAGATGTTCACCATCCCCCGTAACCGCAACGCCGCCCTCGCATCGTGGATCGTCATGTTCGGCCAGCAGTTCTGCGGTGTCAACGTTATTGCATACTACTCGTCCACCGTCTTCTTCGAGTCCGGCTTCTCGCGCGTCTCGTCGCTCCTGGCTTCGTTCGGTTTCGGTCTCATCAACTGGCTCTTTGCTCTTCCCGCGGTCTTCACGGTACGTATCGCACGTGTCGGAGTTGAAATAGCGCAGGTGTACTGATTAGGCAAAATGCAGATCGATACCTATGGTCGCCGCAACCTCTTGCTATTCACATTCCCGCTGATGTCCGCATGCTTGTTGCTCACTGGTTTCTCGTTCTGGGCTACAAATGAGACTGGGCGTGTCGCTGGTGTCTCCCTCGGTATTTGTAAGCAATCATCATGTTTTTTTTTCGTCTGTCGCATGAGATCTCACCATCTCCATCGTCCACTTTGACAGACCTCTTCGGTGTCGTTTACTCTCCTGGCGAAGGTCCCGTGCCGTTCACCTACTCCGCCGAGGCCTTCCCGCTGTACATCCGTGAGCTCGGAATGTCCTTCGCGACGGCAACTACGTGGTTCTTCAACTTCGTCCTCTCCATTACCTTCCCCTCGCTCCTGCTCGCCTTCAAGCCGCAAGGCGCGTTCGGCTTCTACGCCGCGTGGTGCATGGTCCTCTGGGTGCTCATCCTCCTCTTCGTGCGCGAGACCAAGGGCAAGACGCTTGAGGAGCTCGACCAGGTGTTCTCGGTTCCCGCACGTACGCACGCCGCGTACGGCCTGCGTCAGATCCCCTACGGCATCAAGAAGTTCATCCTCTTCCAGAACCCCAAGCCCGAGGTGCTGTACGAGGAGGAGAGTGACGAGGACAGCTCTATCGACGGCAAGGGCGCAGCGGAGATCCGGGAGGACGTCGAGAAGCGGGCATAAGCGGCCTTCACTCTCTGTCTTTTCTCTTCTCTATGTCTGTTTGCTAGGATCCCACTGCATCGACGCTAGCTAAAACGTCTGTCTCCTCTTGTTATACCCTCTCTGCGCAACCACTCCCTGCCGCTCTACCATACCTAATGATCTCTCAATCATACACCGTCCATTTACTCGCCGCAATTATCTCCCCGTCCTTTTCCCCGTTTCTCTCTCCCTTATCTCTCTGAACCTTGCTACAAGGAACGAACGGTCCGACGCATCTTTCACGCAACGCGCACTTGTTTTAATGTAGTCGAGTCGCTGTTGTTGTTTGATTATCACCCTAAGCATCGTGTATATGTTGCGTCCATATTTGTTACCCCGTGCACGTACATCATGCGTCTCGCGCTCTCCCCGCAGGGGGAGATGCGTCCCGCCGCGCCGCCGTTTTAGTTGTTTGTTGTTACTGTATGGTGCATCGCCTGCGCTCGTCGTGGTTATATGCTAGCTAATCGTTGTTGATAAATTATTAACTTTTCATTTTCTTCAAATCCTCTAAAGTTCTGCACAAGCGTTTGTGATTTACGTTTTGTGGATTTAGCGAATTTTGTCAGTGTTTCTGCTGTGGCTGGTTTCGGCCCGATCCGCCGTGACGGAGTGGAGTCCCCCGCCGACGCAATACCCTCGTTCCTGGCGAACCCGCTCTAACCACTGTTGTTCATATGGCGGCTGGCTATTATAGCGTTGTGTATGGCGGCGCAAGGTCGCTGGCGCAGCTTAGTTACTTCACTGGTGCAGTCCGTGCGCACGGGTGTTATTGGTGCTCCACACCTTGGCTCTGGCCAAGCACAACTTAGGACAAGTTGAACAAGGCAGCACTGGGGCGAGGAGACATCACAGTAATGCGACTTGGAGGTGGGTATGCCAAGTAAGGGGTTTATCATAACATATATATATATTTGGAGTGTGCAGAGGTGACGTCGGCGCAAGCCAGGTGCTTTAATTACATTTGCTTATTTGAAGTTGTTAATTGGCGCCACATGCGATGTTGGACTCGGCATGCCGAACGTATGAAGCCGTTAGTATCGACATCATCATGTGGAGAACAATGGGAAGAAATGCAATGTGGAGTCAACGGTGCATCGGTGCAGACGGGTTTGACGTTACGAAAGAACATGGCGAGTTACATGAGAAGTAAATCAATTGTTTCGCATACTACATTGCATATAAACTAGGTTTCGTTATGGCAATGCGCACAGAAAAATATGTGAGAGCTACGGAGACAGACCACCCCTCAAGCACTAGATTTAGGCAATCGCACTCAGACCCGAGCATCATTTGCAGCACGGCAAGCAGAGACAAAAACAGATAGTGTCAACCAAACCATGAACACTTTCGTCATCACTGCTGACATCACCATGAGTAGGGTTGGGATCAGTTGGGTCGATGGGCGAATCACTTCCTCCATCCGACTCCGGCTCTTCCTGTGAGCTGTGTCGCGCATGTGGGTTGTCTCCTGCTGCGAGTACGCGCTGACAATCAATATCAGTTCATTATCCAGAGCGAATATCAGTCAATAAACCGAAAAACACACCAACTTGTCGCGAGCGGTAGTCACACGTTCAACTTCAGCGTGGTGGATGCGTCGCATGACATGGCCCTCGGCGGAACCACCAGCTGTATGTTTTCCCTTGCGCTTGGTATTTTGTTTCTGAGTTGGAGTCGATTCAAAGTTATGCGTAGAGCGCCACATATTTCCCAGCCAACCGTGTTTACGCTGGCGCTTTTTGTCGGTCTTCTGAGTTCCGGTGCCATGTCCGCCTTCGTGCTATTGGTTTGATAAGTCAGTGTAGCGCCAAGAAGGGTGTGAGGACACGGTGATAATGTGCCCAAGTACTCTTACATCTACATCGTCCCAGAAACCTCTGCCTTGACTTCTTTGCTTATTTTTACGCGAGATGGTGGCCGGCATCTGTAATGTAAAATGAGTTTAAAACAGAGAAAACATTATTCAGAGGCCGACTTACGTTCATGATGCTATCGTCCGAATGCTACATTCAGGAGCGTTTGAGTCAGATTATTCCCCCATACGGCTGGCCATGGAATGTAACACGTACCTGTCGCATCCTGTCGCGTCTTTCCGTAGATATTCCTTCCTGCGGATCATCTGGACTATGACTACGATCGTCTGATGCTTCCTAATGAAAGCACTAAAAATTGCTCGTGCGTGTCAGAAAGTGAAAGTAGCCGTACCTGATTGTTTGGCTCAGTTTTGTCTAGGAGAATACGTCCCGTAACTGCATCCCATACACAGAGTGTGCCGTCCATCGAGCCGCTGAGGATACGCTTACAATCAGGAGAGAACACGGCCGCCTTGACCCCACCGTCGTGACCGTCAAGTGGTTCATGGAGCCTGGCGCCGGTAGTAGCGTCCCAAACGCAGATTGTCCAGTCATGAGCGCCGGTGGTCAGCAGCTTTAAACCATCGCTAGACCAGTCGACAGCACCGACAGAGCCCGAATGAACGTCCATGGGATCGAACGCTGATTTTCCACTTGCAATGTCCCAAACACGTGCGGTACAGTCGTCGGAGCCGCTCAGTAGGCGCATCCCATCCGGAGAGAAGCACACTGCCCGAACGCAGTCGTCGTGATAGAACGGGCCAGCGATGCGTTCGTACGTTTGCCAATCCCAGACCAAGATGGTATTATCCTCTGCCCCACTCGCGAGTTTTGTTTCGGCCTTAGAGAGCGAGAGCGCGCAGACGGATGCTGTATGTGCTTCAATGATGTGCGCCATTTTCCCAGTGTCGCTGTGCCAAAATCGGATGGTTTTGTCTTTGCCTCCGCTAACGATCCGCGAGCCGTCGAGTGACAACCTTAAAGTCAAGATGGCGTCGGTATGACCCGTTAGAGGCCCAGCTAACAACTCTCCAGAATTGATGTCGAAGATACTGATGGTAGCGTCGTCTGATGCAATCGCCACTGTCCCATCCCCGGATATGGACACTGCGCTGACGGATTTCTGGTGCCTGACGGCCTCGCCTACCTGGAGACCCGTCTCCCCGTCCCAAATTTGAATGCCTCTATCCTCCTCAGCGCTCATGAAGCGCTGTCCGTCCAAACCCCATGCAACAGCCGTGATAGTTCCTCCAGTGCGCATCTTTCCCGAGTCGTGAAATTGATGCTGATCATTGCTGAGAGCGTCCTGTTCCTGTTCTCGAAGTTTGCGTTCTTCTTCTTCTACTATCTATCGTGGTAGCAATGGCTGGTGTCACAAAGCGATCAGTAAGGTGTTAAGTATCTTACTCACCAGAGGGAGCAATGCTTTACCCGTTCTTGCGTCCCAAACTTGAATTGGGCTGACCTCGGTATCTGCTGTTGCGAAATAGTCCCCATCGGGAGAGTAAGTGACCCCCCAGATCCAGTCCGTGTGTCGATGGATCCTGAGAGGGCCATTGAATAGCATTTGACCTTTGTGTACGTCCCAGACGCATACATACGGGCAAGGTTTTGCACCGCCAGTGACGAGACGCTGTCCATCTGGGGACCACGCGACCCCGAGAACGACGCTTTTGTGCCCTCTGAACGGACATCTGGCAGCCTTCCCGGTGTCTGCTCGCCATAATCGGACGCTTTGGTCGTCAGATCCGCTCGCAAGAAAGGATCCGTCAGGTGAGTATGCCAATATATTGACAGAGCCCTTATGTGCGTCAATTGGGGGAATCGCTAGCTGGCGCTTAGCTACGTCGAAGACTCGAATTTGGTTGTTGGTTGAACCGGCTGCGATGCGTTTTCCATCCGGTGACCAGGTGATGGTCCACGTGGTGACGCTAGCGTGTTCCTCCAGCTGGACGACAAGTTTACGCAAGGTCACGTCCCAAAGCTCGAGCTTGCCATCGCCGCCAGAGCTAGCTAACAGCCTTCCATTAGGCGAGTACTGGACCGACCGCACATACGGTTCGTGTGTTGTAATGGGATCTCCGATTTGTTTGTGACCATTTCCCATGTCCCAAAACCGTATAGTACCATCGTCACCGCCAGATACGAGAACCTTCCCGTCCTGCGAGTAGGAGATGGTGGTGGTCGCTTGTGTGTGCCCGACTAGTGTTTCCCCTTCTTGTTTGCCTGATTTACTATCCCAGATTCGGATGGTTTTGTCTTCCGAGCAACTAGCAATGCATCTACCATCAGGTGAGTACGCAATAGCATAGACACGGCCCTTGTGTCCTAAGAATGGCTTGAACTGCCCTTCATCTATGGCAGGCCCTCCCACTTGATTTGCGGAGAAGCTTGACTTGGATGAGCCCGATGCAGGATCTGTGACTAGCTGTTCCTGCGCCTCTGAGAGACCGGCCATCAAGTTGGACAACAAAAGGAGGGTTTAGGCTGTACTCTTTTTGTGCGCTTAAAGAGAGATATGGGGTAAGCGATGAAGTGGGAGATGCACAGTGCGGAAAGAACCGTGTGATGGCAAACAAACCGTGACACGGGCGCTTATCTGCTGCGGCAGTGCTACGGAGCCTATATTCTACAACGCCACCTTGCAGGTTCTGTTCTCCTCGGCAAGTAAGCAAATCGCTCTGTTAGAGCGTAAATACAAATGTAAACCCACAATGGTGGTTTCAGAATGGTACGTTGCTTTGACACAAACTTAGCTCTTATACTTATATTGACATGTACTGGGATGGAACAAGTTGAAATGGGACATCGAAGCGTACTACTTAGTACGACGAGTGTTAGAAACACGACTCTTTTGTACGGGAGTACACGAGATATAGAATGTTAAAAATAACTCGGTGTCATTATGATAACATACGCAGATGTGCAAAACACGCAGACAAACTGATCTCAGAACACCACCCGGAAACCAAATACTAACCCAAGATCATGATGAGCACATTTAGACCCCGCTTACTTGCAACACGGCAAGCAGAGACAAAAGCACACAGTGTCGATTAAACCGTGCACGCTTGTATCGTCGTCGCTCAGATCAGCATGAGGTTGGTTGGGATCGGATGGTTCTGTAGGCGAATTGCTCCCGCCATCCGACCCCGGGTCCTCGTGCGAGTTGCGTCTGGCCCCACGTGGATTGTCTCCCGCTGCAAGTACGCGCTAAAAGTCAATACCAACACAACACCCGAAGTAAACACCCTGAAATGCGGCAATTATGGGTATGGATAATGACGTACCAGCTTGTCGCGAGCGGGCGCCACATCTCTGGCTTCGGTACGGTGGACGTGGCGCATGGCGTGCCTCTCAGTGGTGTTTCCAGCTGAGTTCTTCCCCTTGCGCGCTGTGTTCCCTTTTGAAGTTGAACTATTGCGCGGAGAACGCCACATGTTCCCCAACCAGCTGGGTTTGCGCTCGCGCTTCTTGACAGTCTTCTGAGATCGGGCGCCGTGCCCGCCTTCGTGCTATCGGTTTATACATGAGTGTAATGTCAATAAGACGTTGAATCGATGACAATGTGTATAAATATGCTTACATCTATGTCATCCCAGAAGCCTCTACCCTGGTTTCCTTGCTTCCTACGCGAGATGGTGGCCGGCATCTGTAAGATATGGATGAACTGAGTACAATGAGTGGTATGAGAAGGCGACCTACGTTCATTATGCTGTCATCCGAATGCTACGTCCATGATCATTGAGATAACCCCCATTTTGTTGTAAAACGTAGAGCATACCTGTCGCATCCTGTGACGCCTTTCCGCGGATATTCCTTCTTGCTGTGCTTCTAGGCTATGAGTGTCGCTGTTTGACTCGCTCTAGTACAGAATATTTCAAGCTCGCTAGAAGTTACACCAGAGATGTAAAATCACCGTACCTGATTGTCCAGCTCCGTTTTGTCCAACAGGATTTTACCAGTCTCCACATCCCATACGCATAGTGTGCCATCCATCGAGCCACTGAGGATACGCTTGCAATCAGGAGAGAAAGCGGCAGTCTTGACACCAGCGTCGTGCCCTTCGAGTGGCTCATGGATGCGCCCTCCCGTCGTCGCATCCCAAACACAGATCGTCCAGTCATAAGTTCCTGTAGTCAGCAGCCTTGAACCATCGCTGGACCAGTCAACAGCCCCGACCGAGCCGGAGTGCATCTTGATGGGGTCAAACGCTAGCTCTCCTGTCGTAACTTTCCAAACTCGAGCAGTACAGTCGTCGGATCCGCTAAGTACTCGTGAACCATCTGGTGAGAAGCAGACAGCGCGAACACAGCCATCATGATGGAATGGGCCAGCAAGTCGGTCGTAAGTCTGCCAGTCCCAGATAATGATAGTGTTGTCCTCAGAACCGCTGGCAAGCTTCGTTACATCTCGAGAGATCGAAAGCGCGCAGACTGCTTCCGTATGAGCTTCGAGTACATACACCATCTTTCCGGTGATCCCGTCCCAAAAACGAATTGTCTTGTCTTTGCCTCCGCTAACGATCCTCGAACCATCAGGAGCCATACCTAGAGCTAAAATCGCATCAGCATGACCCGTAATAGGGCCTACTAATGCCTCCCCAGATTCGACATCGAAAACGTTGATAGTAGCATCGCCTGAAGCCGCCGCCACTTTTGTGCCGTACTCGGAGACAGACGCAGCGCTGACAGTATTCTGTGGTTTGACGCAAATGGCCCCATTTACCTGGTACCCAGTCTCTGCGCTCCACGTTTGCATGCTACCGCCTGCTCCGACACTTACGAAGCGCTGTCCATTAGAGGACCATCCGACAGAGGTGATGGTCTCGCCAACGCGCATCTTTCCTGTGCTATAAGTTAACTCTTCGCTGGAATCACTGTGGCCCTGTTCTTGAACTTTGCGCATTTCTTCGTCTGACAGCTGCAACAGTAGCGATGGCACGCGTCGTGAAATAAGCGACCGCACGTCCCAGTTATATGAAACTCACTAGGTGAAGCACTGGTTTACCCGTGCTTGCGTCCCGAACCTGAACTAGCGGGATGGCAGTGTGTCGATCTGCTCCCGTTGCAGAGATAAAACGCTTTCCGTCCGGCGAGTATGCAACCGCCCAAATCCAATCATCCGAGCCGTGTCGATGGTCCCCAAGGGGACCATTGAAGAGTGCCTGACCCTTGTCCACGTCCCAGACCCATACAACCGGGCGAGGCTTCCCACTGCAAGAGACGAGACGCCGTCCATCTGGCGACCACGCAACACCGAGGACATGCCTCTTGGCGCCCTTGTTCATTCTGAATGGAGTTTTGACAGCCCTTCCCGTTTTTGCACCCCATATACGTACGGTATAGTCGTCCGATGCACTCGCGAAGAACGTACCGTCAGGCGAGTACGCCACCGCATTGACGTCGCCCTTGTGTATGTCAATTGGTGGCATCGCTAGCTTGCGTTTCTCTACGTCGAAGATGTGAATTCGGTTGTCACCTGAGCCAGCTGCGAGACGTTTTCCGTCTGGTGCCCAGGAGATACAGAAAATGATGCTGGTAGCATATTTTTCAAACTCCGCAACAAATTTGTGAGTGAGCGAGTCCCATAGTTTGAGAAAGCCATCATAGCCGGCGCTGGCCACGAGCCTCCCATTAGGTGAATACTGGACCGACCACACGGACGATCCATGCAGTGCAATGGGATCATCTGCTTGCGTGTGACCGTTCCCTACATCCCAGAACCGCACGGTATCGTCGTCACCACCAGATACGAGAGAGTTCCCGTCCGGGGAGTAAGAGATGGTGTTGACATCGCTTGTATGTCCTTCTAACGTCTGCCCATCCTGTTCGCCTGTGATGCTGCTCCATATGCGGATGGTAGTATCTTTCGAGCAAGTAGCAATGTATCTGCCATTCGGTGAGTACGCGATAGCACGGATACTATCCTTGTGGCCCGAGAATGGTTTGAGCTCTCCTTCATCTGCGGCAGGCTCTCCATCTTGACTATCGGAGGTGCGTGATGAGCCCGATTCGGACGCAGTAACCAGCTGTTCTTGAGCCTCTGAGATACCGATCATGATGTTGGACGACAAGAGCAAGGTCCGGGCTGTAATCTGTGGGCGCTTAAAGAGAGATATGGGGAGAGTGATGAAGACCGAGGCGGAACATGTACGTAGCGTGCTAGTGCGGAAAGAACCGTGTGACGAAAAACAAACCCGGGCGCTTACTGGCTGCTGCGGCAGTGCTAGTGCTACCGCGCGCGCTTACAAGTATTATACAAGGCATACCAATCACCACCTTGTAAGTCATGCTCTCCTCAGCAAGCATGCAGATCGCTCCCAGACTCGCATATGACGTATTTCCTGAAATGTAGTGTCAGGATGGTACATCGCTCTGATATATAGCCTTTTGTATGGTCTACGCTGACGTGTACATCAGTTAACTCTAGGGCAGTTTTGGGCCAAGAGGGAATTCGAGGGAACGGCACTCAGATCTAGTTAAATGTGGTAGAATCGAGCACCTTCGATTGATCTTTCGGCCCCGAGGACTCGCAGTCTCCTAGACAGGCCCTCAACAGAGTAAGTAAACGGAAGCACAAACGCGCTTTATTCGCGCGCGTATTTACCTTTATTTCTGCAAGGAGCTCTGGACAGCCTCCAGATGTTGTTGATAGACATCACGCACAATATTTACAAGAAGACGTACAGCAATTTATTCATGCTCAGTGTCACTCTCATCTACATCATTCTCGAGAAACGAAGCCTCGTCGGCGGTGCCCAGAAAGCACAACCATTCACAGGTCCCTCGTAGTTTACTTCTGTTTTGGGATGCTACAGACGAGGGCGCAGCCGCAACACGCTACTCGTGGTTGATTAGCTGCCGGTATACCGGAGGAGGGAATTAAGAGTTCTTACGGTCTTCACGTGCTCGCGTTTTAACTTGGGTGAATTACGTGACGGGAGAGGCACAGCGCACTTGCATTCATGCTGTACGTATCCTGTATAGTTGTGGAGCTCAGCTACTCTGGAACCTGTCTGAGGCTGAGATGAGGAGATTGAGAGTGTGTCTGCGGTCCGTGCCGGCGGGCCGTGTGGAGGTGTTCGTTCTGTCGGTGCATTGGGGTGGAAGTGGAGGAATACATTTGAATGTCATTACATGTCAGGATGAGTCTGTGCTGAGCGGATTAAAAATCCAACGAACATGCTTGAGAAAACCGTTAATGAAGTGGAACAGAGTGCCCGAGGCTGCGAGTCGTAGATATGTGTGATTTTGGCTCTGGGAAACTCCTGCGTGGTTTCCCACCCTAAGTGTACCTGGCCTAGACCAACCATTATCAGACGGTCGAGAACTAATAGCCCACAAGGGCTGGAGGTCAATGCTAACCTTAGGGTGGGGATCCGATGCGAACTAGTAGAGAAAACCTCCTGCGCGGCGAGCGAAGCCCTCTGGCTGAGCACGCGTCAAGGTCTTCTCGGAGACTAGATGTGAACAAGGACGAGAAAACGATGGTCTGGTAAGTCATTGCCACCTTTTTATAATCGTTATCAAGAGGCGCCCAAAGACTGCGGAATGACACGCGCAAGTCGCGGTGAGGGAAACTGTCCTTTCACACCAGTTAGAGGTAGCAGCAGCATCCTGTGGCTGAACAACCTTATGCCACCCGGCTCTGTAACTTCATCGAGATTGCTACGAGTATCAGAATTCGATCAAGAAGTATGAAGTGATGGAACTTAGAATAGAAACATCAATAAGGCAACTCATACACCCCGGATCCCCAAATCTTCTCCAATCAACACAGCAGCTTTCTCACCGATAACTAGCGCGGTTGAATATGTGTTCTAAGACCCATTTCATCAGTAAATTGTCAGCTTCTTTCGGTCAGAGATAACACTGACAGCAGACACGTTGCCCGGGGCAATGGACATATCCGCGACTTTAAGGTTCCTCACCCCATACACATTCAGTCGGGCATCAAGTACGCCTCCCTGGTCTCGAGGCTTCATAGCGCATGTGCCAAGCTTCAACGCGGTTAGATCCCCTTGATCATAACAGCAAGCGATAAACCTGACACTCACCGAATGCCACCCTGTCTGTACGGCCTTGCGATGGAACTGATCCAGCGCGGCGTCGTCCTCTGGTCCGTATCTAATTATGGGTTCGTCCGCAGCATATGGCCCGATTCGCGCACTACTACAAGATGCCGGGCTGCCTTCCTTGAACTTGGGGTGGGCGGGCACGTACTCGCCGCGATATGAACGCATTCGGCGCGCATATTCGCGTGCCTGTTTGTAGCCCCAACGGAGGGTCAAGATGTCCGACGGGCTGTAAAAGGATTCAGTAAGTAGCTGGTGTAGGCGGAAGGTAGGATGAGTTGGTACGCACTGTGTTAGGTAGCCATCCTTGAAAACGGGCGAAGCATGTGGATCGGATCCTGAACTAATGTGGACGGATCCGACGGACGCGGGGTGAAGCTATACATAACTTATTAACACCAATGATAAACACGCCGAACAAAACCATGTCTGGTCCTGATTCGATAGACGCACTGCACAATAAGAAATACTGAAATACTTCTTCGGTGGAACACTCGAAGGATCACCGATGAACGACGCGACAGCGTTGAGCATCATAACGGGGCGCGACTTGACATCTTTGAAGTGCTCGTTCCATCTCGCGTTGAACACTTCGCCGAGGGCCGGGAGCTCGCCGTCGTGTGGTCTCATTTTGATTCCCGCATCGATGCCGCTGATAAGTTCTGAGTGTCAGTTGGTAGCGCGATAGGTGAGTGTGGGAGCTGACTTCTGAGCGATCAAACCTCTCCCGTCTCGATACCATTCATTTAGTGCGTCTTTGTTGTGTCAGATACACGTATCGGGACGTTAAGAATGTATATGTGTGACTTGCCTCTCACGTCAGGATCCTCGCCCCGGTAGATGGCATCCATCGTCTCAGCATCTTCGCTCGCCTCAAATGGGCAGAACACGACTTGGTGATCTGCCAATAAATAAGCTTGATCAACATGTTCCTCGCGCACAGTAAGTAGCTTCCTACCTTGATAGGTCTCGCCAACACCAGGCAGATCGACAATCTGAGAAACTTCATGCTTCTCGAGGATCTCCTTCGCACCGATACCGGAGCGTTCAAGGATCGTGGGCGACTCAAACGCGCCTGCCGATACCACGACGAGTTTTGAGGCGCGTACAGAGTATATCGTATGTGTTTCCGCATCAGGAGCGGTCTGCAGGTCGTGGGTGAACTCGACTCCCACTGCCTTGTCGCCTCTTGAACCGTGTCAGTTATGAAGAGGGTTTGAGATGAAAGAGACGCACTCAAAGATAATTCTGTGCACCCGCTTTCCGACGGAGATTTCGAGGTTCTTGAAGTTTTGGTTGTATAGGAAATGATGCGGGACGTCCGATCGCGTGCCATTCTTCTCATCTACCCACCTTGGCGCGAGCGCTATTTACTTTCGCGTCCACGGTGCTGAAGAGGCAGGCAACTTACATATGCCATCTCTACCCGTCATCAGCACGCTGCTCTACGCGACAAGGAAAATACACACTCACTCCGTACTGATTACACGTATGCAAGTCGTTCGTGTCGTCGGCCATTTCTCTTCTCTTGTCTATCTTGGAGGCGACGTCGAGGAACTCCTTAGCGATCTCGAGATACTTTCCACCATAAGAGACCTTGAGTGGGCCAGAGTACCCATGTGTTGGTTGATCGGGTCGAATTTGATAGGTTTCGGTCTGGCGTACGGGAGTAGATTGAGTGCAAGTAGCGATCGAGGTCACTCAGCAGACGTACCTTCTTGAACAGAGGAATGAGATCCTTCGAGCCCCAACCCGGGTTCCTATACGTGGTCTCCCACTCATCGTAGTCGGACGTCGATCCGCGGGTATACATCGCGACTGAGCCCATGGTTAATGTGAGTGACAAACACGAAAAACAAGACTCACAGTTCACACTAGACCCTCCTCCCAGGCACTTCCCAGACGGAACGATGAGCGACCGCCCAGCCAGTTCCTTGCTCTCTACTCCTGCATTGAATGTGACCGTCTTGCTTGATGGAACGAGATGGCTGATGAAACGCGCCGGCTGTGTATGTGCGGGGATGTTGTTGGTATGCGGGCCTTGCTCAAGGATTAGGATCTTGAGAGCAGGGTCTGCAGTCGCCAACCTGCTTGCGGCGAGGCAGCCCGCGGTGCCTCCTGAGAACACGAAGCCGCGAACCTTGGTTAGATGGGCGCTTGTGGCGCTTCTAGAACAAGCAACTCACCTCCTGCGAAGATGACGTCGTACTCGTCGCGAGATGGCAAAGACATGGTGAGGCAGTCGCGAGATGGAGGTGGCCGATAGCGATGTCGAGGTTCGAATACTTAGAGAGAGCACCGATAGCAGGCTTTGAAGCGGCTAAGACGCTGTCCGTGGGACCAAGGATCCGTCGCAATAGGAAGCGCAATCCGGAAAGGTCGCAAAGGGTCTATCTAGTCAGCGATCAAAGACCAGCAGACCTCGGGATGAGACTTCTCGGTGGAAGTCGCTCATATTCGTAAGAACATGGTCTGACAGCAATCGTCCCACACCTAGTGGTACGACCGAAGGAGTTAGGGATTGCCGGGTTGTGGTTGCAGGTGAAAGAGGTACGGCGCGCGGGGTCGACTAAGTATGGGCACATTCGAGTGATGAAGTGAGCCACATATTACGGATCCATGGCGAATAGATTGCTGCGAATGACTTATACGATACCGACGTGTGCACTGAGTGAGATGCGTCTGTCGTTGACGAAACATATCGCGTCAACGCTTCAAACGGCGACGGAATGTCGGAAAAATCCCAGGAATATGGCCATATAATTGAAATGTATTGAAATCGCCTCATAATGAATCAAGAATTAAAATACATTCCAATGGGACCCTTTGGTCATCATGATAGCTATTTTAAAGTGATTGCCATGGAATTGAGAACCAATTGAGAACATCCTTATGATGGAAAACAGCCACGTCCAATGGAGTTTCAATGTTCGCGTCGCTTTACAACGGGAATTGCAAACCTATCTAAATAGGAAACCATTTCAAACCCCATTTGGTTTTTTCCGACAGAGTTCATAATTGATTCGCACTCCGATGAGCGAGTTCGGCGCCCGCCAGGATACAGTTCGCGACGCCAACCTCTGCCTCGTCGAATCTATTTCCCCGATTCCTCAGAATGCGCTACTTGTACGTCTCAAGGCATCATGCGACCTTTGCACCGAAATCAGCAAGAGGGGAAAGCATCGTTACAATAAACCATGCCCTAAATCGACAGGAGAGACATAGGACTGAGTAAGCACGCCTTGCTAGCCATGGTTCGTACATTCGCAAAGAACGCGTCTTCACCTTCCCCGAGTCTCGGTGAATGCTGCGCGCTGAGTGACTAAGTTGATTCACTCCGGCCAACGTCATACCCCCCGGGCCAGCTGACGGTGCTGCTGACTGATGCCGAAGGTTGCGTCAACCCAGAATCGAAGCACGCCCCTGTCCGCTTTGTCGACTGTATATTTAACATGGGAACGCAAGGAGGGCATCAACATAGAACAGCTTATTCCCCATTTATCGCTTCAATCCTATCTGACTCTTCATCACCATGGCCCCTCTCATCGTCGTCGCAGGCATTGGTAACGGTTCAGGTGGGTAACGTACACAAGGAAACCTCCAGTCGCTGACTTGATTGCTTCAGGAACTGGAGCCGCCACCGCGTGAGTAAACCACTAGATATGCGCACGGCTGACACTAAATCGGAACCCAGGCGTCTCTTCGCAAAGGCGGGCTACAACGTCGCGCTGATAGCAAGGGGCAGTGACCATCTTACCAAATTCAGGGATGAACTCAAGAGTGGTGGCGCGAATGTGAGCGCGAACACTACCTCCAGCCCAACTTCAGCGTCGCTGATCGTCACCTACGTAGGCCACGGACTTCCCCATCAAGGACTACTCTGTACAGTCCCTCAGCTCCGCCTTCGCGAGCATCAAGTCTACCTACCCCAACTCGCCCCTCCGCGTCGCCTTGTGGAACGCCGGCTCGGCCGTATGGAAGCCCTTCCTCGAGATCACGCCCGAAGAGGTGCAGAACATCACGGACACGAACGTCGTCGGCGCCTTCGCGTTCTCTCGTGAGGTGCTTCAGGTGCTCACTACCCAGGAGGTTGAGGCGGCCGCCGAGGGCGGTCTTGCGGGTGATAGGCAGAAGAAGGGCACTTTATTGTTCACTGGGGCTACTGCCAGCATTAGGGGTAACACCACGACGAGCGCGTTTTCGGCTGCAAAGCATGCGCTTCGTGCGCTATCGCAGAGCTTAGCGAAGGAATTTGCAAAGCAAAACATCCATGTATGTGTGCCTCATCTCATTTTGTCAACATGTATACTGACCATTTGCGTCGTCTAACAGGTTGCACATGTAGGCTGCCTCCCACTCATGCCCTTGCTTGGGAGACGCGCTGACAACGACATTCTTGTAGGCTATCATTGACGGAGGCATCCTCACCGCACAGTCTCGCAACAAGGACAACGCCGAGTGGGTCGCAAACGTCAATGTGCGTCTTGATCCCAACTCCATCGCAGCAGTAAGTCCAACGGCACCGAATCTGCAATGCGGTGGTGCTAATATACGTGGATAGGCGTATGAGTATCTGGTAAAGCAAGACAGCTCCTCGTGGACCTGGGAGCTTGACTGTGAGTTCTCAATTATTTGTATGCTGCTGCGTTGACATTGATTTCCAACTTTCAGTGAGGCCTGCTCATGAGAAGTGGTAAACGAGTGGGTAATTGTGACCAAAACAAGTTTGTAAGGTGTACTACTACGTGATCAATGAGCATTTGCTTGCATGTGACGATGTCGAACGCGCTCATGCGAGGCATACTGGGATGGTGCATCTGAGTTGCTCTGCGCATAACGACCTGCTCGTTGACCTGGATCGCCGTCAAACTGTGTCGGAGTTCCTTATATACTTTGCACTCCATCAGGAAAATGACAAGCCGCTTTACCAGCATTATCCTGACTTTGCCGAGATGAACCTACTTTTTTGGTATTTTCGGCTCTTTACTAGAGAATATTTGGCTAGAAAATCACATCAGTGGCATTGAAGCTGCAAATCTCATTACGAAGAGTAAGCTACGAGTCTTTCAAACCGATTTGGATCCTCAAATGTAGGAGAATTGTGGTTTCAAATTTTGGGAAAGTAGGTTCACTCTGGTAAAGTCAGGAAAATGCGGTTAATACACGTGTCAAAATCCTGATGCTCCGACAAACAAAGTTGGCTGCAAATTGCGCTTGCCCCCGCCTTGCCAGATCCATTCACCCTTTATCCGACAGACTGAGATTGCGTTGTATTTGTGCGTGTGTAATCATCGTCCTGACGAACCATGGAAATACAGCGGCAGATGAGAAGTGCTCTAGTGAGAACCGATTGGGAACGAGTAAGTACCCTTGTCCGCTATCACTTGTCGATTCGCAAAAATACGTCTTCACCTCCCACGAGGTTTAGTGAACGCTGAATGCGTAGGATCTCGCTCCGGCCAAAGTCACGCGTCCCGGGGAAGGTGACAACGCCGCTGACCGATCCTGAGGCTGAGTCAACACGAGAATCGAAGCACGCACCAAATTGCTTCATTAACTGCATATTTAACATGGATGTGCGGGGGCGAATGTGTTGTCACTTCCACTCGGAACGATCCCTCTATCTCATCACTACCTGTCCTCCGCCTGATATCCTAAAATGGCTCCTCTTATCGTAGTGGCAGGGATCGGCAACGGCTCAGGTGAGTTGCGATATATCTGAGCGTATGATGAATTTTTGGACCGCTGATTTGACGGTTACAGGAACTGGGGCTGCAACCGCGTAAATATACTACCCGGCGACTGTCCGATATGTGCTTGCTCGGACACTCAATCATAAACAGGCGCCTCTTTGCGAAGGCAGGATACGATGTTGCACTGATAGCAAGAGGCAACAACTCCCTCACTAAGTTCAAGGACGAGCTAACGAGCGCCGGCGTGAACGTGGGCGTGACCGCTATTTCAGTCCCTGGCTTACTCACAATCACGTCCTGTATCTAGGCTGCATCTTTTTCCCTCGCAGACTACTCTTCACGGTCCCTCACTTCCGCCTTTGCGGGTATCAAATCTACCTATCCCAACTCACCTCTTCGCGTCGCGCTGTGGAACGTCGCCTTCGACGTGAGGAAGCCGTTCCTCGAGACTACGCCCGAGGAAGTACAGATCGCCACAGACACCAATGTCGTCGGCGCGTTCGCGTTCTCGCGCGAGGTGCTTCAAGTCATTACCACCCAGGAACCCGAGACGACCATCGAGGGCGGGGTTGCTGGAGATAGGCAGAAGAAGGGTACGTTGCTGTTCACGGGCGCGACCGCGAGCGTTAGAGGAAACACGACGACGAGCACGTTTGCCGCTGGGAAGCATGGAATCAGAGCGCTCTCCCAAAGCTTGGCAAAGGAGTTTGGCAAGCAGAACATCCACGTACGTCTTCCTTGGGTTTCACCTTGGACGGCTATGCTGTGCATTGACAACGCTCCTCCGCACACAGGTCGCACACGTAAGTATATATTTAGGCCCTCCCAATTACAGGCGCTAACAACGCCATCGTAGGTTATCATTGACGGAGCCATCGTCACCGGACAGTCACGCTTCAGGAGCAACGCCGAGTGGGTAGCAAACGTAAACGTGCGCCTCGATTCCAACTCTATCGCGGCGGTAGGCGGGGGCGCATCAGGAAAAACCTGACCGTATAAATTGAGGAATATTGCCCGAAGTTTTTGTTTGTTGCGGTAATTTGTAGGAACTTGACGAAACTTGACGAGTGGCTCGGACACGGAAAAGTTCGCGGTCCCCCAAAAATAGTAGCATAAAGTTTCCAAAAGTTGTGTCAAGTTCCGACACATATGACTGTATATAGACTCTAGCTTGGTGCTACTTTTTGGTAATCGACTCAGGATTATCACGACTCGTTCACTTTAAATCAATTGTATTGATAGCTATCTAATTACTAGTTCGACATATAAGAACAAACCGAGGTGGACACACGTCCCAGGAAACGGAAGAAAGCGTGAAATGAAAGTGAAGACACCGCCGGCTCCAACACCGAGCAGCCCCACTCAGCTGGGGAGGCCCGTTCCTGCACTCGGGCGAAAAGAAAGGCTGTGCATATCAATGTAACCGATGATGAGGGCATGCCTGAGGAGAACGTGCACGGTAGGCAGGGGTCCATGGACGTCCCGATCAATGTAGATATCGAGTAGCCTTCGCCTATTCCGTCATATGTGCGCAGTTAGCTGATTCTGCGCCTCCGCTAGCCTGGGGCGACCCGAATCACCAATGGGCCCGGCCCGTGAAGACATTGAGGATGCGAACGAGCCACTATGTACATAGCATACGCTCGTTGACATGCTGCCACAAGCTTGGCGAGCTCCTCAGGTGGCCGTGCCCGAGCCTGGGGGCGTGCGGAGGGCAAAGCCAAGGGAAAAGACGAGCCAGAGGTAGACATAGAGATGGAGGCGGGATCTCAACCAGACCCTCAACCCGAAGTCCAGCCACGCACAACTAGACGTACCACGCATCACTCCGTCTGTTGGGCCTGTTCCCGGTCTCGTTCTTGCTCTCACTTGCAGCAACGCCAGCTACGCATCCCGCCAACGCCTCGAATGACTTGTGCTAGGTCGCGCTCACAGTCCCAGGCATGGGTGCCTCCAGCTCAGACGCAGACGCAGGGCGTTATGCATGTGACGAGGGCACGGTCAAGGCAGTAGTCTCAGGAGCCGCAGACCCAGTCTCGGGAGCAAGTACTTGTCAATCTCGGATGAGGCGAAGGCAGATGTCGTGCCCAGGCGGTGGCACCGGCAGTCGAGGATATTTGCAAGAGTCTGTGCCCGCAAAAGAGTCAGAGGTAGAGTACAGAGGCAAAGCTAGAGGCAACACAGACTCAGGCTTGAGCTCACCGTGATCAGCCCGTGCATAAGCCTCGGTTCTGCCTGTGAAGATGCTGGACGCTGATGGCCTGCAGACAGTTGAGGCCGTGGTGCAGGTGGCGGCGCAGGAGATGGCTGAAGCAGAAGGACGTAGATGAGTGGGAGGAAAGGGAAAGGGAGGCCAGCACGCCCCCGAACCCGGTGCCGCCTTAAAGGTTTGATCCGAGAGAGTATCGGCCTTGACGTACTTGTCCTGTGACCGACCTCAGGAAGCTGTAAGTAATAAATGCCACTGCGTAGAGATAAATATAAAGTTACTCACTTCGACTTTTGCCGGTGGGTCGAGTCTACCTGGAAGAGACTGAGAGTTCGAGGGCATCATCGGCAGAGGGTAGCTCGTACCTACTTCTTGTTGGCTAACGCGTTACCATCCTCCTCTTCCTCTGAGCCACCCGCATGTCTGATCATCTGCACCTTCTGAGAATGTAGCTGTCATGATGTTCATCATCAGAGTTGATGACTAGCCTTGGTGGGTGAGCCCGTTTCTGGGACAAAGTAGTGATACCATCGCCGTTACTGACCTTGCGCTAGCGGTCGACCTTTGGCGCGTTGGATCTTCCTTGGCTGCTGCTTGGCAGTACTAGCTTTCTGCTTTTGAGCGCTGGTCCTCGCACCGGCCATGACAGATTGAGGTAGTGGCGAAAATGTAAAAAGTAGAGAAGCAAATGAGCGAATACCAGGCCGTAACAGGTCGGAACAGAAGTAAGAAATGAACGCGGCACCCGAGAGAGGTATGGCTATAACGTTCAACGTTCAAGTTGAACGTTCTGAACCAAGACACCGTGATCACGCGCACGTTTGGTAGCGTGCACGCGAGTCCCAATTTTCTCACGATTATCTCTGCCCTTCCTCGAGTTGTGCGTCGCGCGTTCGCGTCACGTCTGCCCTGTCTCAGTGTCTGCCCAGCACAAGTGTGAGGGTCATGGCCATTCACACGTACACGAATTACCTACATTCACAATCTATCTTATGTAGCTCGCGTACTCACATAAATGCTCTCTCTCCGTATCAAGGACTATTCTATTTAGTTGTGGCTACGATTCATACTTTGCGAATTTTGAGCGAATTCTGGCAAGCTAGAGCATTACTCCGCGCGGCCTTACAGCCTCTGCGTCGTCCCTTTCCTTGCTTCTTCGTAGCTTCAACGCCAGTTTCTGGCACATTACCTTCGTCTATTGTCTATTCATTCGTTCCCTGGTCTCGGAACCCCCTCGACTCGACCCTGCCCGTCACAACAAAGTCCAGTTTGGGTCCAACATGCCAGACCAATGCCCGACTAAGTTTGCTGAGAAGGGCCACCTGAATAAAATAAAAAGTGCACCATACAAATTACACAGCAAAAGGAACAAGAATGCAGGGCCCATCCATCTACATTACCTCAACAGAATTGGAGTGTAGCCTACTTGAAGCTTGAAGCTTGAAGGCGGCAGTTCATCCTCATCTCGCAATCCTTGTTCATTAACATTGCCAAGTTTGCTTCCTCAAATTTCCAACGACCTCTTCGGAAATACACCCGAGTATTCTGGCCACATAGATGTTTCTGATGCACCACTGCGGCATTCCGGCGAGAACAGATTCCAAATTTGGCGGAGAGGACTTCTAGGTTGCAATTACCAAGTGCTTACAAGTTCAAATACTTGTCTCCTGGGCATCGCATGTACGCCAGGAGGATCGTCTGTCGTGATGAAATTACATACATATAAGTGATATATAATCATAGTATGTCATGTAAAATGATTTTCACTCAGTGTTAGAAAAGTCGAAACAGGTTGTGGAAACTTGCACATATTTGCATTAACTTGACGGAAAATGTCTCAACTTTTTCCGTACTTGACAAGCCTTGGAAACTTTACACAAGTTACTTCCAATTTCCCGCTGAGGTTTTTCCTGATGGCCCCAGGTTCATAGTGAACAAACATTGTGGTAGCATTGACTTTCCATGCACAGGCCTACGAGTCTTTAGTCAAGCAAGACAGCTCGTCTTGGACCGGGGAGCTAGATTGTGAGTCCTTGATACTTTGCCTTGGTATCGACTTTAATATCCTTCCCCAGTGAGGCCCGCTCATGAGAAGTGGTGAAATGACTTGTCGCCCACGTTGACCCGATTCTAATGTGTATTACTTGCTCATGAATTACAAAGTCATTTTCATAACCCTACGTTTAAAGCACAAGAAGACATTGTCTTTCGGTTCAAATATTCGACAGTTGTGAATTGCTACCTTGTCTTGTGTGTCGCAAAGAGTGCTCTCCCCCGTTGACACAACACCTACGTTGGTGCGGATTTAAATTCAATGACGATAAGGAGTCTAGCATCCCCTAGTAGGAGTCAAGAATCCGTGTTCATGTGAGATATCAAAAGGTCTGGCCGCTCAGAGGGTTGCAAACTTGTATCCACTTCTCCCTTTGACTCACAACCCAGCCACCATGATACCCAAACTTCAAGGATTGGCCTCAGACAATCAGCGTCATTTACAGCATGGCAAGCAGAGACAAAAGCACACAGTGTCAATTAAGCCATGCACGCTCTCGTCGTCGCTGCTGGAGTCGATATGAGGCTGGTTGGGATCATCCGGGTCTGTCGTCGAATCACTTCCACCATCCGACTCGGGTTCCTCCTGGGAGCTGCGTCGAGCGTGTGGATTGTCTCCTGATGCAAGTACGCGCTGGTGGTCGGCGTGAGTATACCATTCGATGCGAAGTTTGAAATGCAGAAGGACGCACCAACTTGTCACGAGCGGGGATCACGTCTTTGCCTTCAGTGCGGCGCATGCGACGCATGGCATGACCCTCAGCGGAGACACCAGCCACATTCTTGCCCTTGCGCTTTGTGTTCTGTTTTGAGGCCGATCCATTACGCGGAGAGGGCCATAGACTCTTCAACAGTCCTTTCTTGGGGCGCTGTTTGGCGGCCTTCTTGATCTTAGTACCTTGTCCCCCGCCCTGGTTTTGTTGGTTATACAAATCAATGCAATGTCACATGTCAAGAACGGAGATGAGGGGTCAAGATAAAACGGTTCTTAACGTGACTCACGGTATCTACATCGTCCCAGAAGTTACGGGCTTGATGACCTTGCTTGTTCTTCCTTGCAATAGTGGCTGGCATCTGGAATATATGACTGAGTCCCGTATCCGCTGTGATGACGAATAAGAGTGACACACCTCCATGAAGCTGTCGTCCGATGGCTACGTCCATGAGAAGGAGAATACAAAAACGTCGTCAAGACGTACCTGTCTACGAGCCCGTTTGTTTGCAGATGTGCCTTCCTGTGGATCACCGGGACTCTGACTGGGACCATCTGAATCTTCCTAAAAAGAAGCAGTCAGACTGTCAATATTACCAACTATGTCGTCAAAATCTGAGAATCACCGTACCTGAACGTCTGGTTCCGTTTTATCCAACAGGATATCACCAGTCTCCACGTCCCATACACACAGTGTGCCATCCATCGAACCGCTGAGGATGAGCTTACAATCAGATGAGAACGCAGCAGCCTTGACACCAGCATCATGCCCTTCGAGTGGTTCATGGATGCGCTTGCCCGTCGCAGCGTCCCAAACACAGATCGTCCAGTCATGAGTGCCGGTGGTCAGCAGCCTTGAACCATCGCTAGACCAGTCAACCGCACCGATCGAACCCGAGTGAATATTTATGGGGTCAAGCGCTAGATTTCCACTCGCGACGTTCCAAACACGAGCAACGCCATCGTCAGAGCCACTAAGTAGACGCGTGTCGTCTGGCGAGAAGCACACTGCACGAACGCAGCTGCCGTGGTGGAACGGACCACCAAGCAGATCGTATGTCTGCCAATCCCAGACGAAGACGGTGTTATCCTCCGATCCACTCGCGAGCTTCGTTTCATCCTGGGAGATTGAGAGTGCGCACACAGGACCTTTGTGAGCTTCGAGAGTGTGCACCATCTTTCCGGTAGCACCGTCCCAAAACCGGATCGTGCCGTCTTTGCCTCCGCTAACGATCCGTGAACCATCGGGGACAAGACGCAGGGACAAGACCGCGTCGGTATGACCCGTCAGAGGCCCCACTATCAACTCCCTTGATTCGACGTCGAAGAGGTTGATTGTAGCATCGTCTGATGCAGTCGCCAGTATCCTGCCGTCCGCGGAGACGGAGACTGCATTCACGGCTTTCTGGCCTTTGACGGGCTCGCCCACCTGAGAACCTGTCTCTGCGTCCCAGATTTTCGCACCTCCGTCCCCTCCGGCACTAGCAAAGCGCTGTCCGTCTGCGAACCATGCAACGGCCATGATCGTTCCTTCTGTGCGCATTTTCCCAGCCTTGTAGTATTCAACTATGTTAAGAGCATCCCTATCCTGTCTTTGACATTTGCGTTCTTCTTCGTTCGATCTCTACCATGATAGAGGCGGGATGTGTCATGGAATGGATATTTATCTTTTGATACGATACTCACAGAAGGATGTACCAGCCTACCCGTGTTTGCGTCCCAGACCTGAACCTCCGGGCTGTTTCGGTGGTCGTCCGCTCGTGCAAAATGCTTCCCGTCGGGCGAGTAAGCGACTGCCCATATCCAGTCACTTTCCCGGTCAGCACGAGAGGGTATACGGAAGATAATCTGGCCCTTGTGAACGTCCCAGACGCATGTGTGGTCCTCTCCACTGCCAACGACGAGACGTTTGCCGTCCGGAGACCACACGATACCAAGAACATAGCTCCGGTGACCCCTGAACGGACACTTGTAAGCCTTTCCTGTCTTCGCGTTCCATATGCGCACACTTCGGTCATCAGATCCGCTTGCAAGCAAGGTTCCGTTAGGTGAGAACGCCACCGTATTGACAGTGTCCTTGTGTCCGATGATAGGGTGCATCGTAAACTTGCGCTTCTCTAGGTCGAATATGGAGATTGGATCATTGGATGATGCGCTGACTGCGAGACGCTTTCCGTTTGGTGCCCAAGAAACGGAGTATTTAACGCCGCCAGGGAGCTCCCCAAGCTCCATAATAAGTTCATGTGTGAGCGTGCTCCATAGCTTGACCGTGTTACCGCTGCCTGCACTGGCTACAACTTTCCCGTCAGGCGAGTACTGGACCGATAACACGTCGCTTGTGTCTGCTTCGATGGGCTCTCCCACTTGTTTGTACCCATGCTCTAGATCCCAAAAGCGCACCGTATGGTCATCGCTTCCAGATACAAGGAACCTTTGGTCAGGCGAGTAAGAGATAGCGTTCACCTTGCCTGTGTGCTCCGTCACTGTTTCTCCTACTTGATTGCCTGTGTTCCTGTCCCAGATGCGGATAGTACTGTCTCCCGAGCCAGTAGCTATGTACATTCCATCAGGCGAATACGCGATAGCGCGGATACCGTATGTGTGGCCTGAAAAGGGCTTGAGCTCCCCGACAAGCTCTGCATCTTGAGAGATGGAGGGGATTGATACCTCCGCTTCAGGTTCGGTGCCAGTTCTAGTGACTAGCTCAGGTTCCTGCGCTGAGAGGTCGGCCATGAGATCGGCAAATACGACCAAGTTCCAAGCTGTGAGTCTGTAACTCGTGAGCGCTGGAAGAGATGTTGACAGGCACCACCCTGCGCTGCGCGCATAGAGCGGAGACCACCGCGTGATGGACAGCTCCCGATTCCTACCGCTGGCTGAAAACAAACACAGGCGCCTATATGTTGTGGCAGTGCTGGGCGCTTACTTAATTCAGGCCCAACACCACCGTTATGTTCTTGGCCGCTATGTCCCCTCGGATCGGTCCCCCAGAACAATAAAGTCTGTGTCATTTACAAGTGATCATCGTAAATCGGGCGGGTCTAGATAGTACATTGTAAAGATCACGCGTGCATAACTCAAATATAGGGAGGCAGTGGTCACCATCAGTGGCCAGATGGTAGACAAGCGCAGAAGCAAATCGCTCCTATACAACCATATACACTATCAACCGACGCAGCCCTTCGTGGGATCTCCCCCCGAACAGGTGACTGGGACTCGTCATCCGTCTCCGGAGATCTCGGGCGTCGTCTGTACACTGACTTGTCTCCTGATGCGAAAACACGCTAGAGTCGTTCCCATATATCAGACGACCGATGCGTTGCAATCTTGAAAATAACGCACCATTTTGGCCCTGCCAGTGCGAATTTCCTTAGTTCGAACTATAGGTATTTGTGCCTGATTTTGCTCAGTAGCAGGAACACCTCTTTCCTTTCGCAACTTAAACCTTGTTGCGACCCTTCCAACTAACTTTCGAAAGAAGCCGCGACATTTGGCAAGAGGCTTAGAGGCTATCTCCAACTTGGTTCTGGGATTTGTGGGTGACCTCTTCCTCTGCAATGCACGCAATACGAGTCAGTCACACAAATAGAACGAGCCTGACAAGATACAACCTTGGACGATGGCACTTCGTCGCCATCGTGGTCGAAAAAGCGTTGTGCGGCCGAAGATCTTTGTGCTGGAGACTTAACCGTGGCAGGCATCTGTCCCCGAACATTAGTCCATAGATGGCTACTCAGATTTTCTCAAGAAAATGCTCACGTTCATAATGCTGTCATCTTCACCATCTCTTGACCCATCATTTGAGTTCTGTATCGCTGTTAGATAACCATTTTTACTGCTCATTGGAGGACGCTCACTCCGTCTTTAGAGTTATCCGAATCGTCCTAAACGAAGGTAATGAGGAATATAGGATGGGCCGAAGATCATTTAAAGCACAGGACGTACACGTGGAAGGATGACACTGCCAGTGGCCACATCCCATATTCGTAACGAGCCGTCCACACAAGCTGTAAGAACCTTCTTACCATCAGGTGAGAACCTGGCGTGGTCTACCTCGACTTCGTGAACGAGGGCACCGACTACGCTTTTGACGTCCGTGGCATCCCATACCCAAACCGATTTGTCGTCACCTACGCTTAGAAACAGTGTCCTATCCGAATTGTAATCCATCATCTTCAGCGTATTAGAAGCGTAGTGCACCTCTGTCGCCAGCTGCACCTGTTCCCCACGCGCCACGTCCCACGTACGAGCTCTCTTCCTGCGAGTGCCAGTGAACACATGAGTGCCATCACGCGAGAAGCTGACATGAATGACGCGGCTATCGTGAGGGAAAGGTCCTGCGATAAGTTTGAGAGAGTCAAGGTCCCACACGGAAACATCCCCGTGGAGCGAGCCGCCCGCAAGCATTCTTCCATCAGCAGAAATCCCGACTGAGCCAAAGGTGGATATGATACCGTCTACCAATGAAATGTTTTCCCCTGTGTTCGTATCCCAGATCCGTATCTCACCGGTCCTGCTACAGGCAACGAGCCGTGCACTATCGGTAGTAAACATTACGTCGGAAACGGGCCCACTGTGTCCCTTTAGCGGACTAGCTCTCGTCTCGCCAGCCGTCTGCGGGCTCCAAAGACGGACAGTTGTGTCTTGTGATCCACTGGCCACTAGTTCGCCGCCATTAGAAATTGATATGGCCGTGACACGACCAACATGGCCAAAGAACGGATCCGAGGATTCCTCGCCAGTTTTGACATCCCACACTCGGATAACATTGAACCTTCCCGTCGTGACAAAGTGTTGGCCGTCCGGGAACCATGCTACTGCATCAACGAGGCCGAATGCATTCATTCTACCGCAATTGTCACCAAACTGTCAGGGGACTTGATCGGAGACTATGCACTTACCCTCGCAATGCCTCTAATTCTCGATCGCGAAAATGGCTGATATCTTCTTTGCTGAGCTAAAATGCATGAACAGCTTGGTTAGCGAAATGCATTCCACTTTACGGTGGTTACTTACCGGGGGAAACTGCACTTTTCCTGTGGCGGCATCCCACATACGGACAGTACCGTCGTGATCTCCGATCACGAAACGCTTCCCGTCTGGAGAAAAGGTTGCGGTGACTTCAGGGCTGTGACCAAACAAAGGACCAACTACGACCTTCCCGGTGGAAATGTCCCAGATGCAGACGGTGCCATCAGCTGAGGTGCTCAGAACTCGCTGACCATCTGCGGAGAAAGCGACAGAGGAAACGGCCAACTTGTGGCCCTTCAGTGGACCCTTCCGTAGTTTCCCGGACGTAGCATCCCATATTCGCAAAGTATGATCGTCGGAGGCACTGGCCAACAAGCTCCCGTCAGGAGAATAGGCAACACAGCGTATTCCAGCTTTGTGTCCAGCGATGGGCTTGAAGGCTAACCGCCTCTCCTCCACGTTGATGACACGGATGAGGTGGTCTCTAGAAACTGTAGCAAGATGACTCCCATCGGGTGAGAAAGTGATATACAGATTGATGGAGCCTGAGGTGGTGCCATGACTTGGAATAGCGGCGATGCATTCCCCTGTAGTGGCATCCCAAAGCTTGAGGCCATGAATACCTCCGCTCCCGATGAGGCTTCCGTCAGGGGAGTAAGCCACTGACCATACTGAAGCGTCAGCTTCAGCATGTAATTGCAGAACCTCCGTATGCCTTTCGGTGTCCCATACACGGATCGTGCCATTATAGGACCCGCTCACAAGTCGCCGACCATCCGGAGAATAGGCAATTGACAATACTTCATCAGAGTGCCCTCGCAGGTCTTCTCCATACTGTTGTAGGGTCTGCGTCTCCCAAAGGCGTATGACACCATTCCTGTGACCGGTAGCAACGTAATCGCCGTCCGGAGAGTAAGCAATCGCATGGATCGCCTTTGAACGTCTATCACATGTATCGGAGTCGCCTGAGGCGAGAGATGCCACAGAAGATGGGGTATTCATGGACGAGGAAGTTGGGAGCAGTGGTCGCCTCACGAGTTGGCGAAACAGATACAATAGGGTCCACAGCAAATGAAGGGCAGGCGTCCGCGCTAGTCGTTCACATGGTTTTCTTCTCAGAAGGGTGGCAACGTCGTTGTTGAGGAGCTCAAAGTTGGAACACGCTGTGTCAATGGGACAACTGGAACTAAAACTTTTAGATACCGCCGGAAAAAGCCGCATTCCTTGCCACAGCTCGGACGACCGGGATACGTGATGGTCGAATTACTAGGCGTAAATTCTCGTCAAGTTGCTCAAGGCTAGTATATTTGGCCGTCAATCCCATCGGTCATGCTGAAAAACATTCATCACCAAGATGGTTCACTGAGAAGACGGCATGGTGCCCGCCATTTATACTACATACATGTCTCCGTGGGTATACAACGTTTTACATTCGAGTTCGTATATTTTATAATGTCCATGAGTCAATAGCCCATTGACTCCTTCGGCGCTTATTTACCTGTAGGTGTGCTGGCAGGAATGGGCTGGAAGGCAGATCCACCGAGAACCTGTATGCCCTGCTCGGTGTACGGAGGGTACCGCAATGCAAGGAACGGCTCGGCTCTGTAGGTGCAGCAGATAAGTACAGTGTCAACGACAGAGTTGATACCAGAGCAAACTTACTCCTTGGGCATGTCGATAGAACTCCGAAGCTGAGTGAACGCGCTGAACGAGTACTTCAAGAACTGCTCGCCGTCTGAACCAATCATCAGTGTCAACGTCGTGGATGAAATACAAAGTGAACGTACAGCCCGATGCACCGACACCAGCGTTTGGTAGCTCACCAACTGTTGAAACATGTTATTGCTGTAGCCATCTGGGAGGTCATGAAAGTTGGCGTACCTGCCAGCTGCTGGACAGTGTCGTTGAATACGATTGCACCACTTTGCGTCTCCTCGATGACTACATCCGAAATTAGAAGACGGATCCGGGTACATTGAAGATGTAAACATACGACGCTGTTTAGCGCTCTGATGGTCCGTGAAGGCGTACAGAACGAGGGCATGTGGGCTGTGAGTGTGGCTTGAGTGGATCCGGTCCTGTTACGTAGTTCATATCTGACGCACCGATTAGTGATGAACCGGATCGCATCATCCAGATCTTCTACTGCAATAATGGGCATGATGGGCCCAAAAAGCTCCCTTAACCATATCATAAGTGTCGATGTCATTGGGTATAAAAGAACAACACTTACTCTTCCATAAGCGAGTCCTTCTCATCCACACCCACAACAATCGTCGGCTCAAAGTCAAGGGTAGCGTCGTCAGTCCGCCCACCAAACACGACTTGGCCCTTGGTACGCGAGAGGAGGCCCTTGAGACGGTCATGATGGCGCTTCGAGATGATCTTGGCGATGTCAGGGCTCCCGAGTGCGCCGTTGGGGAAGAAGGTAACTGCCTGCTTCTTGAATGCTGCCGCCAGGTCGTTCACTTTTGAGCGGTGGCAGAGGACGTAGTCGGGAGCAACACACAGCTAGAATATTACACCATATCTGTTAGAGTCTGGAGACGGACTTCGACTGAGCGCACGTACCTGACCAGCCGTCCCAAGTTTGCCCCACAGAATACGCTTCGCAGCAAGATCCAAGTCAGTGGTGTCATCGACATATGTCGGTGCCTTCCCGCCAAGCTCGAGCGTGACCGGCGTGAGATACTTAGCACCAGCGGTCGCAATCACGCGTCCGATGGTGCCGTTGCCAGTGTAGAATATGTGGTCCCACTGCTGCTCCAGCAGCGCGGTGGACTCCTCCGGGCCGCCGGTGACGACCTTGAACGCATCGTTGTCGAGGTACTTGGGCAGAAGATCCTTGATGAGTTCGGCAGTATGCGACGAGACCTCGGAGGGCTTGATCACGGCCGTGCAGCCTGCGGCGATGGCACCCATGAAGGGTTGCATGAGGAGGACGTAGGGGTAGTTCCATGGTCTGGTGGAGTAAGAGTGAGTTATGTCGGTCTGGTACCATGGGGAATCGAGAACGTACGCGAAGATAAGCACGGCGCCCTTAGGGGCCTTGTAGATCCTGCGTGTCTTATTAGCACATCCTCCTGGGCACTGCTATACAAAAGTGTGCATACGTTGGTTGCCATGGCTTCATGAAGTCCACAACCTCTGGGTGCTCCGGTGCCGCCCACTCGTCGAGCTGCGCCGCACTCTTGATGCTCCGGTCGACGATGAGACCAACTTCGATCATGAGCGACTCAAGGCGCGGCTTTCTGAGGTCCTTGCTGAGTGCCTCGACAATCGCGTCCGCGTTCTCCTGCGACAGACGCGCGAGCTGCAGCAGCTGATGCTTCCGCCATGCTATGGGGCGCGTGGTGCCAGACTTGAAGGTGTCCTTGACCGCGTTGCGGATCTGTTGCAGTACTTTAGAATCGTTGACAGGGTAATGGAAGCTGAAATTGAACATGCCTTGGGAATGTCGCTCAAGGGGGTGTAGTTCGTGTTGGACATGTTGCGTTTATCTGAAGGTCGGAAAGATCTGGGCAGTTTCGAGTTCGCCGAACCCATGTTAAGGTATAAATCTTAGAGCGAAAAGGGGGACTTAACGCATAGCCTTTCGCATCATGATGGCAGAAGACTGCTTTATTTGAGATACCGGTGGTGATGAGACACTTCGCTCTTGCTTCGCTAAGATCAACGGCTCCCGAGCGCTGCGGGTGAGACGGGACCTTTGATCGTGTTCAGGCACATGAATGCAAATGAGATAGCAACGCCTTTGGATTGACTTCCCGAGTCGCAACGGGATAGCGCGACGCGCTGTCGCTCTGGGGTAGGTATGCATTCAAGTACTTTCATTGATCGGCAAGATACGCTGTGAGAAGCTTACAAGGCTATTCCTACAACCTGGCGCGTCGCCAATAAAAATTTCCTCCTATCACACGCAGAAATAGCTGACCCAATGTCGCAAAGTTCATTTTCCGGCTGCAGCCGGTCGCAATCGACTACAATTACTGTTCAGTCAGAATGATTTAATAGTACTGTCATCCCCCGTGAGAATGTACACCACCGCCAGGATGTACAACTGTCTTTTGTGGCCGTTTCTCCCGCAAAACTCTCAAACTAAATTCATGATAATTATGATCCTATGCCATTCCATATCATCCTGCGTTGGATTGGCAAGGGCATGTCTAGAAATGAAGTAACATGGCTCAAAAGACAGAAAATGGGCTCTTTTGAAAAAAAATTGAGCTCGGGTCAGCAACCAGCTGTGAAATAACCTCAGGTTGTGAGCAAAAGAGTAATCATATATTGAGCTAACACCTTCCGCCCCCACTGAAACAAAACTGGGCGCAACCAGAAGGCACAAACTCTCAATATTTTGGACCGATGACAGAGTGTCCTCTCGAGGCTCACTATAATCTTATAGCCGCCGTATCGGCGAATCCGGCTCGGCAATAACACCATGATTTTCCTTTTATGGCTCGGCTACAGCCAATACCCTGCCTAATATGGGCTTATTACCGATATCGGCTCCCACGCAGACTGTACAGTCTGACGGTGGCCAGTCCTTGGTTCTAAAATCCACTGATGTTCGTATAGTAGGGAATCCGTCCACTTTGGCG